CTGTGGCAGATTCTCTCTCAAGGAGGCTACAGGTAGGGTCAGGAAGAAGAAACCTATACAAACGTTCGCCCTCCGGTTTACAAACAGCGCAATTTGATGTCTTTTTTGCCAATGTCAGCGTTTAGTTCTGTTTTTTATTTTACCGACACTCCTCTTTTTTATTGTAATTTGTGACGCTGACACCTGAGGTGCCAGATTAATTTTCATGTCATGAAAAATTACAGATCATGCTTGTCGACTTCTAAAAAGCCCGTAGACAAATCATCTTTCACTGGCTACTCGAGGTTTTAGTAAGCGAGATGGAATTGTGCTAGGTCCTATCGAGCCGGTCAGTTTGTGTAAAGTTTCACGCTATTAAGCTATCAGTTTAATGTCACTATTGATGTTAATGTGAAATTACATCATCTGATAAGCCTTATAAATCGTGTCACCTAAAAGCTTCCTCCGCTCATTTGCCTCAATATGATCTCAGTATTTCTACCAATTTCACTTCGAGTGTGATGCAAATCAAGGTACTGGTTCCTCGAAGCGCTCATGCGGCTCTCGTCACAGATCCCATGAAACCTCCTCAGGCGGGGCTGGGAAGTAAATATATCGGTTCCTAAGTGCTAGCGGGGACGGTCTTCCTCGTGCAGGTTCTGTTGTCACGTCCTCCGCACTCCAGCACAATACTATGATTTTTCCCACGAACGCCAATTCTTCGATGATATTTGCACACAGTAAAGTAAATTTGTCTTTTCAATTAGCGGCAGGTCCTAGCGATTCAAACCGCTACCTTCACAACTTCATTTTGAGGTAAAACGCAAATCATCGAATTCTCGCGAAATGCATTGCATTCAACACAGTGTCCTGTTAGGTGTGGGACACGTCACCACGAATAAAACGGTATCTTCGAATTCCAAGATCCATCATTCATTATATTTATGAGTCGTCCGCACAAAAGAAAAAAAGCACTATTATCCACAGCCGGTTCAAGTGCTAGACATTTTCAAGGTTATGCTGCTACACGTTTTCTTCCTCATTGAGTCCTTATGCTGCAATATAAGCAAGATATCTTGCAGGACCTGTCAACATGCATCGAACATAATTAATTGTGCCTCCGGATGACCCGTCTTGTAAGAATAATAGATAATTAGCCCCGCACGCGGAAACAGCCAGGCAGGCTTCACGAACTTCTTCATCGTTGCACTCCATTCAAGGTGGCTTCTTCCAAAGCTCATGCTACATGATCATTTAACGGCTATAATTCTTATTTGAGCTATACGTTCTTAATGACAGCGGCTGCTTTCTTGGCCTTTTCAGATTTGTTTACCACCGGAATTAATTTTCGCAGTCAATGTTTTCAAAACGCACTTTTTCAAAACATTGAATTTGTAGAAATGAAGAAAAATGAAAGACATCACCGTTAATTGAACTCATCGAATTAAAGATCATTCTCCACTGAATTGAAAAGGCAACCAGGAACATAGGAAGTCAGGCTTCCGGTTTGAATCATGGGGAACTTTGCAGATGAGGTGAATGAAGTAGGACAGCTTTTGCTGGTCCAAACGCAGAAAACTTTACAACTTTTAGACGGCTGCATAAATACACAACGAAGTCGATATGACAACCGGATTCGCAGCGACAGAAAGCTGGGTGGATTGCAGGATGGCCTCCAGCATTATTATACATATTTGGGGCAGCTCAATACGCTGTATTGTAGGACTCTGGAACTCGCTAATCGCGATGCAGAGCAGCATATCAGCGAATCCAGCATCCGCGAGCTGGTTGCTGATTTCGAGGCAGCAACCGCTAGATTGGATTTCCAAACTTCTCTCGTTCCAGACCTCGAGCTTTCCCCCGCATCTATAGCATCCTTTGAGCCCCGGCCGCTCAAAATCATCCAGCGGAAAAACCGGGAACATCAACTGTCACCCACAAAACTCTCGGCAAGGCAAAGCATGATCTCGACGGGTTCTCGCCGTTTGAGTGATAGCAGCATCATAAGCTCCAAACTGCGAACAAATGCGGATCCTACTATGCTAAGGCCCCGCTCTGTAAGTCCCCAGGGGCTAGTCTCTGAAAAGACCGATATGCGTATTCTCAGGGGCGCAAAATCATGCGATACTGGCCTTAACAAACAAAGCAACCCTCATGAGAACAGATTAAGTTTCTTCCGAGATCGGCAGCGATTGTCGATCTCGTTTTTCGAAGATGATGAATACTCCTCAGACGAAGAAACAATAATATCTCCTAGCCCAGCAACGTCTCCCCTTTGTCTAGACAGCGTTTTTTCAAAGCCTGGTACGGATTCGCTACGAAACTCAACTCTCAAGAAGAGTCTTCAGGCCCGATCTCAACTTTATTCCCAGAAAATTACTGCGCCTTCGTTTTCTCGACTTCTCCCGTCGAGACAGCCCATTGTGCAGTGCGGAATCACTCCCATCGACCACATCCCTCAAATTCATGGGCGGGTTACCAACTCCAATACAAACGGATCTAGAGACTTGTTAGCCAAGTATGCGCTACCTGAACCCAAAAAAGGAAAGCTTGACGGGCGAATTGAGAATAAACATACCAATCGATTTTTCGGCTCACTAAGGGCTTTGAACAACCAAGTGCTGGTCACTTCGGAGACAGGGCTAGAGTATTCAAGCGAATATTCAACTACAAAACTCATAGGGCAGGGACGAAAGCCGGAAGTGGCTAAAAGGCCTTCACGTTCTTCGGGTAGCATATTAGTTCACGGCCCAAGCGGCTCTCGATTTATTACTCCTCCAAGTCACACAGAGCTGCATTTCAAAGTATCTCATGACGCTTTGCGGGAAGCTTTGAATACAAATTTACATAGCTAGATTAACTAGATTTTGATCAATAAGCTGCTTCACGTCTCAAAACTACCCTCATTTCGAGCACGAAACAATGGATCCGTTGAACTATTTTGTCTGGCCGCCTTAGAGCGCAATTTCACTGCCTTTTTACCAGCCGCCAGCTTTCGAGCTCGTCCCAAGTACGTAATAGACGCCCTGCTGGAGCCTGCAACTTTGTATGATGTTGCTGACTTGACCGTTTTTTGTCCTTCTTTGAACATTTCGCTTGCTTCTTTGTGATGTTTGAACCTACTGAAAATTGTGCCTGACTTCCTTTCAAATACAGGTTGTTCTGGGTCGTCACCGGTTGTAACATTCGAATCCGACCAAGTGCTTGAAAAGACTTTTATGCGACTTCGCTGCTTCAGACTGTGCAAATCCAGCTCACCATCGTCGTCTCCAGGCCGTGAAAGAATACCTGAAGAAGCCTCTTTCACCACGGTTTGGGACTCCTTGTCTCGAGATGTTAAGAACGAGAGTGTCTGTTGAACAAATGCTTGAGAAAGAGTGGTTTTCTTTTTTGAAACAATGGAATCTTGGGTAGAACGGTCACCAGCATTTTCCTTGATCTCAAGCTCATCTTCGCTTAGAAAATTCACTTTGTCATCTAAACCTTCTACGACACTTTCAAAAAAAGGTTTTGCCCTTGGATTTGTTAGCGCGGTACCATTTAAGGCGCTCGAGCTCAATTTTTGCCTGAAATCTTCTTTTCTTCTAGCATGATATTTTAAAAGCTCGTCGTCTTCTCCATCGCTTAGCTCAAGGTCAAGAGCCCCGCGACCACGTTTCCTAAACCCGCCACTTTCAATGTCATGTAGAATTTTGTTCACCATATCTTTATCCTTGTTTATATCATCCTTGATCAGCTTTTGACGAATCTCGTCGGAATTTGAATTTGAGTGTGAATAGTCATCGATCATAGCCTCAAGTTCTGAGTCGTGTTCATCTGATGCTTCTCCGTCAGCGCCTCCCACTCCGAACCATTCATCTTCAGATTCTTCGGCTTCCATTTCCATCATTTCATTAACCTTTCCGTCACGCATCTTCTTTATACGCATCGCGCGCTTTGCTTCTCTTTTCTGTTGTCTTTCCATGATTTTTTGGATTTTCATCTTTAGAAGTTCCGTGTTTGGAGAACCCACCTCAGATGTCGTGTTATTCAAGGTCTTCTCCTCAATGTTTTCCATGTCCGGTAAGAGAGTTTTTTTCAAATCCATAACTTCTGTCCTTCGGAGACTGCTGTCCATTAAAGGGTGTGGGATGTTATTTCCATAGGCGCCAAGATCAATTACGTTTTTATTTGGCCGTTGCTGAGGATCCTCGCTGTCCGATTCGGTGTCTCTTATTTGTAACTTTTTGCTTTTTCTGGAAAGCCGGATACTTTCTTCTTGTCCTTCTTCTCCTTCTTGTCCTTCTTCCTCTTCTTCTTCCTCCTCTTGTTGCCAAGCCCCCTTTCGGCGTCCTTTTAATTCTGTTCTTGGAGCCTCCGCGATATCTCTTTTGTGTTCTTCATGTGCTCCGACAATCTCCTCGTCATCATCTGAATCGGTTTCATGCATTTCAGTGCCCTCGGTGAAAACATCTTTTGGGCCATTTTTGGAACTTTCATGGATATCTTGACTCCCGTGCATGGCATCTTGTACTGAGTACGTGTCGTCAGAATCGCGGTCAATATCACTGTTATCCTGATCGGATACCTCACCTTCAAACTCGTTATTGCTAAAATCAAGATCGCTGGACGCGCTGTCACCGTTCTCGTTGGGGCTTTCCTTCTCCTTCTGCCGTTCCAATTCTCGCTGTCTAATCCTTTTATTCCTTGCCAGCTCCCTTTCCAGCAGGGATTCAACCGATTCTTTTTCATCAGCTATTGCCGCGAGATCAATGCCATTTGATGTGAGCTTCCCTTTCCGGTAGTCCATTATCTGTTCTTTATTGGCCTTTCGCAGAGTGGTAAACAGAGTTTTTAGAGATGCTGATGCTGAAGAGGTTTTGCTGCGATCTATCTTCGATTTTTGCCTCCTCTTAGAGAGACGTGCCTTCAAATCAAATACAGCCGCTTTTGAGCCCATTGAGTAAGTTTTAATTGGGGTTTCCTCATCGGAGCTCGAAGAAAGAGCAATGATTTCCTTTTCCTGAAGCTTTTGCCGCAAAACCCCCTCGTAAACTTTTAAAGAACGAAGGCCCTGTTCATTTTGTGGGTCCGATGAGCCAATTGGGGTCTTTTTTATATCTATCTCGACCTCATCTTCGTCCATCTGTGAAGTCTGCAGGGCTGTGTCACTGTCAAAGTTGGCGTTGCCCTCGTCGCTATCAGAGGAATCATCGAATCCATCTACAAAATTGCGCGATGTGAATTTGTTACCAGCGACTGCTTCTTTCTTCATAGTATGATGGTCTCTCATATTTTTATTTTCGCTTAGATTGTCTTCGCGGCTCTCAGCTTCAGCTTCATCATGCGACAGCAGTTTGCTGGCCGTCAATGCTAAGTTAGCATCAATATCTTGAACAGTAGCTTTCAAAGTATTCTCGTCGATATCCATGTTATGGCAACTTGGCGTTGGGTCTCGTTTTGTCGATTCAAAGTCGTCGTCACTACACTCAGCAGCTGATTCCATAGGCAGAATTTGAGTATCGAGGCCCGGGCTATCCTCATCCCCGGTGGTGTCAGGCTGGGGCAGGACGACTTGAGTGGCATCATTGCTAGCTGAGGTGACGCCAATAGTGTGAGACTTGAGATTTAGTCTTCTCTGTGCTTTTTGTGCGTGGTTGTCACGGGAAGATTCGACACTGTCGCGCTGTTTTGGAAAATCCTGTTCTAAGTTCTCGCCATCGTAATCAAGGATGATTTTTTGGGTTGGAGCAATCCTGTGGTCTTCTAAACCATGCTCTGGACTTTCTTGAGCATTCTCTTTATCTTTCTCATTTCCATACAACCTTTCTCTGGCACTCTTGAATACGGAGTTATTGTTGAACAGAAACCCTGTTCCACCTAATGCAAAGCTATCTTCTTGCTCAATGCTTTCCAGCCTTTTCGCCAAACCTGTTGTGAGAGGTTTCTTAATGCTCAGATGGTCAATGAGATCCATGTTGCGATGAGTTGACTTGCTGAAGCTTCAGTTCATCGAAGAGAAGGAACGCGTAAACTTGATTATTTTTTATATTTTCAAATTTGGCGTCAACTATACCTTTCTCAATATACAGACACGCACGAGACCAAAAAGCTCTCTAACACGAGTATTTCAGCTTTCTCGCAGAAAGGTGTAAAATGCTATGGTGGTGATGTTGATTCCTATTTAATCGCCAATTTGTACTTTCCAGCTCTATAATACTTACAGTTTCTTTTTTTCAAGCCTTGGACTTCTTCTTTGACTCATCCTTGGCGTCGGCCCCGCTCCTACTTCTTTTCTTTGAAGATCCCTGATACTCTGACTCCGAAGGAGCTTCGTAATCTTTGGCTCTCTCCTTTTCCTTCTCCACTTGCTTCAAAGCCTGTTCTTTCTTGCGTTCGTCTAGCTTTTTGGCATCTTTCTCTTTTTTGCTCAAGAAATACTCACCGCTCTCAATTTGCAAGTCAACCTTTCTAGGCAGCTGCGCAGGTGGGAAGGGGGTGTAAACCTTGGTTTCTTTGACTTTGACGTTCTTAGGCTTTTTACGAGCGACATTTCTTTTCTTAAACATGGGCAGAAACCGCGACCAGTCCTCCTCCGCCAAATCGGGGCGTTTGGCGAGCTCTCTCTTAATCATGAGTTCTTTGATATGGTAGATTGGATGCACATTTTTCATGCAGTCTTCGACTACTCGACGCACTTCTTTCAAGCCCTTGAAAGGGCCCATCGCGCTTACCGTGTTACCTTGGACAAGCACATAGCATTTGGTGAGTAGTTCAAGCGCCTTCAAAGTGTTACCATTTGGTCCCACCAGACGTTGCCTTCTTTTAACAAAACGCTCTTTATTGCTTACGAAATTGCCGATCTTAATCACGTCGCAGGCCATGTCATCCTGCAAAATCTTGACAGCCTGAGGAAACGGCACCGAACGAGCGAGAAGCTTTATGAGATCTCTGGCCTTAAGTATGACTGCTGGATCAAATGTTTTTCTCGTTGTTTTCACCGTCATCGAGCCTTCCACCAAATCCAATACGCACGATACATGGAATTTGTCTAATGCGCGGGTGACGTCGTTCCATACTGACCTTAGGTAAACTTCTCTGTATTTTGGAAAAAGAGTCATAAAGCTGGACTCCTCTGAAAATGGTAAACCGGAAGCATTGTCTTCCGGAAGAAATTCAGCAATCGTCCATTTGTCGATGTCAGGCGTGTCCCAAGGTTTATCTTTGTTGTGAGTGGAGGGCATCGTGAAACTTTTGAATCGTTTGATTCTAACTTTACCGCCTGCAGTGGGTCGAGAATAAGACGAACCTTGTGAATTAATAGTAGCACTACAGTGATGTTACGATAAACTTTGAAAAGCGCCTTCACAAATCGACCATCTCTGCGATGAGATGCGATGAGATGAGATGAGCACACTCGTAAAAATTTTCCTCAAATTTCAATATCACATGACTACTTTTTTTTTGTTTTAATTTGAATTTATTTTATTTTATTTATCTTTTTTTCATCAAAAATGCTCTTAATTGACATTTTTCAATATTCGAATGGTTGTGTATGCGATGAGATGAGCTTCTCATCAAGAGTTCCAGTTACAACAACTGCTGAAGCTTTAGAGTGCTTAAACCGCATGAATCATCGAGTTGTGCCTCCGACATCCACTACATCGATAGACTATTGAGGTGCACTGTCAAGTTATGAAGGGGAAAGTCTCTGGCAAAAAAAGCGCTAAGCTGAATTCTAAAAACGTCTCGAAAGGTGGTATTAAAAAGCAGCAACGAATCAAAACCAAGCTGAGAATCGAACAAGTGAACAAAGAGTCGTTCCTACTCTCTGAGCTCAACGAGAGAGAAACCAAGAAAAATGTTAAGCCCTGCCCTGAAGCTCTAAAAGTCAAGAAATTGTTGAAAGATCAGCAGAGAGACAAAAATACGCAGGAGGCATTTCAGCAAGAAAAGAAAAATACCGACGACCATATGCTGCGGCAACTCGAACAAATCTCGGGGTTTTCTCTCTGAAACCCTTTACGATGCGTGATGCAGGGGGTAGAGTGAACGTTGCTCGAGTTCAATGAAAAACGCAAAAGCTGTTTTGCCCTCTCCTTCCGCTATCTTGCTCGACTAAACTTAGCTCCCAGGTTCCTGACAGAGCCGTGCCGTGATATACTCTTAGCTAGGTGAGAAGGCCCCCCCTCGCTGCTGCAGTTTTCGCCATGAGGCTTCCCCATATAAAAATCTGGGACAACCGCCCTTGCTTATTGCGTTAACTAGACATGACTGATAGAGTATGTTACATTTTTGCAAATACGTAAAGAATGTATATTGATGGATCATTTGATGGTCGCCTATGCTGTTGGCTGCCATGCTTTTGCGATAGAAAATGTCTACGCTTTCACAGTTCTCAAACCGGCAGAAGAACGGAAAATCGCGTCACCCTCAGCGTAGCCCCGACCGAGCCCGAATCCAATGCCGATCCACACTGGAAATGCACGACGTCTGAAAAATAACACAGAGGCCACTACACCGGCACCTAATCCAAGACCGGATTTGACCACCAAATTCGAAAGGACAACATCCCACTTATCATTAAGTAGCGATCTGCTAGCTGGTGATACTTTCACTTGCTCGGACATGGTGATATGCTGGGTATATTCAAGATCTTAGCGTCGAGCTGACACTTACGTACTGGTTCAATCTGCCTGTTACACCTGTAGGCGAGGCCAAAATTTTCCAATTTGTATATCACTTTCGAATACCGGGTAATGCAAGAAACTTTAGGTCATAATGATTGGCCATAATCAAAGCGCTGGCTAGGAACTAAGACGAATGTGTGTCTTGGCAGCACTTGAAAGCTCAGTGCTAAGACGCCGTGGCGCAAATATCTATTGTTCCGCTATTCATTCAACGTACTTATTTTGAATGTCTTTATTAACTTAAGTCGGTTTTTGTCAACCATCAGCACTGCCCTAACAACTCTGCAAGCCAGAGCTGTTTGTCCCTCATCTGTGTGTAGGCAAAACTTTAGAAGAGTAATCGCTTAAACTTTCATGTCTTCTGTGATAAAGTCGCGATGCAGTATGCAATCCGAATAGACACGCTTCTTGGAAATTGAAGCAATCGCCCTTTTCAGCCCTCTTGACGTTCTTGAATGCGTTGTGCTGATTGCGACGACTTAATATCTCGCGAGTTTCACAACACTGTGTAACAATCTTGAAGTCTCTAGAAGGAGGTTTCTCTTTAGGACGGAGAGGCAGCAAGGAAAAGGAACTTCAAGATTGTGAAAAATCCGGAAATTCTGTCTAGGAACTTTTTCCATCTTTCGCTAACGCCGAGCTTAAAAACATCAACCATTACCACGAGCAGATAGGCAGACGTCTGCAGTAACTCTATCACTGCAATTCGAAGTTTCTTGTCTATTTCGTCGATCTTGTTAGAAATCTTTTCGAGCAATATTTTCCTGACCGAGTTAGGAGCACCTCTTCTAAACTTCAGTTCCTCTGTTCTTAGTTTTGATCTTGACGCTGCAAGTCGAACAATCTCGCTCAGACTCTTACGAGACGATAAAATCAATGACACCAACCACAATTTGGAGTATAGACCCGTCTTGTTGAGCCGCTGGTAGATCTTGCTCTGCTCTCCAATGAAGCCGAAACTCTTCAATAGGTGTAAATCGTCGAATAGACCAGCGAGAAACTCAAGCCCTGTAATCAAGGTACCTTCAACGTCGCGATACCTTTTCTCCGAATCCGATGCGTCGACAACATCGAATAACTTGCTTATTCGGAAAATTTGAGACAAAGCATTGTATTCTGCATCATCTGTGCTCATTCGTACCGTCTGTTTTCACGCATTTAGTCTCTTAAACGGTTTTAGGACAGAGCTCTTCGACATCAATGTCCTTAAATCAAGAAAATCTCATGAATCTTCAGATGTCATGTGATCAGTATCAAAAGATCCTTTACTAACACTTCGAGCTTTGCAACGCTCTTGCCTCAATGTCATCATCTGCTAACCAAAACGAACCGTGTTCTTCGTCGTCCGTCAAAGGAGGATCTTTTTCGAAATTAGCATAGGAAAAACCCTTGCATTCATTTCCCTCGTTGAAACCGTTGTGCTCTGTGTAACTTTTAGAGCACTGATAAAAATAGCGTCCTCTTTTAGCAGGGTCCTTAAACATTCTGCGTAAATCCATGGGAGAGCCGCATAGTCTGCAAAAGATGGGATCCTTGATGAGATAATTTCTGTAGGTAATGTTTATTCTCCTAGCGCCAGCGGTCGGATGTAGGTCCTCCGTAGGAATTCTATACTTTTTCGGCAGAAGAGGGACGCAGTGTTTGTACTCTTCCTGAAAGCCAGCGTGCATTATTACCAACGAGTTGTGTTGCGGCTTAATGGAAAAGATTTGGGAGTCCGAAGGATACACCTTGCGGACCCTGAAGTCGCGCGAAAACCCTAGTGACAGAGACGCTATGATCGGGTGAGGGCCGATGTTAGTCATGCGGTCTGAATGCCAATCTAAATTGCTGTCCTTCTCGTATTTGTTGGAAAACGCGGCCTGGGCCTCCCATTGGCCGGATTTGGCTTGGAAAGGAAGTCCGATTCTCTGTGAGAGCGCATTATTGACTACGTCCTCGATGAGAACCTGAGCCAGCATCATTTCGTTGCTGTACACGCCGTAGTCGGTCACCTCTCTTCCGTTGTAGTAAAACACATCTGACGGTTTCGCTGGCATGAACATGCGAGACTGATGGTTCGAGGTACACTTGTTACCGAAAAGGTAGAATTCTGAAGCCTTGTAGTGCGCATCGTTCAAAGTCTGGTGCAGCAATTTTTCAGCAAGATCCTCCGGCAGCACATTGGTGTGGTACGTGCAATATTTCAAGGACGCTTCTATCTCGCTTTTAGCGTAAAGCGTAATAGGTTTCGACGAATGCGTTGTACGGACCGCACTGTGGGGCGCTTTTATGAAACGCGACAGCGTCTGTTGTGGTTTGAAACGTTTAATGGAACGTTGCGTTTCTTCTCCAGACCCCAGTAAAGTCCTGGTCCGTTTCAAGGAGCCGTCGCAGCTCACTAGCACGTCCAAGAGCCCTGCAGGATCGTAGTCTGGGAACATGCGACGTAATTCTACTAACTTTTCATCCGTCGTTCGATCCATCGTGATGTTTCATTCTATAATACTACAAAATCACAAAAGTGAATATTACTATTGGCCATTCTTCGAAGCGTCTCTTACGCTCTCTAGCCTGAGTCCTCAACTGGTGTAAACTGTTGATTCTCAACCACGGTTTAGTAGTGTGCGTCTAGCGTAATTAACTATATAGGTTCTCTCTATTAGTAAAATCAAATTTCTGCGACATTATGATTTTCGTCCACGATGATATTTCTTAAGGGCACGCACTTACAAAGAAACGGGTGAGACGAAAATTCCTTGCTTGCACAAACCACCTTTTCAAAGATGTCAAACAAGACAAAACGTTGTTAGAAGACGGATAAAACAGTTCAACGATTTGGCAAACGTCCAATGTTCATAAGCAGAAATTGAATGCGAAGTTTGGCGCGACGTTGAGTATGGATTCTCGGCGCGATGAGGTTTCCGAGAAGCAGAAGAGCCGGATCTTACAAACGAAAGATGGTTGCGAAGTACATATTGATTAAGCTTGGCTAGTGCTTGCGACTACTACTGGATGGTAGATTGCTACTCACCAGGAAGGTGCATTGCTGGCGATGATATCTCTACGTTTGTGGTGGCACACGACTGGACATGCGGGAGTTTTTGTTTCGCATCAGATATCGATGCAAAAGCGGTTTGTGAATGTCAAGGTGGCAAAACGCACGTCAGAGCCAGTAGTTCTCCCCGTCTACAAAATCCTCTTTTACAGACTCACACTTCGTGTGTTTTTCTGTTGTCATCTGGGCCATTTTCACTCGCCATCGCTTAGGGCGGTGGTGGTGCCATCCGCTTCTTCTGCTATAACGAGCGCCCCACCATAGTGGAGACCCAAGAGGAAGAAAAAAAAGAATAACAATGATCAAGGTCACGGGATCTCCAACGGGCCTCCAAGGTCGCGTGACTTGTTAATGTCCACGTGGATGTCACGTGCGCCTGTTTCCACCTCTCAGTCCTCATTATGGGGTCCACCACCAAGCCCCTCTGGCGACACCTTGGGATCGTGCTTTTGACTCCATACCGGTCTCTTTCTGTTCGTCTCGTCGCACTGTGTACTGCAGTGCTAGTCTCGTGTGTATAGCTCCCGTAGTTGGCGTGGCAGACTCACTTTAATGTGTTTGTGCCCGCCTCCCAGTTTCTTGTGGTCTTGTTGGCTTCTATTTGCCACCCTGCTGTTCCCGAAAAGGGCCGTTACCCTGTCAGAAACGTGATCTGCAGCCAATAAGAGGTCTGTATTCCGCGGTCATTTTCTTTGCGAAAAAAACATATTTGTAGTATCCGTTTTTCATCGTCTTACTCACCACTTTTCTTCCAATTCTGAAAGATTTTAAAAAAAAAAAATTAGGAAAAAACCCAATCCTTGTGTCATTCTTGACGACAATCCGGAGATCCCCGAAAAATTTATAAAATTTTTTCTCGCTTTCCGGTTACCCTGAGTTTGTCGCATCACCTGCTGCTACTTGTTTGAATTTACTCGGCGGCTAATTGCACTACTACTGTCTTCTTGCAACGCACTTGTGGCCAACACAGCTAGAGAAGTAAGACAAGGGTTTGTTGTTTCGCGTTTTTAGGTTCCTGCAATATTTTGTGTGTGCCACGCATCAACCCTTATATTTGTGTCCTACTTCTCCCCAGTTTGACGCCTTAACTGCGCAGTTCAAACCCCAACGGAATTGACATGGAGTTTCACACCAAGCGGTCGCGTGCCGCTTTAGGATCGGCCCCAGAGCCTTTGCCACCCAAGCGCAGGGCCTTGAATGTTGTGCCGTCCTCACCACCTTCCGTCTCGTCGCGTGGCATGGCCCATGTTCCACGCACGTCGATCCGTGCCGCCAAAAACGACAGCTCCTCTCGGAGATTATCGGCGACATCCAGCGACGAGTCCGATGTATCAGAGCGTACGGGTTCCTACCGCATGAGTTTCTCAAGAAAACCTGCAGTGCACTTCAAGGCTTCTCCTCGTGTAGATCCAATTCTTTTCGAAGCCGTATCTCGGTACTCGGATTCTGAAAACGAACCAGACGGCAACACTGCATGTCTGGTACCGAAGGCTACCCCTGTAAGCAACGTGCAACACGAACTGGGGCTGCCTCAAGAAATAGCTGCACCGCAATCCAATCCATCAGAAGACTACCAGCAGGCCCTCGAAAATGCATGTGCGCTCGAAAAGCGCAAATCTCCCTCTAGACATGCGTCGTTTTCGTCCATCATTCGCAAGCAGACCATTCCACATTCAGATTTAGAAGCTCAAGAAAGATGTTTCGACTATTTGCTGCAATCCATCGACGAGGTGTGGGCGCGCTACTGCAATGAAACCTCGACAGCGGAAGCCAAAGTCTACGACAGTATGTGCAAACCACGACACGTATGCTCGCCAGAGTTTTCTACACCCTCTGCAGAAGATTTCAGTGTAGCGCATACGTCCAACCCTGGCTCTCCACAATACAAACGCAGTTTTTCCTTCACCTCTGTCAACCGAAATGGCCTCTCTTACTCCGACGATGACAGCGATGACACAAGCGGCTACAAATCCGAGGTGACGAATCCAACCGAATATGAGACTGATTGCGATTACCGCAAAATATCCAAGCTTCCAGATTCGGTTCGGCTGCAGTCGCTCAAAGACCGTCTTTGTAGAGCGAAAAACGATTTAGAAGCATTGCATGGCTCCAGTTGTTACGAAGAATGCGCTAGATTTTGGAGAAGATGGGATATGATAAAATATGGGGCTGTGGAGATGATGGAAGAAGATGACGAAGACGAAGTAATCGAATCCGTGATTGACGAATTGGAAAGAGGTCGCTGTTTCACCAGTTAAGCGGCCAGAGGTTCTTTTATTCTGGTCTTCTGACCTTCTTTTCGCAGAAGAGACAGAAAGACTTCCGAGCGCGCTTACTGGTTGAGCGTGCACGCGCATTACGATATTGATATTAAATGGAATTACGGTGTTATTGTTTTAAGCATGTAAATTAGAAGTGTAACTTTTACGACTCAATGAATTTAAAAAATATGACGTTCGCACGTATAAATGTATGCGGATCGTTTGTTGGGGTTGAGCTTTGGGTTCCTCCGAAGCTGTAGCCTAGTCTTGAGATTACAGCTGAAACTATGATTATAGATTGCTGCCCGCACTGCTTTGAACAGTTATAATCGGAATGACGAAAAAAGCTACCATTTCATACTGTTTGGGACAACTGAGTGACATGTTTACAGAACCAATTAGTCTCTACAGGAATTAATTTAGTCAGGCCCTGCGTAACTTCCAGTATATTGATTGAATAGAAACAAATGAAACCGAAACATGAAATATCGTAATATGAGACATTGTCATCTATGAAACATAAAATCCTCGTCTTATCCGTACCTTTATCATTTTTAGAATGGTCGCCTTTACCAACGAGACTTTAACTGACACTTAGTGTGTCATCGGCAGCTCCCTGGTTTACAACGAACCAGGAAGTAGGTTTTTAAAGCAGTAAAAGTTCTGTGAGAAGCTGACTCAATTTCAGTCTTCCCACAACATAATTGGTGTCAGTCATTTCTAAAGAATTAACTATCACCGTGTATTATTTAGCTATTCATCAAGATCATTAAGTTTCCTGAGGCAGATAGGAGATAAGATAGACATTTTTGATTTCAATGTGTCACTTTTCCAAAATGTCATTGAAATCCTCATCTTCAAACTAATTGAGTATTCGCACTGTTTGTAACAAGCTTCTTACAGATTCAAAACGCGTATTTGATGCTGAAAAGATGTGCCGGTTCTGTAATGGGTAATTCCGTATCGATGGATTGTAGAGGTGCCGTAGCATTTGTTACATAATGAAACTAAACTTATGTTTCAAATCCTAAAATCCATACAACTTGTGGCACATAAAAACTGAGCGCTTCGCTCAGCAATGCAGAAACATTTGATGATTCGCTGATCAACCTGAAATGCACTCAACTCATATCTCAATCAAGAGCGCCAACGAAAACTCGAAAAAAAGAAGAGGCAATCCACTCAAACCCGCGGCCCAAGTTCATAGTAACGACCATACTGAGCACTATGTGCACACCAGCCTTCCGCCTCAGAAATTCGTCAAAAACTCTCAGAATCAAGTTGAGGGATACCCCAACCTTCAGAAGCTATTTCGCTTGAAGGAAAAGCACGTTGCCCGACATGCCACGAAGCCGTATGGATGTAGGGTTAACATAGACGAAATGAGTTCCACCTTGAATAATTGGATTCATTCGGACAAACTAGTGTTTGAAGTCGTTATGATAGGGTGTCTCACAGATAATCAGTTTATATACCCGCTATTGACTTCTCTTCCAATAGATAGGCTGATATCGAAACCAGGTTTTCTATTTATCTGGGGAAGCGCTCAGAAAATTAACGAGCTAACCAGGCTCTTGCAGAATGATGGATGGGCAAAGAAATTTAGAAAAAGCGAAGAACTGGTCTTTATTCCAGTAGACAAAAATTCCCCTTTCTACCCTGGTCTCGATGACAATGATGAGGCTCTTTTTGAAAAAATGCAATGGCATTGTTGGATGTGCATAACAGGGACTGTTCGCAGGGCTACTGATGGCCATTTGATACATTGTAACGTGGATACGGATTTGAACATCGAATCAGAGAACTTGCAAAATAGCGCTATCCCAGCTCATCTTTATAGGATTGCCGAAAATTTCTCAACTGCAACGAGAAGGCTCCACATCATACCTGCAAGGACAGGCACCGAAACTCCTGTTAGAATGAGGCCGGGATGGGTGATAATGAGCCCCGATGTCATATTGGATAACTTTGACAGCGTCGCTTATCAGGCAGAAATAGAGAGGCTCGGCACACATCTTCCCCCGCGTAGTGAGATCGAGGCTCTCAGACCAAAGAGTCCAACTCAGAGAAGGGGTCCTTGACCAGCCATCTTTCTTTTGTTTTGCATGAATCAAAATCTGTTAAACAGTTCCGTTTTCAGGTACGTCTATTTACCAATATAGTGTCTGGAAATGCATATCGCAATGTGCTAAAGAAGCTTATGATTTTTGATCATTTGAACCACTTGCTGACACCCTCCTTCACCGGAGTCAACAAACCCTTTTGGTGAGGGACGTATTCAATACGATGGTAAGAGTTGATGTTTTTTCTCAACACGATTTGGAAACAAGTAGCCGATCCCTGTCTTGAGATAATGGTAGACGTGGCAAGAAAGTATTCCCAGATTCTAAACCACTTGATACCATATTTGTTAATGACCAAGTCCTTATTACCCATCCAGTTTCTGTACCATCTCCACAAGGTTGCAGAGTAGTGGACACCAATGTTGTCGATCGAAACCACCTCGTATCCAGATCCTTCTAACTTGGCAACGACAAAGTCCAAAGGTGTAGAAGCATCAGCACCAGGGAAGATATACTTGTTCATGAAAAGACCCCAAATGAGATCTTCGTACTGCCAGGATTTTCTCAATCCGGCAATTTGCAAAAAAAAGAGACCATCATCTTCCAACATGTTATAAACTTGCGTGAGGAAAGAACCGAATTTTCTAATTCCAACGTGTTCAGCCATCTCCAAACAGGTAATCTTATCATACTTCTTGCCTTCAGGGGTAGCCAAAGGAGTATCTCTGTAGTCGGCACAAACAATGCGAGATTGAGATTGTGGAATTCCTTGAAGTTCTAGCTTACCGTTGCCCCACTTGGTTTGGTTTCTTCCCAGAGTTATACCCGTAACTTTAGCATTGTAGACTTTAGAAGCATATGTAGCTAAAGTGCCCCAGCCACATCCTAGATCTAGCAGATATTCTCCTGGCTGTAGGTCAATTTTGTCACACACAATTTTCACTTTATTGTCCTGCAGTTGTTCCAAAGTCTCTTCGGTAGTGATGTCAGACACCACACCGCTAGTATAAACCATTCTCGAGCCCAAAAACCATGCGTAAAAATCATCGCCTCGGTCATAGTGGTCTCTGACCTGTTCTTCATCCTGCGACCTAGTGTGTAAAATTACCTCAGGGATCATGCCCAACAAAAAGAATCTGAATAGTGACAAGGTGAAGGAAAATTGAGCCCAGTCGTGTCTGTATTCCAAGATTTCGAGGGCGTCCCCGTTGAAGGATACTTTGTTGGCAAAGTACAATTCGTGGAAAGTCTCCATTGGAATTTTCTTACCATGGTATTTTTTAGCCAGCTTTTCGTCGTGGAATGTCAGGTAGTGCTCAATTGGCTTTCCCGGGAATTGGGCCTTCTCATTCAAACGAGGCGAATAAGTGGATGCGAGTGTCCAGTAGGCCATGAGGATTGGCAAAACGAACAACAGGAAAAAGAAAATGAACGTTTTGATTCCACCACCTAGTTTTCTGGTAACATAGAATGGGATACCAGTCGTAAGTGCAAGAACGATCAAATTGGAAAAATGTTTTGAGCCCGGACCGTCAGCTGGCAAAGGTGCATTCTTGATAGCAGGTGAATCAGATGTCCTCACACCGTATTTGGTGTTGGAAGGCTCCGGCTTTGAGGCAGCAGGTGTGTCGATGAACTCAACACCTTCAAATGGAAAGGAGGTCATGTTGAATGGGTTCGATTGGGAGATCGAATCCTATTTCAGCGCAGTTGAGTGGAACGAGCAGATGGTACGAGTGCGCTTGAAAAAGGGCTTTGCACAACAGGATCTCGAAAAAATATATGTGTTTTTTCGCATCTCGAGAGGATCATTATTTCATAAAAAGTCGTTGTTTGTAGATTCGTAGAATAGTTGTGATATCGACTAACTATACTGCCGAACAAGAGAGACAGATCAATGAAAGCGATTCCGATGGATGCACACGCAGATAGTTAGGCATTTTTTGTGGTGAAACGATCTGTATAATTTGATATTAGTCCCATTGGAAATTCTCTCAATTTCTTAATTGAGTGTCTTGCAACGCAAGCTCGGGAATTCAAGCGCAGTTGTGTGTGATTCCCACATAACGATGGATGATAACAACGTGCACGGGAGTCGGACACCAGTGATTATTCGTTCAGTGAGTTTCCTATCCTGTTTTAGTGTCCATGACGACAGCATAAAGGGTTTTTCCTGTGAATCTCAGCTTCTTTTTTATTTTCTTTTGAACCTCGCCCAGTAACAATTCTTGAGGGCCCAGCGGCAGATATTCACTCAAAGGCTCCATATTGGCAAAGACATTATTCTCGGGGGAAGTAAGATATCGACAAACAGCTGTTGTTCAGCGCTGTCACCGGAATCGATCACTTTTATTTTACCTGTCAAATTGGCAAATGCCAGAGCTCGAAAAATTTTAGCCGATGCGATGAGATGAGATGAGATGAGGGCATCTCTCTAACCTTCGCTACTTTGACGGACAGCAACAGTATCCACGTAAAGCAGCTCTTAGATAGACAGTGACCATGGGTAAAACACAGAAGAAGAATAGTAAAGGTCGTTTGGATAAGTACTATTTCCTGGCCAAAGAGAAAGGTTACCGTGCTCGTTCGTCATTCAAAATCATCCAAATAAATGAAAAGTTTGGTCACTTCCTGGAGAAGTCGAAGGTCGTAATCGATCTGTGTGCGGCACCAGGGTCTTGGTGTCAAGTAGCCTCCAAACTTTGTCCGGTAAATTCCCTTATCATTGGTGTCGATATTGTACCGATGAAATCGATGCCCAATGTGATAACTTTTCAAAGTGACATTACAACAGAAGATTGCCGCTCTAAGCTGAGAGGATATATGAAGACTTGGAAGGCTGATACCGTCATGCACGATGGTGCACCAAACGTTGGTTTAGGCTGGATCCAAGATGCCTACACACAGTCACATTTAACGCTACAAGCATTAAAGTTGGCCGTGGAAAATCTTGTGGTGGGTGGAACTTTTGTTACCAAGATTTTCAGGTCTAAGGACTACAATAAACTGATCTGGGTTTTCGGTCAGCTTTTTGACAAGGTTGAGGCAACTAAGCCCCCAGCTTCGAGAAATGTCTCCGCTGAAATTTTTGTTGTGTGCAAAGGTTTCAAAGCTCCAAAAAAGTTAGACGCAAGAATACTGGATCCCAAAGAGGTTTTTGAAGAGCTGCCCGATGGTCCCCAGAACAATGAGGCTAAGGTTTTCAATCCTGAGAAGAAGGTTAGAAAGAGAGAGGGTTACGAAGAGGGTGACTATCTCCTTTACCACACGAAGCCTATTATGGATTTTGTCAAGACTGAAGAGCCAATCGACATGTTAGGATCCTTAAACAAGTTCACTGTGGATGCAGAAGACCATGAGTGGAAAATTCTGAAAAAATTGAAGCAGACGACGTCTGAGTTTATGGCTTGCATAGAGGATCTCAAAGTTCTGGGTAAAAAAGACTTCAAAATGTTACTGAAGTGGAGAAAAGCTGCCAGAGACATCTTAGGTGTGGATAAGGAGGAAGAACCAACAACGGAGGCTGTACCGTTGACTGAAGAAGAGCAAATCCAGAAGGAACTGCAAAGTCTGCAGGAAAAGCAAAGGCTGAATCAAAGGCGTGAAAAGAGAAAGAAGAATGAGATGAAGCAGAAGGAATTAACAAGAATGCAAATGAACATGTTGACGCCCGCCGATATTGGTATCGAATCAGCGGACATAGGACGAGATGCCATATTCAACTTGAAGAGTGCTGAGAAAACCGGTATCCTCGATAAACTAGCTAAAGGTAAGAGGAGAATGATTTTCAACCAGGATGAGCAATCAAACAATGACGATATTCATATTGCAGACGACGCACCTCTTGGAGAACGTGACGACCTTGCTGAAGCCGACGAATTAGAGGCACAGTTGAACTTCATGTATCAAAACTACAAAGAGAAGAGGGCCGAAAGAGACGCGAACTTCAAAGCCAAACAAGCCCGTGGCGGAGACACGGACGGTGAATGGACCGGATTCAGCGAGAAAAACAATGGCTCCGACGCTGAAGATAAGAAAGACCATGTAAGTGAGGATGAAAATTCAGAACTTTCCGATTCAGATGACGATGAAGCCATTAATAGGTTGATCGCTAATATCAAAGCTCCAAAGCATGCATTGAGCTCCAAAGCCAGAAACCTATTCGATCAATCCATTTTTCAAGGTGTTGAAGCCGACCTTCCAACGAAGCCGGAAGTTCCTGTCGTAGGTGATGCTGACAACGACCCAGCTCTCAAAGAAAGCGAAGAAGAAAGTGAAGATGACGATGCCGGTGCCAATGACGATGGGTTCGAGCTCGTTAGCAGAGAAGACGAAGAGGATCAGAGCATGGATTCGGACTATGATTCCGATAACGAGAAGAAGGAAGCAGAGAAAGGAAAACATTCAGAGGAAATTGACATTGCGACTGTCGAGGCTATGACGTTAGCTCATCAGCTGGCCTTGGGACAAAGAACTAAACATGATTTGGTCGACGAAGGATTCAATAGATACGCATTCCGTGACAACGAAGGTCTGCCCGATTGGTTCTTGGAAGATGAAAAAAGTCACTCCAAAATCAACAAACCTATAACAAAGGAAGCCGCTCTTGCCACCAAGGAGAAGATGAAAGCTCTTAATGCAAGACCAATCAAGAAGGTTGCCGAAGCCCAGGCTAGAAAGAAGATGCGCGCTGTTGCTCGCCTAGAAAAGATAAAGAAAAAGGCAGGTATCATCAACGATGACGCTGACAAGTCAGAACGTGATAAGGCGGATGAGATTGCAAAGCTGATGAAAAAGGTCAGTAAGAAACAGGTGCGGAAACCTAAGGTGACACTTGTCGTGGCTACTGGTAAAAACAGAGGGTTGTCAGGCAGACCTAAGGGTGTGAAGGGTAAATATAAGATGGTCGACGGTGTGATGAAGAACGAACAGAGAGCCTTGAAGCGTATCGCGAAGAAACATCACAAAAAATAGTGACACATTAATGCTCGAAATAAATAGTTGCAACTTGAGGTCGAATTTGGTTTACTTATTTTTTCCTGAATATTTTTATCAGAATGTACAAAGTGGAGAAAAACAAGGTTGCCCAGGTTCCGACCTGAATGATGTCGTACGCCCCTGCAGTTGCCGCAGGGATGTTGACGGTAAACGTCGAAGTATTGAGATGGTTGAAATGGGTGTTATTAGTGAATAGTGAGTCGAATCCTGATGATTTTGAGTAGAATGGATTTTCATGAATGTTGTCGTACTCCGTATCGCAAGCTTGGAAGATAACAGGTGAAATTTTTACCGATTTGTGCCCTCCCAACATTTGGGGCCGGATGTAACGTGTGTGCAAATTGACTTCGTTCACCTTTTCTGGCGTCAGAGCAAGTAACATTTCAATTCCCCAGCTGGAGTCAGTGACGGCATATTCTGGTGCCTCCAAGTCCGTAGCTCCTGCAATGAAAATTGGATTCGACTGAAACTTGTCCAGAAAAAGATCAGCTGGGGTTGTTAAATAGAAGTAGTATCCACAGTTATCAGGTGAGGAGCGGTTTCGCAAGTCCACTGAAAGGGTAGGATGAAGGCCCACCGGCTCCAATAGGTCAACTGGCACCCCATGGCTTTCTGGACTTGTGACGTGCGCCCTTTGGTAAAATAGGTAAGTCTTTCGGCATTGCTCGATTACGCCATTACTATTCCAACTACAGACCGCCCCGTTTAGATGCACATCGATTTCGTCGGGAGATTCCGGGAAAAAGAGTCCGACTTCCAGTTTACCGTAGCTATCAAGGTACTGTATAATCTGATCATGATCCTTTTCGAGCTCATAAAACTCGTCGATTTGAGCCCTCTGTTTTGTGCTATCAAGCGTTATGTCGTAATCTTTTGACTGCCAATCCAAATCGTCAACTTCAAAAATCTCAGCAGGAAGAAACCTGCGCACAAGTTCTTTATCAAAATACCCAGAGTGAAGTAATTGATACTTGGCTGAGTCTATGGCCCTCTTTATATGTGTAAAGGGTTCACCGGTTACGATGTAGACGTTCAGGCCTTCCGTTAAGGGTGCCTCGAGAAAGCTGTTTCGAGTGTTTTGTGAACCTTTCCATGTTATACGCACGTGTTGGAATTCACCGACGTAATCCACAACAGTTCTGTATTGAACTTGTTGGCCGGATCCTTTGATCAGGATGCTTGCTGAGTTATTGGTGCCATGTTGCGAATCGGGTGCAATCTGCTCCAATTCCTGCAGGTTATCGAAAAGAACAGTTATTCTTGTTTTTTTCGTAGTCATTGCAATTGATAGAACCTCTGCGATATGGATGTCGGTTTCGTCGGTGCGCTCGAGGTATCCTTTCTGGTTTTCTTAGGGTAGTGTGGATCTTGAGCTCAACATCTATGTATTCGTGCTTAATATGACGACCCATAGCTAGAAACGGGTATCGTGAGTATCGTCTGTGAGTAATGAGTTACCCATCAAAAGTCATTATCGACGAAACAAGTTAGTTTGAGTAGTTAATTGAGATTCAGATGACCAGCGTCAACGACAGTTTTACCATATAAAATACATAAGAATATTTTAATCCTGATATCACTGGCCAGTGATGAGCTATTATTGAACCAGACTTTGCTTCCTCACCCTAGTGACTCCTTTATTCCAAAGGCTTCCTTATCCCTTCATGGCACCATTGTATAACCGCTATCCGATTGGTGGTATTCAAGGGAAGCCTTTGTCAGTCTACGCGAATTCGCAAACAGTTGCAGGATACATACCGAATAGAAAGCAAATAAATGTCTTAAAAATGTCTTGAATTCTTCTTGGGAAATTTCATTCGAGCAATGTCCTCCCGACCACTCACCTGTTCAGCACATCCCTTTCTACAGCATACATGAAGCAACAATAGAATCTTGAGCAAAAACATTCAAATCTCTTCCAGGAACTGTTTCTTCGCGCCCGACCAGAACTCAATACCGTCAGTACAGACAGTCTTGGCCAAAACATTCACATCAACGGAGGACAATGTCGGTCACGTGACTACCTATACGCTATCACTGGTGGGATGCAATACGAATGAATATAAGTGAAAAAAGCCGAATCTCTGTTCAAAATGAACAAATGAGACAAGAACAGTCTCAAAGCATCGACTAAAGGGGTTCTGGCAAGAGCTAGTGGTAGCTCGCTGTAGCTCTCGAGGTCATAATTGAACGGCACTTAACTGGAAGGCGTTTCACGGGAACAAGCCCCGGTGGAATTTGTACAAATCTAGCGCATTCCAGGAGTGGTTTTAATTAGATCGAGCCCTTATCAAGAGTGCTCGATCTTTTCCTTGCGGCCTGTGACGATTTTGATTGTCCCAAGTTTTTCATCCAAGTATATCCACAATAGTCAGAATTGCTGGGATCAAGGTTGTAAAAAGTCCGTTTAAAAGCGCCTTAAAACGCCTCATTCAGAGAGAAGCACGAAACCTGTAATTATTCAATTGAGTTCACTTCTCCCTTTTTTATTTTTGAAAGTACTGGAACGCTTCTCGAGACCATTTTCCAGCTACATTTAAGTCACTCGTTTTGTCTGTTTCAATCCAATAGGGCGTTTTTTTGAGAGTGGCTTCTCACATCTAACACGAAAATGAATGCAGAGCACTTGGAGGTTCCTGTAAATACCGAATTTTCACTTTCACCACCTCCGAATGGTGATCGTACACCATCCAGAAGAGGACATCGTCACAAGAGATCCTTCGCAATTTCCCAGGACCTCGACTTTGTTAAACCCGCGGCACCTGGGACCCCAAAGGGTAGCGATCAGTTTTCTAACACATTTGTGGCTTCATCTCCGCAACAGCAGGACTCAAGTCTTCGGTTTTTCATGACAGAGGAGTCCACATATTCCCACGACGTACCGAATGCCATCATTGATCTAGATGATGCATTAACGACCAAACCACAATCGTTCACGTCCCACCGGAGAGCTGAATCTGCTCCAGCTCAGCTGATTTTGCCTTTTAAGCTTGAGCCTCCTAATGCTCATTGTCAACCATCGTTGCGAATAGAGGAGGAAGAAGATTCGGAAAGTGATACTGAAATAGTGACACAGGCTACCTTGATGTCACCGCTAAGAGCAAAATCTCAATCACCTTTTGTGAAGAGCAATTACACAGCAGAGTCCCCCAAAGCCTCAGCAAGGAATCAGTACAATAACAATGCTCTCAAGATCAACAAACAGAAAGAAAGGTATCAGAATTACACAAAGCATCTCCCCGCGGCTAGTCCTCAAGTTTTGAATCAGGGGCAAGAGCCATCTTTTTCCTCATTGTCTTCTGGTTTCAGCTCGGGGATCAGCACAGCTGGTCTTGCCTATTCCCCAACTACTCCTGCTATTTCAATCTCGAAGTTTGGCAATAGAACACCAAGTCCACGAAAAACCTTTACTTTCCAAAGCCAGATATATGACTTACCGTCTAACGATGTTGCACTTGTTGACAACGATAAAGAAGCACGACACAATACCACTAGAATGGAAGATGATGATACGCTGACGTGCACAACCACCAATACGACTAGTCAAAATCTGCATAGGAAGTCCAAAAGTGCTTCGGCTTATGATACATCTACTACCTTTCGTATTCCGAAAGAGATATTACAGGGCCAGCCGGGAGACAGTGTTGATTTATCGGAATCCTCGAAGTTTTCGAAAGACGCTTCTGCCGTCAACGCAACTAAGAAAACGTCAGCCGTTGATCAGCGCGCCGTCAGTGACAGTGCTGCAACACAGAAGGAAGCTTCTCGTAAATGGAGAGGCAAAATGAACATCTTTTACTCGATAGTCTCGAAATTCAAGAACTCAAAGTGAAATGCATGCTATTCTGTTCCTACAAATTTTAATAACTAATGCTTTGACCACTAATGTAACATATAGAGAAATGAACGATACCTGTAAAACTTGATAATAAGGTCAATACTGTCTAATAATCTTAGCGTGTCCTTTTTATTCTTTCAAATAGAATACTATGTTCTCTAAATACAGCCAGTGGTTCCTCATTAATGGCCATCAAAAATTGAGAGTTCGGAGTGGGGGCTGAAACCATAAATAATGTTTTGGCGATCGACGAAGAAAAGCATGCAAATGGTGATGCTCATTCCATTTCTGGGCTCTTTCCGAAACGCTTAAGACTTGATCAGCTCCAAGTTGTCCAAGTCCTGTTTCTCCTGGGCCTCAGCCTCAGCTTCTAACAAGTATGGCAGAATGTATGGAGTATCTTCCTCTGCCTTTACCCACTGAGCCTGGGGTAGCAAATGGTGCGTCAAAGATGATTGGTGAGCTCTGATCATTCTGAAGTTTCTGGCGTACGATTCGTCCTCAGGTATTCTCTTCAAAGCCTTTTGAACAATGTCGTTTTCCTCAGCGATAATGTCATCGAATCTTAGACCCATCTTCCGGTATCCGGAAAACTTGACAAACTGGTGAGCAACTGGCACGATAACCTTGGAGAGTGCTGGGGTCTTCAAGATGAAGTCGCCCATTTTGGCAATAGAAGTAAAAGTTTGAGGCATCTTGTTATCCGTGTTATTCTGAACTTTTCCAGCTTGAGATTCTAGAAACCTTACTTGTAAGTTTAGCTTAGGATCTTGTAAAAACTGGTCAAACTTGGAATTATCGATATAGTGGAACATTTTCGTACGAGAGTACTGGAAACTGACGCATACATGAATCTGATTGGTCAAAAAAAATAGAGAGTCTATAAGAGGTATTTCATCAACATTAATAGTGGTATTCAGTCGCTTTGACGCCGGAGGTATTTGGGAAGCCGCACTCGAGCATCAAGCGGTTGACCACTTGAGGTTCTTGCAAAATCTTTTCCCAGACTTCTTCGTGCTTAACGAGAACGAGTCCTGCATAGCCAGTAGCGTTGAAACCGATGTCTAGTTCGGAACTCTTGGTGTGGGAACGAGGGACAAGACACAGCCACTGGCGTGTCATGAGGACATTGTATCCGGTCTCCATGTTGGGCCTTTCGTTGGTCCAGTCCTGGAAAAACGTGAGCGTTCTTTGCAGTAGTGAGACGAAAGTCATGGCGAGTAGATCTTCAGTAACGGCCTCAGGTTCTTCGGGCAAAGGCACCACAAAGTGGGCGAATGAAAGCTTTTTGTCCTGCAGTGGCTCGGAGCGCTGATCGGGAATGAAATGGTCCTTGCCATTGCAAAGACGGTCCTGGAAGGCCACAAAGTTTTGGGGCCATTTCAGCAACTGGAGATGCTTGTGGTCCTGAGAGGAGCCGGAGGTCTTACCACAGTTATAAAAAACAAGGTGTCTTAGTTGTTCATCTTCGTCGTCCAAATCTTGCAAAAGGCGGTACGACGTCAAAAGGTCTTGTGGATCCAGTGGCGCTGTTTGTAGCTTATACTCGCGTGTCACAAGTAACAAATGTTCTGCAACCACGGGGAACTTGTTTAGAAGCAATTTGTATTTCCCTAATCCATACAAGTCTTCGTTCACTGTCAATTCCGGTTCGGGCTCTGCAAAAGGATCACGCTTCGAGGCTTCTGCCTCGGCACGTTCTGGTTTCTTGAGAAGACTGGGAGCAAGGCTGACAACGTATTGAAGGCCGGATTCTGGATCTTTCACTTTTTTGCTAGCGGATTGAGTGAAATGCACCTCTCCCGATTTGATACCTTTAGCATATTTCTCAGCGATTTGGTCTCTCAAAGTGACACTCATTCTGATACAATTACGTCTATTATCACAATTGCAGTAGTGTAGAAGGCCAATGGCAACAAATGATTCTCTAAAAGCTCGAAACTGATCAGTAAGGTATCTTCTTTAACGTTTAAATTTGCTGATTCTCAGACGATTCCTTATATACTGCTGCTGTACTATGGTATTCGAAAAAATCACGCCGACGCTTACCTAAGGTGGAATCAAAACACATCACGTGACACATTCTACGCCTGGTGTCAAAAACACTTTAAAAACTTAACCAGGTGGTGAAGTTTTCTATTGCAGGAAGAGAGTTAGAGAAGGTTAAATGATCTGCTCTTAAGATATCTATATCGAGATCTACAAGGCACATTATGCGATATCGAACTTTATCACGTTTCACGACATATTCTTGATCAGCAGTGCATCGGCTCCAGTTAGAGAACTTTCTTTCGCATGGGTATCGGTGGTCACAATTCTAACGTGACGTTGACTTATTCCATAAGCGGTATTGTTTCTCTATCAGAATTTCTTGTAGATACTAGAATACGCTAGGAACTTCTGATCACGTGAGATGTTTGTCTGAATATAAGGACCAATCGTGTCACCTCAACGAACGAAAGTCCTAATTTCATTGCATGGTACGGATATGGAACCAAGCTTTTGCTACCACAAATACGTTTCTGCAGTAGCGTTTTCTATAGGCCTCACTACACAGTCTGCAACTTCTGTCATCAGTTATATTACGCGGTTCTCTAGATCAAAATTTAAAGATCACTATATACAATAACGTCGTTAATGTCTAGTCATCTCCAAAATGCGATGGTCCCGCGTTCAATCTGTGGATACACTGAGCCGAACGGCATATAGAGGTTCGTGAGAGCATGATATGATGCTTTCAAATGGGCGGACTTAATACATTCGTTCATGCATCAAATTCACAGACACTCTTTCGCAATTAGTCATGCGGACCATCAAAAAGAATCTGGATAGAGCTACCAATATGATCTTGCGACGCTCTGCCGAAGTTACAAGCCCCGAGGTTTAGGAGTAAATTCGTTTCTAATCACGCAAAAACCCGTACTTTTATGATTCTTTAATTATTCCAACTATTGCAAGCACAGTGATAAACGAACACATCCACACACAAAGAGAATTCCATTACAGCTCATAACGCAGGGTCCCCACCTGCACATTTTCCATTCATACTCGGCTTTCTTTAAACAACGTACGATATGTCAGTCATTCTTTGTATATGTCTCGTTTACCATAATTGGACTGTAATTTTTCAGCTCATTAAAGGAACTTGATACTCACCGCCAGCTGGATAATTCGAGCCCATTGAGTAAGCACTACTGAGAAGCTTGGTAGCCCATTGAACTGTGATCTAGTGTAAGATGAGTCAAGACGTAGTATGGAGTCCACGACGCAGCACCATAGCCCGAGATACTGCTGAATTAGAGTCCATCATAGCAGTCGATATCGGAGGATCGCTAGCCAAGCTCGTTTTCTTCGCAATGGACTCGAAAAAACTGGTTTTTGAGACTGTAGAAACTGAGAAAATAGCACTTTTTATGCGAATGATTCATGACATCATCGATAACCATTACCAGGGAAGTCAGAGTAACGTGAGAATAGTGGCTACCGGCGGTGGAGCATACAAATTCCACGATCTACTGTGCCAAGAGTTTCCAGACGTTATCGAAATAGCTCGGTTGGACGAGATGGAGTGTTTGATAAAGGGACTAGACTACTTTATCCACGAAGTGCCTGAGGAAGTATTTACGTACAACGATCTTGAAGGCGAGCATAAAGTGGTTCCAGAACACGCTAAGGTTTATCCATATATGCTAGTAAACATCGGCTCAGGTGTTTCCATCCTCAAAGTTGATTCTCCTGCAAAGTTCACTCGTGTTGGGGGTTCGTCTCTTGGTGGTGGCACGTTGTGGGGACTACTTTCGCTCATCACAGGAGCCAAGACCTACGACGAAATGCTGAGTTGGGCTCACGGGGGCGACAATACCCATGTCGATATGCTTGTGGGCGACATATATGGCTCCAATTATGGCAAGATCGGTCTAAAGTCGACGCATATCGCAAGCTCATTTGGAAAAGTCTTCCAACGGACAGCGCCAACTCAGAAAGATTTGGCGACGCATTCTCACACCATTGCCAATGGCACAGATGACATACAATTGCGCAACCGTAAATTCAACAACTCGGACATCTCCAAGAGCTTGCTGTACGCAATCTCCAACAACATAGGTCAAATCGCATACCTTCAAGCCAAAATCCATAATATACCCAATATCTACTTTGGCGGATCGTACATTAGAGGGCATCTGATGACGATGAATACACTCAGTTATGCCATCAACTTCTGGTCGAACGGTGAGAAGCAGGCGTTTTTCCTTAAGCATGAAGGGTATCTGGGCGCCATGGGTGCCTTTTTAACTTTCCAAAACAAAAATGATGATCTCGGTGACGAAAGACGAAGTTAACTTATTCTGCAGCTACCTCGTAATTGCAGACGCCAACAACACTCTCAAACCAGTCTAATTTGTTTAACTTTGTCTTATACACTTATTGCATTTTCCTTTATAATATTCAATACGTTTTTGAACTGGAGATGGAGCGGAATCTCTCGAGATTGCCTCTCGTTAGCACGCCTTCGAATCAAGTCCAGCCTGTCTATCGGTATGTTGCCCCCATAAAGGTTCACCTTTGAAATCCCCAATGCGTTCAATTGCACGACAACTTCCAACGTGTGGTAGGTAAACTGAATTTTGTGCGAAATTGGCAAGATCTCTAAATTTTGGATTTCGTTGGTTATGAACTGACTCCGCCAATAATCAACCAGCGCCTGATGGGCTTTATAGCTTTTGGCCAATTTCAAGTCCTGCTCGTCGGCCTGTTCATCTGAGGAATTTAAAATCGCGTCCAGCGACGTTTTTGCCCTTTCCAAACACTTAAGATGTTGTTCGAGATGTTGTTGTTCCTGGATCGTTTCTTTGATAGAGTGCAGGTGTTGTATCGCAGCTTCCGTGGAGGGTATTCCATCGGCCGTTTCGAGACTAGCAGTTTTTGCAGTATCATTATATCTCTCCAATTCTTCCAACAGCAAGTGACACTCATCTACCAGCTCTCCAGTGTTGAGGCACAGTTCATTCACTACCTCGCGTTGGTCTGCTATTTTCTGGCTGGTATGGCCTATTTCTTCTCTCAGCTGGTCCACTTCCGAATCCAGCTGGGTGATAACCTCATCTTGCAAGTGTGCCACATCTTTCTCCAGCAAAACGTATCGTTCGTCCTGCACTGTTTCTATCTGCTGCAACAAATTTCCCGATGGAAGTGTATATCGCAGGAAATTATCCAGCATTTCCTGCTCCAGATGTGTATTTTTCAATCGCTCTAAGAGCTGAGAAACCTCTTGGATGTGCGTAGACACAATTTTTGGATCAATTTCGGCACTTGGATCCACCATTTCAAACAAAAACTCATTGTCTTCAACTAGCTGTTGTGCACTGCGTTGCAGCTGCTGCACGGTCTCAGAATAGTGCGTTTCTTGATCTTGTAAGACTTGTTCACTGAGGCTCGTCGTCTCTTCCTCCGCCATGCCAAGACGAGTTGCGAGTTCTTCCATAACCTTAGTATCCGCCATCGATACTGATGTAGGTAGCCGCCGAGGTATTGTAACATTCTAAAATGTGTGTTTGGGGCTCGCTTCTGTTTATACATATTTTATTAACTTTTTATATCACTACCAACGGGTATACAATCAATAAACACAACAACTGGCTGTCATTGAAAAATTTATGAGAAGTATAAAAGGCAAAGGCTTTCTGCAATGCCGATGAGCACTTTTGTTAAAAGCTAGCAAGTCATAGAGAATGAGATAGATGGTTGAGAATGCATATTGTTGCCATACGGACGTAAACGTTTTGACTAGTTAGTAATCTGATTTTCAACGGTGTTCCTCAGTGGACGCAAAGTTTTCGTGAACCTGCACAACTTAAGTTTATTGGATGGGCCGCAGTTTGCGCCATACAGATGTCCATTGAATGTGTCTCTGTGCAGAGAATAACGACGAAAAATACCCCATTAGTTTTGCCTTGCCGGGACCCTGGTACTATGTTGTTGTTTGCAGGCCTATTGAACATCCCAAAAAGATAAAGCATTTTCCCGCCTGGATTTTAGAGCTTTGGTGTCGAGTTTTTCGGTGCTTGACCTTGGATTCTCTGGGAAGTTCATGCTGTCACCAATTCAATTGGGCCATCATTGCAAACACGCTGGGGGACCGGTGGTACCTTCTGAAAACTTTGCGTCGCATGGGCCTGAGCCAGTGAGTTTTGGTGTCAACAGGGTCACTGCATGGTTATCTGTATGGCCAGTATGTGGTTCTTCTCCCATTATCTGTCTCTTGAGAGATCCTGAATTTTGCTGTTTTCGAAGAGTATTTTTTTGACTGCAGCATGTCATGATCTTCCTTCTCTCTATTGCTTTCTTGAAGGACCGTTATAACTGGGTTCTGGGGTTACATCTTTTCACTCTTGATTTTTTTGTTTTTGTTTTTTGTTTTCCCGTAGGTACTTAATGTAGTTTCCTGTCTATTTAATTCGTACCACTCTTTTTGGCCGAGTCGGTTTTCAGTCTGAAATCTCCACCTCCTTCTTTCCATAGCCACAACGCGTCGAGGGCGTAGTTGCGAACAGACAGGTTATGGGTTTCATTTTCATCTGCCGCTTGCGTCAATGACTCGATGACGGAATGGGTCTTACAAAGATCCCAGAACATACCATAAATGTGATTGAGAACCGCATCTGTACCTCCTATTTCAGTGTACGTTTCTGCGTCAACCTCTGGTACCAACTGCGCGTAGCTTTGCTTACCGAGCTTGTAGACGATTCTGCCCAGCGTCTGAATAGCTATACATCTTTGAGCAGGGAACGTGGATCTTGACAGATGCTGTAATTCCCCTATTGTGTAACCAGCAAGTTCCGGATTGTCAGCATGGTGATGTAAACCGTTTTTAGTAGTTTTAATACTTCTGTCGGGAGGCACAAGATTTGCATTGAAGTCAAACCTGCACTGAGAAACATCGTGTATAATATCCGAATGAGCATTTTGCGCAACTGGTTTCATCCATGCTAGCTTATCAGCCTCCTTAGGTAGATCTGGGAAATATTTTTCATGCAGCTTAGAATCGAAATCTGGATCGTTAATGTCAAGTGATTCAAACTCCGGTACTTGTGTTCCAGTTGGTTTCATGAAATGAACATCACTTAGTAATTCCTCATTCTTCATGTGGTCCATTTGCTGTACGAACTGGTACTCTTGCGGGGCTACATCATCATCATCAAGTGGGGGCCTTGGGTAGTCAAAAGGCATCTCTTCTAAAGGTTCCTCATCTTCCACTCCGGGCTCAAACTTGACGTGCTTAGGCTCTTTAGTTTTAATACCAAGCGCTAAATCCACCGCATCGTCGTCCAAGCGCGGGAGATCGGGTGTCTCGTGCGTACCACCAATCCACGTTCCTGGTGCTCCTTCAACTTCAGCAAAAAGGGGAGCTGAAGAAGCTTTTAAGGCGTCTTCTCCCGAATCTTTCACTTCACGCTTCGATAGTCTTTTCATTAGGCCCTGAATCACTTTGGGATCCAAGGATTCCATGATATCTCGTTTCTCTTGTTCTAACTGTTGAGCAGACATCTGACTCATACGAGCCATGTTTTCGCGATGAATTTGCTCGGCTTCGGTACCCGCATTATTCTGAGAAGCTGCTGGAGTTTTGGCTGCCTTGCTGGTATCTCGAGGCCTTGAATTTTGTCTTTTCTGCTGTAGTCTTGTTTTCCAAGATGATATCTTTTTGGGCTCATATAGAGCTGGGAATCCTGTTGGCGGCGCCGCATTTATGGCATCAGGTTGGACCACATCCTTCTCTACAATATCTCCCAACAAATCCATTCTGATAGATGCTCAAAGCTCTCGTCTGGGCTCTCTCTACTGCGGCATCTTAAGGCGGTTACAACGTTAGTGCTGAGATTTTCATTTCAAATGTACTTTGACCAGATAACCGACACGAAAAGCGGGTCGAGACTTGACTCTAAGACCTGCATTCAGAACTGTCATCTAATTTTCGAATACGTCAGAGACAACAACGATGCATCGGACTGGCTTGACATCTACGGATATCTGGCTTTTACTTCTTAAGCGTTTTAGAAATGGGCAGACGCATGAAGGTGGGACGTAGAGAATTTAGATAAACATTTCAAGAGCGCAGGAGAACATGAACGGATTGAAATTAGTTCAGGGAACCACAAGAAACGACGAACAGTAGATTCGAGAGGCCATTAAGTTGTTAGCAAAAAGTTTAAGACGAGATTTGAGCTGTTTGTATCAAAGTCTTTTTGTAGTGATTGAGTTACAGTTTGGAAATTATTCGTGCTCTCCATGTACTAATTACATGGAATGCGAGTCAAATTTAATGAGTTAAACCATTGGGTCCGGTGCGAAAAGAACTGTCATAAATAGCATCGTTGTTGTAGACGTCTTTCTCTGCAGTGTGTAGATATCTATATGATCGTAAATTGGCAAAAACCAGTACTGAATGATTGAATGATAATAGCTTAGGTGATAAGTGCTCTGAACTATCGAAGTTTTACACACAAAACACTCTTCTCCGTAAGCAGAAATTTGCAAAATAACTGTTTCTTGTAGAAGCAGCATTGATAATTCTAAATGTAACTTAAAGATTGACCATAGATGCTACTCACCATAAGCACAAAGCGTCGAAATATAAAAAAAGCTCAGAAGCCCAAATCCGTCCACAAACGCTGCAATGGGTGCCACACATATGCGATATTTGTAGTACCGAGACTACTGACAAGTGCCAACAGCAGCAGATGACCAACTTGTAGTGTCCTTTATTCTCATACGCGTTCATATGCTTAAATTATGTAGCGATATATCTACAGTCTAGCTTAGAGACCCATAGCCGTCGTTAGGACGAGTCAATCCACCTCCATGGCTTGGGTAAGGATGTTTGCTAATGATGTACAAGGCGTGGATCAGACCTGGGAAGTATCCAAGTAGGAACAAAAGCAGGTTCAATAATGTGTCTTTGGTGAATACACCTCTCTTCAGTGCAACTGCAACCGGGGGCAGAAATACAGAGATAAATACTAGAAACCAATCACGGGCATGCATGGTGAAGGTTCACGATGTTAATATAATCGATGGATTTTAGATGTAGTTACGAAAAGCACTACGCGAAGCTGATTTCCCGAAAACCTTCCTCTCGTCTCTCCCTATATATATACTTCATATGATTTTCGTCAAACTCGATGTTACCCATGTTTTCGCAAGCTATTTAGCAATCATCACCCTTGATAAATTGCAACCTGCACATCGAGGTTAGGGTTTCCACACCGCAAAGCACGCTATCAACTAGGGTCACATGAGGAGGAATAGCGTTAGGATTTTCTTGTAATGCGATCTTGCGTATGTGCTGTTCCAAGAGCTGTTCCATTCCAGAGAAACCGGCGCATCCAAGGATGATGGTAGATGTATGTAGTCGGTCAATGTTTTCTTGGTAAATACGCTTGGCGATTGCGTCGAGATTTTCCGGGTTGTGTAGGTCCAGCACTGGGACCGAAGAGGCAACGGTGCCTCTGAAAGGAGATTTGGACAAAGAAAATGGTCTAGTGGCTCCCAACAAACGTTCTGCGGCGGCATCGAGTAAGTCGACCCACTCGTCGTTGGACGTGATGATAGAAAAGGGTATGCCGGGCCTCGACAAACAGGTTGTCATAGCTGCGTGGAAGATGCCCGTAACGGGAGTAGCTCGTTCGGTTTTAGCCTGTAGCTCATGGACCAGTGGGTGGTCTGAAAAGCAAGCTACAAGAACTCCGTCAAAAGTGTCGAAATATTGCCGGTCTTTGCCGTCCGTGTCAGTAGTACGCTTGCATAGCAGAGGGAGACACTTGCGGGTCGAGTCTCTACTGGTTTCCTCGCCATCGATTTCTGGAGGGGCATCGGGCGGTCCTGTGAATTGCGCTATCTCTATATCGCGATGAACGGCGGGATAGACTTTGTTCAAGTAGCTTTCTATTTGAGCCACCGCGGCGTCGGTCATGGATTGGGTGCTATTCGGATTGACAATCAGCAGATGCATTTTCGAAGTGTCGACGAGCCATGGACACAAAAGACGTAAGATTCAACCCGGACACGACTTGCCACAAGCCCTTCTCATTATAACCTGTTTTCGTCTGTCCCCTCTATAATCGAGCTGAGCGAGATAAGTTTTTCTTCTCTCACTTCGGTGATGTGCGAAAAAAAAGTTTTGGACGAGACCGGAGTCGAACCGATGACCTCTCCCATGCTAAGGGAGCGCGCTACCAACTACGCCACACGCCCGGTTTGATGACGATCTTTGCAGTTTGAGCGCTATGTAGCAGGCTGTCAAAGGCATGATGTACCGCCTGACAAACACATTCAGAGGTGTACAGCTCATTAGCATCCATAGATATCTGAATTCAAAAACAAGCTCCCGCCTGCTACAGACACACACGCCCGCCAAACGTTGTATTTTTTTCAAACTGTTCGCTTTTCTCGGTGACACGGTGGAGGGGGGTGTCTCTAACGCCTAACGCCAGAACGTTCTCGAAAAAACCACATGAGATTCCCTATTTTGCGCGCGCTCCCTATATCTCCCCCCCCAAACGCCACGTGACCCCATAATGGGGACCCCTTTCCCGCTGCCTTTCTCGAGATATGACGTCATTCCCATGTGAGTCATTATCGCAGGTTCCAAACTCCGGTCGATGGCGCCATCGAGAAAAAGGCCATGATATGTGTGTGTGTGGGTGTGGGTGTGTTTGTGGTTCGAAAGGGGTCTTACAAGTCTTACTAGTGTACCATCCGTACAGCACGCTCATCGTACGTCAGAGTGTCCACTATCAAAGCGTAAGGAGCCTTTTCTACAACCGCAAACGCCAAATCACAACAGAGGGTCCTATACACTAACACCTACACCAATCTCACTTCCAAACCGCCGCTCCACCCCGCTTTGTCCGATTGTCCCGTTCCTATCCGCCACTCACTGGTGGTATCCGGCACCGTTCCCTTCTGTACCTGGAAATTCCTTTCAAAATTGAACAGCCAGCCATGCGGGCCGAGCCCGTCTAAAAAAAAACCTACCGTCTGAAAACACGCCAATGGGCCTGGAATACAGAGGTCCGGACCCACACGAGAAGCGGCCGACCCGCAAAATTGTGGCACTTTTGCCCAATATTTTTTTCGTGGTCCGGGTTACCCAGCCATCTTCTTTTTTGTGTTCTTCCCACCGTTTTTGTGGCGCGGGAATCCTCGGATTTTACGTCGACTCTGACGCGTGTGCAAAAAAATTTTTTTTTCCGTTTTCCTTTTTTTTTCCCTTTCTGGCAACGGAGAACAAGGACGCTCCTGAGTTCCGAGCTATAAAAGCGAACAGGTTTCGCCCGCAATTTGTGTGGTGGTGTTAGCTTGATTCCTCTTGATTATTAGAATAGTCAACTCAAAAACCACTTCAGTTATCAACTATCGCTATGCAATTCAAGAACATCGTCGCCGCTTTTGCCTCCGTTGCCGCCGTCCAGGCCGCTAACCAAACCAACGGTTCCAACGGTTCCAACGCCTCTAACGGTACTTCCACCAAGATCTCCACCGGTGCTGCCGCCACCAACGCCATGGGCGCTGGTGTCTTCGGTGCCGCCGTTGCTGCCGGTGTCGCTTTGTTGTTCTAAGCTCACCACACCCACCAACCCAACTGGAGTTTTTCAATAATATTTTTTTCCTTTACATCAACAACCTACCATAGACTAACGAGTGCTGGAAGTTTTTCTCGTACGAAGTGCCTGAATCCAGAAGTCGTAAGTTGATCATCTACTTCTATTACTTCTACCACTGCTATTACTGCTTCATTTTTCCACTACTATATGATAGAGTCGCGGGCACGGCAGGCGGCTGTGACAAAAGCGGAACAATAATAATAATAATACATCCATCCTCTCCAAAAAAAACTTTTTTTACCACTAAGGCAACTTTTTCACAAGACCATTGAAAATTAGTTCTGAATAACAAAACATTTTTTTGTTTTCTCTTTTTTCCCGTTCTACAAAATCGAGTTATGTCTTTTTGATCGGATTATTTTTTGTTTTCTTCCCTAAAAGAACAACCATCATTTCATTCAGCCTCCTCCTTTTTTTTAATATTAGAGTGTCTCTCTGTGGGAAACGAAGCAAACTCACTTGAAGGACTGTGCTACCACTGACCACCCTTTGTAAGATGGCACTCTAGATATATGTAATTTAACCTTTCTTTTGCCAATTAAGAATGTGTATTATCGGACTCTCCTACGTCGTCGGCCTCTTTTTGTGAGTCGAAACTCGTCTTGTGAAGTTTCGACTCTATCGTCCAGTAATGTTCTGCATTCCGCCTGCTGTGTTTGTTATGTTAATTCCTGGCATCTCCGGTTCACAGGTCTGTATGTCTATATATGATATAAATTAGCGGGCTACTCTCGAATTAGTACTCATTCATAAGTTGAGACTCGGTGTCATTTCCAAGAAAACATAACCCTGTTGAGCTCCCTGCTCTAGCAAAATGAGTGCCACAGCCTCCCTGCTGACACTGTGCGGCGAAATCGGTGCCGAGCTCATCGATTTCTCGCCCGTTTCTTCGTCTTCAACTTTACTCAAATTCGTTCAACATCCAACAGCTAATCAGCACCAACAACTCGCGCTTCTGGCGTCCTTGTCATCCTTTGAATACAAGGTGCGATGTGTCATACGGAAAAATACAGCTGTAGGGTCTTCCAACGAGCCCTGGAAAGAGTCTGATGACCTTCAACATTCTGCGGGCAGTATCGTATCCAGAACAGACGTATCTTGCAGCGCTTTCCAGGACTCTTCAGCAACACTGGAACTGCCCTTCAGTGGCCTTGAAACTGAGGATAACAGCATCGTTTCCTTTACACTCTCCTTCTCTCCACTTCTGGCAACTTCTGGTCTTCACAGCGTCCATGTCAGGGTACGACATCGTTTGCTTATGTCCGTCGCCGTGTGGGTGGACCCCGTTCAGATTCGTCGCGAGCTGCCGTCCCAGTCTAGTTCCTCTTCCTCGCTGTCACCATCGCCAACATCAACACCTTCATCACCACAGTACGCCTTCCAAGCCGACGGGCCTCAGTTCCGTACGTTTATTTCGCATTGTGAAAATCTAATCCCAACACTACGACACTCGTTAAAGTATACTCAAGAAAAATGTGCAAAAGTGGCAGATTCTGTCAATACCACCGCTAAGGAGTTGACGGGCCTTGTCTCCTGCGCACAAGACATGGCTAATTTGCTCCCTTCCTTCTCCCAAGAGTTCAACACCGTGACAGCCGCATTAGTTACCACCTTAAAGGCGAAGGTGGAATCGCTGAATCAGCTCGAAACAGTTCTCCAGAAAAAGCTTAGCGTCCCTCTCGAAAGTTACGCGTCAACAATCCCTTTGAAGACGGTATCTGCTCGCCGTAAGCAGTACCACGATCAGGCCAAAGTTTTTTACTCGTATATGGGCAAAAATCTGTCCAGCGCGGACGCAGCCAACTTAAGCAAAAAGGTCCAGTTCGAGCTAGAAAGGTTTGACTATTTTGTATACTTGACCGAGTTCATCGACGGATCCTCTGCTAGACGGTTTTTGTATGAAATAGCGCAATTTTCGAGCATACTGGAGCCAGCAACCTCAACTCCTCTTGTTAAAAGCGCCAGGAACTATCAATCCAAGCTCAAGCTTTCAAGGGTGCGCATAAATGAGATGAGAGACCAGATCTCAAAGTCGAAAAGCTTTTCGGATTTCTCCTCCCCTGCTCCAGTTGGACCTCACAAGGTTTACAAAGAAGGTATACTGTGGACTCAGAAAGGACATGGCAAGTCTTCTGGATGGCACAAGCAGTGGGTAGTGATAAATGGCTGCACTCTTTCGGAGTATGCGGACTGGAAAACCGAGGGAAAGAAACTTTCACGGACACCTATCAAGCTCACATTTGCATGCATTAAAAAACAGGACTATGGAAAGTTCAATGGGTTTGAGGTTATTACTACCAATGAAGTTACACGGGCCTTCAGAGCTGAAAGTAACAGCGAACTAGAACAATGGCTAAAGGTTCTTCAAGAATCTGCTGCGGTTGGAGTGCAAACTCCAACGAAAGCTCCTGGAGAAAAGACGATAGAGGTTTCACAAATTGTATCCACTAACGACAAGTCAAATACCATGTGTTGCGATTGTGGCAGCACAAATCAAGTCGAATGGGTTAGCATCAACCTACTTTGCGTTGTTTGCATAAAATGCTCCTCCGTGCATAGATCGCTAGGGGTCCACAACTCGAAAATCCGCTCTTTAAAGCTTGATACCTTCACCTCAAAGGAAATAATTGAGCTGATGAAATCTGTGTCTAACAAGAACGTCAATTCTATTTACGAAGCCGAGTTGCACGCAAAAATTCTTGATTCAGATTCTTTACCTCAGCTCCGGTCCGATTTCATAACTGAGAAATACGTGGAAAGAAAATTTGTTACGTCTTTGGATGAAATAGACCCAGAAGCTATTGAGAAAAGACTCAGTCACAATCTAATCAAATCCATCCACCTCAACAGCATTTACCTTCTCCAACAGTGTATCGCACAAGGGGTTCGTTTGAATGAAGTTCATACCGAAAATGGTGTTGAAACCACGTTTCAATACTCACTAAAACACTACCAAGGCACCAAGAACAACTCCACATTTTTCATAACAGAGTTTCTACTTCTGAATGGCTTGCAAGTCGGTGCAATTCCTCGCGACACATCTACTCTCTCTCAACGAGAATACGAGTACTGGAAGTCGAAAGTAGAGACTAATGGCGTGTATCGAGTCAAACCTATTGCCAGACGGGCAACCTCGAGGGATTCCAAGAAAGCTGATATCGCAAGAATAGACACTTCTGTAGCAGGAAACTTCACCACGCGGAAAGTTTCTTCTGCCTCAGATGCTACCAGTAATCCCGTCAACAAGCGATGGAGTATTACTGGCGCTTTACCATCATCAGCAAGTACATCGATTTTACCTACCAAAAGTCGCGGGTTGAAATTCCCAAAGATCTCAGGAGCCAAGAATCAGTCATAAGCCAAGCATAATGAGCTTATCAATTCCATATTTCACAACAGTGCTCACTAATACTGTTCGCCTCTAAGAAGTTTCATCTTCAAAAGCCATTCGTTTTCACCCAAGGGGACATCATTTAAGCGAAAGAAGTCTTAGGCTGGACACAAAAATTGAACCAAAGGTGTCGAAAGAGAGATAAGACAGGAAGTAAAGCCAAAGTTGAGCTCGAATACGTTATTGGTCAGAATGTAACTCGCAGGGTCGTAAAGTTACTTGGTCCACCAAATATCGATCACGTGGTTAAAACCGCTGTCGTAACTGTCACAAACCTTTCCTATCGACACTTTGTGTTAAAAGCTTCATAACGTTCACTGAGATTATCACAACCATCAGATCCACACCAGAATTTGCGTCTGCACTGCTCAATTTGCTACTCACATCGCTTTAACGCAGCTCACGCTCTACAAAGAGGTCACCACGGTAGATTGCTAACAAATAAGTTCCAAATATGGTTACACATGAGCTGAACTCCCGAGAAAGCCTCTCAAATGACAGTGAAACACTAGAAGGAGTGAAGCCTTCTCAACTATACGAAATCAAAGAGTGTGTTGGGAAGGGAAGCTTTGGAGATGTTTATCGCGCCATCGAGAAACAGAGCGGATCAGTCGTTGCTATAAAAATCATCAACTTAGAAGAGACACAGGACGATATAGAAATACTAGCTCAAGAAATTTACTTCTTGTCAGAGCTGAGGGCACCTTTCGTTACAACATACTACAAAACCTTCGTGGAAGATGTTTCAATGTGGATCGTTATGGAGTATTGCGGCGGTGGGTCGTGTGCCGATCTTCTCAAACATCTTCCAGAGCATCGGTTACCTGAGCAAAAAGTTGCATTCATTGTGCGGGAAGTGCTCTACGGACTTGAGTACTTGCACGCTCAGAAGAAAATACATCGCGATGTCAAGGCGGCCAACATACTAGTTACGGACAACGGCGACATTAAGCTAGGAGATTTTGGGGTCAGTGGCCAGATCATGGCTACTTTGAAGCGTACGACCTTTGTGGGTACACCTTACTGGATGGCACCTGAAATTATTGCCAAAAGAGGCAACGGCTACGACGAAAAAGCGGATATTTGGTCGTTGGGTATAACTGTCATGGAACTTCTAACGGGTCAACCTCCATACGCCAGGCACGATCCAATGAAAGTATTGATGAACATTCCGATTAGGAAACCACCCAGATTGCACGGTCGTTTCACTAGCCCGGTCCGGGATTTTTTAGCATTGTGTTTGACTAAAGATCCGGACGCGCGTCCTAATGCATCGGAGCTCTTGAGCCACAGATTTATCAGCAAGCTTACTTGGAGGGGCGCTGGTAACTTGAAAAAAGAAGTTGACCTTGTGCAACAACTGAAGGCGAGAACAAATTATTTGAAAGAACCTCGTCATTGTGTTACAGATAAGGTCTACGGGACGGGTGTTAAGAAATATCTTCAAACTTGGAATTTCGATAGTTCAAACCGAAAAGTTTTGCGACTACAAAATTCCTACAGTTTCCAGGAGTTGAAGCCTCCAAAACTCAATTCGGCTATTTTGGAACAGCCATCCCCGCGAAGCGACAAAAGTCCAATCTCTGTTTTGGGAAGTGCTGATGTCAACACTCCGATAACTAACATTACATCTCCAGGGATGAAAGATTGCCGTCACGAAAAAGATTTTGATGTCTCAATGGGCATACACGAAGGTAAAGCTGCTCGAAAGAACGTCCTTCAAACGTCCGGCAAGGGCTTAAATTATTTTAAGCATGTGGCTCTTTACAGCTTTGACAAAATCTTCGAAAGAGCTCGCTCGGACGATACAAAAAATGTGGTGAGCAGGCTGAGAAATCTTTTTGAAGAAGCTGAGAAATCGCAGCCTGGATTGAGTGAGGCATTCGTTGAAGAAGTGTACATCAGAATGGAAGAAATTAAGAGCTTCATAGATAATTCCTCTCTATAATTAAACTAAAAGCATACAAGTCATGTCATAATCAGGTCAGACTAGACAGAATGCGTCAGACCACACTAGTCCATATGTGTCAGACGCATCGTGTCAAAATGAGTCTTTGGCAGCTCAGGCTTCTTGTGGCAGGTCAATCCACGTATTATAAAAACTCGCAATTGAATACCACAAGCACCATAGCTCTTCCTTACATCAAACCCAAGATAACGTCTACTCACAAAGAAACATGAGATTATCTGAGATTTTAGCAGCATCGCTAGTTTTGCTCGAAGGCCACCAAGCGTCAGGCTCCTCAGCACAGAAACCTTTTGAAAGAAGTAGAGATTTCACCAGACCACATGCGGTTCGAGTTAACACTCAGAACATTGGCAAACGAGAAACCGCACCAGCATTCGAGTCCTTGCAAGATGAATGGTCGGCAGGTGTTGTCGGTGTACAGGCCCTACGGTTTGAGAAGTCAACAGCAGTAGCAGAAATTTGCAAGAAAGACGTGCACAATATCGAGAGTGCGGCTCAGTTGTACCAATTGCAGCAAAGCTGTAGATCTATTGCTGGTACCTTACAAATCTCCGAGTTCCTGGACCCGGTTATAGATCTGGGAGGCCTTCAAAATATTAATGGTGATCTTATCATCGAGAATCTTCCAGAGGTTGTGCGCATCCAAGGGCACAATCTTGTTAGCGTTGGAGGAACATTCAAGATTGACAGTTTGACGTCTTTGACAAGCGTGTATTTGCCGACCTTGCATCACTTTGATGTAATGGAGTGGAAAGTGGTCCCCACATTGACCTCATTGAGCTTGGCTCCTAACATAAGCCACGCGAAGCGCGTTACTATATCAGACACTTCTTTGATAGGTATCGATGTTCTCGAAAACATTGAGGACTTAGAGATTTTGAACATCAACAACAACAGGTATATGGAATATGTCAAGAGTAATGTTAAGCAAGTTCACGAGCAGCTCAGTATTTCATCTAACGCAAGGGAACTTCAAGTTGAAATGCCTGCATTATTATGGGCCAATAATTTGACAGTCAGGGACGTTGCTTCCATCAGTTTTCCTCGCTTACAACATGTCAATAAATCGTTGGAGATTATTGAAAACTACTTTGAATCGTTTGAAGCTCCTTTACTAAAGACGGTCGGTGGTACTCTCGGTGTGATTCAAAACTCACGGTTGGCCCGTGTTGACTTTTCTAATGTGACAACAATCCAAGGTGGACTGATGATTGCAAATAATTCCAACATTGACAAAATTGACTTCTTACCAGAATTACGCGAGATCGGAGGTGCCATTCAATTTATTGGAACCTTTCACGACACAGAATTTCCCAAACTGAGGTTGGTCAGAGGAAGTGCTTTGGTGAGAAGTACCTCTAGTACTTTGGATTGCAGCAAATGGATTACTCCGGCGAGCGGAAACTCTATTATTCGTGGGGGCAGGATTATGTGTACCACGGGTCAGTCTAGAAATACCGCTCGGGTGAGTGAAGATGGAAAATTGTTGGACCATCAGGAGACACAATTTGAGATCAAACCAGAAACTTCTGAAAAGACCAATGTTGCATCGTCGGTTGTGAACAAGTCCGGGATAGTTAATATTGGCTTTGCGCTTGTTTTTGGATGGGCTGCAATCTCGATCTGCTCTGCAATCACTCGCTGATTTGTTGGTTTAAGACACCACCTTTTTGTAGCCCTTTTTTATTGTCATATATGTCATTGTACTTGGTACACTTGACGGCTCTCTCTGGCGCTGTTGTGTAAAAATACTTTGTGGAGATAGTCGAAAAAAAAAGTTTGATTAGAAGGATACTCTCTGTTGACTTCCAATGCTGTCGAAACCTGCTAGCCACCTAACCTTCTTTCCATTAATCGATGACTCATCGTCGCCGGCATCGGCGCAAATTCGTGATGCCTGTCGCTCTAATATTGGTTTATATGTATATATATATAATATCTATATATATATATATTTCTTAAAACTGACATCAAAGCTAACAGATACTTCTAGGATCCTCTTCATATGTAAAGCAGGGATCATTGAAGCTGGATTGAATGGTAAAAACCTTAATTCAGATCTCTCTAGATCGAAGCGTCAGTTAAGTTGGTGAAATGCGTGTTTTAAAGACCCTAACCAGTCACTTGAGCAATGCGAAGGTCAATCACGTGACCAATTTCCATTTACTGTTTACTCTGTTTTGCCGACATGATTTACTACTAAGAAACTGGATCTATTGGCAAAGGAAATCTGATTGTCTTTTTGTATCGATTCGCTTGATAGTGGCTACAACTCTTGTCGTACTGCACTCAAAGCACTAGGTCTCAGCATGAAGTCTTCGATACTGATCAAAAACACCATTAAAAGCTCTGATGGTCGAGAAAGCGCTTAAAGAAAGTTCTCTCCATCCTAAGTCATAATTCTAGGAAGGCAGCTACAATATATCGCAAGATTATCCTCCAAACACCTTAGTCAGCTCGTTAGAGATAAACGGTTTAACTATCACTATCGACGTATCAGTTAGTGATAGCGGTCTGGGCACTAAACAAGTGTGTACATGTCACAGTAACATTTCTAGGCATGAGCACGTCTCTTAACGCGTTTGGTTTGCTTTGACACTGTCACATACCTTAAGAAGAGTGTGAAAGACACTTGCCAAGTTCAAACACTAAGAATCATATCTTTGAAGGGTGATTCGATCTACTTACTATAAAGTTATAGCTCTTGGCTAAATGGTATCGACGAACGGAGTTCAACATCGAGTCAACAAAGCAGAAAGAACTGCAAGGGCCGATACCAACGGAAATAATGCAGAAGGCCTGGGAAAACGTTCTTTCGCTCCGGAATCGGCTCGTAAGCCACGCAAGAAACGGAAAACGTATAGTTGCGATGTCTGCCGGAAATTCAAGACCCGATGCGATTTCGAACCGCTGATAGGGCGCTGCCATCGATGCAACGTGTTGAATCTGGACTGCTCACTTACCGATGAGCGGCAAGGTGAGATCCTGGCTACTGTAGAGGAATCATCGGAAGCGCCCTTTTCAACTTCCATTTCTGATTCGCACGTCAAAGAAACTGCTTTGAAATCTTTGTCCAATCCGCAACCCTTCATGACTACTTTCAACAACAGGCTTAATAGGCTGGAGGCTAATCTGAGTAATTTAAATAGCAAGCTGGACTTGCTAGTAATGTTGGCACAAGGCTCAGATTCCGCTGTCAAGAACGACTTGAATCGTAAAAATATAACCGTCGATGCTCGAAAATTGAACTCCCACAATGGAAAAGTGCCACTTAGTAAGGATACAATTCATCATGTAAAAGGAGGTGATCGGGATGATTCAAACGATGATGCGCTCTCTACTCCTGGTAGCAAGGACGATGGTCATTCATTTTTCACTGACCTCCACAAGGTAGATCTAAACGGTCTCAAATTGCAAGAACCACCCTTGAAACTTATTAGCGATATTGACGAGCGACTTTTTCCCACCAAAGTGCAATCAAAGAAGGACAAGGTTGCCAAGACACAAAGACCTTTTGTTGTTGCAAGAACTAATTTCATCAAATTCTTCAATGAGCATGAGAAGATGTGCCTATTTTTATCCCGCGACTTTCTTGAAAAATCCCATTTCTGGATTATCCCAGGTGGTGTCAAGGAAATAGACCGAGTTTATGTCGAGAAGCATATATTCATATCCAGCGTCTTTGCAATTATCGCTATGGGTTTTGAAGAAAACGGAAAATACGAGGAAGAACAGGAAGTAATGTATCCTTTAGTTGAGCGTCTCCTCACCAATACTCTTACGATGTTCGAAAGACTAACAGACCACGACATTGAGGCCATTCTTTACTGTAGCATGTTCAATGTGTCGCGGAAGGCCAAAAGGCATCGTCAAATGAAGTTCAATTCTCTGGTCTTAACTAACTTTGCAATAAGCAGCCTTCTAAACATTATCGATTTCCACAAAATAAAGGAAAGGGTGATTGACGGTGAAGAATATAATGCGTTGGACATGTATCATCTGAGGATTTTGAATTCTTTGACGGCTTGTCGACTGCAGTACTCTATTGGTTTCGGAAGTTTTCTGGTGCCCGACGAAGTTCTGGATGACTTTAATAACCTTACAGCTCGATTTCCACAGGCAAACTTCGGAGATGATATTAAAATAAGTGAGATCAATTTGAGTGAGATTGTTAACAACATATTTCTCAACTTCAAATCTTACTTCAGAAACTTTGCTGATGATTATGTAGCGCGGCAAGAAAAAATCACAGCAGAGAAAGGTACCCTGACAGATTCGGATGCCCCCTTGACGTTCCCTGAGTTGGAATACTGGCTAAAAAATTGGGATGAGCTACTATCAAAGGACGGAGGAGGGGTCCTCTTGTTTGCTTACAATTACTATTACATCATGATCTGTCGATCATTTGTGACCGAATTCTATGAAGAATATGGGAACGAACTACATTTGTTTGAATCGATTTTGAAGACCATGAAAACCTACTGTTTTACGCTTTTGGATGGATTCTTGAAGTTACCATCTTCGCTCATCAAAGGAGCGCCTGTCATCACGGTATATCAACTTGTGTATGCCTGCTTGACATTGTGCGATTTCATACACTTTTTCGATGCCTCTGAAAGGGAACAGATCCTGAGTCTCTGCACCAAGATTTACTGGCATTTACACACAATTGGCGAGAAGCTCAATGAAGCTACAGAAAATGTTGGCAAGATCATAAAGTCCTTAATTGAAACGGGAAAGAAAAAGGTGCATGATGGAGGCGATGCTCTGGCTTATTCATCCCAGGGTGCCCCACAAGAATTTCGTTCATTTGTTATGCCAGGTGTACTTCATAATCCGGAGTCGCCGCAAAGCGTTTTGTCTCCGGGATCTCATGCGAGCGGAGCAGAAAGTGCTGCCGCAGGCAGCTTTAATATGCCCGACGTTGACCAGTTCAACTCGTTTGAGGATTTTTTTCAAGACTTTTTCGAAAACTTGAAACCAACCACTCAAAACATATTCTCTTCTTTGCGGCCAGAGTCACATTAATCCAAGGATTGAGTAGGGCGCTACCAGTTAATTCACTTTTTCACTTCGAAAATGGTGAGCCCGTCTTGTTTTTGAAGAGCGTACTCGTAAATTACCTTTGGCATTAAAGCTATTGCACCTCGTTCTCCGCTCGATATCATGCTCCTGACTATCGTGGATGATATTTCATTGGCGTTTGGGGTGTTCTGTTCCACCACAATTTTTTGATGCCAAATGCGCGGGATTTCAGGCTCGTATTCGCCTTTTGCGATATCTTCTGGGTAGTTTAACTGCTGCTCAATTTCGGAGTTACCACCTCTAGTGAGACAGTACAATTCAGTCTTATCCATGAATGAAGCGAGAGCCTCGGCCACCAAGCTTGGTGCATAGTATTTGGGGTCGAATATTCTTGTGATCGTATCGAATCCCACCAAATAAACAACTTGAAACCCATCTCCGAGCTTGTTGTGTATGACTTTAGACTTCTCGACAAACTTGCCATATGTGGTAACTGCGACAGAAGTCTTCATCGCGTCTTTTTCGAGGGAGTCGCAAAATAGGCACATCATATCGAGCCTCTTATCGAAAGCAGCTGGTTTAACTTCTTTGTCGGCGTTGTTGAGGGAAAGCAATAATACGATATGCAGTCTACTATCTCTGTAACGTTGTGCCGCCTTTCTTATCAAATTTAAGTGGCCATTGTGAGGTGGATTGAAAGACGAATCTAGCACTAGTAATCTATCTATATTGTTGATTTGCCGTTGACCATATATTATCTCGAAAGTGGCATTGGATGCGAGGAATGTTTTAAGATGTTCAGAGCATTTCTTAATGAGCATCGCGGCTGAACCTCGACTATTTGGTTCGGATTTTCAACTGATATGGCTCGAAATACAAATAACTTATTTATTGATGTAATGAAAATAGGATGACAAGAATTAGATTCGGTTTACAGACCATTAGCGGGCCGCGAAAGTGGTAGACAAAGAATACCTTAATGCACGCTCTTCATCAAAAGTAAAATGTTGATTTCTCGAATATAAAGATGTCCATTCTGCTTTGGAGTCTATGATTTTTAACGGAACTTGGAAGTCGGAAATAAGAATCACACTGTCAAAGCATGAAAGTGACCGCCATACCTGCAAACATTGAAGTTCCACGAGGCTGTGGGATGACGCTTGATACGAGTTGCTAACACTTTGCCGTAATGAGTTCAATTTATCACTTTATATTGTTCCGACATCTTTCCGACACTGTGGGTGCAAGAAACTCAGGTTCATGTCACTAACGTCACTCAATTGGTAATCAATCAATGCAATCATAATAAGCATTGAACTGAAACTACAAGAATAGACACTGACGAGCTGGTTGTCTCTTCTTACCTTCAATGTTAATCGTGATGTCTTAGTTACTTAGCTTCGTGGGAACAAATCCATCAACTCGGCTCACCTCTGTGATGATTTTGAGTAAGGACCTACTTTTTTGAGCTGTTTCAAGGGACGGTGATAATGTTATACTTTGGTTACAGCCTTTTAGCCTTGAAAATGTGTTGTTTCGCAAATTTCTGCACCGTAATCGAGCATCCTTATGTCATGCACGCAAGCAAAGAACGCAGAAATCTCAAATGAACCACAGCTCTTGAGTGGTAGTTTCTATATTTTCGAATCTAAACTATGTTTTCGCACTACTTTGCGTTCTTCCTTCAGAGCTCATCCCGTCTTCTTACATCCACCAACGTAGTCTCAAAGAAAAGATCAGAATTTGGTGGTATAACCGAACCAGCACCACGGGCACCATAACCCAAGCTGCTAGGAATACGTAATTCACGTTTTTCACCAATGCACATACCCTTTATGCCTTGATCCCAACCTTGAATCACTCGACCAGAACCTAGCTCAAAAGAAATTGGAACTCCTCTTTGGTAAGATGAATCGAATAGATCAGTTGAGCCATCTAGAGATCCAGAGTAGTGGACAGAAACAATGTCTCCGTCTTCAGCCTTTACTTTACATTCACTCGCGGGAATGGTTTTGACAATCTTGATGTCAAGAGCAGTCAAATTTCCAGCTAGGACACCACAGGAAAGCCCTAGAAGACCGAATACTTTGGTTAATTGCATTGTTTGCTTTTATGAATTCTAAAGACTGACGAAAGAGAGGTTTTCAACTGAATTGCTGCTACTCAGAGTCTTAAAACTGTATCTGAAGTTTATTCGAAAGTAACCACTTTCAACACCCACACGTGAAAGACATGTAACAATAACACACGCGTTCATATCAAGATAGCGAGCGATTGAAAAGCTTGTTCTATGGCCGCTATTGATATCTCACTACATTCAGTTACGTTCAAAGTATGTTTATAAAGGTTCGCCATTTTTAAGACTCCGTTGTGAAGTAGAGGTACCTAGTGTATTGCAACGTCAGCTGTTGAGCGTGGCGTCTAATCCCTGCTGGTGCTAGCTTAGAAAGTAAGAGCCTCTAGAGAAAGAAGCTGCGTCATAAAGCCGACAAAAGTTTCGACAGCTTTATCTGAAGTCAGTTCGACACTCTATTCTGGTTCACTTTGAGTGAGAATTGTCGACCTGACAATCCGAACCCTTCCAGAGAAAGCAACGGATTGTCAGATCCACCATCGAGGTATACGGGTGAAATTCAAGGCGCATAAGTATTGGGCAACCTGTGAGGTGACAGGCCCTCGCCTTCAAAATCCAAGATGATACGCTATATTCGATAATAAGCATCAAATGAGTAACAGTTGATCACCCTCAAAAGTTCAACAAAAGTAGTAGCCAGTTATTTTGGCAATTCTTAGCTTTTCACAAGCCACTTTGTCTTCAGCTTCTTGGTGTCAACCATAGGCCTTATGAAGAAGCATAACACAAATAGTCCAACCACAGTTGAAATCAGTTGACCCTTCTGAAAGCTGGGCTTCAGTTTATCAAATTGAGACGATGGCGTCACTTTAGTGCAAAAGAGATCATGGCCAAGACTGCAAACAATACTGGTCGACTCCAAATTCGTTGGAACGGAGATGAGGTGAGAGTTTGGTCCAGAGAGTACTCGTCTATGGTGCGTTAAAATCGTGAAATCACTGACAGGAATGGCGCTGACGTAGGGGGAGTTCAAAAATTCTTTTTTGTCATCTGCGGACATCAATGATTCTTCAATTCTCCTGGCGTTCAAAATGAATTTTGGGAGAGAAGTTATTTGTCCATTTTCAAGCTCAAGTACCACGGATCGTATTGTAATACCAAACTTAGTCTTCGTGAGCGCCAAGTTTTTGATAGTCTCTGGGTACATGTAGGCTTTCTGGACAACCTCAGGTCTCAGGACATTAGACAAAGGATCAGCTGCTGATGAACCGCTGCTCAATCTTACGTTCGGCGTTAGCGATTCATAAAGCTCGATGACACCAATTTTTTGTTCCGGAAGAGGATCGTTGCTGAAATAGGTATAGACGACCCAATTTTCGCCAACTACTAAGTTGATCGACGATGTCAAATCAACCGTATCATTATGGGAGACGGAATGAACTAACTCTCCAGTCGCAATGTCAATAATTCGTACCGTCATAATGTTTGTAGTTGAGTCACCGGTAATGTAGGCTGCTAGGTACGGATATAGATACTTGTAAAGTACCGTTCTGTTTCCCAAGATGCTGCCTAAGCTTACCACAGGACTTTGGTCTCTTTCACAGAAAGCCAAAATCTTTTCTTCTCCGTCTAAGTAAATTCTCCACGTTTCCTCCAAGGCCTCGTTTTTGTAGAGGTGTGAGCTGAGCTGAGTTTCGTCATGATAGAGGAGAAAGGAGTCTTCGCTTGCCTTACGTGAGCGGTTCAAAACCATTTTTGAGTGATCTTCGAGCTCCAAGTAGACGAAATCGCCATCTGCAAAAGGCTCAACGAAACTATTTGCTGGTAATTTTGATTTACTCAACAAGAATGGCTCCTTTTCAATTATGCTGATTTCAAAAGTCAAAGAGGTGCCGCTTTTTGTTATTACAAGCAGTTCAGTATCAAAGCTGGTTGCTTCTAACTTCAAAATGTCCTCCAGGTGGGTATCGATGGACCAAATCTTTTTTCCTGAGCGCGCGTCAAGATTTAATATCTTTCCCTTGTCAGTTGCCACAATCAAGTACTTCATGAACCCAAAACTGATATCTTTTTGAAGGGAAGTGACCTCGTCGTCTTCACCTAGTAGAAGCTCTTTGACGATGCTGCCCACAGAAAAATTCTTTCCAGCCAAATAGCTAGTCAAACGCTGTACGTTTTGCCGCACGCGATAAGCATAAGCCTCTATGAAGTTCAAGGATTCCTCCTGTGAAATTTCAGCGAAAAGCCTCGCACTAGAAGAATCTTTCGCTGAAACGAAAGCAAAAGCTTTGATATTCGCTACGGATTCGTCTCTGGTCCAGCTTTGAGATAACCTATAATCGGCCACTCTGAGAAAGTGAAACTTTTGGGAATCTGTAGAAATGATGATATCAAAGTCGCCATCGTCGTGACTGTTGAAAAACACCACTTCCTTAAAATCTTCGGGCAGTTCATGCAAAAAGACTACTTGCTCCTTATTTTGGTCGAGAACTTTCAGTTTTTTGCCGGCCAATTGAATCAATGACATATCTGGACGGCAAGGGGACAAAATATCAGAGTCGATGGATTCGATTCTATTTGGAACTTCTGAACCAGTGAGCAGATCGACAATGATTCTTGCCCCATCCTCATTTACAAGAATTAGCTCATTGTGACTGCTTGTAGCTGCGTTCAATGCCTGAATATCTAATGGAAGTCTGTCCAGCACTTTCCCATCGGTACTATTGACCCACGAAAGTAAAGATTTATCGCCCAAAGATGAAACAATGACTAGTTGATCGCTGCCATCTTCAACTACGGTAGAGAGGACAAATTCGTAATTGCCAATGTTATCCAAATGCCAATCTATACTGTCGACCTCGTCATCAAAAACCGCGAGAACTTTCCCAAAATTTGCCAAGGCAAGCAATGTCAAGCCAAGTAGAAAACTGAAAGCTCTGGTCATTAAGCAAGGCAATGGAAGCGTTCAATGGTTTCTACGCTTGAATTGTTGAAATGGGAGGCGATGCTTGAAATACAAATCTTTACTTACAAGACGATGAACTTCGCTCGATATTGAACATCCAAGAAATTATCGCAGGGCACGAAGGTGTAAAAGGAAAATGGATAGCATCGGCTTGTAGGCTGTGGTCAGCCTTCAGCGATTATTTGGATCAGTACTAGGATCTTTCCAATCATTTTTGTCGACGGGTTGATTATCGTTGTTGTCTGTCGCATTTTCCTCTGACATCAAAACAGTCGGCAGAAATTTGATGCTTAGCGAAGTTTCTAATGCCAAGTCCAACCATGGGTTGAAAGCAGACCAAGTTTCCGCCAGGTCAATGTCTTGTGGATCTTGAAGGCTGGAATCAAAAATGAGGCCTTTGAACGCCGTTTGGCGGGGACCGTTAGAAACGGGCATGCTGTGTTTTGGAGCTGACTCCATGAGGGAGTGCACAAGTTGCTTCGTTTGGGAATTCTTCTTTATGAGGTCCTGCAACTCTTGTTTCTTGTGCGATACGGCCCGCCCCAGCAAGAGGGTTGTGGTCTCCTTCGTGTGTCGGTTCCGAATAAAGTCGGTCATTTCCAGGTGATATTCGAGCTTGTCTAAATACTCAGTAAAGGTCATAGGCTTGTATTCTAGAGGCCCAAACCAAGATATCAGGTAGCTGTCAGCCTCAACAGTAGCACGCGCTAGCGCAACACTTTGTTTCACTTCGGGTGTATTCAGTGGTAGGACGTTTCCGTTGACGGCATCTTTCACCTTGAATCTTGTGGGATCAATGCCTTCATGATAATAGCGAACAATGTCGTTGAAGAACTGCTTTTCCCGAACTGAGCGTGCTTCCTCGTACCATGGGTCGTATTTCAAAATAGAGAGCCTACAAGTCTCGAGAAGTGACTGACTCAGCAATAGCGAGCCACTCAGCAAGTAAATTGTTCTTTTGAATGCATTGAATTTAGCAGACTGAAAGAATCTACTTGGGCCTTCGCGTCCGATTCTCTGAAATGAATGTGTTCCACCAAAAGAAGTGCCAAGATGTGTACCCATGTAAATATCACCTCGACTCGTGGAAAACCTGTTCAAACTGGGAAATTCAGATATATCTCTCTTCACAATTTTGCTACCCAAAGTCCTGAATCTTTTAAAGCAAAACAGTCCGATTGCCGTTTGAATGCCCACTAGTGTCCAAAGGCCGGTTCTATTGTCCGAAGCCGGGACTAGAGGTCCCCAAAGTCGTAGTCCTAAACTAGGTCTTGGATAAAATTGTATGGATTTATCATCATCAGGCTTTTCTGGGTCCTCCTTATGCGCTATTTTAGACAAGTTGGGGTTTTTAGAGCCATCAGGCGGTGAGTATAAACCCATTGCACGATTGCTGGCTCTAAATATGTTGAAGTCGAAGGTGCAACTGTGCTAGCAGCATCTTAACTACTTTCATTTATTCATGTTATTTTTCACGTTCTTTTAGAGAAGAGACGTCGCCGCCCGTAGGAGGAAAACGATCGAAAAGGATATTCAACAATGAGAGAAGACTGTATACTTTAAGTATTTAATTGTGATAGTGTTTACAATTCATCGTGGTCTACACTTTCTTCTGCAATAGCTTCGGCCTCCTCGTCAACTTCTTTGGCGGCTTCCATCGCGAGTTTTTGCTCCAAGATGGCAGAACCGTCCACCTTGTGGTGACCGTTTTCCGATATGAAGGACATGAGAGATTCCAAATCTCTAGCACCAGAGTAGACTACTGGAGATGATTCCTTGCCTGCTGGGTAAAGAATCAACGTTGGGTAACCTTCTAGATCGACGTTGACGTCGTTCAAAGTAGCATCTACGTTGGCAACAACAACTTTGCTCTTAGCAGATTCTTCAGAAGCGTAAACATCAGCCAACTCCTCGTAGATAGGAGCCAATCTCTTGCAGTGACCGCACCATGGAGCGTAGTACTTGACCAGAACATCTTTTTTCTCGTCGTTGACAATGTTGTCGTGGGTCTTACCGACAATTCTGAAAACGCTGGTCTCTTGAACTTCTGGGATTTCTTCGGACTTGATGATAGGCTCCAACTTACCGTTTAGGAAACTTTTGACGAACTTAGTAATATCGCTAGTCTTCAATTCCAATGGCTTGGTCAAAGCTGCGAATTTTTCGTCACTTAGCTGTGGTAGACCATACTTGAGGTTCTTTTCGGTATCGTGGATCACAAAAAGAGGGAATTGCTGCTTTACGTTGAGGTTTTCGGCATGTTTACCGTACAAAGAAGCGTCCAAACCGACAAAGTTGACCGCACCTCTGTGCTCCTTGCCCAACTTAGAAAAAAAGTCTTCATGAGAGGCACGTTCCTCAGCATTGTTGTAGAAATAATAAGCAAGAGGAACCTTAGCACTCATGTATGACTGAAAAGTCTCACCGTTGATCTCACCGAAATATGGCTTAGATTCGATTTGAACCCAGTCGACCAGGTGAGTAAGCGAGTTGTTCTTTCCCTCAAATTTGATTGGTTCTGCTTCCTTAGGCAAGTAAATCGATAATTGAGGTTCGGCACCAGTTTGGTTGTACTGAACGAAAATAAAGTCATCTCTGAAAAGCTCTGCCAATTCGCGGAAAGTATCGTTGAGGCCAGAAACACCGCCATCGACGATAACAGCCGATGGGGATTCAGCCAAGATGTCTTTAAAGTCATCCTCAGCGTCCTCGCCGGCAATCACGGAAACTGCTGGCATAGATTGGGCTGTCATGTATGAAATGATGGACTGCGCGGTTCTTCCTCCCTGGTATTCACTTGGTGACTCGATCTGGTGGTTCTTAAACACCTTGAGCGTTGGGTAACCCTTGATTCCTTGTTCCATACACAGTTCGGTTTCCTCTGTGCAATCTACCTGTGCAAGTGCAATACCTTTGCTTTCTAGAACTGCTGCTGCCTCCACGTAGTGTGGGGCCAAAGTTTTACAGTGTCCACACCATGGTGCATAGAATTCGGCCAAAACCAATGGGTGTTCCTTCACAAACTCGTTAAAAGTGTCAGATGTGAGTTTGACAACGGCTGATCCCTCTGGAGCAGTCGCTTCTTGCTGAGCATTTACAATTGCAGCTCCGAAAGCTGCAAATGCCAATACAATCTTTTTAGACAGTTGCATTGATTAGTTGCGCTGTTTGATGAAGTTTAAACGATAGGTTGTGAGTGGCAAACGCCAAAGCTCTTACGGTGAAGCTTACTTATATGAAAATATGACAAGTATGCCACGTAGTATTCGTATGTAGGGATTAAAGGTGTACTCGTGAGTACGCAACGTTGCACGTGCACGACTACACGCAAGTAGCTTACGCTTCTCATCAGACAGTTGCCAGTATCCCAGCCGCTACTGCTAAGCTGTGTAACACATCTGTACTGAATATTACAGCGGATAGAGTGTGCTGAATGAGTTTCCTAGTGTTAGGATAGCACAACAGGGGTTAAAGAGGCGATTTTCGTTGACCGTTTAACCTCTTGGCCTGCTACAGCGCGTGAAATGGAACCGGGTCGTTAATGAAAGGGCTTTTGTTAAGTTTGCATTCAACTCACCCACTGCTTTCAGGGAAATGGTCTCTCAATTTAAACGTCCCAGAAAAAAGTCTCTTCAATAAGCGGTCTGCGTCAATTGAGCGAACCATTCACTACCTTCGGACATGTTCAGATAACGATTATTGAAGCACACGCTATGACTCTGCACTGTCCTCAACCGGTGCTTCTTTATGTGCCAGAACTGGTGGTGGAGGTGGTGGCGAGTTTGAGGAGCGTTTTGTAGCAGACGCAGGACTGGGGTCTTTTCCTTCTTGGAAATAATCTTGGATAGACGCAGCAGCAGCGGTAGCATTAGTGTTTCTGGTCTTGCGTCTGTGAGTGGGTGGTGGGACAATAAATTGCGAAGTGCTGGAAGGTGCGGTATCCGGGACATCAGGAATGGTCGCAGAAGTGCCCGCTGGAATGAAAGACTCGCCAGACGAGGGGGGCTGATCAGACGCCGTGAAAGCTACAGCTACTTGCGGATCACTGCTCAGTGGATTTTGGAACTCAAAATCATTGTATTGAGCGACAGGTGCAGGAATGCGATGCAGGTAGCCGTAACCCATGTTGCAGCCCAGTCTTCCGTCACCGCCAATATGCACCGTGATAGGCCTTACGCATTCACTGACCACATTGTAGACGTACAGTTCCAGATCGTGATTTGCTCGGGACCTCAAAATGTCCTGAAGCAACGTTTCGCCTCCCGTTGCCAGCAGTCCTTCTTGACACCCTATCACGTAGTCTTCACGCGGTATGAGACCGGCAAGACCGGCTGGGCTGGACTGGTCAGTAATTTCTAGAACATGGTAGGTGTAGGTGGAAGCAATCAATGGTGTCCACTGGACAGAAAACCCAAGCTTTTCGAAAACATGATATTCCTGCGCGCCAGATGCCTCTAGTGGGATATCTTCGACGTTCTGTTTGCTTTCTACGCGTAGATATTCGGTTCTGAACGTGCCTCCACGGCCCGACCACACGTTGAACGCTACACTGGACCCGCAGGCAGCGTTCAAAATTCGAGTTATGGCTCCGAAATCTGGGTACAGGTAGCCGTGTTGGTTTTGAATCAGAGGCAATGGCTGAGCATCAATTCCGACGATGTAGTCGAAAAAGGACTGCAATTGAAGCTGGGCAACGTCACAGCTGAGCACTCTGAGCCCATGGAGCGCTTCGTTGGTGTTGTTTCCTTCCACCAGCAGCTCGGACGGCACGCTTGCGAAATACGAATCCAGATGCGAACCTGCGCCTATGGTGTCCGAGACGCTTTGCTCGAACGTTTTGACAATACTTTTAGCAATTCGAAACATCGGGGAGCAAGACTGAGGGTCTAAAAGTGGAGAGGGAGTAGCCTGTGAAGTAAGGAATGTTCAGGAAAGAAGGAATCAGATATGGAATGGTTAGTCTAAGTAGAAATGATGGTTAGTTTCCTAATGAGTTTCCTAATTTCGTCACAGGCTTCTGTATCGCTACCGACGAACTTGTTCCACGTGAAAATCATGTGACAGTAATTTTCTGATTACGTAATTTAGGGATGTGGTCTATTTTTTATTCAGCTCTTTGATATTGTACTCGAGTACTAGCGTCCCCTAGTATAGTTTTTCTCGTCGGTGACTATAGCTAAACACTGTCACTGGCACTTACCCACACATTCTTTCTAGTAAGCTCGTTCGCTCGTACTGCTCGCTCGTTCACGTCTCTAGTAAAGCCGTCATCTCTGCTTAATTCCACTTCTACAAATCCAGCGTAACCGTAAAACTAAAACGACAATGGCGAGATGATAAGTTTCGACTCTATTCCAACAAGCGTAATAATGATCAGATGTCCGGGTCCAGAGCTCGCTCCCCTTATTATCTGTAAAAATCACGGAATTCTACGGCTTCATTATAGTTCAGGTATCCGGCTATGGTCCAAGACCTGTATATATAAAGGACGTCTTGAAAATCATGAATGGAAAAGAGTGGACATAATATGTAGAACAAACGTTTGACAAAGAAGATCTATACTTCGCGTAGCAGATTCTGGCGCTAATCGACCTTACGACAACCGTACGCTAGATTGCTACTGTTTGGCTAAGTTTCTAGTTTTATATACCTGTTTTTTAGAGTAGTTTGAGTGCTCCTGCCTCTTCTTTAGACAGAGAAATATGTCCTTTGATAAAGTGCATCAGGAAACGCACGGACGTCTGTCGAAGGCCGTGGACGATGTGTGTGAAGAGTTTGTGCTTTCACCGGAAAAAATGCACGAGCTGACGAACTTCTTTATCGAAAGCATGGAAAAGGGCCTGGGACAGGCCAAGGAAGACGCAGACTACCGTGGACTGCCAATGATCCCTACGTACGTGACAGGGCTTCCCAACGGTACAGAAAGCGGGATGTTGCTAGCCGCAGATCTGGGTGGCACGAATTTTAGGGTTTGTTCGGTGGAACTAAAGGGGAACCACAAGTTTTCGTTGTTGCAGATGAAAAGTAAAATTCCAGAAGAATTGCTGGAAGACGAAACTGTGACGAGCGATGCACTGTTCACCTACTTGGCCCGCAGAACGCTCGCGTTTCTCAACAAATACCACCCAGAGTACTTGCAAAACGGCGAAAAGCTCAAAATGGGGTTCACGTTCTCGTACCCAGTGAACCAGACGTCGTTGTCGTCCGGTACCTTGATCCGTTGGACCAAAGGGTTCAAGATCAAGGACACTTTGGGCAAAGATGTGGTGAAATTGTACCAAAAACATCTAGACGACCAAGGCATGTCCATGATCCGTGTCGTGGCCTTGGCCAATGACACCGTAGGCACGTTTTTGTCGCACTGTTATTGCTCCGAAAATAACGGGTCTCTCACGTCCGGTGAAATCGTCGAACCCGTCATGGGTTGCATTTTCGGTACGGGTACCAACGGTGCCTATCTGGAAAAGATCGAAAACGTGAAGAAATTACCGGACGAGCAACGCGCAGAGCTTTTGCAGTCTGGAAAAACGCACATGGTTATCAACACGGAATGGGGGTCTTTTGACAACGACCTCAAGCATTTGCCAACCACGCGCTACGATATCGATATCGACCAAAAATTCTCGAGCAACCCGGGCTTCCATTTATTCGAAAAGCGGGTTTCTGGTATGTTTTTGGGGGAAATTCTCAGAAACGTGCTTCTAGATTTGTTCAGAAGGGGACTCATTTTCGGCCAGTACACTTCTGAAGACCATCTACCGCACAGATTGACGACTGCGTTCGAATTGTCATCTGAAGTGCTGTCGCACATTGAAATTGACGACTCTTCGCAACTGCGGGAAACTGAGCTGTCGATTTTGCAAAGCTTGCGGTTGCCCACGACCTACGACGAGCGTATTGAAATTCAGAAGCTTGTGCGTGCCATTTCCCGTCGCTCTGCATACCTTGCAGCCGTTCCAATCGCCGCCATCTTGACCAAGACGGGTGTTCTGAACAAGCGTTACCACGGAGAGGTGGAAATTGGGTGTGACGGGTCCGTCGTGGAGTACTACCCTGGTTTCCGCTCTATGATCCGCCATGCCTTAGCTTTAAGTCCAATTGGACCCGAAGGAGAGCGTAAGACTCACTTGTGCATCGCTAAGGACGGTTCTGGAGTTGGTGCTGCCCTTTGTGCTCTAGTGGCTTGATACCAGAGCATCAAAAGTGAGTAAAACAATGTAAGACATCAAGCATACGAAACACATCAAAACAACAAGAATGAGCAAGCGCGGGGACTTGAATTGCGGCATCAAAGTTATGTTCTTCGACGTACAATAAAATAAAGGACTATAATACGTATCCATCATAGCGTACATAATGATGTAATGAAACTTTTGATTACGTCAGATTTGGTCATGTGACGATTAGCTGGTCGCGTGACCGATTTTACCTGTAATTAAAGTCATTTTGACAAAGGGGTCCCTTAAAAAACGCATCAGACTTTAAAGAACACCAGTTTTTACCAGCATATTTAGCCAACAGATACCTTTTCTAAGTCAATTCTGATATCTCTAGGCTGATGCCCGTAGCTTTTAATGCCAAAATTGGTAGCGGTGACGCGCCCGACGCCGTATCGGTGCCGTCGTTTTTAGGAAATCCAAACTCGAGCTATCGCTCTAGAACAGGTAACACGGCCTTCATGAGCAACGATGTGAGCATGTCTAGGACTCCATTCAATAAACTGCAGCTCACGAAGTTGCTGATAAACACGCTTCACGAGATGGGGTACTCAGAATCGGCGGTCATGCTGCAACGAGAGAGCGGGGGTGTCGAAGTGAAATCCAGCAATGTGCAAAGACTGTTTTCAGCAATAAGTGATGGCCAGTTTCAGCATATTGATTTGAATATGCTACTGGGGCTTCCACTGAAACACAGCAGTCTGAGGAGTCTAATATTCGGGAGCGAGTCCGGCCATCCTTTGTCACAGGACAGCAGCGAAAATTCCGAAAGGACCGCTTTTCTGGAAAACAGTCATGTCGCCGGAGAAGATAGAGCTATGAAAATTGACAATCTGATTGTGAAGAGGGCCGATTGGCGTCGATTTTTCGATATCATGCAAAAGGATTTAGGAGTCCTGGAGCCCCTAGTGCAAAATATGGCAGATTTTGACGCAAATACACTTGCCAGCTTACTGGACACTGTTGAAATGCTCGTTCTGATCAATAAACAGGTCTTCCTTGAACTGATGTTTGATCAACAGGACTCATCGCTGGCGGTGGTTTTCCTCAGAACGGTCTTGCGTAAATATATTCAATTATGGGAGTCTCTCTTAATGTACCAAGAGAGCTCGTACGCACTCACCCCAGATACACTGCTTAAACAGATGACAAGCATACTCACATGCCCTTTAGACTCTACAGAACTGTCTGAGGTGTGGCCAGGGAGTCTTGAAAGCTCAAGGCAACTACTGGTCAGGTCTTTGTCCAATTACATAGATCCTAACGATTTGGTGCCCCGTGGAAGACTTCTCACTCTGTTAAGTCAGGCCATAAAATATCAAAACTCACAAGACGTGTTGAACTTTGAGGACGAGGATGAATACCTTGTTGATGATGATTCCCGACAGTACAATCTACTTCAGGACAACAGTTCGAGCTCCCAACGAATTTCCTTTGCTCCTGCAAAGATGTTAGCCCAAAATGCAGATGAAATATGGTATCTCGAATTTTCACCAGATGGGAGATACTTAGCCAGCGCCGCTGCAGATTCTTTAACAGATCGCAAAGTTTTGATTTACGATGTTGAACGAGATTTTCAAGTATACAAAGTCCTTGGGGGTAACGATCAATGCGTCCTTTATCTATCCTTTTCGCCTGATAGTAGGTATCTGGTATCATGCCCTTTCAACGAGGAAGCAAAAATCTACGACATACACAAAAAGGGCCATCCTACTGATCTGAACCAAGAATATGAAGATGCTATGGTCGCTGAGGTCATTCAGCCTGATGACTCCTTCAAAATTTACGAAAACGAGGGCACACCCAATGGGAGCTCACCAAGAATCTGGTGTTGCAGTTGGTTCCAAACTGAACGTAATAAAGGGCGTTTTGCTCTAGGCTCTCCTGATAGAGACGTCATCATTTATGATATTGGTGCGAAATCTATTCTGTTCAAATTGTCTCAGGTACTAAGTCTGAACGCTAACCTGTCTCAGGAACAATTTCCCAGAGTGCACGATTTGAAGATTACTTGCAACGATAAGTATCTCGTTCTTATGGCTCATGAGTTTTATGTGGACACTTATGATATCTCTCAAATTCCTCCTGTTCAAAGTGGAGAGCGAGTTAGCGACTCTAATATTGACGTTATGGGATTCCATGTTTCAAAGGTATCCCGATTAAGTGTGGGCAAACGTATGACTTGCTTAGCTGTACCAAACGTCAAAAATTCTACCAGAAATGAAAACTCTTTGATTCTGATTAATGTTCAACCTCATGAGCTCCAGCTCTGGGATTTCAAGGAGCAAATACTTGTCCAAAAATTCTACGGCCAGCGACAGCTACAGTTTATAATAAGATCTTGCTTTGGCTACGACAATAAACTAGTGGCCAGCGGTTCAGAAGATGGAAAGATTTATATTTGGGACAGATTTCATGGGAATATTGTGAGTGTTATAAACGGCCATGAAGCTGAACGGGCTTCGACGCGCATTTCAAATAAGACATTCGGAAGAAATTGCAACATCGTAGTTTGGAATCCGGCAAACAAAAATATATTTGCATCAGGAGGAGACGATGGTCTCATTAAAATATGGAAAGTAGTTAGGGGATAGGTCATATAATGAAACGCATGTTACGATAGCTGCTTCCAAAGTCGTAAGGCTATCCATGGTTATGTCATGAACTTAGTCATTCAATGCTTGTATGTTACTGAGGTCTTGTGCTTCTTTCTTGCCTCTTTTAACGTCCAGCATTTTGAAGACAGGTACGGAAATTAGCAACAGGGCAAGCAACAAATAAAATGAGTACCTGATATTGTGGGTCTTGTCAGTAATGAATCCCGCCAAAAATGGTCCAACAATCGAAGAACCTTTGTCTGTGACGCTGAAAAGACTGAAAAATGTGGACTCCTTTCCGCTCGGTATGATAAGACTGAAAACAGAACGAGAAACTGCTGATAAGCCTCCCATAGCTAGCCCATACCAAATAGCAAGCACGTACATCTCTCCGGCGTGCTTCAATCCAAAGGAATCAGAGAAGAATCCCAAAACACCATAGAGCGGAATGACACCGGCCCAGCAGATGATGAAGATCATCATGCCTTGTTGCGATAGTTTAAACCTTGACGCGAGAATTTGTGGTATCAGGAAGGCCCCTACGATACCACTTAAAAGCGATAATACGCTGACGGTTACTAGACCCACTGTTTTCATTTCAAGCTCAGTTTTCGCGAAAAGAATGGCAGTAGAGTTTATGGTGGTCACTGAATCTGATACAATGAACCAACCAATCAAAAAGATGACCACGTCCTTAAGTAAGCTGGCATTTTTTAGGGCTTCGAATAATGACCGCCATCCATACGCCAAGTAATGAAAGCAATTGGAAACTTGGATATCTTGAGCCTCAACTAAAGGTGGAAGCACATCTTGTAAAAGCCACGTTAAAGGAACCTGCCATGCGAGCCACCACAAGCCGACTAAGAAAACAGCAGCCTGGATGCTGTCGTGTGATTTACTGTTTTTGATCAAAACAATAGATCCGAGCTGAACGATAAGAGCAGCGACGTAGCCTACACCAGAGCCTCTTCCACTGATCACCGAAGTGATGACCTCATGGTCATCGTGCTTGTGAGCTGTATTGTACTGAATCAGATCGCGCGTGAAAACAGGTAGTAGGGAGTTACCTACCACGTTGACCACACCATAGCAGCAGTTAGAAATCACGGCTAGAACGGCTAATGAATAAAACTGAGAAGTATTCAGTTGCGATATTGCAAGCGTAGAAATGCCCCCCAAAATTCCAAAAGTTAGGATGACATAAGCCCTAAACTTTACAGAATTCCACATGTCTACCAAACCAGATATCGATATCACCAACACCGCTTGAAAAAGGACACTGAGTGAGAACGTGTAAAGAGCAAAACTAGCCGTATCAATGTAAAAGGAGTTATTGAAAACCCCCAGGACACATTTTTGGTTTGGGGTAACACAATTGAGAGAATGGTCGTCTACCGACACTCCGTTTAACCTTGCGAACTGCTCCAACAAAAGGGGAACATACGTAGAAACGGCAGATACAATAAACGGTTCACTTGAAAAACAGTACAGATACCAACCTAAGATATTGTTCGACGATTTTTTATCTCGATCAGGCTGGTGCACCAGCTCCTCGTCAGATGTCACGGCCTGGTAGTTCATGGTGAAAGTTGTTGGTTGATTATTCAAAATTTTGACGAACTTAGTTCAGTTTCCTATTCAAATGATACCTTAATATATAATATAGCTACATATACGTATATATGCTTATATGCCCAACATTACAAGGATAATCGCAACTAGAACAGAAAACTTAATAGTAAAGTCCAAAAGACTGGCTCTTTCAGTATGGCTTGATTAGTTTGATGAATTGCAACAAAAGACCATAAATTTGCGCTTCTTATGGTACTACTTTGGCTACTGAGACGGTAATAGAAACAATCAAATACTCTTGGTTCAAGATACCGCTTATTTCCAAAACCGCTGTACCCTAAGAGAAGCGAATCAGTAGCTGCGTCTTTAGTGGTCGTTTGCGTTTAGTTGGTTCAGGCTGTGTTCCAAAAAAACCCTCTTTCCGATTGGAGCCCGTGATGACAGCTAGTCTTCGCGACTAGAAGAATGGGTAGGTGTTTGGACATCTGGCGCGTGCGGAGTTTGGGTTGGACGACACATAAATACATGAAATGCAAGAGGTTGATATACATGACATGACAGAGGTTGGCATTTCGATGGAGAAGATAAAAGTATGGCGCTAAAGATCCGAATCTATTGTGAATTGATAAAAAAGGATGTGATATGAGATTTGCAGTTGACCGTATTTGAATCGATTGAGCTCGGGCTTATCCTGATCCGGGCTCTGGCTGTGCATCACAAATCGGTGACAGGGAGCGACAGCCATCGAAGGGTTTCGATGCTGCTACCTGCCAGCATCCGCATGTAGATCGCAAATGAGAAACATGAAAAGTAGCCTTCAGATCTCTACATACAAAAAAAAAAAAAAAATCAATCGTATAGATCATGCACGGAAGCGTACCTAGTCATTGAGGACTGACATGAGAAGCTTAAGTATAATGTTGAGCTGGTAATGGAAGTGTCTCGGTCGCTGTAAAAAAAAACCCAAAAAAAAACCCAAAAAAATGGAAACGAAAAGGGCAATGAAAATTAGTGGTTTATGGAGGGATTCATTGGAAAGTGAAACTCCTGATGCGAAGAACTGGGACGGCCTGAGGAGATTTTACCATCAAATTGTGAACTGGAATTAAAAGCAGGAACAAAAAAAAATAAAAAAATTTGGGATATGGTCGTGAAATAATCATGCTTGGAACGTTGATCATACGTTATCTTGCAAAGAAAAATTCATTCAAACCTTTGCATTTAACAGCAAATGATCAAAACCATGCAGCTATGGTACAAATACAGTCTTTTAGGGGACGTTCTCGTCGCAAGTCTTTTTTTTTTTGTAATTTTTCATTTTTTTCTTCAAATCAATCGGAAACGATATCTCAGGATTGATCACCAGTGGCCTCAGTTTGTGCTGGTGACTCTTGTTGATGGTCTTTTTCATTATCATCCTGTTTGAGTTCCACTGGGTCGGATGCGAATACTGGTGGTTGAATGCGGAATGAGTCCAACTCCTCGTTCAGCAAAATTTTCTTGTTGGCAGTCATTTCTGCTTGAGCTTCTTGATCGTTGTTGATAGCCTCGGAAACCCACTGCTGCCATTCCTTGGATCTCACAAGGTAATTGTCCAATGAACTTTCAGCGGCTTCATTCCGTACAGTAGCGACATCGACAGTGGCAGTCTCGTTGGCGACAATTTCCCTTAGGGCGCCCATGATGAGAGAGGCATCTCCCCCAAATGACATGTTCACAATTCTGTAAAACTTAGAAATCAAGGAAAGCGGCACAAAACCATCGCTTGCGAATTGAGAGCGTAAATACTCATCCTTAGTCAAGTTTTCAGCGCTGAAGTAGTACTCGATCTGTCTCGCGATATTGTTGACAGCTACAAATGGATGAGGAGGCCGGGAAACAAATGCGCCATCTTGATTCTCTTTGTGGTGCGAGGGCCTTGGGCGATACGAGCGGGGTTGGCCAAACGAACCGTAAGGGTGTTTGGAGTGGGAGTGATGAGACCTAAATGGTCCGTAGCTCTCTGCGTCGTGTCCCTGATGATGTAGTCTTCTTCTGGGGTAGCCGTTGTTTTGGCCATGGCCATGCTGGTTTCTCCCGTGAAAGGTGTTGGCCCTTGAGTTGTTATGATGGTCATGCGATTGTGAAACATCGGGAGAAGAAGTATTTTCTTCAGAGGTATTTCCATCGCGGTGGTGCAAAGCCTCAACAGATTCTGGGTCTTGCGATGAGACATGTTTTGGGTCAGCATCTGTGGAAACATCGATGTCACCTGAGACGTTACTGTCCGATGGCACCTGAGAATCTTTCTTGCTACCTTGCTTGCCAATCGCTGAATCATACTGCTTCTTTGATCTGTTAGCGTTACTGCTGTTCGAACCTGTAGCTGTGATGTTGCTGTTGTTGTTGGCACGACGAGGTCTTCTGCTGCCAGACTGAGCGCGTCTGTTGGCAGGGCCAGAGTGGCTGCCGTTATTATGATTTCCGTTGTTGCCATTGTTATTGCTGCCATTGCTGTGGTTGTTGTCGGTGCTTCTCTTGGAGCCCGACACAACAATCGACGCCTGCATTGGCAGCCATCTTTCTCTGCCCGATGTGGGTTTGATTGCTGGTGTGGGAGGAGTGAATTTGGAGCGTTTTTCCAGGGTTTCAACGGCTTCCTGGGTCGATGGCCATTTAGAAGACCCATTGGCGGTCGATTCGCCCGCCGCAACAGGTGTAGCGGTTGCCACCGCTTTCCATGGCGATGTAGTGGGCACTGGTGCAGGTGACAGGTTAGGCTTTGGGGCCGTTTTTTCAACTTCTTGAGCTTCAGCCGCCACAGCAGCTGTTTCCGGTACCGGATCGTTAGCAACAAGATCAGACATGGTTTACGATTGTCAAACTGGAAGGATCACTAAAAAGGAACCGAAAAATGGACAGAAACACTCTTTGAAAACCTAATGCGCTCAAAAATGGTCGAAAATGCTCCAAAAAAATTCGTTGCGACTGCTTGTCAATGATCTCACACTCGAAAAAGCTTTCTGGTTTCGCTAATACGACGTTTTACCGGTTTTCTAAACCTTTTTGTCTTGATTCTTATACACTAATGGTTTAGCTCATCGACTCAATTTCCAAAATTTTTCTTCCCAATGGGCCCAATTGACCAAAATTTTTCAAAAAGCTCATCGCCTAGCCGCTGACGTAAGCTTTGAAATTAGAATATTGAACAATGAAAATTAACAGGAATTGAAGACCAGTTGATAGAAATATTCGAAAAGGAGAATAATAAGGTTGTGAATTAACAATTCGCAAGAAAGGGTGTTTTCTGAAACCTGAGGATCTGTATTCTTGTGAAAGGGGTATTTTCAGCGGTTCAAACGGGCCAAAACGACTGAGATTTAGTAAAGACACCATAGGCAGAAACAATTAGCCAAAAAGCTGTGAAATTGGGAACTAGAGTGTTCATTTCTAGATCAAACAGCCTATCAGCTTATTTATTGTTCTGTTGATGCTCAAAAAGTGGAGTTTTTGTCGCACAGCTTTCCAAAAATTCAGTACAAACGTCAGCAAGCCTAAAACCAGCCAAATGCCACCTTTATCTCAGTACTCCAGAAAAAATAACCAGCGGGAGCCTAATGCCATCTTTGTGAGAGGTGCCAAGGCGTCACGGGGATCCGAAAACATCAGTGCGTACTTCAGAGCAGCAGCTGGCGTATCCAACGACATTGGACTATCCAAGGCTCGCATGCTTGAAAACAAACACTTCAAAAGCCTCACTACTATCCCTTACACCCCGTTCCCTGCCAGAAACGCCCATATCAGTAAATATCTGGATTCGATTGCGAAATCGTATCGGAAGCAATGGAATAGGTCAGAAAACGAGCTACAAATTAAAACAGATGCGCTGATCGAAGAAGCTCGCGAAGAGGATCCACTTTTCCCCATCTTAGAGCCAGAACTCGACGAGCGGGTTCGAAAAGCGCTGCGTAAACTTACCAACAGTCACACACCCAAAATCAACACAGTGCCTGGAAAACCGGAGTTCGAGTACCTTTCAAATGCGATAAGGTACCTAACCTCGCAGCGGACTATCTGTCTGTGTGTTGATGTTGAGGCATTCGAACGGAACACCAATGTAGTGACTGAAATCGGCATTTCCATCTACGACCCGCGCGAAAGTCAGTTTTCCACTGTTCCAATCCTGCGGACGTACCATTTGATTGTTGCAGAATCCTTAAAGATGCGGAACGGCAAATTCGTTTGCGATTTAAAGGATTGCTTTCTCAAAGGGGAAAGTTATGTGATGTCGTTGAGCAATTGCGTCAATTTCATACAAACTTTGATAAACTACTACATGGTCACGGAAACCGCAGCGGAACGCACCTGGGAACGTGCCTTTGTAGGTCACAATGTCAAGGGCGACCTCAAATGGCTTTCTAGCATTGGAGTGCAAATCCCCCGGAATATCGACTACAATCTGAACCAGACCTCCGGTGACCAAAGTCTACGCGTGCTCGACACCGAGCGGCTATTCAAGATCTCGTACGGAAGCAAGGGATCGAGTCTGGGCAAGATTCTGCGTCTCTTCGAAGTACCGCATGCGTTTTTGCATAACGCGGGCAACGACGCTTACTATACGTTGAAGCTGCTTCTGCATATGTGTGACATACAATACCGCAAGCTACTGGGGATGGACGATTTCTATGGTGTAGCGGCTAAGATTGAGATGTGGGCAAAGCGGGACGCGATCGAGGCTAGGATTTTGCCGTTATCGTACGTGAACGCGGCGATCGAATTCACAGACCCAAATATCAAGAAGAAGACAGTACACCAAACCGAATTTGGCGGTTGTGTGTGGGTGGATGACCCCATTGCATCTTTAACGGGTCAGAAAGTCAAGATATAGAAAATGTGCTTGGAGTGTTATTTACAGTGGTAAGTAAAGGTAGAAAGCGGGAAAAAAGTGAAAGTTGAGTTAGGTGACCAAAAATATAGAAATCGTTTGAAAAATGAAGAGGACTGCGGAAAAGATTAGGCTGGGATTCAAATGACTGACAGGAGTAGGGTTTTTGATGCATTAACAGGATCAGGAAAGATGGTGGTGGTGGGTAAGATCAGGACTGGGAAGGTGTTCTGTCGTGTTCTACGATTCCCACAACTTGTGGTGGCATCGGGCGGTCAAAGTACTCGATGCTGATATTCGTACTCCAATAACGCACCTACTATAGATAAACTGAGTTTCATCACTCGCTGACTTCTTGTTTCGTCCCCACTCCCGGGTGAGATTAGGAAGATCCATGCTACATGACGTGTAGACTTATTCGACTTCAGCGGGTAACTAAGAAACAACTCTCCCACCTCATCTGACCCTGCTTAATACAACTTCAGACTACAATTCATTGGCGTAGGAAAACTTGTTTTCGAGACTATGTGACTGCAGTAAACTAGACATATCATACGCTTCATCGTCATTAAATACTGCTATACTCCCATCTACTCTCATCTACTCTTCCCTTGTTCCCATACATCCTAGTAATTTGTGATACTTATCCGCGATAATATTTCAGATACCAAATGGGTTCCATGTATGCGATCCGTTTTGCAACCCAATTCTCAAAAGACGAGGATCCGAACTGTGATCCGATTTCCACGACATTTAGGGGGGGCCTTTTTAGAAACATTTTTGAGAGCCGTGGCGGACGACGTAAATCTCTGCATGCAACACGAAAAACACATTGCACATGCATGATGCATATCTCAATCTGCATGCATGATGCAACAAAAACGATCTACATGCATATGCATAAACCGCATAAATGGCAAGGTGGGCTCAAGATCGCCAACATGCATTATCGCGTATCTGTCAAGGCGTGGGTCCGCGCCGAGGCAACTCTTTATGCCGAGAATGTCAACAATCGCGTATCTGTTTTTGTGTTTCTGTTGGGAAAGTGGTTTCTCCACGACCCAGCCGGATTTTCGCGTGTTTTTGTTATGCTGGCTATAACCCCTCTTTATCTTTGGACCTTACTGGCAGCGGGAAAGAAAGAGTATATAAGTACAAGGGAATTCCGGAATTTTAAGGAACGTTTACGCGTCACATTTGAGCGTTAGTTTGAAGTTTGGTTGTTTATCCTTTCTTAATCGTTCAGCTCACCACTCTCGTTAAACTGAAACTCATCACACAATGGTTTCTTGCAAACTAGCACTAGGGTTGCTAGCTTCGAGCGCAATTGCCACAGCCGCTCAAACTTTCCAAGTCGCGATTGACTACCAACAAACGCTGGGCGTTTGGTACTATTTCCGCCAAAGCAATGATCTCGTCACAGTGTCGCCAAACAACCAAGGATTGGCCGTGACGGTCAACTCGGACTCCAACGTCTGTGACATCTTGCGTTCCGGTATGATTGTTGTCAAACCAGACAATTCCGCAAACAATGCTTTGGTTTCATGGAACCAATACGAGGTGTTCCATTTGGACAACTCCCAGGGCCAGGAACTCACGTGGACCAGCACTTTGGTGCAATCGTGTGGCGGTGGTTCCTCTTCCGCTTCGGCTTCCGGTAGCGGTTCTGGCTCTTCCGGCGTAACCAGCACCATCAGCAGCACTTTCAGTGCTGGTGGTTCCTCCTCCAGTTCCGGCTCTGTCTCCACTGTCAGCGCCGGCGGCTCCTCTTCCACTTTCGGTACCGCCAGTGGTTCTTTCTCTGGCTCTGCTCCTTCGTCCACCGTCATTGTCAGCACCCAGCCTACCTCTTCCGGCTCTGCTTCCGTTTCGTTGACCCCATCTGTTGTCACCACCACCCAAAGTGGTACTGTCACCTCGTACACTACTTACTGTCCAATTTCATCCGGTCAGTATACCTCTTCTGTCGTGACGATCACCGAGAGTGGCACCGTTACTTCTTACACCACCTACTGCCCTGTATCCACTATGCCTACTACAACGCCAAAAACCTCCGTTGTCACTGCTACTGAAAACGGTGCTTCTAGCATTTACACCACGACTTTCCCGGTGTCGAGCTCTGCTGCTGCATCTACCACATCAGTTGTTACTACTACCATTAGCGGTGTTGAAACCATCTACACTACCACTTGTCCTCTAAGCGGTTTGACTTCTGAGGCTGCTACTGTCGTCACTACCTCCAGCAACGGCAAGCCAACCACTTACACCACCACTGTCCCTGTTTCCAGTTCTGCTGGTGCATCTACCACATCTGTTGTTACTACTACCATTAGCGGTGTTGAAACCATCTACACTACCACTTGTCCTCTAAGCGGTTCGACTTCTGAGGCTGCTACTGTCGTCACTACCTCCAGCAACGGTAAGCCAACCACTTACACCACCACTGCTCCTGTTACCTCTGGTGAAACCACCGTTGTCAAGCCAACCACCATTGTTACTTCCACTGTCATTTGCACTGAGGAGAAGTGCGAGACTAAAGCAGTGACCAGCACGTCTCAGGTTACCTCTGTCATCACTCCAAGCTCTGCTGCTCCAGGTACTACCGTTCCAGGCACAACTGTTCCAGGTTCTTCTGTTCCAGGCACCACTGTTCCAGGTTCATCAGCTTCTGGTACTACTGTTCCAGGTACCACTGTTCCAGGCTCAGTCGCTCCAGGTACAACAATTCCAGGTACCACCGTGACGGGCACTACAGTTCCAGGCTCAGCCGCCCCAGGTACTACCGCCCCAGGCTCTGCCGCTCCAGGTACTACCGCTCCAGGTACTACCGCCCCAGGCTCTGCCGCTCCAGGTACTACCGCCTCAGGCTCTGCTGTGCCAGGTACCACTGCTGCCGCTGGTTCGGGCAGTTCTTCTGGTCCATCCTCGGTTACCATCAGTCTCTCCACTGGTGGCGCCGCTGGTTTGAGCACCAACGGTATCTTGATGGCCATTGTTGCCATCTTTGCCTCTCTTTTGTAAACTTTTTGACGTAGCTTAGCTAGCGCATAAGTACAATAGAATTATGACCTCTGAAACTCGATACTGATTTGATTTATAGGTGTGTGTGTGTGTGTGTGCGTGTGTTGGCACTACTTCAAGAGAGAACTGTCGATATAGAAACCACGAAGACAATGGAGCAGGCGCTGTAGGTGAAAGGTTGAGCACAGAGGATTAGTCAAGAGGTAGGATTACTCAATTGATTAGTTACAAGCACTGTTCGTGAATTCCATTGTGACAGTGTCGTTCTCTGTAACGCGCCTTCAACATTGCAAATTTCAAAAATAAGTAAACGTTAAGAACATCAGTTAAAGTTAATTACATCCCTCCCGCACACACTCTAGACACCCACATAACCTGAATTGTGCAATCAGACTATATTCTGAAGGGCACGACACATTATTGAACGCATTAATTATGTTTTTTGTCACATCCTGAGCGTTTGCCAACATTCAACCCGTAAGTGGTCATAGGAGTATTGCGGCGCATTCAAGCACACCTTAACGTGTCATTGAGCTCTTCAATACTTAACACTCTAGCCTCGTTGACAGTTAAAACCTACTTCGATATTATCTCTCAGAATTACTAATGTCATTACAAAGCTGATCTTGAACGCCTCCTACCCCTCCTAAACCATTATTCATGAATTATTCTTCAATATGTCATAACTACACAGGAATATACTCTCTGAAGACCACCGCAAACGTATCTTTCGCAGTCTAAGCCAAGGCCTTCTGCAACAAGGCGTCAAGCTTGCCACTCGATTCCAAGGCTTGCAAATCGCTGTTGCCACCGATGTGCTTGCCCGAAATGAAAACGTTGGGCACAGTTCTTTGGCCGGTGATTTCTTGTAGCGCTTCTTGAATTTCAGACCCTTCCTTGATGGTGTCCAGTTGCAACAGCAAAACCTGGTCTTTCGACAACTTTTTGTCCTCAAACAGCAACTTAAGCGTGGCCTGACAGTAAGGACAGTACGTCTTGGAAGCAACAAAAATCTTGTTGTCCTTGATGAACCCTTGAACTTTTTGAACAGTCTCTGGAGATGCCGTCATTGAGCCGAAAACAGAACTAAAAAACCTACGGAAAACAAACACGGTGGCTATTAAAACGACTAAAACTAGTGGTTTGGAGATTTCCATAGATTAAAAGCTTAAAACTAAAGGATGAATTTCAATGGTCGGTGGCCATTCGGGCTCTGCTTATTTATACTCCGAGGCTGGCCGGGTAACCCATTTCAATATTAAATTTGCAGCTTATACAAAATTACATGACGTTTTTGCTCCCTTTAAAGGAAAGTTATCTAAAGGTTGGAAGAAGATATACGATTAATCCAGAGTCAATTGTTAGCAATTGAAACGGTTCAAAGCCACTTTTGAAGTCCTTTGTTGTGTCTTTCGCTGTTCTTACTTGAGTGCTAGTGGCAGGGCTTTTTCCAGCGTTTCAAAAGAGCCCAAACTCGCCTTGTTAGCTATCATGGGCTTTCTCACCGACCATCAGCACACTGCTATCACAGATACGATAGATCGGATCGTTTCCTCTGAAAACCTCACTTTAGAGGTGGAATTGGCATCTTTGATACAGCAAATCCGTGCTGGAAAAGACGATTATGGGTATAATGGTAACCAAACAGAAGCGGCCCGTTGTGTGCGGAAAAAACTCAAATATGGCAACAGGATGCAACAAACCCGCAGTTTGGAGCTCTTGAATTTGTTTATCTCACAACGTATCAAGTTCTCAGAAATGTACAACGACGCCAAGCTGCTGGACAGACTACAGGTGATCGCTTTACAAACGGGCACCGACGCCAATGGACAACGCTACCATATTCGTGTGGTGAAAAAATGCATTGGATACATTTTGGCGTGGTACGCAATGATCGAAGAACAGGGCCCCAGTCGGAGCTACGAGGCTCTGTACGACCTGGGCCGCAAAGTCAAAACAAAATACACAACTCGTCTACGTTCCACACCATCCAGGAGACGAAAGACCTTCATGAACGACGAGGCGGACGCTTCGATGCTTATGACAGCAGACGAGCGTTACGGGATCCCGCAGATAGATATGGCGCAAGAGGGTCCACGTATCCGATTGCTCATTAGCGATTCGCTAGCCTCTGCGATCTCGTTAAAGAACGGCTTGAACTCGCTGGCTCCGTCGGCTAAAAGCACTGATAGTGAAGAAGTCACTGCAAAGTTTATACAAGCCCGCGCTGTCCGTCGCAAAGTGTTGCGATACTTGCAATTGGTAGCAGAAGGAGAATACCTGGGCAGTTTGATTCACGCCAATGAGGAACTGGTGTCAGCTTTGGGCCAATACGACGAGCGCAGTGGAGACGCATCCGGCGATGACGACGACGAGGACGAATTTCTGTTTTCTGACGAAGATGAAGACGAAGAGTCCGCTTTATCGTCTTCCTATTCCAGAGATGTGGAGCGCGCCGATTCAAACAACCCTTTTGGCGATCAAAATCGCATCTGAACTTTGTCAAGCACCTTAGAAAAAGAGTTGGGAACCTTTTAAAAAGAATGAAACTCATTAATGTATACATACAAACCACATAAAAACTTACCTTTAATTCCCAGCGCAATTCCTACATATTTTCAATCCTTTTTTTTGAAGTTCAATGACAAACTATTCACACAGTGTCTGACATCCTGAGGCAGACCCAATCGTTCACGCCAGCCTTCGCCTTCGAAAACATGGCCCAAATGTCCGCCGCATTTCGCACAGCAGATTTCCGTCCGTACCATGCCCATGGTGCTGTCACGGTTGTATGTGATGGCACCCTTTGATACTTCTTCGTAAAACGATGGCCATCCACATTGAGAGTTGAACTTCGTATCACTCTTGTACAATGGCGAATCGCAATTGGCGCAATGGTAGATTCCCGAATCGTTGTTATTTAGATATGCACCCGTATGTGGTCTTTCGGTGTGCTTATCGCGAAGCACTAACAATTGCTCTGCTGTAAGTTCAGGGTTCCAGTTAGGTGGGCTCATCTTAAGTTGAATAGGGTGACTTGAAAACTGTCTTGATAGAGAATATCTGAATGTTGTTGCAAGATTTCTTCTGAACACAGTGCTTCTAAACATCTACTTATAGAAGTAATCACTCTAAGGTTCAAGGTAAGCCTTCTTATAGACTTCTTGTCGGTAAACTTTATCAGCCTTCACTTCCTATTCCAGTCAAGATTATTTAATGTAAGTACTCAAAATCAATGTATTCACTACAGCACTAACAACTGATCCGGAATCCTACTATATTACTAAGACTCCACACGGCTGCGCCATGACTACAAAGTATCCCTCCACGATGAGCTGCACCGAGGCTTTTGATCAGCTCAGTGCTTGCTATTCGGTCGGTGGCCAGTTCCGGAACTACTACAGGTTTGGCGAATTCAATGCGTGTATGAAGCAATTGGAAAAGTTCAAGTTCTGTATTCTACATGGTACGGACCCTTTAGAGATCCAGCGGTGGTATCAGAAACAGGCCGAACTGAACGCAAAGCAACGTGGCAGCTCCGAAGACGTTTGGCAGGAGAGAAAGAGTAGCTGAGGTAAGATGAGGTAGGGTTTTAACTTTAGAGATGAGCTGTATATATGATGGAATGAGAAAAGTTTCAACCCGTACAGTGTGATACTGAATGTAGTGGTGGGAATAGCTCTCGAGATCTTGGAGCAGTCTCCTGTGAACACAGTTCTCATTGACGTGTCAATGATTATGATGGCTCGATTTGCGATGAACTGCCGTGAGGGAAATATTGAGCGAAGGCCAGAAAACGTGATCAGTGCGTGGAAGGAAAGCTGTATGTGTTCTGTTCGTCGCATTATTTCACAAGCGCAAAGATGAGATGGCAGAAGTCCCCATGGATAGTTTGCTCGTCTCGGCTGGTAAAAAGGATGATTTTTGTCGTTGTGTGTGTGGGAAACACTTGTCGCTGACGAGCGTCACGTGATACGATATCATTTCATGAATTGTTGTACGCATCACTCGGAAAGTGGACAACATAAGGTTGAACTTTGACCGAAATGTTGTCTACATGAACTCTTAGTCTGGTCCGCTTCTCAAAGTATTCCTTTGACTTCATAATATTCGTATAACATGATCATGGACTGACTCTGTTTCACGACGTAGGCTGAATAGAGGTGACTTTAGCGGTGCCTTCAAGAGGTAGGCATTATGTGCTTTACAATTTTCATAGAGAGCACTTCGAAACATAGCTTTTTACAACTTTGGCAGCGCGTTTTTTTTTAATTTATGCTACATTCTTACCTTCCTTATGGACGAATTTCGCAAATGCAACTACTGGGGAGGCGTGCAAACAGAAAAAATGACAGCTTTTCTTACAAATAGATCAGTTCTTCAAAGGCTTGGAACCTCATTCTATTCGACGTCTAAACTCCTGTCAAAGTAATCTTAAATCACGTGCTTGAATGACAGTGTCAAGAGTAGAATACCGATAACCGGAAATAGCACATTCCCGACTTCTCAGCACCATGATCTGAGAAGCGCCCGATATTACAGCTTAATTTAATGGCACCAGTAGAATGTTTTGACTCAAAGTCATACCAGCTCAATTTAGTTGAAGCCTTTTTACTTCCATTGACAGTGAAATGCTCTCCAGAAATTTATAAAGAGCATATTCTGCACAACCTATGAGACGCCCCTCTGAACAGTCAATAGATTTACGATAATATCTCATTCTTGGTTCAATAACTAAGAATAGTAAGTCACTTTCAATATTAGACGTCAACCAGGTAGTGGAATAATCATCAAACCAAGACACACCAGGAGCTCACTTTGATTTGGGTAAGGAGAGAAAACCATTACAGACAATATAAAACATTCACCATCCTACGACAAGTCAAATAGAGAGTCTCAGCTCTAGTATAAGCACAAAGTGACGTTCACTGACGGTAAGTAAAACCTCACATTTAGTGATCACTTCACACGCCTATGACGCTACGCCATAAGAATTACATTTCTAAATATATGACCTGTCTGCTTGATCCCAAGCTTCTCTCATCCCATCCTGTTAACAGAAGCATTGATTTATCCAGTCAATCTCGAACAGCTCCGTCATGAGCGTATCCTCTACCCAAATACCCGAAGATTCGAAGATTGAAGATGTCGCGCTATGGGGCGTTGAAGAAGTGCTAATCTGGATCGAGCAGATAATAGGCAATTTTGGGGTCGAAAACGCTGGAGGCGAGGGTAAAGAGAACGCTAAAGATGGACCTAACCTTGCGAAAGTGCAGGAAAATTTCAGGGAAAATGCAATTGACGGGGCATCGCTTCTAGAGCTTGATTTGGACGATTGCAAGCAATTGATGGAGAATGATGCCAAGTTTGCAGTCCACCTGAAACTCGAAATAAATATACTCAGGACCCAAAAAGGTACACAGGAAGACGAAATCCTCGCAGTTCTGAGCCAATTGTACTCGACCGTCAGCGACAAACTACAGGATTTCCAAAATCAGTACTCTCGGTTACGACTGGATGTTCTTGAAGTCGTGAAAAAAGACTCGATCTCAGTACCGCAGAGTCAGCAATTAACCGCGGGTTCTGTTCCTGTGTCGGCTCATAGCCATGCACCGCAACAGGACTATTTTGAAGGCCATCGAGTGGTCACACCTTCGTCGCCCAGCAATCTTACCGGGCGTCAACCACTCAACAGGTCCACTTCAAGCACTGCCTCACAACAAAATGCCACAACACCAGCAGTCAGCACCCCATATTCCATTCCTACATTACAGCCAGGAAACGAGCCACTCAAACACATGCGGGCATCAAAGGAAGATTCTTGCGAAAGAATACTGAAAAGCGCCATGAAACGCCACGGACTCAACGAACAGGATTGGCGACAATACGCATTGGTTATTTGTTATGGGGATCAGGAGCGCATTCTAGAATTAGACGAAAAGCCTGTTCAGATTTTTAAAAATCTCAAACAGCAGGGCCTACATCCGGCAATCATGCTGCGGCAACGTGGAGACTTTGAAGAAGTAAATAATGGCCTTACCCCTGGCGGGAGGTTGTGAATCACAACGATGTAACAAATAATACTGTTGAAACGATATTTCTTTGTATTATAATGAGACAAACCTAATTTACATTCACTATCTTGACCAAACTACTTTCTATAACTTAAGAGTATGGGTTGAATCTCCGCCTGCTCTTCATTTCCTTGACTTTCTCTTGGTCTTGCTTAAACTTCTTCAACAGTTCGCTAATTTCCTGCTTTTTACGTTCTCTGATTTGGAATCGGTAAAAATCTTGCTTTGTCTTCTTGTCCACCATTGATGGAGGCTTGACAATCTTTTCATGCTTCAGCAACGGATTCTTATTGAAGATTTTTTTGCGAATAGAATTCAGAGATTTGGTGTTCTTGCCTACTACCAGCGTGAAACCATCCTCGTCGACAATGGATGACTGCGCTTCTTCTTGAGCTTGCTGTTCCCTCTGCTCAAATAATGCCATGTGCGAATAAACGTCTTCTTTCAGATATTCCGTATCTATTGGCTTGTAAAAATTGGTGAAGGTCTCTAAAGAAGGCGACTCGAAAGCCCAACTGACTAGTTTGGAGTCCTCCCGTTCCTGTGAGTATTTGCGCAATGCGCTCCATGCATTTTCAAGACTTGCAGAATCAATGAACTGTAAAAGGGCTGTGTTCCTTGGCGTGTAACGTTTTTCTTCAGCGTCTCCGGTGGACATTAGACTGGAAGTTAGTGATGAGAGGTCGACGTCATGGAGACCAAACTCGTCATTATGCAAAAGCTGCGATACGTGTGCTACAGCACCATATTGTCTCAGTATTTGGCTGATGCCTTTTTTCAAATTTTCCAGATTGGTGAGCAGAGGTAAGTTAACAACGAATATGCAGTTTTGCTCATTTTCGTTTTTCGTCTGATGCTTTTTCATGAACATGTAGTGCGCCAACGCCGAGTCTTCGATGTTTGCGGCCTCCTTCAAGCATTCCTTCAATTTTTCAGATTCGTTCAGTGCGAACGGCACAACTAAAAATCCGTTCTTCATGGAATCAACACGCAAGACCATCTTGGATTAATCAACCAGTATACGACCGGACAGAGAATGAATGAAGGAAGGAAAGCGTTCCCGAGTCCCTAGCGATCAACAAAAAGCCCTGGACTTGATAGTATCGTGTTGGATGTGATCTTTACCGATGGTGAAAACCAATTTCGTCAACTCATAAAGCGAAGTGGTCATTAGGTACGCAGGAAAGAAAGCGAAGAGGGTGTCACGTGAGGTCAAGATAGTTCAACAAAGCTAACGAACTGCTACCCATTCACAGGAACGCTCTTATTCTTTTGAATACTAAATTGATGCTGGACGGCATGGAGCGGAACGGATCTAGAATTTGCATTTACCTGGGCCTTCAGAGCTTTTGAGCCTTCTCTGAGTTTTCGATTTTAGCATTTATCTTCATTGTTTCTTTCGAAGTTAGCTCAAAGGTTTCTCAAGAATGCATCACACCTGGGCATCATCCACAAGGGTTAATGGTAATTTCTTAAGCTCAATTCTGATTAGAAACTGGCACAAAGATCGCAAAAGTTCAAGAGCAGATCCGGGAAGCCCTCATTGGACGTAACTTGACCTCATTCTGATTGACGCATAGTTTCGGTTTCTTTCATGAGCTCATATAGTTGTGTTACTTGATCGGGTGACATTTTGTCTAGTAGCTCAGCGGAGAGCGTCGCCTCGTGCCATTGTCCTTGAGTGACGACATGAAGATAGTCTTGCCATGACGCGAGAAAACCAACAATATGAAGTGGATTGCTCGTGGTTTTGTGAAGTTTGAACTCGTTTTTCACATATTGATCACCCAATTCTCTCTGGGCATCGGGTAAATTCCGGTGTTCTCTGAGGATGCGTCTATAAAGCTGAAGAGGCGGCAAAAGAGGTTTAGCCGGCTGTGTTCCTCTTCTACTACGTAAACTCGCTTTAGAAGCAGCTTTCATTGAACTCGGAGACGGTTTAAACATGATTTGGTCAATGTCAATGGGTTTGGCTTCTCGTAATGGTGGAGGTGTGTGCGTTCGTTATTACAGCCGTTAAATATTCTACAGAAAACTGATGGGATACACACCATGTGACATTCATGATCTGAGAGCGATCAACGGATAGAAGTCATTGACAGCACTGGCCGATGTGGCCTTCTTGTCAGTTTTCAGGAGCAGTCAACAAAGGATTACGATGCGATTCAAGCGCTTCTCAGTCCTAGAGGTCGGGAAAAAAATAACGAAAATACATTTCCAGAGGAGACCGTAAACTCAAATTAAGTCATAATATAGACTTTTATCTTCCCTTTACTTGTCTTGAGAGGCGTCTATTAGCTTCGGGTCTTTTTTTGCTCGCCCCTTTAATTTTAGAATGGGTCCTTCTTGGAATAAGAGACGGTCGATTTCAAGATGCAGCGATTTAAGGCCTTAGATCGGTATTCAAATTTCAATTTTTGACCGAGTGTTTAGCTCATAATGGAATTCTAACGCCAGCTTACCCAATTTAGTGACTACTTGAAGTCCGCATTCACTCGCTTCAAAATGACACATCTTTTCATTTCTTAACGCTACATCACGACGTGATGGAGACAGCTTGAAGAGTTAGCATTCCTGTTGTGATTTGGCATGTCGCATTGATGAGTTCTTCGATGTGTCGAGTATTTTTGAACGTTTGTGAAATTTTATTCGCGCTGCGCACAAATTGTAGGAAACTTCATGAAAGGGCCAATAGCATCGGTGGATAAACATTCGAACAATATTTAGGTGACGTTAGAACAGCACAAACCTAGGCCAGATTTCACGGCCACTTGTGTGCCTACTGAACAAAGTTTCCTGAGAAACTGAAGCCTTGATTGGGCCTTTCGGAACCCTGGCTTGGGGGACGATTCTGCGAGTTTGATGAGAATTCGTTAGTTTGTTCGTAAGTCCCTGGTCTTCCTCCGTGCTGCCCATGATTGTAGCCCCCTTGGCCTTGCTGGCCGTAGCTACTGCTGCCACCGTGATTATAACCACCCTGGTTTCCTTGAGTATAGCCACCTTGGTTTTCGTAACTGCCTTGATAGCCGCCTTGAGAGCTTTGTCCGTACTTCTCAGGGCCTCCTTGGCTGTAGGTTTCCGAATTGGATCCATAATAATCGCTCTGCGAACCTTGGTTGTTACCACCCGGAGGACCCTGTGCGTAACTGGATTGGTTGTAGTTACCTTGGCTTCCCTGTCCAGGATGCTGATTGGTTTGATACTGATTGTTGTTTCCGCCATATTGGGAGTAGTTCTGGGACTGATATTGATTGTTGTTACCTTCGTATTGGGAAGAGTTCTGGGGTTGATATTGATTATTGTTACTGCCGTATTGGGAAGAATTCTGGGACTGATTGGACTGCTTGCCACCTCCTAAAAATGAGCTTGCCATTGCAGCCAAACCACCAAAGCTCGATTGACTTTGAGAGTTGTTTTGACCTGACGACCCACCATACTGGCTCTGGTTCCCGTACTGGTTCTGATGCCCATACTGGTTCTGATTCCCGTACTGGTTCTGATTCCCGTACTGGTTCTGATTCCCGTATTGATTCTGATTCCCATACTGGTTCTGAGAACTCTGGGATTGCGAGCTTTTGCCAAAAAATTGACCCGCCAAAGCACCTAAAGCTGCACCGGTCAAGCCACCACCAGCCGCAGAGTGAGACCCTGAGGAAGAGCTTGTTTTACCACCGCCTCCAAGCATTGAAGCAACCGAAGACAAATTGAAGCCGCCTGAGTTTTTATTAGAAGAGCCGAAAATCTTGCTCAAAAGTGCCAATTTCCCCAATTGAGATTGGCCGTTTCCACCGCTTGAGCCACCCATAAATGTACTCAGCAAACTGCTTCCCATATCGCGAGACGCATTTCCGTCGCTGTTATTCACCACATGTCTCCCGAGCGTTTGAATGAGCTCCTCGATCACAGAAGCCTGGCGTTCGTTCGGATTTTGTTGAGCAGCGCGAGTCAAAGAATCTACAGCCTCCTCGCGTCTGCCTTGAGCCAAATGATTCTGAGCTTCTTGGATCAACTGGTCAATTCCCATAATTTCGATGCACTTGAAAGAGTAACACAAATTCTCTAAACTCGCCCACTGAATAGCCAGTAAAGAGAGTCCAAAAGTGTGGCCTTTAGATGATCCATTGGGAGGACAAGTATGGATTAAGGAAATGGTACTTGAATTTTAACAATTTGGGTGTTCCGTCCCGAGTGATATAATGATGACGTAATCATAATTTTCACGGACTGTAGTCACATGACCTGATCAATCCAATCTCATCTCATCTCTAAGATCACGAACTGGATGTCAGTTCAAAAGACGATTTCAACTCACCATGCGTTGACTCATTGCAACTCCAGATGGACAGCTACCAGCGAAAGATTGGATGCTTCATTCACATTCCTAATGTAGGACGTGGTCAACTCAAATATGTGGGTGCTGTTGAGGGCAAACCGGGTACTTTTGTAGGTGTGGACTTGCTTGCAAATATTGGTAAAAACGACGGTTGTTTCCAAGGAAAACGGTATTTCGAGACTGAATATACTCAAAGTGGGCTTTTCATCCAGCTCCAGAAAGTGGCTGGTCTCATAGATGCAGTTTCCTCGGGGAGCGTTTCGAGACGTACGACTTTCGGAGAAACATATGCAGGAGGAGATACTAGATCTGTAGACGGAAGCATTGCGAAATCACCCACCCCCATGCGACGTAGCTCAAGGCACAGTTCGACTACATTTTCAGATGTTATGGAGGTAGATGGCGACGAAAGACGTCAAAGAAGCTCTAGCTCCAAGGAAATGAACCAAATGAATCGTAGCAGTGGTCTAGAGATTAGGCTGCAACAGCAAACACAGGAGCTGCTACAATGTAAAAAATTGCTGAGCGATCAGCAGCTCGTGTTGGAAGAGATACATCCGGCAATTGACGACTACGAGTCTAAGCTGCAGCGGATGGAGTCTCAAATAGTCACACTAGAAGCACAACTGGCAAAGGAACGCGAAACGCTAACGAGACAGAAACAGTATTTCGAAACCGAACACGAGCAATTGCTCTCAGTGGTCGAAGAGCTTCACACTGAGATCCGTGAGAACGAAAGGCGAATGCTAGAGCAGCACCAAGTAGCTCCCCCTCAACCACCTTCGCTGCCGACGGACTCGACCATAGCTGAGCTGCAAGGAGAAAACGATGCGTTGCGCGAGGAAATAGAGGAACTCAAGGGTCGTACAACGGATCAGGATAGAGCGGCAGTGAAGTGGCAAAAAGAGCGCGATCAGCTGAAGCTGCAAGTCGAGTCCCTCAGTTCAGAGTACAAGTACGTTTCGCAAGAACTGCAAGAATCTTTGCAACATCAGGAGCAAACTCAAGCTGCCCTTGAAAAAGAACAGGCTCGATCACAGGCGTCCAGTCTGGTCGCCGCACAAGAACCCAATCCACAGGTCGAAAAACTAAAACTACAGCTGGCCACGGCGAATGCCAAGATCCACACTTTGGATTCCTCCTCCACTAGACCCAATACACCAGCGTTAACAATGGCATCCGATCACACAGAACAGGATACTGAACCCGACACCAAGACGGAACCCGATTCTCTGCCTTTATACGTACCCAAGAAAGCGGACCGGGCTGCAGGACGTCACAAATGGTGCGCGTTATGCGAAAGAGATGGCCACAACAGTGTCGATTGTCCTTTCGAGAACGAGCAGCTCTTCTAAACTCGGCTTCTGGTTCATCCAGGCACCCGAGTACTCGTGTACTCGCACCCGCCAGTCAAATTTTTCGATATGCTCATCTCATGATAATTGAATTCAAAATGACCAATATTCTGACTCAACTTCGGAATCCAGGCCTCGAATAAGAGACGACACTTAGGATAGAAAAGGCGAGGTTTGTTACTCTGGTTTGATATATCCTATCGTTAGAAAAGTGAGCTGAAAGCGCTATTTTCATTTGGTTTTGAAAATTTATTTTCTCCATCTTACTTTCTTACTTTAACCTGCATCAATTCCACTGACAAGGTTTGAGAAGCATGGTTTTCCCAATTTTACCTTTCTTTACCAATGGCAAAGATCTGAGAAGTGTGGTAGAGGTCAAACCCTTTATTTCATTGAGTGGCCAAGCTTTACTCGATTTGTCACAGATCGAGATCGCAGAGGCTGCTGCTTTTGTCGAAGAAAATACGGCTTTCAAATTCGTGTGTGGTCTTCTGAAGTCTGACCACCAGATCAGCGATAATGATATCATAAGTTTTGTGAACAGCGGTATCGCAGTTTTGTTTGTTGCCAACGAAACAGAAGCAACTCGTTTGCAAGATCTAGGAATCCCAAAGGAAAGAGTAGCCGTAGACAGTGGATCGGCATACGCTAGTCGTTTTGAAGTAGTTCAAGATTTCCAAAAAGACTTGATTATCGACGCTGGCAGTCTTACTGAAACTCAAATGGCACAATCGTTAATCTCTACCCTACGGACTGACCGTGCAGACAAGCTTTATACTACTTTGGTAGTCGACTCTTACGAGCGCTGTTTGGGGCTGGTCTACTCATCTGAAGAATCGATCAAGTTGGCTATTCAGAAACAAGTTGGTATTTACTACTCGAGGTCCAGAAATGAGATATGGGAAAAAGGCCTCACTTCTGGCAACACACAAAAGCTGGTCAACATCCGACTCGACTGCGACGGCGATGCCTTGAAGTTCGTTGTTGTGCAAGAGGGTAAAAAGTCAGATTTTTGCCACTTGAATACTGCATCATGTTACGGTGAATTCCAAAGCGGCCTAGTCGGTCTGGAGCAACTACTGCGTCAGAGATTTGAAAATGCTCCTGAAAAGTCCTACACGCGCAGACTGTTCAATGATCCTGACCTATTGACTGCAAAAATAAAGGAAGAGGCGGAAGAACTTACTGAAGCCAACACGAAGAGTGAAATTTCGTGGGAAGCCGCTGACTTGTTTTACTTCGCTATGGTAAAACTTGTCGCCAGCGGTGTTTCATTGGAAGCCGTTGAAAGAAATTTGCACATCAAACATCTGAAAGTCACCAGAAGACAGGGTGATGCTAAAGCTAAGTTTATTAAGCAAGAGACTAAACCGCAACCAGCTCAGGAAACGGAATCTTCGCTATCAGGACTTATCAACCTCGCAGTGGTATCTGGAAAGGACAAGAAAGGTGTTGAAGCCGCTCTGGAAAGACCAATCCAGAGGACTTCAGAGATCATGCATTTGGTAAATCCTATTGTGGAGAAGGTTAAATCTGAAGGCAACAAAGCTTTGATTGAATTTACCAACAAATTTGACGGTGTGAAGCTTGAGAATCCTGTTTTGGAAGCTCCTTTCCCTGAAGAGTACCTAGAGGGCTTAACTCAAGAAATGAGAGATGCTCTAGATCTTTCAATTGAGAATGTGCGCAAATTCCACGACGCTCAATTGCAGAAAGAAGTCTTGCAAGTCGAAACCCAACCAGGTGTTCTGTGTTCCCGTTTCCCACGTCCTATTGAGAAAGTTGGTCTTTACATTCCCGGTGGTACTGCTGTCCTACCTAGTACGGCGTTGATGCTGGGTGTTCCAGCCCGTGTTGCTCAATGTAAGGAAATCGTGTTTGCATCACCTCCACGCAAGTCAGATGGTAGAGTGTCTCCAGAGGTCGTTTACGTGGCGCAGAAAGTCGGTGCGTCAAAGATCGTTCTAGCGGGAGGTGCTCAAGCCGTCGCTGCAATGGCCTACGGTACCGAAACCATTCCTAAAGTTGATAAAATATTGGGACCTGGTAACCAATTTGTGACCGCAGCTAAGATGTATGTCCAAAACGATACACAAGCGTTATGTTCTATTGACATGCCAGCTGGCCCTAGTGAAGTTCTGGTAGTTGCCGATGAGCACGCTGATGCAGATTTTGTTGCATCCGATTTGCTTTCACAGGCAGAACACGGGATCGATTCTCAGGTTATACTGGTTGGTGTTTCGTTGAGTGAACAGAAGATTGCGGAGATACAAAACGCGTTACACGAACAGGCATTGAAGCTACCTCGTGTAGATATTGTTCGCAAGTGTATCGCCCACAGTTCTGCAGTTTTGTGCGACTCTTATGAGGAGGCCTTCGACATGTCTAACGACTATGCGCCCGAACACTTGATTTTGCAAATCAAGGATGCTGCTGATTATGTTCCTCTGGTTTTCAACGCAGGCAGTGTGTTTGTCGGTGCGTACACTCCAGAATCGTGCGGAGATTACTCTAGTGGGACCAATCACACTTTACCCACTTACGGTTATGCCAGACAATACAGTGGTGTCAACACAGGAACTTTCCAAAAGTTCATCACTGCTCAAAGCGTTACTCCAGAAGGTCTTGAAAATATCGGCCGTGCTGTGATGACGGTGGCCAAAGTAGAAGGTTTGGACGCACACCGCAATGCCATCAAGATCAGAATGCAAAAACTGGGACAGCTTCCTGAAAACTTTCAGTGATTGAAGGAATCAAAGTTGCGTACGCTGTAAAATTAAACTACAGCATCTCGACTTATATAGTGATGATAGCTGGTCGTGATGATGTCCATTACAGAATTAAAGAAAGAGCTCAAGTTCATCTATGATGTTGAAATCAAATAAATAGAAATATCTAAGTTCGTAAAATTACAAAAGAACGTTAATCTACCTGAGATATAAAACCTAGCTTGCTAGAAGTAGCAGAAAAATCTAAAAACCATAAACTTGAACACAACTGAATCCTGTTGGGTGAGTTCAAGTGGACTTGAGAGGCAAGACATTCGACTTGAAGAAAGAGAATTCGTCTTGTCCTGGGGTAGCGTCGTAGACGTTACCGGCAGGCGAATACTCACAGATCAAGTAGATGGAGTTCTGACCGTAGGTGGCCTCGGTGTCACATTGCAACACAGCACAACCAACGTTAGAAGACGAGGCCCAGACTAGCTGAGTGAAATGGCCCACTTCTTCGCCGTCGTGTTCGATACCGGTCACGTCGTTGTAGTCGTAGGATTTGATTTCGTCGTACCAGTAGTCGACCAAAACGTCTGGGTCGGAAGTAGTGCCGAAAGCGATGTTTTCACCTTGGTTTTGTCTGTTACTGGAGTGGACCAAGATTCCGGAGCAAGGGTCCTGGGCCGTGTTTTTTAGGGAGTTGGCGTATTCGTAGGCAAAAGCAGACAATTCATCATCCCATGCTAGGTCTGGGGTGTCCACGTGGAGACTTCTCTTGGCGTTGTGTTGGTTTAGAATGGAAGTAGCAACGGCGGCGTCCAAGGTGGTTGCGGCAGAGGCCTGGCTGGACGACGAAGGTGTGAAAGGGGTCTCGGAGTTTGTGACAGTGGAAACGGCAGCTCTGCTGGAGGCGAGAGACGAGGTTCTTGGGACGGTCGAGTTGGGGTATAGGGCCGAGGAGGAACCAGGAGCGGAAGAGCTGGGCAAGGTGAACGAACCCGACGACGAAGCGGAAGCCGAAGCCGAAGCCGAAGCCGAAGCGCTGGGGGTCACCGAGGAAGACACACCTCCCGTTGGGGTCTTGGTGAAGGTGATTTGCACTGCGGTAGCGGTGAAATCATCCGTTGTGGTAGTTTGAGCGGCGATCGAGGCTGCGAGCGACGCGAAAACAGAAAGTGACAAAAATTTCATTTTTCTGAATTTTGGGTGTCTGGGTGTCTGGGCGGGGAAATAAAATCCGGGTTACTTTATTATTATAATTATAGCGAACGTGTGTACTATGTCAAAAAGACGCGAGCGCGAGATTGATCTGTGTACTGAACCACTGGTATATTATTGACAAACAACAACGACAAGTTCCTGGTACCAAAACTGTATAAAACGTCTATATCGTGCGGGACACTAACGCCGGTGGGATCTTTTGTCTTGGACTTGGTCCTTATATACTTGTTTCTTCCTTTCCCGCTTCCCACTTTCCCACTTCCCCTCTGGTGTTGCTTCGTACCAGCTTGGAAATCTGATTAGTCGTCCTCCTGGTGTCTCCAACAATACAGTGCACACACAAACCCAGGGCCTTTGTTGTTTTTTTTCGCGCACCGGCCGGGTGGGCTGGCATTCTTGTCTTTATTGACGCGTTTGTTCCCTTTAAGGCTTTGTGGTAATATACATGCATTGCAAATCCTGCTTGATCCGCGAGTGTGCATGAAAACATGTGTGTTGTTGTGGTGCGAGAGGAATTTGAGATTTTGGCGCTGTGCATGATGCATTATGTATATTGAGGCATGCATATTACTGCATGCACCTGCATGCATCTTTTTATGTCAGCCTATGTACACAAAGAAAAAGCTGGTATTTTTGGCTTGTTAGAAGCGGATGACGAATACCGCGCAAAAATAACACGGCGTTAAGAACCAAGCGCGAAACGTGGGTGGGTGTGGTGTGTGGGTTTATGCGAAGTAGTGTTTTTCGTAGATGATATCACCATACCATTGCTCAACAAGACAAATACCACACGCCAGCCCATTATATTTTAGCAGCCATAAACACGATTATTACTTTGGAGGATCTGCAAGAGCCGTCAAGATCCGGCTCGCGAAGACACATTCATTCTTCATTTCCTCGGCAAATGCGCGAATGCCAGGGATATTTTCCATCAACGGCGTCCGCATAACAAACGTAGTATGGAGGATTGTTTTGTTGAAAACTGAAGCGATCGGCAAGCCTGTTTAGAGTTTAGTGCCTATGTGAGAGGGAGTGATGTAATAATATAATTAATTCCTTTCATTGCTGGGCGTGTCGTATCAGGCTTGGCATCTATTAGCCGGTGGCATTATATGCACGCCGATCGTCATTTGGTACGCGGAGTCGTAAAACTCGAAACAGCAAAGGAAGGAGGAGGACGCGAATTTAGCAAACGCCAAAGACCGATCCGGTTGGGAACCTCGGAAAGGCTCTTGAGGGGAGGAAGGGTAACTAGAAGCATGGTCGGGTGTAGAAACCAGGTGTAGAAACCAAATGTAGGAAGCAAATGTAGAAACCAGATGTAGAAACCCATGTTACATTCTCTATGCCAAAATTGTTTAAAAAGCACGATGGATGAAAGTGTCTCAATCTCAATGGCTTGAACTCGCAGCTACAAGTACTGAAATTGAAAAGATCTTGTTCTCACATGGGAAGAAGAAAAAAAAAATAATGGCTCCCGGGTACGCGTTCGTGCGCAGTGATGTACTCGTGGTAGAACTAGATTACGAGTGTACTCACCTTTTGCGTGACTAGAGACAAAACCTGTCGTATTCTATGTATGGAGATGGATTCTCAAATTTACCACGAATTCGTCTTCCAGAACTCTCTTGTTGATGGAAAAGCATTTTTTCACATCAGCAGTTGATAAATTCGTACTCTTAGACAGCGTCCGAAACCTGTTTTCAACAACTCGTTACATACTGCTCAGGTCAGCTCCAAAATTTCGTTTCTGCAGGATTCATCGAAAGCTGCGCTAAGCCGATTGAGCTTGCGACTAGGCTGCAGGATGTGAGCAGCCCCGTAGCTCTCTTCCTGTAGGCAACAGCCAAGCTTTCCTAAAGGTTAGGACACATTGTTTTTTTGCTAGACTACCGTTCAACTCATTATAATCATCTTCCTTATAAGCAGGGCCAGTAGCTTCAGAGCCCACTTCGTTGAAATTCTTCAATTTGATATTAGCATTTGATAGATTACAGAACCGGAAAATCTACCAGCTGCTTTGTATACAAGAAAAAAGGTGGAAAGTTGTCCACATGTTACCGCCGAAGTTGAATAGCTCTCTTGGCGGTTGTACTCGTCATTCAACTCGGAAACTCGCGATTTTACTCCTAAGAGTCCAAATCGTCGTTACACCAGATGGTCTGAGTGACTAAATAGACATGTGGATTTTGAAAGTACCTGGATAGACCACTTTGATCCGTTTTAATTCGTACTGGAATTCGCATCCAGTGTCGACAATGCAACCCACAAACTGCATATGTTCAAAAAAGAAGCGCTCTAATCATGTCAACATGTGTCGTTAGTAGAGGTTGAAGGAGACTGGTCACTCTTTGAAAAAACTCTCGAATTCTGGCGAGAACTCTCAAAACAGTCTCCAAATTCGACGAAAGCTCTCTCAAAACACTCGGATTCTGGCGATGTCGTTTAAGCTCTACCACTAGCATCTTGAATATTAGGCTGAAATAAAAGTTGCTCGATGTGTTTTTTGACTCCTCTTCTACAACTTGAATATGCAGATATATTTCAGCACAACGAGCGGTAACGTTGTCTCAGCCTAGTATAACACCTTACGATCTTGATTCACCCTAGATATTCATTTTTCAGCATGCGAGCACCCATACACACATCACGCAGCTTCTACTCACTTTACAACTGCTAGTTGTTGGATTGAGAAAGAGGACTGGCAACGCCCTGGAACAACTCCAAGACGCTCTTGACACGCTCTTGACACTATTCACCATCCACTGACCAACTTGTGATCGTTTCTTACGCCTCTGACACTTGAAACTCCGGTGTTAAACTTGAAACCCTATTGTTTGAACCTGAAACAGATACTTCAAAGATGTATCACCTCTGAGTTTGGTGTATCACCTTCGAGTTGTATCACACTCAGTTCCATGTATCACTTCAATGCAACTTTTCATTCAAATACCATCAACCACCGAGATTGCATCTCTCTCGCCACGCTGCCGCGATGACCAACACCATCACAATGCCCACAGTTGTTGAAAGTGTATATGTCGATCTTCTGTTTTCGCCCAGCCAAATCAAACCATTTGCCACTTCTACCGTTGCGGTTAGCACCAATTCGGTACTCAATCGTGCCCAATCCTCGTCTTCGATTAATACCATGTCCACTGCAACACTTTTACAGCTCATGACTTCCACCAATACGCTACAAACATTTTCCAGTCTTCTCCAGCCGAGCTCTACAAGCCGTGCTTTGATTGACAAGGTTTCTGAAGGCCAAAATGCTTCTTCGTCAGTAGTCGCTCTAGCCATAGGTTTGCCGTTGGGTATTTTTTGTCTAGGATTTTGTTTCATCGTCTTCTACCTGTGGATACGCAAAAAAACGCACGATCGGTATCCATCTACACCTTCATTTGCAAAATCAACAGCGCCGGCGCCACGTCGTGAATCTAGAATATGGACCCGTCTATTCAATCCGGTGCCTAGCTACCACACTGATCCATTCCAACATCCTTACGACGAAAAATCAGGGACGCGATCTTTCGATTCTTTACATGAAGGCTCCGCTACTATCAAGTACAAGATCACTTCCAATCCCACACCTTTACATGTCCAAACTCCTCAAAAGGTAGCGTTTCCGGTGAACAAAAGTTACAGCTCTAATCAAATTAATACAATGTTGTACTCCAGACCACCCCGTATACAATCTATCGCATCTGCCATGCCCAATTCATCACCAGATACCGATAATGAACGGCCGAATTTACTTGCAGCTGGAACTTGGACTTATGAATCACCCTTGTCAAGATGGTTTCTCACCAAATCAACCTATTTACAAGACCAAGTCAAACAGCCGCTTAAGTCTTCTACCGTCAAGCTCAAACAACTCAATATACTATCCAGAGTATCCAAAAACCGTGTTGAAAGTTTTCTCACTGATGAAAAATCTCCCATTTTGAGTTCAGGACGTTCCCCCATTTTCAAGGAATCCTACGTTAAAAGTCAACTTGATCCTCTCGTCTTCAGATCCTCATCACTCAAGTACTCGAAGAAGCAGGAAAGCCATGAATCAAACGATAGAGAAACTAGGTACCTAAAGTCAGAAGAAATATCAAAATTGAACCCTTACTCAAAGCTGGCCGGTCCCAGGAGTGTCATTAAAGCGCAAATAATTGACAGGTCTGACACAGATAGAAGGATGTTATTGCAACCGCTAGAGATTCTACAAGCACCTCCCAAAAGCAGTGATTGTGGCAAAAAAGTGCTTGAGAATGACGGAAAACTGAAGGCCTTTAATAAGGAGCTGACACATTATTCGGAAAGGTTAGATTTGCATAAACCTTTGCCTTTGACGCCAAAGTCTCGGCAAGCTTCAGAAAATATGAGACCAAGTTCGAAAGCTCCCGAAGGCAACGAGATAAACCATGTGTCGTGTGATTCCGAGGTAGAATTGCACGAAATACATCATGTCGTTCGCAACTACGAGCACAAGCTATCTGATGAAATATCCATCCGACGTCACGAACATGTGCGTTTACTAGCACGACACACTGATGGCTGGTGCCTGGTTGAAAAGTGCAAGTCAGACGGCCGTCCTTTGAACGACAACGAAGGACCTGAGCGCTCTAACATTGATGGCAAATTTTATCTAAATGAATTCCGGGGCATTGTACCTGGTGTTTGTTTGAAAATATTGAAAACTGATTCGTAGAGCAGGAATCCTATTCCGCGTATGAATTGCAACTATACAAGTAGTGGCACTTCATTTTCGTCAAAAGCCTTTTCTCCAGCAGCTGCTGCAGGCAGACCGAAAACTAGCTGGCCTTGAACGGACCAGTCATCCTCTATGACGTCCTTGGGGAGTGCTTGCAGGATCAAGTCGTTGAAGTGTTGCAGATTAGCCCCAAACCCCAGTAGTTCGAGAGCAGTCCAAGTTGACAATTGGGCCGATCCCGACGAATGAGCAATCAACTCTGGGAAAATGTCTGCTCGGATAGGAAACCTTTCCTGCAATTCCTTGGTCTTGGAGTCTTTCACGAGGAATACGACGGTTCCAACCGCATCGTCTCTTGCGGCAAGTGGTTTGGCTTTGAATTTCTCTAGCGGAAGAGTTTGGTACACATGGTCCCAAACGCGCTTGTGGCTTTCGCCAGATAAAGCTAATGCGCGGTTTCCCTGCGAGTTGAAGCATGTGGGGGTGTGTTTGATAATATCTTGCACTATTTGTTGAACCTCCTTCAATTCGACCTTCTCCGGTAAGACGGGCTTTAGAGAATAAATTGTACGGCGAGAAGCGATCGCTTCCACGAATGAAGCAGCTTTAGATGACATGATAATGGGTTAAGCGTCCAAACACTTAGGTTGAGTTGATTACGGTGTATTGAAATGAAATTTACCTTCGCTTTTGGAGCATATTCTAACGCAGCCGCTCACCATTTATACCTGTTGAGCCAAGACATTGGTCCTCTATCAAGACCTTCAAAGACTGTGTCGCTGCCACTGTGTATATCCGTCACGAGTTACTAATGCTATCTTTTGTCATAATGAGTAAAAGTTTAGTAACATTGAGAGAAACGCTGAGACAATCGAGTTAACATAAAACACGTGATTTCCTCGAGACAATTCTCGCTTGATAGTGGAGGATACTTAGCCTCAAAGAACATGGATGCCGGAAAGGAGATATGCGGATGTTACAAATAACACTAATTAGTTAAGATGGGTTTAAAATGGATATTTGGTGGATAAATTCGTAATCAGGCTTGAAGGCATGGCGAAAACATGCAATTACTTAAAAGTATGATAATCTAGATGTCACGTTTAACGACGGTAGAGAGAGAGTGTGTGTGTGTGTGTGAGACATACTCAAATAGATGTGATAGTGGAGAGCTCAAACGGAAGTTTTGTGGCTGTCAGACTCTTCAGAATGTGCAGCCTTTTTGTTTGAGAAAGAAGATAGGAGTATTTGAAATCTGATACCTTTTACGCATTGTTTTTTGAATTCTTCCATTGGGTTAGAAGTCGAAAGGATTGGACCTCCGTTGAACGGACTTAAACAAAAGTAGTGGCTCACCTCATTCTCGGGACTTAACGACACTGTCCTCTGCTTTCCCAACTTTTATCTAGGACTCGACCAACTAACAACAATTGTCGTCACGTGATCTCTGGTCGCGACAGAATGTAGAAAAGTGATTCTTTTGTGATAGCTCTTCAGCGCTTTAAGATAGGTCGATCTACGACAAAATCCGCTTCCGTTACTGTTGTGAAAGCTATTCAAACCCTTCAACACATTTCATCGAACTCGAGAGATCAATATTCGTTCTCGTAAACAAGTTATAATGGCTAACAGTGAGCCTTCAGACCCAGCCAAGTGTTGGCTAATTAATTGTACATCAGTGACATTTCCCAGTTCATAAAATACTACCGTCGTTATCATTATAAAATACATGAATGACTGCTCTTTAAAGGCTTCATTTGACGAACCGTTACTCCTTTACTTTGTTTCACCCTCAAAAAGGTGTATTTGCGATTATGGAAATCAACAAAAGCGCACCTCTGGCACAAGTTGCTTGCTTGCGAAATTCGAATACTTAACCGAAACTGTCGTGTCTATGCTTGCCCACTTTTGTGTCTTCTTCTGTAGGCGTACCCTCAACTTCTTTTCTAGCACCAAAAGTTTCCAACTCTTCTAAGCCATCCAGAATTGCGAATATATTCCTGGTATTCGGCGTCCTCCTGCTTCACGAGATCTTCATCGAAAACCTTGCGGCCAACTTTCAAATCAATGTCGCTGGCTCTAATGAAAAGTTTCCAATCTCTTGTCCACAGCTTGTAACCGAAGTACAGCACCACCAAGATAGGTAACGCTAGGTAGTTTTCGAAGAAATTGTTAGCGTCCAATTTGGATGAGTCGATGGGTGCAATGGCCACCCAAAATTGACCAATCAACACACAAACCATGATGAAGGTAGCGTAGTATGAACCCGCCAAGCCAGTCTGCGACTTGTAACCGAGTTCTCCCAGGGATCTACCTTGAACTCGCAGCGCTTTTCTGAATCTGACGTGAGAGATGCAAATTGATATCCAAGTGAACAGCTGTGATAATCCTGAGATGGCTAATAGCCACGTAAACACTGTCTCTTCCTTTGGAGAAGCTGCAACAAATGAAATCAATCCAAAAATCGTAGAAATCACCATTGCCCTGATAGGTCTACCCTCGCGATCAACATAATCTAGCCATTTAGGAGCGTAGTTCTGATGCGCTAGAGACAGTAATAAGCGTGAGCTCGAGTAAAACGCGGAGTTACCAACCGAAAGAACAGACAACAAAATGACAGCATTAATAAAATGCGGAACAATCCTGATACCATGAGACGAGATTGCAATGACATAGGGAGAAGCATGGGTTGCAGATCCTCCAGAACCCATTAATTCATCAGAAGTGAATGGAACCAGAAAACCTACCAATATGATCGGAACCAAGAAAATAAGCACAATTCTGTACAAGACTTTTTTCGCAGCAGAGGGAATAGCACGTCTTGGGTTTGATTGCTCGGCAGCTGTCAGAGCAATAAACTCGGTAGCACCAAAAGCAAATGCAGCAGTTACCATTGTGGCAATAATACCCTTGAAATGATGGATTGGTTTCGTTCCGTAAAAGCTGCCTGGATCGTGCCAGTATTTGGCCCCAATGTAGCCGGAATTTCCAGCTCCACCACAATTGACGATAATCCCCAAAATGAAAAACCCAGTTATCATAAGCACTTTGCAAACGTTAAAGAAAAACTCCGCTTCTGCATACCCTCTGGCTCCAAATAAGTTGACCAGGATGATGAGCACGTAGAAGACAGCCACGAAGATGTCTGGGTTGACCGATGTGGTCCAGTATTTGATGGTGATCGATGCCGTAACCAGTTCAAGCGGGAAAACACACAGCCATTGCAGACAGTAAACCCACGCAACAGAAAAACCAAATGCTCGTTCCACCAGGATGGATGGATAGGCGTTGAAGTTGCCCGAGAGCGAACTGTACACCACAGCCAGCTCGCCGGCCGCTTGGATAATGCAATACAGACACGATCCCATAATGGCGTATCCAATCGCCAAACCTGCGGGACCACCGTTGTGGAGAGCTTTACCGTTACCCACCAGCATACCGGTACCTATCCCCGTGCCGAGTGATATCATCACCACATGTCTGGATTTTATAGTCTTTTTCAAGTTGTTTTGCGGAGGTTGGTCGGCGTCTACCCCGTATTCCTTGTCGAGGCCGTTGCCTGATTCATCTGCTCTCTTGAAAGATCTCTTGAAGCGCTGGAACGTGGTTCTAGGCTGATTGTCCGAAATTTCGTACTGGCTTTCCGGCAGTGACAGCTTCTCTTCACTATTGGCAGCCGCGCCGATTTCAAGCTTGTTAACACCTGACATATCGTTCGGGTTTCCTTCGCTGGGAGAGTTGAGGTGAGTTCCAAAGACTTTTTCAGAAAGACTCTTGAAAACACCCGCTTCATATAGGCGCAGAAATCGAATATCGAAAGTTTCCCCGATTAGTTTCGCGCCCCCAATATTTTGTAAAATTGACGGCACATCGGCATCGGATTTCGCATTTTCTCAAATTACAAAGAGCGAAACGTTGATCAAACAGAGATTTCTCCATTATCGGTGCACCTCTCCGGTCGTTCTCTCTCGAGTAGTTTCGACGATATGGATTTTAGAGCCCTTCTTTGCCTGTTGCATAGGTGATGTTTGCACAGCGCGAACGTGTTTCTCCGCACATAACGCCAATAAGCGCTTACTTGAGGAGAGGCTTCGGATGCTCTGTTGAAAGGTATCTGCGTTTGCGCGGCGCTGTTTCGCCAAAGCGCCGTAAGGCTCGAGGATCAGACCCCACGTCATTTTCTGGGGTCTTCGAGCGAAAGAGGCCTGCATGGAAGAAAAGAACAATAGATAAGCTCTGCGTCCGTCTGCGGCGCTATATCACGTGGCGTCTGTTTAGGTGGAAAGTGATCAACAATCTGGAATCTCTAAGCACGCACGATGAGGAGGATGCTATCCATAAAGTTCTGGATTCCTGGACGAGCAAATGTGGCGCATCGTAACTCCGATTTGCATCACAGTTTGAATGGTTGGTGGGGGCCTCGCAGAAGTTTTTCCTTTGTGTTTCTCTCTCTGTGCGAGTTGCTAGAGATTTTCGTGAGAGTTTCCCCAGCCACGGTATTCAAGTCTGCGCACAAAGCGGTTCGTCAACCTTCTGTCTCTAAAACTCCGGGATTCCTCAACCGCCCCACAATATTGAAAAATTTCAAATGTGCCCTCCTTGTTACGTATCGATGGACTGCTTTTAATCTAAACACATGCACGGTCGTCTTTTCAGCACCAGAAATACGACATACGCACACTCCACGACGAATGACGAATTCTGTCCTTTTCTTCAGCTTCCTCGTGTCTCATAACCTCAGCGTCAAAGATTTTCCTGTCCTTCACCAAGTCTATTTCACTCGCGGGAATCCACAACCGCCATTCGCGCTTCCACAGCTTGTAGCCCAAGTACAGTGCAATCAAAATAGGCATCGCCAGGTAGTTTTCGAAAAAATTATTGGCGTCAAGCTTGTTGGAGCCCACAGGCGATATGGCAACCCAGAACTGTGCAATCAAAATCGTCACGATCAAAATCATCGAGTAGTATGCACCCCATATTCCGGTCCATGGCACGTATCCCACCTCATCCAGGGATCTGCCCTGGGCCTTGAGCGCAGCTCTGAACCGGACATGAGACAAACAGATGGAAAACCATGTGAACAGCTCACTGAGCCCTGAAATGGCCAGCAACCAGGTAAAGACAGTCTCTTGTTTGGGAGATGCCGCTACAAACGACAATCCTCCGAAAATGCAACTGACTATGAGACATATAACCGGTCTACCTCTTCTGTCAACGTAATTCAGGAACTTGGGAGCAAAGTTCTGCTCAGACAACGACAGCATGATTCTAGAAGAGGAATGTAGAGCAGAGTTGGCGACAGAAAGTACCGACAACAAAATAACGGCGTTGATAAAGTGGGGGACCACTTTCACACCATGCGAGGCAACAGCAATCACGAACGGAGAGGCGTGTGTAGCGCTGCCCGAAGACCCTAGCAGCTCTTCGGAGTTCCAGGGCACCAAAAATCCCAGCAAGGCAGCAGTCATCAAGTAGATGCCCACAATACGGTACACCAGTTTTTTGGATGCGCTTCTGATGGATTTCTGCGGGTTGGAGTGTTCTGCAGCGGTCAACACGGCAAACTCTGCACCACCGTATGCAAATGCAGCATTGACTAGAACCGACATTAAGCCCTTGAACCTATTGATGTCGTTGTTGCCTCTGAAAGCGCCAGGATTGTGCCAGTAGCGCGCCCCGATGTACCCAGAGTTTCCTGCACCGCCACAATTGATTATGATACCGAGGATGAAGAATCCAGCGATCATCAGCACCTTGCAAGTGTTGAAAAAGAACTCTGCCTCAGCATATCCGGCAGAACCGATGAAATTGATGGACACGAGCACAACGTAGAAAATCACGACAAAGGCGTCGGGGTTGATTTTGTCGTTCCAGTATTTGATGGTCATCGACGCAGTGACCAGCTCTAGAGGAAGCACAGTGAGCCATTGCAAGCAGTAGACCCAAGCGACGGCAAATCCAAACGCCGGATCTACCAGTCGCGCTGGATAAGCATTGAAGCCGCCCGACAACGACGAATAGCCGATAGCCAGCTCGGACGCACTTTGGATAGAACAGTACAGCATGGTAGACACAATCGCATACCCAATAACCAGCGAAGCAGGCCCACCGTTGTGCAACGACTTACCGTTACCAACCAGCAAACCTGTGCCGATACCCGTGGCAAGCGACATCATCATGACATGTCTGGGACGGATGTTTTGCTTCAAAGCCTTGTGTTTTTCGCTTTCGTTGACCTGGTGGGCCCTTTCGTACTCGTCTTGTGCATCGCTATTGCCTGGAGTGCCGGGTTCGTGGGCGACAGGTCTTTTGAACGAGTCTACAACCCGATGAAAGACACCTTCTCTCGAAGGTAGCTCCTCCGAGTTTTCTTTGATCTCCTCTACACTGTTGAAGGACTCCAGCGGCGTCGTTTCCGACTGTTTGGTATTTTTCAGCTCGTAACTCATCCACCCAAAGTTTATGTCCTAGGCTGTGTGTGTGTGTGTGTCGCTCGTCCGCTGCAAGCTGGCCAATAACTCTGTATAGTGTGAAAAAGTTAACGGAGAGGCTCTATCGACAGGAACTGAAAAAAAAAATATGGGGAACTAACTCAGCCAAGTCTTACTCAACTTTGTCTTTGTTGTTTTCGCCTTTCGGGTATTTCACTTGGCAGCAATTGTTGATTTCCTCACGCCCCGCGCTGGCGCTCAGCTCGTCGTCGTTTTATACCCAATTTGCATCTCATCCGGGCAAGGCCTTTTAGTCACCAGAGTTTCGCTATTTGCGCGTTTACAACCAGGTCTGCAAAGGAAGGAGCCGACGCGCAACTGCACAGTTTTTTTTTTCTTGTGTCTAACACTGGCTGTAGCTCGCTTGTAAAGCGTCACACTCGTTTCCCAAAGAGAGACGTTAGAAATAAGTGGTGTGTGTTGAATTCGCTTCCGAGCAAACTGGTATGGCCTGTTACTAAGATGTATGGAAATAGTCTCGCATTGGCCACGGACGTTCTTCAGTTGTCTGATTTGGAATTCGGAAAGCAGTACGCATTTTCACGGCTCTAAAGATTCATTAAGAGCGAATACGGTTCTTACGGCGACAAAAATTCGATGTGTAAAATACGGCACTGCAGTCCAAAAAAAAAAGAGAGTTATCAGCCAAGCATCAGGGAATCCATCCAGTTTTTGACCGCCTCGTGCTAGAGAAAGAGAGAGAGAGAGAGAAAGTAAGAAAGTGATAGGTAAGAACGCTGCGTGTGACGTTTAAGAGCGGTGAACCCACCTGGAGAAACGACTAGATTTTTGACAACATGATTGGGTAGATGGCTCTTAAATTGGCACAAAATATTTGAAAAACAAACTGATGTCACGTGATGAACGAATGACGTCTTTATCCCGTGACTCGATTTTTGCTGTCTTGCTTATCTCCGGGTAACCCGTCTTCCCTGTTCTGTAGGCTAGCTGAAGTTTAACAGCCTGGAAAAATAGTAATATATTGTCACCAATAGTGGTTGAAAGGTCAAACATATATACTAAATGTCGTGTTATCTCGCCATTCAAGAGCTTATTTGTATAGCTTTCACTTGCCGTACATCCTTCGAGCCCCTGTAAACGCTTTTCTAAAAGTATGTCTGAACCCCAGCAAGAGACCAAGCCCGATATCAAGCCCGAAACGCACATCAATTTGAAGGTGTCCGATGGGTCGTCGGAGATTTTCTTCAAGATCAAGAGAACCACACCCTTGAGACGTCTGATGGAAGCATTTGCGAAAAGACAAGGCAAAGAAATGGACTCGCTGCGGTTCTTGTACGACGGTGTGAGGATCCAGGCCGACCAAACGCCCGAGGAACTTGACATGGAGGACAACGACATCATCGAAGCACACAGAGAGCAGATTGGCGGTGCCCGTTAGGAACTCCAAGAATAAGACAAAACATTACGGTAGCGTGGTAAAGGACGCAGGTTTTTCGTCCACGGTTATGAGTGTATGTGTATAGATAGACATGTACTAATACTAAGAACGGAGAGACTGACACGAAACGAGAGAGAGAGAGAGAGAGAGAGAGAGAGAGAGAGAGAGAGAGAGAGAGAGAGAACTATACGTATTGGGTCGGCTATGTAGTTCTGGGTGATGTCCGTCTACGGTTGCATTCGACGGAAAAGCCTGTACAGAACGGTATGCTTTTGGACAAGTTCAGATATATCATCTAGTACGGTGTACTAAGTTGTGCATCTGTACACCAAGTTGCGTCAAAGGCCTTTGAGTCCTTACCTGTGGAACCATGTTCGTCCATGTTCATTTCCGCTCTTTTTCCTTGTAACACACTCCTCTGGATTAACAGAAAGACCTGTGATCAGACTCTCTTGACAAATCTAACCGTTCATAGTGCTATCGTTTGCGAAAACTGTGTATGTGTGGTAGTCGTTCATTTCCTTCAAGTTATTTACAAAGCCTTGGACAATTTAAACAATACTATAATCCACCAAGATCGGACCATTAGATGTTTCTCGAGCGAATGAAGTTCACTTTACCAGTCCCTTTAGGTACTGTTACATGGCTTTTGGCAAACAGTTTCTCACCTTCAGCACTTTACGCGTCACATCAATCATTAAACCTCTAGTTATGAATAAAAAAAAACGACGCGAAAGTGTAAAGGTGAAGGAACCATGTCCTGCCTCGAAAAAAACGTTCCATAGCCAGACTTTGTAAGGACGTAAAGCTTCATTGAGATCACAATTACTACTACATGCTGCCAAACGAGATCTTAGATAAACACCCTGATATCATAGAGCAAGAAATGCCTACCCGGGCTGGTTCGAACCTTCGGCCACCACTGGAGGCTGAATCAAGCTCTGGTTTTGACAGTGAAGACAGCTTTTCAGGCACTACTGGTACCAACAAGACGTTGTCTAGATTACCGAAGGCAAATCAAGGATGGATGGGAAAATCTTCCTTGCTGGTGTTTTTCGATATAACGATTGTAAATGGTAAGAAAACTGCACATTGCAAGCATTGCAGGAAACCTTACAAGGAAGGGGACTCCACGGGGAATATGAGCAAACACATTCGAGGCGTACATCCTGCAGCTTTCAAAGCCCACAAGGGAAAGGTGGTTAAGAACAAAGAATTGAATTTTGCCGCTAAAAAGAAGACGAAAACGCTTAGAATCTCTAAGGCAATTCAAAACGAGCATAAGAGAAACCGACACAACTTCACAACGGCTCTACTTGTTGTAGAAGGATTTTTGTCGCTAAGCATTGTGGAACAACCAACCTGGAGGTTTTTTGTGAAAAACGTACCAAACCAAACAGAAGCTCCCGTTCGGTCCAGAAACGCACTTGTGAGAAAGCTAAAGGCTTATTCCTCTATGTTGAACGATACGCTGTCCCTCAATCTCGGGGACACGCATCTTGTCAACATCCAGTTAGATGTCCGGACTGCAAGAGGTGGTGAATCCTATATGGGGATGTCGGTCTCTTTTGCACCTAATATGTGGAATAAAAAGCTATTGGACTGCATGGAAGATCACAGTCTTTTGCTGAACGATGCTGGGTTGGCTCAAAATACTCATCTGCTTGATTTTGTTTGCTTGGGACCTGAGACACGCGCCGGTCCAAATATCTTGGCGGTTTTCATGAAACTTTTGAAGAAGCATAACCTTACAGACAAAGTGGCTACAATTACCATGAACAGTGCCGAAAACAATGCCTCAATGTACCAGTCGTTCATTTGCTCGCTTGCCAAAGACGATGAACCTCTAGCGGGTCGTCTCATGGGCAAGGCCCGCTATATTCGAAGCGCAAGTCAGGTCATTGATTTGCAAGTTGAGGAAATACTCTCAGAGCTTTCTAAACATGAAGATTTTGCCGTTGCACTGCGAAGGATCAAGACGCTTGCGAAGGTTATGAGAGCCTGCTTTCGCATTCGCTACAAGTTGAGAGACGACAAGATTCCATTGATTCCGCTAGGAGCACCCACTAGCGGGACGTACGTTTGGCGTCAACTAAACTCATTCCTTGATAATTATAAGAAATACAAGACGTGGTTTGAGAAGCGGGACAAAATTGAGGATTCAGACATAATCGAGAAGCTTCGTGAGTACATTCATTACGACGAGGGAACTTTAGAGATGTTGAAATATCTCGTCCAGAGCCTTCAACTGCTGTATGATTCCTCATCAAAGCTACAAAGAGATTTCTGTAATCAGCTTTCGAATGGTGTGCCGTTTTACTACTTAGTAGACCATTTCTATTCTTATTGTGAAAATGCTCTTGAGGAGCGTCAAATCATTAAAAGCGGCTCAGGACCCGATTTTTCTTGTCTGAATGGGGTGGCAGAACTTCGTGGCGCCGATAAGCGACTTGTTTTGGAGGCTATTTTGACATCACGGGAAAGCTTCAACGAGCACTTGACTCGGGTCGAGCGGGACCCACTCTATTATGTGGCAGTGATACTGGATCCGGGTGCTAATACCGAAGCCCTTTTCAGAATGCTGTCACAGAAGGACGCCAAAGAAAGAATATCAGAAGCCTCTCTCTTTATCCAAAACTATTTCAAAGAATACGATGAATTTATTGATTTGCGAGCTTCAAGTCCTGTGGAAGAGCATGGCAGCGTTGAAAATAGAGACCTTTTATTTGACCAGGCAAATTTGCCTAAGGTTAGCTTTCCAAAGACTTCAGATAACACCGCAACAACAGAGAACCCAGAGTTCTTGGCAGAGTGGGCAGCCTATATGCAGGAAAATCCACTCAAAGAGAGGACCAAGGAAACCGCAATTGCTTGGTGGTATCAGCACCGATCGGACTATCCAAGGCTCTTCCCGCTTGCCATGTCCTTGTTTTATACCAAGCTCAGCGCATGCGAAGTGGATAGAACGTTCTCTTTGGCCGCAAAAATAACAAGAAAGGGAAGAGGCTGGCTTTCGTCGCGAAAATTCAGAACCTTGTTACTGTTGCGGGATAGGTTTGAAAAATTCGGTTTTTATGAAGGTGGTCCTATGCCAGTTGGTGATCTTTTCGAAGATGATGACCTGGACGACGACAACGATGACTACTATGTTGGCGAACCAGACCCTTTCGATCTCTGTGCTAGCTCGGATGAAGTTATGTATGACACAGATACAGATTCAGACGGTATGGGATCCGACGGGGATTAAGAAAGGGGAGTCACACAGATGTCGCGTAACTAATATAAGGACCTATGGGCATGGAAGTTTTAAGAGTTTCGAAAACGCGCTGGTCGCCAAAGAACCAGCTTTCTGATGTACAACAATTCAAATCTTGGATTGTCCGCGAAGAATCCCAGATAGATTTAAACTACGAGAAAGTAGCTAGTCTTGAAATGGTCAAGATGCTCGAGTAAGGTTATTGCAGCTTACGAAATGTGTAATATAATGATAAACATTGATAAAATGGGAGGCCAGTGTAGGTAAGGAATTTACTTGGCACTTAAAATAGATGAAATGACTTGGAAACTACTGACTTACTGAAACGATCAGTGTCATGCTAGCCGCTAATGGATAGAGCATTGCAGCGTGATTACAAGGTTTACGTCGCAATTGGTGATCATAGAAAGTATTGGTCACGTATATATCACGTGCGTAACTGTGTTTCCAGCAACTACACACTATTTCACTCTTTTCCCACCCCAAAACAACGTTCGATCCAGAAAGCAATCCATTTATTCTACCAAATAAGTCAATATCACTACTCTCTTGATATCCCTCACCAAGCGCCCATTCCACTAGCCTCTTTACGCGTTGCATCGCGTCGCGTCATCTCTTTTTAGAACTTACCAAGTAATTTCCCATATTACCATACAAAACACGAAAAAATTAACAATAGAACTGGCCCAGTACCCATTCTTACCTCATTAAGGAACTTTATCTGAGAACGATAGCTCTGGAGAATGGGGCGACACACACCAAAACGCGTCTTGGTAAACTTTCGAGAAAATAACACGAAAGCCACTCACTTAAGCAACAACGGCATCAAAACACCATCGCTAATACCAAAAAAAGCTGTTCTCGTTTTCGTTCCAACCTCTTGCTTAACCTCTCTGCAACGTCGATTGACAAAAAAATCATCCAAGACTGACGGCGAAAACCAGCTCACAAACCTTTTCGAGGGACCTAACATTCATTTTGACGAGGAGTAACGTTGTTTTCACAAGACAAGGCAATGTCAGCACACTCGAGGCAAAATTCTGTGGTGCAAACTGCACAAACTACGGTGAAAGGCGACAAAATCGGGCCTTGGAAACTGGGAGCCACCTTGGGAGCAGGGAGTACAGGTAAAGTGCTTATGGCGCAGCATGAATCCACGGGCCAGCAAGCGGCGGTCAAAATAGTGTCCAAGTCGATTTTCGGTGCGCAAACCAGTAACAACTCGTCCACAGTTGTGGGATCGTCAGATCCGGACGTGCTACCTTACGGAATCGAGCGCGAAATCATTATCATGAAACTACTAAACCATCCAAACGTTCTTCGACTCTACGACGTGTGGGAGACCAATTCGAGTCTGTACATGGTTCTCGAGTATGTGGAAAAGGGCGAATTATTCAATCTTTTGGTGGATCGGGGTCCGCTACCTGAAAACGAAGCTATTCGGTTTTTCCGCCAGATCATCATCGGGATTTCATATTGCCACGCCTTGGGAATAGTTCACAGAGATCTTAAACCAGAAAATCTGCTGCTGGACCACAAATTCAATATCAAGATCGCGGATTTCGGTATGGCCGCTCTAGAGAGCAAAGATAAACTTCTAGAAACGTCGTGTGGCTCTCCGCACTACGCTGCGCCTGAAATCGTGTCTGGTCTTCCCTACCATGGTTTTGAAAGCGACGTGTGGTCTTGCGGTGTCATTTTGTTCGCCCTTCTCACTGGAAGACTTCCCTTCGACGAAGAAGACGGCAACATTAGAAATTTATTGCTGAAAGTTCAAAGCGGTCGCTTTGAAATGCCAGACACTAACGAAATCTCGCCCGAGGCCCAAGATCTCATTTCCAAGATCCTCACGGTGGATCCCGCAGACAGGATTAAGGCGCGCAGTATTCTCAAACATCCACTTCTGCAGAAATACCCAAGTATCAAAGATTCCAAGAGTATTCGAAACCTACCCCGTGAAGACACGTATTTGAATCCTCTAGATGACGTTAACGGAACCATTGATGATGCCATTATTCAAAATCTAGTTGTTTTGTGGCATGGACGCAGGAAAGATGATATCGTTTCCAAGCTAAGAGAACCTGGCGCTAATCTGGAAAAAACTTTCTACGCCCTTTTGCATAGTTTCAAAACAGATGGTCAACAAAACCAGGAACGTCGATCTCATATAAAGCAGACGTCCTCTCCAAAGAAAAGCGGAATTACAAAGTCGACATCGCGGAAATCAATCAACAATTCTTTGACGCCTAAAAGAAAATCCAAGGGACCTATTATTAGCGCTTCATCGTCACATAAAAGACCTGTTTCTTTCAACAGGCTTCCCGGCCCTTCTAGTGCGAATGCTGAAAACAAGTCGCCTACTGCGAGCAAGTCGAACGCTGTTAACCTTTCGTCAAACAAAAGAACGTCGGCACTAATAAATACCGGCTCGCCAACACCCGCCAATAAGAGGTCATCTTATAATGGCCTCAATGGAACCGCGCCTCCGATCCCAGTGGACATGCTTAAGGACTACAACAAGTCTAATTCTAAAGCGGCGAAGAGGTCGTCACGTTCGAGTAAGAGATTATCTTTCTTGCCTGGAAGTGGTAAGCGTGGCTCCATGACCTCAAAGTTGATTGCTACTTTTGCGAAGATCTCGGAAGATGACGACTGGGAATACATCGAGAAAGAGACTAAAAGGACAAGCGCTGACTTTGCAACCTTATGTGATCAAATATTCGAACATGAAAAGCACGAGCAGATCAGGAGAGAGAAGGAAGAACTAGAAAGACGTGTAAGAGAAGCAAAAGAACAAGAAGAAAGAGAAAGAAGACAGCGTGCTGAGGAGGAGAGAAAGAAACAAGAAGAAGAGGAGATGAGGCGAAGACAGGCAGAAGAAGAGAATGCTTTGAGACAAAAGCAAGCGCTGGAACAGATTGATCGTGAAATGAAGATTATCAAAACAAATTTTGAAGGCAAGAATGATGCTGTTGGGACACAGAATAGATCGGTTTCTGCTCCGGCTGCAAACGTACTAAAAATAGATAAGCGTGGTTCCATAATAGGATTGGAGAACGATATTCAAGAACTTCTTGATAAGAGAACGTATTCTCTTCAAACACGGCCAGTTTCTCGCCTAGATCCAGGTATATTTGCGGACTCTGAATTGTCGCAGGCCGAAACAGAAACCCGTGCAAGAGATCTCAACACCGAAAAGACAATTCTCGAGACAATTCGAAGATCGAAGTTTTTGGGCTCTTCGTTTGATATTAGCAAGGAGCTGGCGAGAGACAAACGGCTCAGAGAAGAAAAGAGGTTCTCTGCGTCCAAAGAACCTGACGTTCAGGATCGTATAGTCTCCAATGCTACTGTCACCTCTAACACAAACACCGGTTATCAATCTCAAACTCTTCCAAAAAATGCAACCGCGATGGCACCACTCAAGGACAAGCCTACTGAGAACCCCCGTAAGATTTCGGAGATCCAGGTCCCACAATTCACAAGACGGTCACGCCATTTCACAGCATCAAATAAAAGGCTTTCCGTACTTTCGATGTATTCGACGAAAACGTCTTTCACTAACTTAGCGGATCATCTGAAGAGTAACGGAGACCTTCATTCCATCCATGGTAGCCCACCGTCGTCCTCGAGGGTTGATCCTGAGGCGGAGTTTTTATTTGAGAATGTCGACAGCGAGGGTAAAGACACAGCAGAAACATCTGCAGATAGCCGATTGTACGAGGTCCCTGAAACCTCGAAAGCAGACACTCGTCAACCTGTCAAGCTTAACTTTGCCGATCGTTTTAACGATTCCGTACCTCCAAACAAACGGGTCATTGATGAGTCGACCACAGTAAAGCTGCCCGCTTTGCCTCCTCTGAGTGGACAAAAGTCTAATGGCATGACAGGTCTCGGTCTATATCAAGCGCCTTCTGATGCGACGGCAGAGGAGCCAAATGAGCGGATGACATCTTCGGCGCCATCGAAAAAGGTGACGTCAATGGTGCCATCTCAACTCGAACACACAGAACAAACGCCACCGAAACTCATCTCTGATGGAAGCGAGGAGCCCAAGGATAAAGAAGCAACGAAGAAAAAACCCGAGGCTGGTAGACGACCTCTTGAAGACATAACCCCGGCAGCCACTAAGAAGTCGAATAAATCTTTTTTCCGCAAGTTTTCCTCGAAATCCCACGACGACAAGAAAAGCCGGAGCTATGATGCCGTTCTGCACACTGTCATAGACGAGACACAGATGTTCAACGCTTTGAGCAAGCTATTAGTGGCGTGGAAAGAATATGGCTTGAAAGACGTCAAGGCATTATCCTCAGAAAAGAAAATAAAGGGTAAGCTGAGTAGCGATAACATGTTTTCGCTGCGCTCAACCCTGTTTGAAATTTCGATTTTGCCAAGCAATAAGTCACCAGGGTCTGACATTGGCTTTGAGAAGCTATCGGGGTCGGGAAAGACCTTCAGAAAGCTTCTGCATGAAATTGAAAAGATTTTGGAGTCCAAAAAAGCCTTAGCGTAGCCCTGAGTATGACGCATGATCTGTGCGGTTGAAACCTAGATGCTTTACTGTCACAATTCAGACAATTATCAACCAACTCAAGAACGCATTCCTGCACTTTCGAATGCGAACGAAATAACTATATCAAAGAGAGAGAGATATATATATATATATATGTACTATAAAATAAGTTTCCAGTTATCATTTCAAATCATAAGCTGATACACAACCCTACGGTATGCAAATCAAAAGTCCAGCGGGCGCGGTATCACCATAGCTTCACCACTGAAGTCCAAAAAATGTCTGAGCAAAAATAAAAGAACAGTGACCACATCCTTGGTTTGAACACACAATGATTTTCTCACAACTCACTTGTTAACTAAATAGACGATACTCTACCCCCCCTCCAACATCTTGCCTCTTCTCGAAGTGCGATACTAAAATAAAAAAGTGATATTGGAGGTAATATATACGAACATGATCCATATGGTTAAATTTGACATTTCAATGACAACACCAAAGAAACTCCGAAGTTGGCTAAGCCGAAAGGATGGTCCTACCGCTGCTTGTGGCGACATGTATAGCTTTCATGTTTGATGTTTGCAGTTCGAAAACTATCATTCATGAACTGAACATTTCCAGGATAACATCGCCCACGGGGAAGCAGTTAATTTCACTTAACGGAGCGGCCAATTCCCTGGGTCCAGTATTCCGCGTCCAGGCTGGCGATTCCCTGAATCTTCTGGTGAATAACGATATCTGTGAAGATCAAGATTTGCCAGTATATGGAGAAGACTATTGTAATACGTCGATTCATTTCCACGGCCTGGTGCTGGAAAATGAAGCTGGCGGCAAACTGGGAGCATTGTACGATGGTGTACCTGGTGTTACACAGCGTAGTATCCCGCCACAGATGTCCTTTTGGTATAACTTCACAATTCCAGCTTCTTTGGAGGGAGGAACGTATTGGTTTCACTCGCATTCTTCGGTGCAATACGGCGATGGTCTTCGAGGAATCTTTTTGGTTGACTCATCAAAAAGAGACGAGTATCTTAAACGAGTTGTTGCTAAGTTGGATTCAGATGGTACTGCCGGCGAATTGCTGACAGATCTACCGGAAAACGGGAGTTCCAAAAAGATCCATGAGGAAGTTCTGGCAGTTTCTGATTGGTACAGTAAATCTAGCGTGGACATTTTGAAAGAAGTCATGAGCCCAACAGGAGGACCGGATCCTCGCGTGGAAGGATCTACGCTCAATGGTGATCAAAACTCTGTAAACTTTCCAATAGATGCAGAAGTCGAGTACGTCGCCTTGAGAATTATAAACGTCGGAATGAGCGGTACGAATGTCCTGCACGTGGAAGGTCTACGACTATGTGTTGTAGAAACCGATGGAGTGTTAACTAAGCCCTACATGATCGACACATTATCCATAGCAGTTGGTCAGAGATTTACGGTCTTGGTCAAAGTCAATAAGGAAACGTCCAGTGCTCGTATCATACATGGTTGCGGAAAAATGATGGGATATATCACCAAAACGCATTGGCTGACGCGGCCAGGAGTCGATCCTGGTAGCTCATTCCAAGGAAACATGCGGTCTCTGCCCGGTTTGGACAAAAGTGAAAGATATAGAGATTTTGTTCCTAGAAATGGAGACTTACTTCCGGCCCCTGCACAACAGATTTCACTGGACTACGCGTACGAAAGCGATTTGAAGGAAACGTATCAGACAGGAATGTATGCTGTCAACGGTGACACGATGCCGGAGTTTATTCCGGATGGAGTATTGTTAGAGGGTGATCGAGGTATAAGAAAACCAATTGAATTATCTACTAATCAAGTGGTAGAGATAGCCATAAATGCTATAGACCATATGACGCACCCTTGGCACATGCATGGGCATACCTTTCAAGTCATATCAGTGGGACGCGGCCACGACGGTCCGTTGTATTATGATAACCCAGGAAGCACTGCAATGCGTCGGTATCTCGACGATGTAGACGCATGGGAGGGGAAAGTTCCCATGACGCGTGATACGATAAACATTCCCGGGAATTCATACGCGGTAATTCGGTTCAACGCAAGTAACCCGGGGTTTTGGCTTCTGCACTGTCATGTGGAATGGCACATGGCCAAAGGTTTGGGTGTGATTTTGGCCGAAGGAGACGCAAAAGTGGACGCTGTTGTCAGCGCTTTCAAGACATTCCAGCCGCCAGAAATATCAAGTGCCAGCGAGGCTCAGGCTACCACGGAAGTTACAGCTTCTCCCACTGAAAGTACCACGTTAGATTCATCTCAAAACGTACAGCTGCAGTCACAACAAAAGGGTTCCAAAGCGAAAGTTCTGGTTATTTACGTCGCTATCATGTGCATTTTCAATGCAGGGATTGGGCTCTTCTTTTTCCCGCGACGCTAGAGCAAATCAAAGCTAATTGATAGAATGGAGCTAAAAAGAGGTTTATACATAGATAGGCAAGAAACAGTATGTTTATGGTTTGAAATAGGCGCTGGGGTGTTGAGAGAATATCGAACCTTGAGAGCATGGCCTTAGGCTTTTGAGTTTACATGTTTTTTAGGTAAAAGATGACATTGGTAATGTCAATACAGTGGGAGAGGCTCTTGACGGAAAAAACAACAAAAACAAAGACAAAGAAAACAGTGGGAGGGGGAATGGAAACACAAACGATAGGCTAGAATTTCTGGTTTGGACAGGACTGATTATCATCTAAATGAGGCTAACCGGAGAAGTGATCCATGACACGGAAAGATATGCTTACTCAACACAAACCACGTGACTCAGTGCGACATATTAGTAAAAAAGTGATCATCGTTTTCTCCAGATGATAGTTGGGTTTCAAAGCAGAAGGACAAGGGTGCTACGACGACAAAAAAGGCGGTGTCCAATACAGTAAATATCCAACACCGTGCACAGAATTACGAACCCATGTCTTGTTTCTTCCAGACCAGAATGTCGTCACCATCAAACAATTTGGCCAAAACCCAAATTAGTCGAGACCCTGTTGCCCGGTCAAATATAGCCAAAATTAAAAAATAAAATGCCGAGAAAACCCAGCGACACACTTATCTCCCACTAAGAAATCCAACACCATCACTCGCTTTCTCCTTGTTTCCCAAACAATTTCAAAAGTTTCCAAAAATTAATTTCGTGACACTCACGGACACACGTATAATAAGGCCTCAAAAGAAAGTCAAAAGTTTCCCTTCTCTAAATTCTCCTGCAAAAAGGTATTCCCTCCAGACGTCTCCTAAAATCTCCTAGTCTTCCATCGCCAACGTTCTCACTCCATCCAAGTGTCTACCTAACGTTCCTTAATATGGTGTGCCCCACGCTTTCTTTCGGACAAGTGACACATTCGTCTGTTATGACTTCTCCGCGCCTAAACAAGGGGCGACGCATTTTATATTTTTCGGGGCCACCTATATAAAGCCAAGGTATTCTATGACATAGAAATGGGTATCCGCCAACCACAGTTTGCTACCATACAAAAGCACAAGAAAAGAGGCCTTGGAACTAATCAGAGACCTCACGACTAAACCTTTTGTTCGAGCTGTTTGGAAAGGCGATATACGAGACGTTGATAGAGAGCTAGACTGTGTGGGTTTTTTTACAGCAAAAGAAAATTGGCGAAATTCGACTCAATAAGACACGAGAAAAGTGTGAAACCGGTGGATTGGACAAAAAGTTGTGATAGAAGAGGAAAGGAGATTTAAACAGGGCGATTCAAAGCCAGGGACAACAAGATTGCAGATCGCTCAATTTTTCATTTTACCATTTTTTTTTTCAGTCGCATATGAGTAGCATGGAAGACAAACGTATCGAGCTCAACGCGGATTTGCCGTCGATAAACAGCACGACGAGCATTTCGGATAATTTGGCGCTCCGCAATTATTACGACAAACTCCTTTTCAAAAATAGCAGTGGCAAGTCATTGACGGATCTGCCACGCCAGGCAATGCCCCGAGCTCCGGCAGAACACCCAGAAACGCGGAATGTGGATTTCATCAGCGGGCTGAGCTTTGGCGCGAGAAGTGGCGGTGGTGGCTTGGTTCAGCAGCAGCCACCGTTACAACAACAACAACAACAGCAGCAGCGGCAAGTACCACTACAACAACAGCAAATACCGCCACAACATCAACAACACTTACAACAGGAGCAAAAACAAAGTCCGCACTCTGTTTTCCGTGCGGTGCAAATGACGCCGTCCAATTCTGAACCTTGGAGTATGGTGCCTGGGTTCCAATTCGGCGAAGAACGCGCCAATTTGCAGGCTATTACATCTCAATTCAATAAGCCAGTACCCTTCGTTTCGACTCATCTGACCCCTCAGGTGCCGCCCCCAATGGCTCCTGGGGCTCCGATAACCGCTTCAGTCGGGGCTGCCAACTCTCGCAACAACAGCGTCGGTTCTTCTGGCTCTTCTGGTTCCACAATGCTTGCTTCTCCTACAAGTTACTACGCAGCATTAACGCAACAACCCACGAATCGCATGGGAGCTTTGTCTCCAAGTAGCGCGGGAACCATACCATTCCAAGCGTTCGACCAACAAACTCAAGTTCTACCTCTCATGCATCAAACTGCCCATCAGTTTTTGCAGCCGCATCAACAGTTTAACGCGGATCGCAGATCTTCTTACATTGCGGATACCCTTATCCACAGCCCCATGAACTCTGATCCCAATACTATGCTACCGTCACAATTGGACCGCCTATACACATCTGCAAATGTGACAAACAATCGCTACCTTCAGGCACCTGGGAAAAGACAATCAGTGCCAAAGATAAATTATAGATCTGGAGAGCCTTTCAATACCGTAGCTGCCACTGTGGGTCAGCAAAATGGCTCACACCATCTAGACAACGGGCTGGAACTAGTTAAGGGTCAAGTGGTGGCTTCCTCAGAACTCAAAGCCTTGTACCGCGATTGCGGGAAAAATTATTTTTCGAGCAACGAGGCTTGCGAGTTTCTTGACAACATTGATGATTGCTTGTCTGGTTCGAACACTTCTGACTTGGCATCCAACATCACCAAGTTTCTAACTTTTTTGAAAAGCTCCAACTTGAACTACAATCCTCAATCGGATGCATTCGTTTCGAGTAATGAAACTAGGAGAAACAGCAGCACGAGTGCTTATCTGCACTACAAACCGTTGGTTTTGGTTGCTTTGAAGAATGGTAAGCTTGAGCTGCTCTCCATTTCGCACGCAACTAATTTAGCCATGGAGCGGGAGGACCTGGTTGTGATAGATGGGGATCGCGGCAAAGACCTGGCTGTAGTGATCAACCCTCATGTGGAACTGGATCTCGCGCTATTCATAAATTTTCTGAAAAAGAAAATCCATTTCGACTCGTTGATCACCAACAGAGATCAGCACTTCCCCAACCGAGACTTTGTCAGGGCCCTTGTTGATACCATTCAGGGTCACACTGATGAGTTGAACTCTAAGCTGTACGATGTTATCGAGCTTACGCAATTGATAATTCCTTCGAAGCAAGTTTTACGCTTTGCCACATCTTGGGAAGTCACAACCAATCTGCACAATAAATTCCAGGACGAACTAAAAGCGCTGCATATTGCTCAATTGAAGTTGAACTCTTTAAACAGCGGATTATCACACCATCAACATCAGCAGCCACGCTCTAACTTGAACATTAAGATATTAAACGCTGAGTTTCAATTTGACCGAAAGAAACTGACTTTCTATTATGTGTGCCAAGAAAGAAATGATTTTAGGGAGCTAATCAAGGAGCTTTTCAAATTCTACAAGACCAGAATTTGGCTGTGCGCCATACCAAACAATTTGGACATTGAGTCCAAGTACTATGATAAACAATTGAAAGAAATCAAAATGTATCAGGCCATGATGCAGCACTTTACCGGAGAGGACACATTGGATAATGGCCCGGGATCTGGGTTTATTGTTGCGCCGGCGCTGAACTCGATTTCGCTGGATAATTTTCAAATTGGGGTTTACAAGGAACTTGTCAATGATTTATTCGCTATTCGCCCATAGATAGAGAGCGGGTGACAATCAACTTTTTCTTTTATGACAGTCCTTATTAGAATGGGATTTTACTGGTTATCGATATAGTATAAATTTATGAATAGAGTTTTACCACATAAATGACGAATCGCAGTTTGTCGTGTAAAGACAGGTGATGGGGATAATTCCATGGGTTGACTTAGAAATTCATTTCTGTTGTGGCTTATTTCATATATATGGGTTCGTTGCAATAAATCTTGAAGCGATGATTCTTTCTCAGATGAGACAAACCTGTCTTACTTGTTCTCAGCGTGGAAGAAGTTAGCGGCGATCAATTGGAGGTGATTTTCGGTGGCCCACTTATCAGCTCCGGTAGCAGGAGTGCCAAATCCCCAGTTTGGTCTGTCAACGATTTTCGTGAAGGAAGAGGAGTCTCCAGGTTGTTTGTACAGCAAGAACACGTAGCGGTGCTTACCGGTTCCGCTGGGAGGAGCAGGACCTAGATACTCGAGAAAAGTCTTACCGTTCGTCAATTGCGACGCCACAAAGTCAGGAACTGGCGAGCTGGTGCCATGTTGGTACTCGAAGGGCAGTCTGATGTCCGTTTCGACGTAGTGGGCGTACTCGCTCCATTTCTTATCATGTCTTGAAGGGGCATCTGGGTCTGTGATGACCAACGTGAACAAATCTGAGTCTTTGATCTTAAATTCTGACTTTGGGTCCAAAGTGAAGTGAATTTTGGGCTTGAGCTGGGTCTCGTCCACGGTCAATGTATTTCCCATCGCTACAGGCGCACTAGCTGAGTATTCAGCGGCCAAAAGACCCCAGGGCTTAAAATCGCTGCTCTTCACAACGTCTGGGATGATCTCGTGGGTGTGAAGCGCATCGTTGGCTACTTTTGAGATGTCTAGAGCGTAATTCATAACGAGATGTGATTGGATGGTAGTTGATGGTAATATCTGGTGAAGAACACAAGATTGAGCCAGAAAATTTGGTTCCTGAGGAGTTGTTCTTCCCGAAGAATGGCTTTCCTCCCTTAACGTTTTATATATGAAGATATGTTAACCGTACAGAGAGATAACCGGATCTTCGTTTGCTAATAGGGGACATCAACCAGTACGAGGTAACATAATGCTTGTATAGTGTAACAGTATCACGTTGATGGATTTTTGAAAGCTACCAAAGTGTATAAGGAGACAGTTGTAGTATTTGATTTTATTCTAGTCGAATTCAAGTTGGGTCAATTGTGATGGGTATCACTGGACTCACCTACAATTTGTTTTGAGTTCTTCAACAAGATACTTGTATCAAGTCTAATCACGTGATAGCCGCATGACTATATATTACGTAATCATAAACGTGACATTCACACTTGCAACTAATATCACATGACTTTAGTATGAAAAAGTTACATTACGTAATCAAAAAATAGAAGCACGTGACGCTCGAAGATAATTACGTAATCATGGAAATTTGGGCGGTGTGTACTCATCACTAGAGACGAGGTGTCTTTCCACTCTCGGGACTTTCCCATACTGTACTCTCTCTGTATACAAATTATATCACATTACCAAGAAGTAATAGGAACCATAATGATGATGATGAGTTCATCTCGAAAGCGGCCACATCCATTGTCTGTTTCTTAATAACATAAAACCCACCTCGTTCTACTGGACATGCAATCTCAAACATGTCAGTCCGCATAAAACAGCTGGTTTCTTATGCAGCGGGGTTTACAATGCTGTATGCCGCATGTGCCTCGACAATGGGTATCTTTGCATGGTCCGAGCTGTTTTTACATCCACGACTGTCCAAACAGTTCCGCACAGATGACCCCACGATAAACAAGACGTATGTTCCGAAAGAAACAGTCACCGGTTTGCAATGTTTGGTAATTGCGTTCCCACTGCCTTTGCTAGTGCTCACTTGGTGGTGTCTCGTAGAAAGCGACTCGAGTGTTCAACATCGATATTTAGCACGTTCTCAATTGGGTGTCGCCAAACCAGACTGGTTACCAGCGAAACTACATCTTTACCATGCCAGCTGTGTGGCTCTTTTGCTGATCTTGGGGATAAATGGCGTTTTAACCAACGGTTTCAAACTAATCATTTCGAACGCGAGGCCGGACTTCATCGCTAGATGCCAGCCGCAAGATTCAAACGCTTTGTATGTGTCATTTGATCAATGTACGCAAACCAATCGTTGGATTTTGTACGAGGGGCTCAAAAGTACCCCTAGCGGCCACTCGAGTTTCGCAGCAGCAGGACTGGGATTCTTGTATTTATGGCAAGTACGACACACGCGGGTGTCCAAATGGAGACATCTGTGGTGTCCCATATTATGTCTTGTGGTGATGGTATCGAGGGTGATCGATCATAGACACCATTGGTATGATGTTATAGCTGGGTGTGCATTGGGTCTAAGCGTGTGTGCACTGGTCTGGCGCAGTCTATTGCGGGAAGAAGCTCCTCAGATATTACCTGTCTGAGCAGAAAAAAAAAGGTAGCAGGTATGGCACGTTTCGAGAGCGGTTAAGCTCGATGAAAAGGTTACCAGGCTGCTCCCATCGTTACGATTACATGTGGACAAACCAGTTCAAAATCACTTTGAACTATTCTGACGTGATCCGTTTTTCTACCAAGACATTTGCAAGACGAGCGCGGATGTTGAACAGCAAGAAAGACCTCGGAATTCTCAACTTATAAACCTTCTAAAATATTGAATGATTTTTTATACTTTTACATCATTGAAGAGCAAGCTGACGTTCTCAATGGGGATCTCAGTAATCAACAACTTTGGCGAGGTGTCATGATTGAACGAAAAGTGAAGATGCCACGGAAATACCACAATACGCTGTCTATTCCTCTATTTCGTTCAACACGTCCAAGCACTGATATGTATCATTGATTATCAGCGGTGTCGCTTTATAGACTCTCTGTTCTTGTCCAATCGAGAGTCTTCACGAGTACTTTGTTGACGAGTACATTAGATTTTAAATGAAACCCAAATGAGCGGGTATTCTCCTTTGTAAGAGACATCAAGACAGAAAATCTGTTAAAGGAGCCGACAAGAAGCGCTTGGGATGTACGAGAAAGACTCAATCACACCAGACACTTTGATCTGATGTGTCTGATCGAAACTGGAGCTGTTTGTTGTTTTCTGGAGACAAGATGGAAGGCCTTAAGACAATAAACATTTTGAACGTTTTTGAGCTACACTTTAATGTTTTTAGCTTGACTACTAAGTGCCTCTAGTGTACAATTCGGTTCTATTTCGGGAACAACGCCTCCCTTCCCACACTACTCATGCTTCTGGACTAATAGCATGCTGGAACATGAAAAGTCGCACGAAATCAAGGAAAACTTATGTGCCACTTCCATATGGTTTCCTAAAAGTCCAAATCAAGCTCTCAGTGGATGTCCCTACATGCTTGTGACAACCGAAAAGCTTGTCCACACGCCGAAATCACGCGACAAGCACGATCCAAGAAACATTTTTCCGTCAAGTTCCAAGAGCTGCCTCACACACTGCCCCACCCAGCTCCTCCACCTACACCACCCCTAGCGTTCTCTTCAGCATATTTCTCACCCCCTCCAGTGTCTCACACAGCGTTTAACACCGCCTTCCACCCAATCACTTTCTTTCTTAAAAACTCAAGGAAAAAGCGCCAGAAAAGGAAACTTCCCAGCTGTTGTACGAGAGCCCTCTTTGGGACATCAATGGTACTGGCTGCTCCCTCCTCTCTCAGTAGCTCGTTAGTCCCCACGTCGTTGAGTGGGTAACATCATACATCCGCATTTGCAACTGTGCCCGCATTTCATGTGACCCTCCACGCCCTGTGGCTTCACCCACGAGATCACCCACCTTAAACGGCGAACGGTGGTAAAAGTACTTCGCCAAGCTGGGCGAAACTAACATCTAGGATGGCACTCCAGCAAGGTGTGGCTGGGCTGGGCTCTAGTGAAAGGGCTTGATCGACAAGGCATGTGAAAAACCGTAGGGAAAAGAATCAAACACACACGCCGTTCGAGGAAAAGATTTCGGCTATAAAAACGGGAAGAAAGGACAACTACGTTGCAGATGGCGAATTCATCAGCGATTCTAACGCAAAGTCAAGTTGTTCAAGCTTTACAGTCACAGCACTTCCATTGCTCAACTATACTGAAAAACTAATAAAAAAATGGCCAAGACTTTTTTGTTCACCAGTGAATCCGTTGGCGAAGGCCACCCAGACAAGATCTGTGACCAAGTTTCCGATGCTATCTTGGACGCTTGTTTGCGTGAAGACCCATTGTCTAAGGTTGCTTGTGAAACCGCTGCCAAGACCGGTATGATTATGGTTTTCGGTGAAATCACCACCAAGGCCCAATTGGACTACCAAAAAATTGTCAGAGACACTATCAAACACATTGGTTACGACTCTTCAGAAAAGGGTTTCGACTACAAGACCTGTAACGTGCTAGTCGCTATCGAGCAGCAATCCCCAGACATCGCTCAAGGTCTACACTACGAACAGGCCATCGAAGAATTGGGAGCTGGTGACCAGGGTATCATGTTCGGTTATGCCACCGATGAAACCCCAGAGTTGCTTCCATTGACCATCTTGTTGGCCCACAAGCTCAACCTTGCCTTGGCTGATGCCCGTAGAGACGGTTCTTTGCCTTGGGTCAGACCAGACACCAAGACCCAAGTTACCGTCGAGTACAAGGAAGAAAACGGCCGTTGGGTGCCTTTGAGAATCGACACTGTTGTCGTCTCTTTGCAACACGCCGAAGAAATCTCCACTGAGGACCTAAGAAAGGACGTCCAAAAGCACATTGTCGAAAAAGTGTGTCCCGCTGACATGTTGGATGAAAACACCAAATACTACATCCAGCCCTCCGGTAGATTTGTCATTGGTGGTCCTCAGGGTGACGCCGGTTTGACCGGTAGAAAGATTATCGTTGACGCTTACGGTGGTGCCTCTGCTGTCGGCGGTGGTGCCTTCTCCGGTAAGGACTACTCCAAGGTGGACCGTTCTGCTGCTTACGCTGCCAGATGGGTTGCCAAGTCTTTGGTCAACGCTGGTCTATGTAAGAGAATCCAAGTGCAATTCTCTTACGCCATTGGTATTGCCGAGCCATTGTCGCTCCACGTCGACACCTACGGTACCGCCACAAAATCCGATGACGAAATCATCGCCATCATCAAGAAGAACTTTGACTTGAGACCTGGTGTCTTGGTCAGAGAATTGGATTTGGCTAGACCAATCTACTTCCCAACCGCTTCTTACGGTCACTTCACCAACCAGGAGTACCCATGGGAAAAGCCTAAGGAGTTGAAGTTGTAAGAGGCTTATAAGAACTCCGCCAAAAACCGTGTTTAACCCCTCTCCGAGTCCCTAATATGCTCAACTCGTATTTGGGATTGTTCATATTTTTATGACAGCTGAGTGGTGTGTGTGAAGCGGTTATCATATCGTCCCAGCCATCTCCTTCCTGTAGAATACGCTTGTCTTCAGACCGTCATACCGATCTGAATGTTATTTGCATCTCTGTTTCTGTTTAGGCGCATTGTCACTTCTATATAGACTATATCCCACTTAATGAGTCCCTCAACGGACAGAACTGATAAATTTTAAAATAGTTTGTGATCGTCGTATATCATTCTAGTTTCTCCAGTTGTTGGAGAGCTTCCGTCAATTCGCGTTTTGCAGTCTTGAGATCTTCGTAATTCAAAGCACTGATAGCGAATCTCGCTCTTTTTTGGATCGCTGCAATTTGGTCTTCTCTGTTCCATGCAGATTTGAGGTCATTGGGTTTGAAACGAACCGGTTCTTGTGATACAATTGTGGGCTGTACCGCTTGTTCGGGGTGACTAGTGGTTTCGTCGTCATCTAGAAAAACTGGGGGCTGGTCAATTCCTGTGGGAGCCTGCGGCAGCTGCAGTTCAGGCTCAGAGCTGTCATCTGGTGAGGCAGGTTCCGCGTCTAGTTCCCGCATTTTGCGGATCAATTCGTCCGTTTCCATGTTGTGCTGCGTGGTATCTTTCTCAGCGTTGTCTGACGAAGTTTGCAGTTGAGGGTCCGCCGTCGAAAAGAGATCCTCATTCAGATCAGTATCCTGTTCTAGACTGGCTAGAAAGCTCTCAACTTTTTCAGGATCCGCTAATGATTGATTCTCGCTTTCCTTCATGGCGTCATCTTCATTATCTTCATGATCTAATGCTTCTGCATCATTTTGGAGCACTTGTGATGGCGACAACTCTTGGCTGGCTCCCATGGACGACGCATTGCCAGTATCAACTCCTAGTTCCCCACGAGCCATCCTACTCAAAAACAATTTGCACATTTTGATTCTTTTCTGGCACTGAGCTACTTCGTCCTTTGTTGCTTCCTTCTCGCCCCACAGAACTAAAATAGCTGTCAGTAAATCTATGCAGCACCATAGTGCTCTGGACAAATCGTTCCCGAATTTGTTCGTCTGTATTTTCGTCAACTGCTCGTTGTACAGCGATAACGTAAAATTCAGACAGTAAACCATGGCTTTATGTTGGTCTTTCAAAAGCTGCTGCACCGCTTCATCTTGTGGGCCCTGTTTGAACTCTTCGATCACGTTCAAGAGCTTCGTCGCGTTTTCAATTACTTCTTCGTCTCTTTCCGGCAGACCCAGCAGTTCCTCCACCACGTACAGTTTGAGGTAGTACGCTATGACCGGCATAGCATACTCAAAATCACCGCACAATCTCAGGGACCTTTTAATGGAAGTAGGGATACCCATTTTGGAGAAGATTGAAGACGTTAGTAAGCAGTGTTAGACACCCTCGGTGTCACTATCCAGCAGATGCGATGAGCTGGGTGAAATCGATGTCCTTTTCAATAGAGAGAGAACACTGAAGTTTAAAGGGTACGACTTTTTTTCACCGGAAACGTGATTGTCACGGGCATGAGAATTCCGTCAAGTGCGATATACACACGTGACTAGAGATTATATAATCAACAAAATAAACCACAGTTTCTCACTTACGTCAGCATCACGTGCTACACTCCTCTGGTTTTTTTTGTTCTTTTTTCCCTGGCTCTCCCTATGGTGTACCAACTTAGCAACTGTGCCTAAGAGAAGTCCAATAGAGCTCTAGATATTCCAACGAATCTTTACTTCTGGATTCGAACTGCATGGAAAAGTACCGAATATGATTTATAAGTCATCAGAAACAGTGGAAGGGTCCCTACTCAGATATTGCACATTTTAACGGATATAAGCGGAAAAAAACAAATGACACATCACCCCGTACGAAATTAGATATCGGTAAGGGTTGTGTCTCGAGAGAAGGGGGGAACTATAAATACAATGGATTTTGCCGCTAAAGGCCCTTTCACTTTGAACAAAAGCCTTTTCCGGAAAGAAACAGGAAATAGACTATTTTGAAGCTCTTCATCACCACTGGGAAGAAAGATCAGACAACCATGGTCCAAATTACCAACAGAGCCGTTACTTTCATCAACAACAAGAGTGAGCCGTCGATTACTTCCCGTGAAATCAATTTTGAAACATGCTACGGAGCCAAGGAAATAGTTGTCAAGATTCATGCTGCGGCGTTGAATCCAATTGATGTTCTGGTGTATCACGGGGCTTTCCCTTGGCTTGCTGGGAAACAGGAGAAGACGTTTTCCAGAGACTACAGCGGTGAAGTGGTCAAAGTGGGCTCAAATGTCAAGGGTTTCGAAGTGGGAGATAAGATAGTGGGGCTTTTTCAGCACTTTTGGGGGGCCCAGGGCACTCTCAGCAACTATCTGGTGCTAGACCCAACCGTGCATTGTGCTGTGGCCAAAGTTCAGGCGGTCGAAGACCCCAAATACAGCGATTACGTCGTTAACGCAGCATATCCACTCGTGTTTGGAACTGCATATCAAGCTCTAACGGGATACGGACAAAAGCTGGGGCCAGACTCCAGGATCCTGGTCATTGGTGCCTCGACCTCCGTTTCTAACGCTTTGATCCAAATCGCCAAAAATCATTTAAAAGTGGGCACTGTGGTGGGCACTTGCTCCAAAAAATCGGTCGATTACAACAAAGCTCTTGGATTTGACCATCTGGTTGCGTATGACGAGGGAAACACGGTGCAAGAGGTCCAGAAACTAGTGAAGAACGATTTTGGGAACCAGAAATTCGACCTTATCTTCGATTCCGTTGGTAGCAGCGAGTTTTTCCCTCAAATCAGCGAGATTTTGAAGGACAAGAGCGAAAATTCCTACTATAGCAGCATCGTGGGTGACAGCAAGTTGAACTACGGTCACGTCTCGCTGACTTCACTTTTGCCCAACTGGGAGACGCTCAGAAGATGGGGCCCATTTCGCAAATATAACTACAAGTACGTGTTGTTGCGGAAGGACCCGCAGGCCATGGCCCTAGCAGCCCAGATGATAGCTGAAAAGAAGTACAAACCACCCATCGATTCTGTCTATAAGTTTGACGACTTTGCAGACGCCTTCGAAAGGCTATATTCGAACCGGGCCAAGGGAAAGGTGGTTATAGAAGTGATCTGAACACATGCGAGAAACCAAAACCCAGAAAAACACTAACTCTTTAAACGCCCTACTTTGCACTCTATATGCTCACATGTACATAAGAAACAAGAAGACATCAAACCATACCTGAACGTTTGCTTAAAGGGGAGTAAAAAAGTCGTTGCGTCTACACTTCAGGTTGCTTGCAGTGCTTCAAGAGATCACTTTCGACTAAAATGTCGTTCCTATTCATCGGTCCATCGTAGTCCGTCTCATCTTCCACCGTCACAAAGCTACGCATACCAAAACTATCATAGATCCCAGCACATTAAGTCCAAGTATAATCAGCTGCGTACGTTCTGATGTGCTTCGTGTAGTACCTTTCATGGTCGGCGGCTAATTGTATCACTTTACAGCACTTTCGTGTTTAGGCTGTGGTGATTTGCTGACTGAACATAAGGTTCAATTCAACCTATAGTCAACTACACTTTATTCAACAAGCTAAAATGGCAATCTGTGCTATCCGATTCTTATTCGGTATTTCGTTTCCGACTCTTATCTGGTGTTTCGTTTTTGTGTCAAATTTTAACCCTCATTTATATACCGGGAAATTACCTTCGGTAGCCGCCTGGAAAAGTATAAAAAGGGAGGCTTTGTGCCAGATTTTCCTTAATCTAGCTCACTCTTTTTATGAAGAAACAAGAAACAGGTCAATATATATAGATATTTAGAAAGCGATGTAGATAGGGGTACCGAAAACCCCGCCAATTCGAAAAGTATCGGGCAGATTAAGTCAAAGATAGTTTCAAACAAAACGCTTCATCTTCTCATCATTTCGGACTGCGATGCTCGTAGAAAGCCCAATATTTCCATACTATATTTCCATAATTTGAATCGCCATTGTGTTTGCGACAATGTTGAAAACATTATGCACAAGTATAGAATCAGACGCCAGCTCAACGTTACATTCAGTAACCCATTTTTTTTAAGAGAACGAACGCATGTGTATAGTCATTTTTCACGCCTGCGCGCCAAAATGGCAATTTTTGGAGGAAATGTGAACCATCTTGCAAGATGAAGATGACTTGAAAGAATCAGCTCAGCAAAGCACCTTCTAACACCTTTTTCTTGGAGATCGGCCTGCTGCTTTATGTTCCCGGCTGCTCCGGCTTCCAACAGTATTAATAGCACTTCAGACGGATAAAACACGCTGCGCGTGAGAGCGCGCGTATTAAAAAAATATTTCAATACGCTAACTGCTTCAGCACAGTAAGAATATCGGTAGGTCCGTTGGATAGCGCCAGCTTTTTTTGGATTGAAAGCACCGGAGTAGATTAATCTGGACCAACCTTCGAGTGCATCTGTTTTCGGCTGACTCTTTAGGAAAGTTTTTATCACTGAGAAGCCATTTCTTTACACAGATATTCAATCCCTTTTGACTCTTTAAGTGAGCATAGGAATTGGAGTAGCATGGCTGTTCGGGAGCTCGAGGTGGAGTGTGTTTACCGCAACCAGCAGCACTTGGTGAAGCTCGAACATGACTCAGAGAGGGATCTGTTTCTGGTAGATGGATTTTTACCTCTGCTCGCATTGCAGTGCGATGAGGACCAGTCACAGCGTGGTTGGCAGAGTAGGGTGCTTCAGAAGCTAGATATGAATAACACAAATTTAAAAGATGCGGAATGGATCACAAGGGACAAAGCCTGGGAACTTGTCGAATTGGTCAAGCTGCAGGACGCGTTTCAAGGCGTTTTTGACATGGACGCAGGTTCTCAAACTAACGACACAGATCAAGACGAAGATGCTGCGGGGAATGAAATTGAGGGGAGAAACTTAGATGGTGCCGACCTAAGTGGTGAAGGAACCAATGGTGACAAGAATGGCTCAGATGCTAAACATTTGCAGGACCACGAGTATGATGCTACTGTGTTCCCCAAAAGGGCGGCAATGGCCGACCATCAACTAGGTTCGCCGCTCAAGAAACTTAAACCCGCGGAAAGCTTCACGCCGTTGCAATCGATGAACCAGGATTATCACCTGAATGCTCCTTTATCGATTCAACCCGCTAAAAAACCCATCACAAATTTTGCTTCTGAGGAACGCGTCAGCCTGGAGCAATTGTTGCAGCACATACTGTTCCCTGATAATCAATCTATCCGTTTTGAGACCGCTGTGGCAAATTTAGGCTTATCCTATCCTCACACCCATCTGAATTTGGATATTCCCATTGACGAGCATGGCAACACAACTTTGCACTGGCTTTGCTCGGTCGCAAACGTTAGACTCACCAAGGATCTCATAAAAAATGGTGCCGATAGATTTTTAGGTGATAAAACAGGCGAATCCGTCCTAGTAAAGGCTGTAAAATCTGTCAATAACTATGACTCCGGCACTTTCGAAGAGCTTTTGGACTCATTATATCCATGTCTCATACTGATCGACGACATGGCTCGGACTGTCCTTCATCATATTGTGATAACGTCTGGGATGCCTGGCTGTGCAGCTGCCGCCAAATACTATTTGGATATATTGATGGGATGGATTGTTAAGAAGCAAACGAGAGAAATTTCCAATGATGGGGATCCCATGATGTCAGCTTTGGATCTCAAGTGGTTCATAAACCATGTGCTCAACGCTAGAGATATAAATGGTGACACATGCCTGAATATCGCCTCAAGACTTGGCAACGTCTCAATTGTTGAGGCTCTATTAGATTATGGTGCTGACCCTCGAATTTCTAATAATTCCGGCTTGAGACCGGTAGATTTTGGCGCTGGCGCTACGAAACTAGAGGGTATACATGCCAACAATGCTAGTGTTGATGAATCTGCCACGATTTCAGGTCCTGACCCATCCATGCTTATAAACAATATTCAATCGCTGGTGAACACTATTTCACAGGACTATGAAATGGAAATCAAACAGCACAAGGAACAGCTGTCGAAGCTCCATACTGATCTGGACTCACAGCGCCAGATTCTTGCCGCATCAAGGGAGAAGCTCTCACAAGCCCGTCAACTTCGCGAAGAGCACACGCAGTTAACCGAACAGATTTCCAATATTGAACAGGCAATTGTTCAAGAGGACGCAGATTTCAGGAAAGTCAGCGGGGAGCTAGGAATTGACGACGAATCTCTGGAAATGGCGGAGTTTGATGCGGATGAGCCATTTCGCATCGATTTTATTTACGAGTTTTTGGAGAAAAAGCTTCAAAATGAATTTTCAGGGAACTTCGAGGAGTTTTCTAAGAACGTCACCGTGGATGATCTTTTGAAGAGCTTAATGCAAGAGAACTCGGGTCAAGAGGAAAGTATACCTCCAGAAGCGCTTCTTCGTGCTCGTATTACTGCCTACGAGAAGAACGAGCATAATCTCAATGAATCGCTTAGGTCATTACGTGAAAAGCAAGCAAGGTTGGAAGGTAGATTCAGGCGTATTCTTTCGTTATGTCTAAAGGTTGAGGGGGACAAGATCGATGGTATGCTAGACGGCTTACTCCAGGCAATATCCTCTGAAGATCCAGATGATATCGACACAAACGAAATGCAGACGTTTTTAACCAAACATGCCGTATAATAAGTGACAGTAAGAAGCTAATTGTATCAATATATTTCAAGGTAGATAAAGAGTGAGAGGTTTACCTTTCGCGTGCTAGAGTTTTCATTAGCTTTACAGGGAAGCCAGAACATCGTTGATTGAGAGCTTCGTTAGGTGGGTTTCTTCCAAAAGTACTGCTTATGGACTTTCCGGCAATTCCTTAGACCTGTTCTGCCACCTTTCAGAGAAGACACCAGTTGTCTCCTGTTATTATCCGAATCGTTTTCCAAATCATAATAATATTCTTCATCCAGAGGCTTACCAGCAGCGTCTTTACCTTCGCGATAGATAACACCTATGCACTTCTCAGCTTTCAAAAGTGCACGTAGTTCGAAGTGCTTCAATTTCGAGATTGTTGAGTTGACTTCCTGAAGCTGTGAGAAGGGCACTTGTTGTACGTTTGAAAATGCCAAATGGTTAGCCAGCACATGTTGGAGATCTACTGGGGCGACTCCGCGTGAAGCCATTTGTGAAAGTACATCTTCGCTAGAGAAGTTGGGCTGCTGAGGCTTATTCTTCCTTTTATGATTTTTCTTAGGGGAAGGAGATGCATATTTTCTACGCCTAGAGTTGTCGTGAGCATCGCTGAGTGGTGCGGTTTCTTTCCTTTGAGCTGAGGTCTCCTTTTGTTTTCGAGGAGTTTGATGCAGCTCAGGCGGTACTTCGGTATGCTGTTCAATTGCAGGGGCGGCGGAATCTTTTATCTTCGCCTCAACAATAGCAGCGGGTTGAACTTGAGGGACTGTATGCGATCTTGTATCATCAGCAGCTTTCATTGTCTTCACAGGCTTCTTGGCCAGCTTAGCGGATTTTGGAGAATCTTTGGCTTCAGACAACGCTGGTTTCTTGGCATCGGGTCTTGGCCATGGAGATGTGTTAGTTTGATTCTTTGCAGCAGAATTTGTGACTCCTACTACAGATTGATCCTTCTTAGAGTCATTATTGAAGTTTTTCTCGGCCATTTTTGGAACTGACTGTGATACCATAGAGGCAGAATTTTGTTCTGTTCCAGCTGGCAAAGTTGGCTTCAAATATGTCGAAACAGGAACCATTTTCCGTGTTGGTGTATGCGGTTCTTGTGGGAAATCATCACTTGTGATGTTCAGTGCTTGGAGTTCGTCTTCTGTTTCGGTTTCATTGTGAAGGTCATCGAACTGGTCATCCAGGGCTTGTTTGATAATCATTCTGCACTCAGCTTGTCTGAAATCGAGTCTGGTATTTTCAACGTAGGGCATGTAAACCGTTTCGCCTTGTAACACCACGAAAGAGGTGAGACGAGTATCGCGAACGAGTTCTTTTGTCGCTAGTACAATGTCGCTGCTAGTCTCTTCTACTAACCTGTAAGTATTGGCGTATTCTGAAGAAACTGCCAATTTCAAATCCAACTTGACAGGAAACACGACAATGAGACCGTTGGTGCCCTTGCACTCCACTTTCACCTGTTTCGTTGCTGGAGAATACGTAACAAACGCATGGAGTCGAGACACGTTTTTATGACGCGGCAAGACTACATCGCACAGGTTATTTTTGCGTCCCACTGAGACTCTTGTCTCTACACGAGAATCGAGAAAGATGTCCAGAGGCTGTGCTAACTTTTGGAGCCGAGAGGAGCCGATTTCGTGACGCAATTCTTGCTCAAACTCGCAGTCTGATGGTGTTTGGGAGCTAGAGTTGTGTTTTGCACTCGTTTTCAAAGGCGAAGATACACCAAGAGTCGAGGAAGGGTTTGGTGTGGGATACTGAGCGACATGGCCAGTGATTCCGGCCTTTTTCTTGAAGAAATTTAGTGTAGAGACCGATTCCTTCTCGACAGGTTGATAAAATGGATCGTTTTCTTCGTCTCTGAAAGACGCAATTGGTGATGAGGGTGGATATAGGGCCGGCATTTTTTATGGGTTTCTTGTTGTGAGTTGTCCACAGCCGGAACTGAATTACCTGATTTTCTTAGCAGCAAGCGTTGAAAGATTCTGGTCAACTTTCGAGTTCTTCAGTCTTTCGTTTTTCTGGAGAGCCCTGGACATCTTCGTCGCGACGCGTAAAAGAAAATGTAATTTATAATTTTTCGCGTTTACGCGTCGCGTCATGTGTAACTTCGAAGAACATCATCGATCGCCAAACCCGAATGACATTTGATACCCCACTATACTCGAAACACACTGCCGCAACTTTCAATGGCACGCTAAAAGGAGACCATTCGAACTGGATGATTTGCTACTAGAAAAGGGCATTTATTATGTCAAATCTACTTCTTATAGGTGGCGTCAGATTTACGACAAAGTGATCACATACACGTGACAAGGTGACAGCGACAGATTTGAATGAATAGTCAAGAAACATGAACAGCCTTTGGCATCGCTAAAACGAACGGGTTCATACCTATATCAACGACACGAATGATACTATGTAGTGCTACCAGACGTACGTGCGGCAAAAAATGATGGGCTATCGCCGCGGCGTGATATCTTGTCTCTGTTACTGTGGGAATATAAAAGGGCATAGCCTAACCAAAAACCGTCGTCCGTAGGGCTGGACACCAAGACACACCAGAGACTCATTCTGAGTCTCGAAAATAGTCTATATTTATTTTTAAAGGCAAGTGTTGTTATGTTTAGGGTGAGAATAGATAGAGAATGATTTATACAAGTTAATGAGCAAATCTGAAATCCAGTCTGCGATTGCCCTGATCCTGAGAACTGAAAATGTAGTCCCTCTTCTCTTCTTCGCTCAAAGCGTTCCACAATAGGTCCTTTTGCTTGTTACGATATATGTAGTATCCCTTGGTGAAAAGCAGCAGAGGAATCAACGACAGTGAGATGAAAAATAGCTGGAAGTTACCACGGTGATATAGAGGTTGGTCGTCGGTCCTGTAGATCTGACTGCCCGCAATGGTTCCTAGCTGCACAAACATGTTGTACACAGCGGAAGAAACACTACGGGTCTTGATGGAGTTGGAATTTTTGGAGACCCAAGCGACGCACATGGCATGGATGTATGGTTGACCCAAGAACAGAGTTGTAATCACATATGTGGGCCATTTTTCTTTCATAGAGCCGGACCACCATCTAATGATTCCCAGGAGAAACGTGGAATACACAGGCGCCAGTAAAGCCACCAATGATCTTTCATTGAAAATATCGGAAATCTTGGTAATCAACAGCAGCAGAATAATGTGTAGAACGTTGTATGGAATGGACAGCAACTGTACATTAAAAGTAGAGAAGCCCAGTTGTTTTAAATTCAACGTCAAGTACGGTGCCACTGTGTTGGCAGGGATGTAAGCGATCAAACCAATAGCGTAGACTGGCCACAAATCGTAATCTGTCAAAGCAGCCCACAGCTTGCGTAAGGTCAGAGTTTGACGGTTGTTCATGTCACCTTTGGAAGGATCGTCGCGCAGTACCCGGTTGACCACGATTTTCTCCTCATGCTCGGTAAACCAGCCCTTTGGATGCAATCTGTTCCTGGTTTGAACCGCAGAGGGTACCATGAGATAAAAGGCAAATATTCCGATGAGCAAAGTGATAATACCCTCAATCAGCAGTAGCCATTGCCAGCCGGTAAGACCTCCAATCCCACGCATTCTCAAAATAGCGAAGGCCAGCAACGCAGTAATGATTTGCACGATAGACAAGGTGGTCCAAAACCACGACAAGCGCAGCGGTAATTCACGAGATGTGTAGAAGTAACTGAGCCAAAGCACCAAGTCAGCAATGAACCCACCTTCTAGAAGCCCCAGAAAGAAACGGGTCACGAAAAAGCCGGTCTTGTTGCTTATACCGGCTTGCGCTATGGAGACGATACTCCAGCACACCATTTGGAACGGGATGAAGCGGTCGGGACCGATTCGCTTCGACAACAATTGCGAAGGTACTTCTGCAATGGTAAACGCGGCATAGAATAGTTGCATCCCGGTGTTGTAGTCGTTGGTGCTCATTTTCAGGTCCTTCAACATATTGTCTGCAACGGCCTGTTGTACATTCCCACGGTCGATTTGCAAAGCTGCAAACATCAGACACGCTGGAATGGCCACACGCCAGTCCACTTTGCGCAACAGTTTTTTTTCTTCTTCCTGGGTCCATTTGAAGTCCGGATCGAAAGCCTTCAGGCATTCATAATTGCACTCTGTGTAGATATTCCGGTAGTATTTCTCGGCATCTGGGTCGATAAATGGGTTGCGGGTAGAATAGTCGCTTTCGTGCGACGAAGTTTCGAATTCGGTGTCGTCAACGATGAAACGATTTTTGTCGTCGTCCGGGAGTTCCTCCACCAATATGCGTTGTGGTGAGTCCTGCGAGCTGCTGCTGTTACTGCGGACGTTAACTGTCATGTTCAACTGAGGAGATCTAATGATTAGCTGGGATGACAGTAAAAAGTGACTGTAAATGGCAGCAGTAGTAATAGTCAAAAGCCCTGGATGGTGACCCAGGACTACTGCATTTATACACAATTAGGAGCCCTTGAAACTGGTCTCTATATTCATCTTCATGCTTACCTTCGCAGTAGTCTTTGCGGTGAATCTCCCACTAGTCCACTATTCCACTATAATCCTCCACACTCCACACTTTTCAAACTGGATTTCACAACAAAGTTCAGTGTTGTCAATTGGTGTTCGTAACTGCTCCCAGCTGCTCACCGTTGCCCACCGTTGCTTACTACCTTCAGTGTCCACCACTGTCGTTGTCCATATGGCTCTTCTGTTCACACTTCGGCGTCTTTCGGTCCCACGCTGTCTCGACCTTATCCCCGTTCTTGACCGATAGCAGCACCAATTCCAATAGACACTAGTCACCGTTTTGACGTCTTGCTAGGACTATTTCGAGCGGTGCATACTTGGCGATAACACCTGGCGCCAAGTATCACTCTGTACCTACGTGACACCGCGACAGACCTAATTAATAATGTCATCAGCCATAGTTAACAGCGACACAGCGACACAGCGACACCATGACTTCACACACAACGCCATGGCCAACATACATCAACAGTGATGGCAGTGAACTACAATGCAGTGTAGTATGATTAACACGGCCTAGTTCGACAAAGTAAACAGCTCAACTTGCTGGAAAAATCATATCACGACTCTCCCAGCAACGACGACAGCATGTCTTTAGAAGCGTGGAAACAATGCGATAAGCGGTGCGATTTACTGGAGAGTGATTAGTCAAAGCGATACCAACGACAATGGACAGCTATAAAAGAGCGCGGGCAGTCGATTTGGATGTGCGACATTTTGTTTTGGGCAGGAAACCAGTAAACACTCAAATATCAATCTCGACCCACACACCCCATATTATGCCCCACGCCAAATTGCTAGAATCTGACAACAGCGGATACGCCGATTTCGACACCCATTTCTTCGACGGACAGGACGAAGTGGGCAAAGACGGCGTTTTGCGCATTAGTAACAAATTCCGGTCGAAATCGGCTTTCGCCGATTTCTTACCGGAATGGGACCGATCCCAGAAACACACACCACTCACATACCATGAGTACGTGGATCCAGGCCTCAGAGCAGACCCAGGCTTCCCCAACTTGTTCCCGGATTTCACACCCGTCGAAGCCTCCGTCAAGAAAATCACGCCTAAACTAGGTACCGAGATCGATGGCATCCAACTCACACAACTCTCCGACGCTGCCAAAGACGAACTGGCTCTGCTGGTGGCACAACGCGGTGTGGTAGTGTTCCGCAACCAGGATTTTGCGAAAAAGGGTCCTAAATACGCCGTTGACTACGGCAGTCATTTTGGCAAATTGCACGTTCATCAGACCTCAGGTGCACCCCAGGGTCATCCTGAACTGCACATTACCTTCCGTAGACCTGACCAAAAAGAATTCCATCGCGTTTTCAACGACCAGGTGTCTTCGATCAACTTCCACACCGATGTGTCCTATGAGCTACAGCCTCCTTCATACACGTTTTTTTCGGTTTTGGAAGGCCCTGCAGGAGGTGGAGACACGTTGTTCAGTGACTCTTTGACCGCTTACGAAAGATTGTCGCCAGCGTTCCAAGAGTTCTTGGGTACTTTGCATGTGGTGCACAGTTCTAAAGAACAAGCGGAGAACTCGCGAGTGCAAGGCGGTATTCAAAGACGTGAGCCAGTGACCCACATCCACCCGTTGGTGCGTTACCACCCGGTGCTCAAAAAGAAAACTTTGTATGTCAACAGCTCGTTTTCACGCCGGATCGTGGAGCTGAAAAAACCAGAGTCGGATCAGATTCTCCAATTTCTGTACAATTTGATCAACAACAGTCAGGATTTGCAACTAAGAGCCAATTGGGAACCTGGCACTGTTACAATCTGGGATAACCGCAGAGTCAACCATTCTGCTGTCATCGACTGGGAAGAACCCATTTTGAGACACGCTTTCCGTATCACCCCACAGGGTGAAAGACCTGTTGAGGATCCAAAATATTTGAACGATCCTACTTACTTGCCATCCAATCTGACCAACCAGGAATAGAAAGGGTGTTAGAGAGAAATTTGAAAGACAGGGGAATGATTGGAATGACAAGGGAATGTCAGCGGGAAGACACACAAATGTGGCTTGAAGACAAGTATAACGTCACTTTTCTGTGCACGACCATTATGTACACATATATGAATCATTAAAAATACATCAACGTTTGAAATATCGTGTCGTCGACTGTTGATCACCCAAAACAGCTCAATTTCGAGCGCTGGAAATCCGCAATGCATTCTAGTCTCAATCAATAACAATTCAAGACCTCTGGCAAAGCCACAATTTGCTTTGTTGACATCTTCTGGTGTGGATTTGTGATGAATGCTTGTTTTCAGTTTCCTGAACTAACTATATATAAGGCATTGTCATCATCAATAAGTGACAAATCCTTAACTTCCGGGGTAACTCGTGTCAAAGACGAACCCATAACTCAACAGAAAAACATGCCTCACACTTCCAGTATCAACCAAGAAACCAAATACAAGCTAAACAACGGCCTGGAAATTCCAGTAGCCGGATTTGGACTTTACCTGATTCCTGCAGAGGAAACTGAAGAACGGGTTTACCAAGCTTTGAAGGCTGGATACAGACACATCGATTCCGCTGTGGGTTACAGAAACCAAAAGCAAGCCGCAGCCGGTATTAAAAAGTTCTCAAAAGAGACTGGGACCCCAAGAGAGTCGATTTGGTTTACCACGAAACTCACTGGCCAGCAACAGGGTCTGGAAGAAACTAAACAGGCTCTAAAAGATGTGGCTAGCGATGTGAAAGAATCAATTGGCTACGTGGACTTGATCTTGCTACATTCCCCCAAAACCAGCTCTCAAAAGCGATTGGAGGCTTGGAAAGTGCTCGAAGAAGCGGTTTTAAACCCGGAATCTAGTCCGCTCACAATCAAATCTATCGGAGTGTCCAATTTTGGTAAAGCTCATTTGGTTCAGCTCTTGGCCAAAGCAAAGGTCAAGCCGGTCCTGAACCAATTGGAATTACACCCTTGGTTGCCCCGTGTGGAGTTGCGTGAGTATTTAAAGAAGCACGAAATATTGGCTGAGGCCTACTCACCATTGACGCAAGGTGCCAAACTTGAGGACCCTGAACTGTTGTCGTTGGAGGCTGAAAGCGGTCTCCCAAAGGCTCAATTGTTGTTGCGTTGGTCTTACTTACAAGGTTTCGTTGTTCTCGTCAAGACCAACAACCCTAAACGTGTGGTAAGCAACCTCGAGGTCCTACCTAAGAAAAATGACGACTGGAAAATATCGTTGGACGACAAAATTTGGAAGGCGCTGGACAAGCCTGAATCGAATGATGTTATCACTTGGGGGCACAACGATCCTACGTTGTTTCCAATCGATTAGAGTGGACCGATTGATCAGGACCTAATTGCCCGTTGTGTGGGACAGTAGAGTGTGATGGTGTTGTCTATAGTGGATATAAGATATGCGTTTCAGATGGCCAGCCAGTGTATACGATCTTGAATATACAAACTGATCTGTGCTGAACAACAGAGGAAGGGGAGACCAGGGTTGCGTATGAGTTTCCATACTTAGACCACCCACCATTATTCCTGGTGTTAAGGTCTCAAAAACAGCACGTGACATAGTGTGTCTGATGGAAAATGCTATAATGAGACGCCGGCTGTGTGTTTCGCTTGATGCAGAGTCTCCAGTCGTGTGAAGGACATTCATATGTGGCATGTCCACGTTAGGTTGGGGCATGATTACTTTGACGAACGACACGCGAACGAAGTTTTGGGAGATCACGTGATGCTTCTTGTGACTCGTTCTGTCTCATAACAAAGCCTTCTTCTTTCTGTTATTTTCCTAACTAGATATCGCAGTTTTTACAATAAGGACTTTTAGTTCCTTTCAACTGGTTCAAAAAAAATAGGATTCGAACCCAGTCGATTGGTTTCTATCCATTAACCAACGTCAGCCAAATAAACTTCTTGCCTTGAAATTTCATTATCATATACACTTCATATACACACCTCATCTACACTCCACTGACTGATGTACCAGTTCTTACCACTACTTAAAATCTTTACTGTCGTCGCTGTCCCTGTCTGTCATTTTTGTTGATGTTGTCAATAAATTGTCTGTCTTAGGACTGCTTTTTGAAGTTTAACACCCATACATTATGACAAATTATATCAAAATTTTATCAAGAACTCAAAATCTTCTCGACTTCCTAAAAGGGTAAACAAATCTGAAACTCCTGCGACGTCGACTGTGGCGGCTGTTTCAAGAGTAAGTATTTTACGTGTACCGTGATACACGCACACGATTCCTGGAAATTTGGAACAATTCGACTCTAATCAAAAGAGATGCCTCTATAACGAACTTACACCTAGTTGAACCATTAAAAATCCAGCAAGACAATAATCAAAAATGGGTAGTATGTAAGGGAATCAACACATTGAGAACTAATAGCGTGGGAATCGGGGAGTTTGTGGGTTCAATTACCAGGAAAAACGGAGGATTTTGGAGGATTCTGGACGATTTTGGAGCATTTTATATGAAGTTATGCGTGATGAAGTAGTATTCCAGTTGGTGCAAGTGTGAACAACAGTGGGGACACACCCTATCGTTTTGGCTGGGTTGTACATGGCAAGAAAAACACACCGCAAGGTTGTGGTTTGCTCTTTGAAATGGGGGCTCGAAATCTGTTTTGTTTAAGTCCAGGTGGCCATGTCTCCTCCCACGTAATTTCCACGCATTCCAAAGTCTTTTCATTTACTAACGTCCGTTCGCAGAGGGTACTCCTTCTTTCGGTAAGCGTCACAACAAGTCCCACACCTTGTGCAACAGATGCGGTCGTCGCTCTTTCCACATCCAGAAGAAGACCTGCTCTTCTTGCGGCTACCCAGCTGCCAAGATGAGATCTTTCAACTGGGGTGCTAAGGCTAAGAGAAGAAGAACTACCGGTACCGGTAGAATGGCTCACTTGAAGCTTGTGTCTAGAAGATTCAAGAACGACTTCCAGACCGGCACTGCCAAGCCTCAATCCGCTTAAATGGAAAAGACACCACGTCAAGCATAGTGCTACGTCAACCATAGACTGCACTTTGGTCTTGCAGGAATGATCTCTGTACTTTTATAGCCATATACTCATCTAAACAAACCGTTTCGTGTTAGGACCAACACAGAAGGCATCCCGGACTTTTTTTCTCCTGCGAAACGTCTTTGATACGATTAGACTTCAAACTTACTTACTGCTGAACTTTTAGCGGTAATCCTCCGCCGTCACTTCACCTCCACGCATGGTCAAATACAAGACATCCGCATCTTCCATTGATGTGATTCCCTCTAACATTTTTTTAGCCATTTCCTTCAACCCCATATCGACTCCAATACCCATTATTTCTTGACAGCGACTAAAACTTAGAGATTCCAGCTCTTCCTTCACGAAATCGATGTCATTACCGTCAAAAGCATCTTCGAACAGCCCCGACTCTGACTGTAATCTCAGATCATCGAACTGATCCACCAGTGTTTTATGCTCAACCATTTCCATCCTATTCACTAAAGCGTCATTTTCTGACTCAGTCCCAAAAACCACTCTCCATAAACAAACCGTAAGTTCACTCTCAACGTCATTGATAAGGCCTAAATCGCACCCTCTGTCATGCCAAATATGAAAGATCAGTCTGAGGAGGTGTGAGAAATAATCGTAATAGGTATGAGTATTCTCGGAATCTTGTCCTAACAAAACTGTAAGCATAATTTCTTGAGTTTGAGCCATTTGACGTGTCAAAACTTGTATCATGACCTTCTCGATGGGATATGTTCGATATATGGTTACCAGCTTACCGAACAATTGCAAAATTCCAAGTTTCAGCTTCAGGCCCCACCATTCAACGTCAATTGATTTACGAGTAATCAATTCAGTTTTCGGAAAGTCTTTCAAAATAACTTGGGGTTTTGACCGGGGTTCATGCCTCGCAACTAGCCTAGAAATGAACCGACCGTTGAAATTATCGCCTATGTTTCTGATCAGTCCGTATACGTTTGTTTCGTCGGGCAGAAATAGTGTATCGTTATCATATTCACGTATCTCATTGTTACTGACAGTCTTGGTTAAGACTTGATATAATCGATTTTTCACGTTGTCCCACCAGCTATACGGTACTCTTTGGGCCAGCACAGGTGATTCTAATAGCATGTTAGCTATGCAGTTGAAAATCTCCATAGTGTTATAGATGACATTCAGAACCGGCTGATATGATATCGTGAGCGAAAGACGCGACAGCTCGTTCACTGCCTCGCAGAATGGTTCGTCAATGCACGCGATTTGACACTGTAGTGACAGTGATTGAAGTGTCTTTAAGCTATCTTCGAGTGTATCAAATGCATAAAGTACAGTTAGTACGCGTATAAGTTCATACTGGAAAATATTAGGTCCAACGTCGAGATGCAAAGGCGATTTAGCAAGAGGTTTCTTGAGAATCCCTCTGTTTGCGCGAACCAAGTCAATCATAAAATGAAAAAGATCTTTGAGAGCTGTAGACCGCACTGCACTTGGACGAAAAGTAACAGAGTGGTGCATCAGGGCGACTAAAAATGGTATCGCCGTGTTGCACTCTTTCGAATGTTCTGAGATTTCTTTAATAAGAACCGCCAAACTCTCCAGTAGAGATTCAATGAAGTGATCCAGTTTCAAAGATGATCGTTTCCGTACCATAAGCAGGTCGAAAAGTCCTTTCCCCACAGTATCACCATCGTTTATCTCGAAATCGCGGAACCTGAAGTTTTGAACCTCTGCCAAGCGTATGCTATGCAAGATCTCTAAAGTAGTCATATCTGAGCCCTTTAATCGATGCGAGATGATGGACTGGATGAAAAGCCCCGCTTCGTCCGCCAAAATGCGGTTTGGTTTCAGCCCCACGACCTCCTTCACATGTTCGACGACCTTGCGCTTTTTGTTTACTGGATCATCACTATCAGTGCTTTCGTGAGAAGCTGACGGGAGACGCGGTACTGCTGTTGTGCTAGCTAAGCCATTTGATTTTAGATGAGATTTACCGGCATAGGATAAAAACTTCTTTTCGTCCTCTGCTCTTTGTAGCTCAGCTTTCAACGATTCGATTTCTCGCTGATGTTGAAGAGTTTGCTCTTCTGCTTTGACCAATTGCTGTTTCCGGTCCTGGTCCCTTTCTTTTTCGACGAATTGAATGCGATCTCGCAGCATGCTGGCTTCGCCTTGGGCTTTCAACAGTTGTGCTGTGACATCTGTTGTGTCTTGATGGGTTTGAGTGAAGGAGGCTGCTAAATCTCTAGGTGGCCTTTTGCACAAGATGTCAAGCAATTCGTCATCTTCGTCGTCATCCAGCCAATCATCCATCCTGTGAGAGCGTCATATCCATCGAACTACACAGCTTTTGGGTGACAGTTTGATGATTTTAGAATCATTGGCCAAATCTAATTCTCATTTCGTGTATAGAGACAATAAAGTCAAAAAAGGTGCTATTTTGAGTTTTTTTTGAAGGTTAGCGTGAGCTAAGTTTGACCACAATCGTCATAAATCGTAATCACTTACGTATAACAGCTAAATCTATACAGACGAGTTCAATTTTGGACGATGAATGTAGGTGTCCTTTATTTGTCGCTCTATACGGCTCATCGCATTTGCGTCACTTGTGAGGTTTACCATATAGTTCGGCCTAGCTACAAAGAACCACCCACCAAACATTTGTGGAAATCCTTGGAATGCATGTACTAGTTCTGATTGTGTTATATTCACTTTTAGCATGGAAAGAGGTTTTACGAAATTGTTGTCACTAATATCATTCTTATCTCGGCCAAAAACGGTCCAATCTGACCTAAAGAAACACAGTGACAAAGAGAAAATTCACAGCTACCAAGATAATTATTCAGATAGCCATATTTATGCTCTTTTGCTATACTAAAACTTTCCTGATCATGGATGTTCTTCTTTTGATGTATAGGGTATCTCATCTCATCTCTAGTTATTAGAAAAATTTCGTTAAGTTTCGAAAAATTTCAGCGATGAGCTACCAAAGAACCACATAAAAAGGCATCCAGCAATTGACATCAGCGCTCTGCTCTCGAAGTCATGGTCGAAGATTCTAAAGTCAGGGATGCGCTAAAAAGCGGTGAAAAAAAATCGCTACCAGCATCGCTGGTTCCTCAGGCTCCTGCAGTGCTCACATCAAAAGACAAAATTACCCAGAGGATGATAGTTGTGCTTTCAATGGCATCTCTGGAGACCCACAAGATCTCCTCGTCTGGTCCAGGGGGCGACAAATACGTGCTTTTGAACTGTGACGATCACCAGGGTCTGCTGAAAAAAATGGGCAGGGACATCAGTGAAGCCAGACCAGATATCACACATCAGTGTCTTCTGACACTTTTGGATTCGCCTATTAACAAGGCAGGTAAGCTACAAGTGTACATCCAGACCAGTCGTGGCGTTTTAATCGAGGTGAACCCCACGGTACGGATCCCTAGAACTTTCAAAAGATTCTCGGGTCTGATGGTGCAGCTATTGCACAAACTGTCGATCAGATCTGTGAACTCTGAAGAGAAACTGCTCAAAGTCATCAAAAACCCTATAACAGACCATCTACCCACGAAATGTCGCAAGGTGACACTGTCATTCGACGCGCCCGTGGTGCGTGCTCAGGATCACATCGAAAAGCTGGCCGATGACGAAAGTATATGTATTTTTGTCGGAGCCATGGCAAGAGGTAAGGATAATTTTGCGGACGAATTCGTCGACGAGAAGATCGGTTTATCCAATTACCCACTTTCTGCGTCGGTGGCTTGTTCCAAGTTTTGTCACGGCGCTGAGGACGCCTGGGGTATCATATAGTGTAGCGTAGCATAACAATAGAACAAAATTGACATTTTCTGCAATGTTTTCAGATATTACTAGACTGCCATCCGAAACTCATTTACATCTGGTATGAAGGTTTTATTGTGTTCAGTATGTTTCAGAGCTTGTTTCATGGTGAATCTCATAACAACAGCGGACTATAAAAAATGTGCTCCTAGAGAACAGATTCGAGCCGGAACAAGAACTCTCTCCACCCTTTAGCATGAACCTTAGACAATGGGATTGAAACCTTATTTAGAGTTGCGAGGTCGAATTTCGCAAGTTTGGTTGAATCAGTACACTTTACTGTTAGTACTGACCATTTTAAAACTGACACTGTTTTCCGTTTCGCTAAAAAATGCAATCAATACTTCAAAATCGTACGCCTTGAATAGTTGCGATTCGATCGATGCTCTCTATTCCGAATTTAAGGATTCCGCTCCTACATACATGTGCCAGTTTGGCAACTACTTAGTTGAGCAATCTATAACACAATCCGTAAAGGCGAGTCTGAAAACTGTCTCATTACTGGTCGATGCTGGTGAGCAACTAGCAATATTCCTGTTTGACTTCTATTACGGTACCTATGTATGTCTTGCCACAGGTGCTGTGGATGGTGCAGTTGACGTCGCAACAAACACCACTGAAAAACTACTTGATGTGGTAAATAGCACACTGCTCACAGTAGGCAACGACATTGACTCCGGGCTCGATGACCTATCTGGAGTGATCAACAAGATAATGGAAGCAGTGAATGATGTGAAGAGCTTCTTTAAAAGCGGAAGTGAACCGTCTGATGTTGATTCATCTTTTAACGCATTAAATCTGAGCATTGCAAAACTCCGAAATATTCACCTCCCGGCTTCGATTGATCTCAAGCTCAGCCAATTGGCGAACAAAACACCCAATTTTGAAACTGTGATGAACAAAACGCATGTCGCAATTTCAACTCCGTTCGAGGATGTGCGATCCAAAATTTCTAGTGTCAATGTTTCGCGACTTTTAGCTGACCATCAAGAGATGTATTTGCCCTCACCAAATCTCACCAATTCGACATCGACAGGTCTATGCTCTGCCAGCAAACCTGCCATTTTGGACTTTTACACCGACGTTTTGAAGGCTATCAGCGCACTGGTCATTATTTTAGTGACGCTGCTGGCTGTAGGGGCTCTTGTTGCGATGCTACCATCAGTGTGGTCCGAATACAAACAGTGGATGCGATTGAGCAGGCTGCAGGCTTTGTCAGACGAAAAAACGGCCATAGGGTCGGCACATTGGGGAGAAAGCGACGTCATACAAAATTACCAAAAGGTATTCAACCGGTGGCCGTGCGCGTGTGGGGACTGGCTCGCAAATCGGCTCTCGAAGAATATTCGGACCCGCTGGAAAATACGTTGGTGTGTAGCATACGCCATGTCACCCCGCGCGCTCACGGTGCTCGGAATTGCCCTTGCGGGCATCGTCATGTGTATATGTCAGTTTTGCCTGCTAGCGGCCGCGAGACAAGCTCTAACAAGTCCCAAAGTTGCCTCCGCGTCTCAGGCAGCCCTCAATACCGCTAATGCCACTTTACAGGACGATTTGCAGAACTGGGTGCTTGCAACTAATGAGTACATCAACGCTTCGCGGACACAGCTCAATGACGAAGTTTTCGGATGGAGTCAGGACGCCACCACTGCTTTGAACCACACAATTTCCGGCGCCATCGAAGACATCGACGCTGTTCTCGCAGATTTCTTCAACAATACTTTGTTATACAGCCCTATGACAACCGTTGTTCACTGCACGATCGAAAACAAACTCTACAAGATCCAAAAAGCTCTGACCTGGCTCCACAACAACCTACAGTTCCCCATACCGCTGATAGACGCTGCTGCACTGCAAAATTGGGCTCTCAACAGCAACCAATCTACGCAACAGTTGTCACAGCCAGGCGTCAACGGTTCCAAAGGTTTTGAGCCCTCTGCGGTAGCTAGAAAGCTCGTTGAAACTGCAAAGGAAGCCCTTGACAGTGTGCTACGTCAGTTCTACTCCGCCACCATCTTTGAGCTTGCTGTCGCTCTTAGCTTGCTGGCTATATGGATCTTACAGTGGCTCATCGCCGTTATTTTCACCATGGTGGTCTACGCGGCTTAGGTAAGCCTTTGTCTGGGTCCCTAGCTCTAATATTAAATTACTTCAGAAACTTTGATAAAGAAGTTAAACTACAAAACAACAAAACACTGCTAAAATTTGTACGTTTACTTTCATATTGAAAAGCGACGTTCGAGAAAGTTAAGTTTTGGTGCTTATTAGTTAACTGAGCAAACTTTTGCGGTCACAATACGGGTTTTGTTGGGCAACTTGGACCATTTTACGAAAAGCACAAAAAGTGTGAAACAACTTTTTCAAGTGGATCAGCAGCTATTTCGGCTCGACAAGGTGATCCATTGTCTTTATTACGTTTTGGCAGTAAAATCATTCTCTTAAAATCTTTTTTGGAAAACTTCTCGCAGCTTTTTTTCGGATAAGTTGTTTCTAACGCTCGCAGTGCAGATAACATTATCGCTGAAGCATGAAACTGGGCCAATTATCGCCCACTAAGGGCTTCCTGGCACCCCCAAAACCATTTCAGAAAGCAGATGACGAGAATTCCCGTTCGCGATCGTCTAGTTTTTCGCGGATTTTCTCATCCAGTGACAGCTCTCCGCGCAGAAAGGGTCCACCTTTGGAAGAACTCTCGACCGCAGCAATCCCGCCAGAACTGGTACCAATTGTCACCCTTTTGTCTGCACAGACTCACCGGCGCTATCATGAGGGTGTTTTTCTTATACTCAAAGATCTAAACAGTGACGGGTCGCCAGCTGCTCGCACCTGGAAAGAAGTGTACGGTGTCCTAATCGGCACTCAACTTGCTGTATGGGATGCACGCGTGTTAGCCGAAAACGGTGGGGATTCTGAAGAGCTTCTGAAAGCTACGGCGAAGCCCACGTACATAAATTTCACGGATGCTTCGTTCCGTCCTTTGGATCCGAAAGACGCTGTGATCGGAGATGGCAAAAAGCAGCTCAAGCACACGATAGTGGCATCTACGACACTAAAAAACAGGTATTTTTTGCAGTTTAGCGACGCTGACGCTTTTGCTCAGTGGCACGCCTCGCTCAGGTTGAGTGCCTTTGAATTTACTGCACTACAAGAAGCCTACACCGGTGCATTCTTGTCCACAAAAGGTGCGAAATTGGGTGATATTAGAGTGATCCTGGCAGACACAAAATTCAATTACGAAGACTGGGTCAGCGTAAGATTTGGAGCTGGAATGCCCTGGAAGCGTTGCTACGCAGTTATCTCTCAACCCACAAGAAAGAGCAAAACGAAGCGGATATGTGGCGAAATCAACTTTTATGAGAACGAAAAAAAGACCAAAAAGAATCAGGTCATGACAACTGTCAGCGACGCTTGTGCCGTATACGCCATTTACCCATCATCTCCTGTGCTTATTGACACCTCAACAATGATCAAATTAGAGGGTCGCGTGTCCTTTGGGAAAAAGGACACCCCAAAGGAAACAGACATTTTTATCATGCCAGAAAAGCACTACGCTGTGCCCGGTTACGATACTATCATCAGGTTTTTGATACCGACTATGAATGCTTTCCAGCTGTATGGGAGACCCAAGCGGCTGATTGCAGACAGACATGATTTGAACTCGCTACTATTTGGACTGCCAACGCTGCCTCACGTTCATTTCCTTCAGAAGGAAGATGTTCTCTCTATGGCCGGCTCGAAATCCAATATGGAATTGTCAGTTTTGGAGTGGAGAAATAAAATCAAGGAAGTTTTGTTGAAAAAAGTCAGTGCTGGTTACACTGGTTGTGGATCAAGTGAGGGTTTAAATGGTGCTTTGGCTTCTCCGGCCATTGGTTCCAATGAGTTATTCGATAGTTCGCCGATACAGACCTCTCCATTAATGGCGTCTGTGTCGAGGTTCCCTTCGGACAACCAACCCACCAAATCGAGTCTAAGAAACACCTCAGGAATTTCAAAAGGTGTGAATTATTCTACATCTCAAGATAACGTTTCGTCCGTTTACACAGGTGAAAATAGGTCACCTCAAAGATCTGTCGAGGGCCTCGGAGTTCCTACAGCAAGAATGAACACTCCAGAGAGAGTCGAAAGACTCAAGAAAGCGGCGCCGACCATTGAAATCGAGCAATCAAATTTTAGTGACTTCGAAAGGGCAGCGAAACCGCATGCTTTAGATGCTGCGGTCAGAAAATCTGAGCTATCAACAATATATGACAAGTACGCTCAGGTGCCGTTCGGAACTTCCGATCACAGTCTCCCACCATCGAATTTTGGCGACACTGCTGACTCGGCTGGAGCTTATGAGAACTACACCGGCTCACCTAGAGTCAAAAAATTGGATATTTCCAACTTACGAGACTCTAACAGTACGGACCAAACCGACATGTCTAGAGCTTTGCATGGTGAAGGTGGTAGAACCAGTAATGCCAACAGCTTTTATTCCGAAGGAAGAAACTCTCATACCGAAAACTCTGTTCAAGACGATGTGTTGGAAGATTTCTACAGCTTGTCTCAGCAAATTTCACAAATGGGGTTAGAAAGCAAAAACATCTCCCATGCTGATGTTAGTGCTGGTGCAAACGACAGAGGGGCAGATGATTTCAATTTTGAAGCCGCCAGTAGCAACAACTCGCTTGACAACGTATTTGATCCAGACTACTTGGAACAAAATCAGATGCTGGACAACGAAAGTCATTACACTAACAATGATAGCCATCATACAAGCAACGAAAATCAATTTCGCTATGGGGCTGGTAACCCTAGCCAGCAGTCTCTGGCTGCGTCCGAGGCTAGCAAAGGAGCTTCACTCAGCCATGGACAACAGCCCACAGGCGGGGTACAATCTCTGGTTATTCCAAAGCAAAGGGCCCAACAACAAAATGTCACTCCTACTTCACAAAAATTTTATGCTCAAGAGGGAAATATAAGCCAAACAGGTATTGGAATTGCTCCCGGTTCCAGTGAGAAACCCGTGCACATGAAACATTCTCCTGGCTATGCCAATTTGAATGCTGTGGGTCCCAATAGAACCGCGGTGTCTCCACTGCATGGTAAACACCCTGTTCCCGTTCCTGCAGGTAGTCCTGGACCTCACCGTCGTCCTGCTCCGCGTGGTGCACCCATGGGTGTTCCGCAACAGGTGCCAATGTCCCAGCAAATGCCAATATCGCAACAAGTCCCAGTTATGCCCCAGATGCCTATGTCCGTGCCTGTGCCACCTTCACAGCATCCAGTTCATCCCGTGGCTACTGGGAGTTTTGGCCCAAGAGCGTACGCTCCTGCCCCTGCTCATAATGTTGGCATGGCCGGCCCCTACGGTCGGCAGGTCCCACTTAACGCTGGGGGCATGCCACCTCCCGGTGGTCAGCCGGTGTATGCCAGGGGACCGGTGTATGGCCAACCTCCTTCGCACATTAAGCCAGTGCGTCCTCCTGGTCAGCAAACTGCATCCACGAGACCACCAGCTCAAAAGCCTCGGGCCCCGATGGCAGGCGGGTTTTCCCAATTTATGCCGGCAACAGCAAACAACCCTAACCCCTACAGTGCCAATCCGTACCAGCAGTAGCGGCAAGAGCAAAATTTCAAAAACGGCGGTTGGCTCATTTGCCAGGCTTTCTGGTTGGACAACACCCGAAAAAATCTGTAATTTCTCATGGTTTCAATTCCAATCAAATTCACTGTGGTTTTCGACCACTTCTTCCGCTCAAAACTCTTAGAAGCCTCAGAGATGCGCTCAAAAAGTGTAACTAGTACTAGTGATAGACAATCTATTCGTTTCATTCATTTCAAAATAGGTTTAGCTTTCATCGATGTCGTTTCCTCTCACTGGCGACTGTGTCGCTGTCGTCGTGCGGAAAAAGTACTCATGGTACTCGCGGTGTAAATTGACCCAGTTTCTCATCTTCATAAGAATCGTCCAACAACAATTTGAAGCTCAATTCAATCATTAATTCGTGTAGATCTGGGTTAGTGCCTTTGTTTAGATGCTTCTGCAGAACTGTGGTATCGGCACCCTTCACAATGCGATTTCAATGGGGGTCTTAGGCCCCAAATTGGGCCGTTCAGCGGTAACTTCAAGTATAAGAATGATGAATAGAAATTCAAGCAGTCTTTTTACACTAAGACCTGCCATTCGGTTACAGACCATTGAGTGTGTTCAGCAATTGAGGTGGCAACACACCGGAGGTGTTAAAAACTCGCAATCTTTGACGCAGGGTGAAGGAAACTCCTCTGGATGGAAAGATATCAAACGATTGTTCCAATTGTCGAGACCAGAATCCAAATCGATGTTCCTGGCGCTGGCATTAATCATTGTTTCGAGTTCTGTAAGTATGCTTGTGCCTAGTGTTATCGGAAAATTGATGGATGTAGCTAAAGAAGATGATCATGAGAGTTCTGAAAATTCAGAAAATACCACTGCAACACCAATAATGGAGAAAAAAATCTTTGGGCTCACCATGCCACAATTCTACAGTACGCTTTTCGGCCTGTTTGTGGTAGGGGCCATGGCCAATATGGGGAGAATTGTAATCCTTAAGGTAACGGGAGAAAAATTGGTAGCACGCTTGCGTACGAGGACCTTGAAAGCATCATTACAGCAGGACGCGACCTTTCTGGACAACAACCGCGTGGGAGATTTGATCTCCAGACTGTCCTCGGACGCCAGTATTGTATCCAAGTCGCTGACGCAAAATATGTCGGACGGAACACGCTCTTTGATACAAGGTTTTGTTGGATTTGGCATGATGAGCTACATATCCTTGAAATTGACTTGTGTGATGATGGTTCTTGCTCCTCCTTTAGCTGCCATGGCTTTGATTTACGGTAAGAGAATACGGAACCTATCGCGCTCATTGCAAGCGTCTGTAGGAGGTCTTACAAAAGCCGCAGAAGAACAACTTTCAGCTACCAGGACTATACAGGCTTACGGCGGTGAAAAACAGGCCATTCACCACTATGCAAAAGAGGTACGTGAAGTCTATCAAATAGGGCTCAAGGAGGCACTTACTTCCGGTGGATTCTTTGGACTTACAGGACTGGTAGGCAACGTTGCAGTTTTGGCCTTACTTTTGACGGGTACATCGATGATTCGGTCCGGAGCCCTCACGGTTGGCGATCTTTCCAGTTTCATGATTTACGCGGTATACACAGGAGGCTCATTGTTCGGAATGTCATCCTTCTATTCGGAGCTGATGAAAGGCGCAGGTGCCGCTGCTCGAGTGTTCGAACTCAATGACCGTCGGCCGTTGATACATCCTACACGTGGTATAAGTCCTGGCTCCTTGGCTGGTAAAAGAATCGATTTCAATCACGTCAAGTTCGCGTATCCAACGCGTCACCAGCACGTCATATTCCAGGATTTAAACATACGGGTACATGCCGGGGAGCACGTATGTATAGTGGGACCATCAGGTGGCGGTAAATCTACGGTTGCATCTCTTTTACTGCGCTTCTACGATGTCAACGAGGGTAGTATCACGATAGGTGGTCAAGATATCCGGAATTTCAATTTGCGCAAGTACAGACGTCTACTGGGCGTTGTGCAGCAAGAGCCTCTGTTATTTAACGGAACCATTCTTGATAACATCCTATACACGGTTCCCGAGCATATCAAGCATAATGAGACATTAGTATCGCAGGCCATTGGTCGGGCTAATTGTTCAGCATTTCTGGCCAGTTTTCCTGACGGTCTGCAAACACTTGTGGGACCGCGAGGAGCACAGCTATCAGGTGGTCAGAAGCAGCGTATTGCACTGGCACGAGCGTTTTTGCTCGATGCTGACTTGCTGATACTAGATGAGGCTACAAGTGCATTGGATTCTCGCAGTGAGGAGATTGTTGCCCGCACGCTATACTCGCGCAGTGCCAGAGGCAAGACTACAATCTCTATTGCTCACCGTGTGTCTACAATTCAGCACAGCTCGCGTGTGATAGTGTTGGACAGAACTGGTAGAGTGGCAGAAACTGGCTCTTTCGATGACCTCATCGCCGAACCAGCCTCGCAGCTAAACAAGCTCTTACGGAAGGAAGAAGAAGTTCCCGAAGAAGCTGCTCAACAGAATGCTACAGAGCCAGCGGGGGCTTTTGCAGAAAGAACAGGTTCCGGTGAATCGATTGAAAAAGTCTCTTCTGAAGAACCAGCTCAACCATCCCGTCCAGCATAGTAGCCGGTAAGCTACTCTGGATTCTGGGTGTCTGGGTTGTTCTAAGAATAACAAACGTGACTTTAGCGTGATCACAGGGTTTATGAAAATCATGTGATTATCGTGTGATTATCATGTGATGTATAATAACGGGCTTACACCGCCACAGTTGTGGCCATAACCTGGTCCCAATACGCTTTAACACTTGAGAAGAGATGATATAAGAAGAAAAGCCCGATTCCAAGCTGGTCAAAACCTCGAGTTTCGATAGCCATCATCGATCTTGAATCACTCAAGCCTCGAATCTTTCTCTTATTGTCACTCCCTCGCTGCTCTGACTGCAAAAAAGTGTCGATTTTAGAAATCTAAGGGAAATTTGGTCCTAGGAAACTTAACGAACAGTTCAGTAAAAGCTAAGCTAACCACTCTTCCTTCCATCGCATCAGGCAAGAGAGATCTTTGTTTGAACGTTTGAAGATATCATGCCATCTGTAGCTAGAAATTCGCAGAAATCCAGTTTGAAAAGCGTTGACATTAGTTCGCTGGAAGCCACGAATGCTTACGTTTCGTTGGTGAAGGATCAAGAGATTGTGGAAGTTCCAGAATTGGAGCTTGAGTCCGGTGCTGTGATCCAAAACTTTCCGATTGCATACAAGACATGGGGTCGTCTCAACGAACGTGGTGATAACGTTTTGGTGGTGTGTCATGCTCTAACTGGCTCAGCAGACGTAGCAGACTGGTGGGGCCCTCTGTTGGGCCCAGATCTTGCGTTCGACACTTCACGGTTTTTGGTAATATGCCTGAATTCGATGGGTTCTCCTTACGGGTCATTCTCCCCGCTAAATGTAGACCCAGATTGTGGTCAAGTGTACGGACCAGAGTTTCCACTGTGCACGGTACGTGATGACGTAAGAGCCCATAAAATTGTATTAGATTCTTTGGGAGTTACTTCTGTTGCATGTGTCGTTGGAGGTTCCATGGGTGGGATGGTCGCCCTGGAGTGGTCTGTAACTTTTGGTCGTGATTACGTGAGAAATATGGTTGCCTTGGCCACCAGCGCAAGACATTCAGCATGGTGTATTTCATGGTCTGAAGCTCAGAGACAGTCCATATATTCTGATCCCAATTATTTAGACGGATACTACCCTAAGGGCAAGCAACCTGTGGTGGGACTTTCTGCTGCTCGGATGTCTGCGCTCCTGACGTACCGCTCCAGGAATAGTTTTGAGACCAAATTTGCAAGACGATCTCCCTCTTTATTGCATCAGCAAAAATCCCACAAGAGCCTAGACAGTAATAAACCTGCGAAATTGCATGAGCACAGTCTGGCTATTCACAATGATGGACATTCACATTCCAAAAAACACGACCGTAGGAACAGTGAATCTAGTGATTCTTCGTCTGGATCTGTGAAATCTATGTCTTCTGCCACTTCTTCGTTGTCGATAACCTCTAAGCAAGGAAAGGCCATTAAGCCTGCACAAACATACTTTTCTGCTCAAAGTTATCTCAGATACCAGGGTAAGAAATTCATCGATAGATTCGATGCCAATTGTTATATTTCCATCACGAGAAAGCTGGATACGCATGATTTGTCTCGCGATCGCGACGAATATAATGAAGATTTAGATGAAACACTCGAATCCATTCAACAGCCTTCTTTGATCATCGGTATCAAGTCTGATGGACTATTCACTTACTCTGAACAAGAATACCTTGCAGCACATATACCAAATGCGGAGTTAAAGAAGATAGACTCTCCGGAAGGTCACGACGCTTTCCTACTCGAGTTCAAGCTTATAAACGAGTATATTATCGACTTTTTGAAGAAAAATGCTAAGGAGATTACACAATCTCCTCCACGTCTTTGGCAGGACAATACGAACCGCGAGATTATGAAAAACTCACTATTTGGTGAAGCCGAAGAGGTTACCAATTGGTAAGCGTTCACAGGTGGACTCCCCAGCGATACAACTTTATAATGGCTGTAATTACGATGAATATTTAGTAAGATAGACGTAAGTATAAACTTGAAGTTTAATGACATAAAGACTAAACCAAAAACCATGAGTTCTCCTCAGGTGACCCTAAATCTTTCACATCGTCCTGCTTGTCCTTATTTTTCGCCTGAACTAGACTCTTCGCATACTCCAGTTCGGAATAAATGCAGCTAATCGCTGTCTCTACACCATCTTCCCTAGAGATCTCTTGTTGTATCTGCTGCGCCTTATGAGACATTCGTGAGCTTGTGGTAACTTCTTTCAGTGCCCTTGATAATGTCTTGCTATTCAACTTTTTGAGATTAATGCCAGCACCAATGTCCTCCACGCGACCCGCGTAAAAAAACTGGTCCCCGAAAAAGGGTTTTATAATCGTTGGAAGGCCCGCTCTTAAGGTCGCACCTGTTGTGCCTGATCCACCATGGTGAACTGCAGCATCTATCTGAGGGAATAGCCAGTCATGAGGCACAGATCCTGAACTGTAAATACAACTTGGGAAAGTTTCTTCGGTATCATTACCGGTGCTATCGCCATCCAGTCTATCGGACCATCCTTTGTTAAGAATACAATAAACGTCTGCTTCTAGTACAGCATCCACCACTGCTTTCGTCATTTTCTTGGGATTGTTGATCACAATGGAGCCAAATCCGATGTAAACTAATTTTTTACCTTCCTTCCGAGCTTTAGCGATGAAGTTTGCCAATTCTTGTGGTGGCTTAAAATCATCCTTTCCATCCAAAAACCAATACCCTGTCACTTTGATCCATTCGCTAAAATCCACGGACGGTGGAAAGACGGCGGGTGATATGTTATACAAGAACGGTACCTTGTTTTGCTGCATTAGCATTAGATTGGTCTTTTTTAAACCCAGAGTCTCAATCCGCCATTTGTTTACTTGTCCTCCGATGCCTTTCCAGAAGATATTCTCGAAAAGTACATGAGTGAAGAAATTGTAGTTGCCGCCCCTCTTTTGATCTGGAACAATGAAAGCATGGGGATATGCCCTAGTTCTGGTCCACGGCATTGTGAATGCCCTAAAATAGGGGATCTGCAATGCTTCTGCGATATGGATTCCTGCCATAGCAGATGGTGACTCGATCAAAATATCGAGGTTCTGACATGCTTGCCAGGATGTTCCTAGGAGTTCGGAAATCCAATCCCTAAATTTCGAAGACGCTTCTCGAAGAAGCCCGACATTCATAGAGCCATGCTGCACCATTAAAGACATCAATTCTGCTGGATTGCCTGCAATCTCTCGGAATTTTATCCCATATGACTTAACCCATTCGCCAAACTCTGAGTGGCTGATAATGGTGACCCTGTGGCCTTCCCTCAGCAAGCCCTTCGCGAGAGCAATATAAGGTTGAACGTCCCCGCGAGACCCAATTGTTAAGAGACCGAATCTATAAGACTTCTTTGGAGAAATGCTAGTTTTGAAAAAGGGACTTTCTTCGACCATCATGGGGAGGTCATATCCTTCTGCATTTATTTTGTCTTCAAATAACCTTAGTTTTCCTGCATCAGTCGCTTTCTGCTCAGCTGAAATGTCGGTCGATCTAAGCTTTTGAGAAATTCCATCGATGGTGCTTACTGGGCTACCCACGTCTAGCTTTGCAGAGTCAATCTCCTTTAAAGTGACGTATTCAGCATCGTCTCTAGAACTCTGCAAACTGAACTCGAAGAACAGTTCTTCGTGACCATGGATAACCAAAACGAGTCCAAAGTACCCAAACCGGAAGCCGCGCTCCTTGTAGCAATTCTCTAGGTCTTCGATAGGAAGTATCATCTTTGTCTTGTTACCAGGAATCAAGGATCGGAAACAAATTACGGATGTGCCAACATAGAGCTTCCCATACACAGGGATATTTTTGTTAAGATGAGTATAATATGCTGCTCTTAGGATCTCATCATCTTTTAGGGAAAAGTGTGACTTGAATCTTTTGCTCGCAACGGACTGCTCTTTGACGCTAGCTAAATATTGGTCGTCATCCGGAAATATATCTGCAGGACCTTGTCTATAATGGACCGGGTGAGCGCCCCACATACTCCCCATATTTTTTATCGGGCGCGGCGTCCAGCTAGCAAGCTTAGAGCTTGCCATTTTGTTTTCTTCTGAAACTTGAACGGACTCGTCACTATCAGATATTTCATCAGGGGACACCTGAAGTTGCTGAGGGCTTGCGAGTTCTACCGTTTCTTGCGGCGTAGTGTGACTAACCCTACTCGAGGCTTCATCTTTGAAAGAACTAGATCTCGACTCGCTCTCATTCTTCGGTTTGAGTAAACTTAGAGCGCGTTGGGGATATTTGTGACTCAAATGAACGTGGGCTGGGAAAGATGGTCTTCGAACTCGAGAAACTGGTGATAAAACACGTTTCATTATCTTTCGTGAACTGGAGTCTGAGCGACCCCGCTGAGTTTTTTCTAGCAGCTCACTTTCATCATCGTTCAGCTCTGAAACAGGGATCGAAAGACGATTTATATCTGATGACTTCAGTGGAGGCTTGTCCATTTTGGAAAGCTGTGTATTGATGGCCTGTCTCAAATTCATCTCACTCTTCCCTAAAAACATGAAGAAATAGTCATCTACCGCAAATGATGTTGGACTTTCAAGTACGCGAATCCTCAAGGTCACGGATTGTGCCACTACCATTTGTTCCTCCACATCGAGGATATTTGCCAGGGGGATCCTCACGGACATCGAATCATTATCCGAGTTATGAGTTGCGAAAAGCTGTTTCTTTAATGCACTAGACCAAGAACGGGAAGAGAAATGCGAATCTGCACGAAACTTGTATGTTTTAGCCTCTGTGCGGATCCTGAACGTACCAGTAGCCCCATGACCACGATTGTCCAGCTCTATACGACTTGCGTACCTAAGGTCGATAGTTAAAAGCGGAAAATACAAGTCCTGTCTTGAGTTGTAGAGAGACAATGTATGGTCTTTGAGTACCGCCCAATAACGGCTCCATCTGCCTCTCAACCCGCCGGAAAATGTAGACAAGCTTCCGGACATCTTAGCGGTACCCGTGCTTTTTGGAAGAAATGCGAAGAACAGTAAATGGCGAGAAGTAAGGATAATATGGCCCTGGATGAGCAGATCCTTGAGCAGCCAGCACGACTGTCTAAGAACGAATTCATCGTCCTCTTCTTTCAAGTTGAAGCGTGACAGGAGTTTGCGGTATATTTTTTGCTGACGGGACCCCGATGACGTCGAAAGTACTGACATAGCGTCATGGTTAGGTTCCACTGAAATTTCGAACAGTGTGTCTTTCTTCGACACATGCGTCGCTGTATCTGCTAGGGAATCGAGGTCGATGGTGGCGTCTAAACTATCAGAGCTATCATTTCTGTCCATTTGAGGGCTCGTCCTTCTCATAGTTTCCATTTTTGCCTCGTTATTATCATTCTGTTCTTGTTCTTGGTCTTGGTTTTGGTCTTGGTTTTGGTCTTGGTCTTGGTCTTGGTTTTGATCCTCTTCCGATTTACTCACCGTACTGTCTTCTCCGTCATCGTCAGCCAGCGGATCGTCCTCGCAAATTTCTGCTGCTTGCTCCATATCCCTCATTCCTGCATACACACTTGCCGTTGTTAGCAAGCCCACAATGCTTTTTGCCATGCCACGAGGGCAAGCCAAATCCGGTTCCAAATCCCTGTTCCCAGAATCTATGGTGGCAGCTTCCTCACCGTCACTGACAGCGGGACTTGCCCTTTCATTACCTACCGTTCTTCCTGGAAAATGCATCAAACTGGCACTTGAATGGTACAGCTTTCCCACTGGCGATAGCGATCTCATCCATCGCCGTTGTGACGTCGAGCTCCGGCGTCCAGCACCGTCCGCGCTGGCCAAAATTACGCTTCCAGGTCCAGAGACTTGTTTCTTGGCCATTGGTAACTTGGTTCACGCTGGTCCAATGACATATACTAGTGTTTGAAGTTTGTGTTCTGTGGTGAAGGTGCTAGGGATTTGAGATGAGATGAGATGAGTGAGAACCACCCCTTACACATTGTTAGCACTCAACGTATACAGTGATACTCTATTTTTCATGGTTCAACCGCATGAGACTACGAATAAGTCTAGTGTATTATATGCAGTGATGATAATTGATAAGTGGTGTTTTTAAAATACCGAATACCGTCTCTTTACGGCATGTAAATATTGAAATGTTGTCGTGAAAGTACTGGTCACGTGACATTTTATTTACGAAACGGTTTCTAATCAAAGTTGAGCATTTCGAGCAACCATTCATCAGAATATGATGCGACAGTTCTGTATCTCTATTTCTTCTTTTTCCTTCTCAGCTTTTTAATCATCTTTGGATCTATCTATTCCTTAATTTTAGACGTAATACTTATATTCAATAAGAGGCAGGTGACAGTTAAAGACTATCTATGCGAAAAGTGAAACACTGCCACCATAACATGAAAAGAATCGCCAAGCGGTGCTCCGATTCGAATCTATCAAACTCTAGTACTGTAAATTTATTAGTTTTTGCACACCGTCGAATCGATGTCAAACTTTGTTTTCTAGCAATCTGTAGGCGTGCGATTTGGCATCCAGAACCTCCATCTTAACCTCTTCAAGCGCGCGAACCTCGCTTCTCCCAAACAGAAACGAGATCAAACCATCAATTAGGCCAGTAGCAACGGCAACGGTAATGAAAAAAGCCCAAAAAATCGATGACCAACTGGCACGGTTGGAAGTGAACGTGATCGCGATGTGAACTGCTATAATGCACACCACTGTGAGCCAAAAATGCGTGCCCCGCCACATTTTCTGCCAGTGTGCGACTTTGGTATAGCGATCTAAGACATTCAGCATGTCTTCGTAAATTTCAAGTCTTTCCATGATCATGGGCCGCGCAATTTCCTCGTTTGTATGTGACCGGACGTCCCGTGCTTGCAAACGCAGGGTACAATTGTATGCAAAATGATCCGAAAAACTGCCAATCTCGGGGATTCTTTCTGTGAATCTCACACTTGCTTGCAAAGTGACAAGCCTGCTTGGATCGATGAGTGCATAGTCAAGTCTACAGGCTTCGTCCGGTTGTCTCATCGAGCGCCATGTGTTCATGATCGAATCGCATGTAGTGCCGCCGTAGTCGATTTGACGCAGAGGTTCCAGCTTTGCAATGTGGGCTAGGTCTTGTTTACCATGCAGTTGTTCCCACGAATCCACAAACCCGGTTTCTCTTGTCAAAAATTTGTGTGGCAAAGTTCCCGGCTTGGAATTCAAATCACCAACTATGACCACTGCGTATCCTGCCAGTTTGTACAGGTTGGCTAGTTTGCTCATATCCCATGCCTGGCAGGAGCGATGACAGTAATAGGCAGCGTCACCAGTCGCTGCGTATGGCGCGTGCATATGACTATTCAAAATCGCCAGTGGATACGCATTTGCAGTGCTTGGCTTCAGCAACGTCACTGCCACGGATTTACCCACATACCAATCACCACGGAAAAACGCACTGGGCCGCCCATTTATGGGGAACCGGTACAAAAATGTGGATTCAATGGGGATTTTCGAAAGAATTGCCAAGCCAGGCCCTGCCAGAATACCTGAATAAAACAGTCGACGATACGGGTAGTTGTGCTGACATTTGCGCTCGATATAGTCCCAATCAGATTTGCACCAAATTTCTTGCAATGCAACTACATCGTAGTCATCTACACCGGAATGCGTTGCTGAAAGACCATGCAAGGGCAAAGCATTGGATTTCCCACCCAATTTCTCTGCGATGGCTTTCAAGCGTTGTTTCCGGAATTTAGACACATATTTGAGCCCCCAGGTGTTGAATGTGAGAAATTTGATATCTTGCGATACCTCTTGAGTACTCATCGTTCCGCTAATTACGTGAGAAAGCTAGTCAAAACTATAGAATAGGAATCAAGAGACTATTGACAACTCACAGCAGGACGAATATATTATAATTCAAAGACTTGGATTGATGTTCTCGAATGGAAAGACTCCTTATGGCTCTTCCACTTGGTTGTTAAAGTTGTCGAGAGTAACTACAATTACACTGTCAATTAATCTAATAAAGTGGAATGTCAGCGCTACAAAAGTAAACAACAACATTGTGCGTCCAAACTACGGTCAAGAACAGCAAAAAGATGGTGATCAGTGAGTTCCCAAAACTTCAAGATGAGATGGAGACATTTCAGGAAAAACTCCGGCTTGCTTTAGAGAAACACAAGCTTACTTTGATGGAAGTCATCGAAACATACAAAGAAGACGTTGACGGCCTTCAAGTACAGCAACAAAAGTCTCATGCGAGACTTGATCAGCTTATGGAAGATGAAAGACTATTGAAGAGCGGTATGTGATGGTAACGATGGGTTTAGATCAACAACTATCTATCAGCAGTTTTACTAACGTTTCGCAGAGATTGAGAGTTTTGAACGGGAAAAAGATGAGAGCGCTGCTAAAATAGAGGTATTCAGACTTCGCAAACAGCAACTTGATGGCGAAAGAGCAGCTTTGGCGGATGATTCAGCTCAGTTACAACTACTTTTGGCCCAGAAACATGACGATGTACGACAGAAAAGACAGCAGCTCCAACAACAACAACAGCGTGATATTGCCGAGGCAAATGTCTACAGTGAGCTACTCGGTCTAGAAATCGAGGCGCCAGTACCGCAGGTCTTGCAGTTTGTTTTTCGTAGAGTACTGGAGTCTGATCCTAGTGCATCGTGTGAAATTAACCTCGATCTGTCTCAGGAAAGCTACAAAGTGATAGATTCCAGACCCAAACTTTCACCACAGGTTCTAAGTGACCTTTCAGTACATCTAAATGATACTGGAGACCTAGGCGCGTTTCTCAAGGGGAGTAGAGCCGCTTTGATTCGGGCTCTAGACGGCGGATCGTAGAATGCGATGCGATGAGATGCCCTATATTGGGCCAGTGAACCAGAGAGTCCGTAACTATTAAACATCTAAAATCCAGCACTGAACGTAGCACGAGCTCATACTGTTTCCATCTCTAGACGCTTCTGGCCTTACCAGAAGTCAGACAATGCTTATACTTCAAAGGTTGTTGATTGTGTACATTGCGCTCAGCACTGCTCTAGCCTCAATAGGTGATAGGCTCGACGAATTCGCGGAATGCGTGGAAGATTGTCAATTGGCTTTGAGGTGTCCCGGATTTGAGGAGGATTTTCCAAGTGGTACAGCATCGGGATCACATGCCGTTTTCATTCCTGCTTCTTCAGTGGCGAGCGGTTTGTTTTTTTGGGATTGCACTGCTCACTGCGACTACCAATGCCAGCAGATCATTACTCAGTTGCGCATACACGAGGGTAAACCAGTTGTACAATTCCACGGCAAATGGCCATTCAAAAAGATGCTAGGAATGCAAGAGCTGTTTTCTACGATCTTCAGTGTCGCCAATTTCGTTCCTCATTACCGTGGATACCGGCTGCTGCAAGGTGAACTTAAGGCAACGCCGTTGAAAAGTAAAGCTCATCTAGTCTTGAATCAATACGTTTACGTGGCAATGGCAGGAATGCTTGCCTGGACTTCAAGCTCAATCTTCCATTTTCGTGATCTAGAGATCACTGAAAAGCTGGATTATTTTTTCGCTGGGGCTACCGTTCTGAGTGCATTCCACGCTATTCTTATTCGTGTTGGGCGGCTGTACCAACAAGACACCTATCTTCGTATGGCTTCAGGAACGGTTCTGCTTATTTTCGGTATGCACATTGTGCGGCAATATTTGGATTGGTCCTACACCTACAACATGAGGTTTAATGTGGCATTTGGTGTTTTACAATACATCCTGCTATTGGTGCTAGCGTACAAAAATTTCAAGCAGTTGAAACGGAGGAGACAACCGCGGAAAGCACATTACAAGATCCGAAAATCGATGGTTTTCGACCTTTGCGTCGTACCCGCGGCTCTTGTCATTGGCACTTCCTTGTCCATGTCGTGCGAGCTCGTTGATTTCTTCAGCTACAAATGGCAGATAGACTCGCATGCTATCTGGCATGCCTGTACGGTGATTCCTTCATGGAAACTATACGATTTTTTCATCGATGACTATCGATACTTGGAAGTCTGTGACGCGGGCATCGAAGATTGAAGGGCCATTTTTTTTCGAACGTGAGATGGCAAGCAAATATCGTACGCTTTTCGAGTGCTGATATGTCGAGAGTTTCGAGGGACTTTCATTTTACAAAACAATCGATACACATGCAAATCTTCAAGTTGTTGGAGAGCAAATTAGCCTGGAAAACGCTTTAGACACCTCTCTATGAGTGATGCAGATTCAACCAGTCCGTGAGAGCGACGATAGTCCAATCAGGGTTTGCATTATCTAGCACCTATTGGGCCAAACTTTTTACCCGCTCTGTTAAATGTCACAGACACCTCAGTTAGTCGCCACAGAATCCAACTGAGGGCACTTCATATTGGGTTACCCACAAAGCAGAGAGTCGTAACCGTAAAGCGTCTTCTCTTGCTCATCCATTATCGTTTACTAAAACACGTGATGAGAGGCACGTGACAAAAGATTAATTAGTTGCATAAGGGTTCATCATTCTACCATGCAGGAATTGGACTCAATACATTTTTACAAAGATGTCTCGAGAAGATGATGATTTGGGACTTCATTTGGTACTGATTGCGTCCTATTGATATAAAACGATATTTGTACTGTATGAGCGTGAGAATCTGACTTCGGGCGTGGATTCTCTTTATTATTGGCAGTTCATTGAATAATCCATTACATGCATTCAAAAATGTCGAAAACAGATTTTTCAAGCGATCTGGACGTTCCAGGCGAAGAGGAGTATAAACCTCGTTACCGCTGGAGTGAGCGTCTTGCACGCTTCCCAAAACCGCTGGCAGGAATTGTGCTGGACGTGAAAGACAGACTACCGACTTACGTTTCTGACTGGACAGATGCATGGGACTATAGAGTTATCCCAAGCGTCGTAGAAACGTACTTCAACAACTTGCTGCCGGCTATTGCATTTGCCCAGGATATGTTTGATAGGACAGACCAGTCATACGGGGTAAACGAGGTGTTGTTGGCCAGTGCATTGGGTGGAATTGTTTTCGGCCTTTTTTCAGGCCAGCCATTATGCATTGTGGGCGTCACAGGGCCCATTTCAATCTTTAACTACACTGTGTACGACCTCATCAAGCCGCTGAACATTGACTTTTTCGGATTCATGTTCTGGATTTGTATATGGGCCATGGCTCTGCATCTTGCACTCTCCATGAGCAATACGGTTTGCTGGTTACGGTACGTTACGAATTTCCCATGCGACATTTTTGGCCTCTTCATCAACGTTGTGTATGTCCAGAAAGGCATTCAGATCCTCACAAGACAATTCAAGTATGAGGGATCAATTGATTTGACAGCGGGCTACGCCAGCATCGTAGTGGCGTTGCTTATGGCAGTCTTTGGACTTGGTTTCAAGCTTGCGGTGCGAACTCCGTTTTTCAATCACAAACTGCGTACTTTCATTGCAGATTATTCCACAGCACTTTCTGTGGTTTTCTGGTCTGCATTTATACATTTCGGTGGCTATTTGGAAGATGTTCATTTTCAAAAGTTGCCGATCACCAAATCATTTCACCCTACCGCTGATACGCGAGATCGCAGCACTTGGCTCGCGTACGTTAAGATCCCTGTCAAAGACGTATTCCTGGCACTACCCTTTGGTATCGTGCTCACAATTCTGTTTTACTTTGACCACAACGTGTCGTCACTGATGGCACAGCGATCTGAATACAAACTCACAAAGGCCTCCACTTTTCATTTTGATTTTGCTTTGTTGGGATTGACCACAGCTGTTAGTGGTGTTTTGGGTATTCCAGCACCAAATGGCTTGATCCCGCAAGCGCCACTGCACACGGAAACTCTTTTGGTTCGCGATGAAAAAGGCCAAGTAGTACGATGCGTAGAACAACGGTTCACGAATACCGTACAGGGACTGATGATTTTGGGCACAATGGCGCGACCTTTATTGGTGTGTTTGGGCCAAATTCCCCAAGCAGTGCTCTCAGGTCTTTTCTTTATGATGGGACTTTACGGACTGCTAAACAATGCTATAGTTGGCCGAATTTTTTTTGTTATCACTGAAAAGTCAAAGCGAGATTTGGGTAATGATCTCAATGCTGTGCCCATAAAGAAGCTACTAATATTTTTGGCATTGAGTCTCGTTGGATTCGCCGCTGAATTTGCGATTTTGAACACCCGTGGTGCACTGGGATTTCCTGTCGTGCTTTTGTCAACCGTTATTGTGTCATTCTTCTTCCCGAAATGGTTCTCTCCAGCAGAATTAAGCACGCTAGATGCAAAAGTGGGGGAGGAATTCACCTTGAAGAATTTGATGTCGTCGTCTCTGATGGGACGGGATCGTCAGAGATAAGGTTCACTCTATGGTAGCGATTACAGGGGAAAAGTGATTAGTGAAATGATGGTGAAATTCCTTTTTGCGTTAGACCAGTGAACGATTATTTATGTGGAATTTCGGTTCCTGTTCAAAAAGCTTAATGTGCATGACCTGAGAATGAGGCGGAATTGAGCATTCACTGCATTAGAGCGCATGATGAATAAGAAGGGCGGCGACCGCTTTCAGACATAACTTGTCCCGAAGCGGTAAGTGAAGGCATAACAATACGGTGGCTTCATCCACAATGGCATTGAAGCCGTCGATTTCGAAATTAACGTTTAATTTACTAGTAAGAGTTGATCCGGGTGTTCTCTTGAGGACTTGGAAGTTATCAGATTTGGGAAAAAGCTTATTTGAAAATTACCGAAGACAAAGATAAAGGTAGTTTTCGCTTGCGCGATCGATCAGGATGCCGAATATTCTAGTGCAAGCCAGGAAAGCTTTATCTTAGTCCCAGGCCGCAAATATTGCCTGCCGCATAAGAACAAGGTGCGAATTTTGATCTATTGCTGGGCTGATTGAAACAGACAACAAAGTTACGGACTCCCAGCGAACAGTTTTGGAGCATCGTGCCGTTTTCGCATTAGCTCAGAGGTCATGAGACCGGGAATGGAGAAGGTGGCTGACACATTTACAAATACAATTGCAGAGAAAGACAGCGAATTGCTGGTCATAATGGGAGAGAGCTCTGTTCCAGAATCTGGAATGCGTTTTGTGTGTGTGTGAGTACGTACTAGCATGTTCATAAGAGTCACGCCAATAACACGTGACGATACTTTGTACTAAATGAAAGTCTGTCCCGCCAAGAATAATCTGTCAGTAAACACATGTACAAGGATCTATAGCGATAGCTCCTGTTTTCCTGTACTGGTCCGTTGCAACTTGACGGCATAGAGCATCCAGGCTAATGGAAAGCACATAAACCGTACAAAATGACTCAAATTACTTGCTTCTAGTTTGTTTCCAGTTTGTTTCCAGATTCCATTGTTGCCAAAATGCCTTTGAAAAGTTCCAGGGTCACCAGAAAACCTGCCGTATCCAGCGATGCACATATGATTTTCCCGTTTGTTTCTCGTTTGTTTCCAACTACCAATGTTTCCAATTTAAACAAGGCTTGCCTTAACAGTCAGGGAAGCGGAAGTACCACCTCCAAATCCAAAAAAAATCACGGTGATAAGATAGAGAGAAATTATGGCAGCGTAGAGAGAAATAGGTAAAAAGGTACGACAAGATGAAGTTTTGGGATTTTATTACGGACAACAGATATATATGCATACGCGCCATTACAATATTACGAGATCTCATCCAAGACAAGCTCCTACCATCTGTAGCTATTGACAAATGGGCATCGCGCCAAGTTTCGCCTTGTTTCCTTGTTTTATCACGTGATTTCAACTTTTAAACTTCCTCTCTATACCTGCACTGTATATCTACATACACCATGACAGGTTCATCTGTCCCTGGCCAGATCCATATAGTTTCTCGTCACTTTCGCTTTTTGACTCTTGTTATCCGCTTTAAACAGACTAAGCTCACTTCCTTGTCGTTGTACTCGCTTTCCACACATTCACTTCTGACCCACCTATGCCCGTCTTGCGCATCACCTCCATCGGCTACATTTCATCATACTGCGGTTGTCTGTCACCCTAAAGAGCAATGTCCGGTTCTTCAAGTGCCAAAAACAAAGGCACCGTGTCGAAAAAAGACTATTTTGAATACAACCTTCCGCAGTGGACAATGTACCACACTTTCTTGGCCACCTACCCGCATTTCAAGCGTCCGACCGACGCTGTTTGCCAGAGCCTTGGTAAATGGATGTCTCTCAGTGTAGTAACCTGTTAACCGGATTTCCAAAGCATTTTCGTTGTTACCTTGCTTATCACTGTACATATGTGTGTGGTGCGTAGACACATGTGCTCTTTTCCCCGGGTTTTTCGACACCTGATGACGACGCTGTTGTTGTCCTTATCTGAAGCGAATTCGCTCTGGCCCGAATCGATAGTTTACGGCACTGTTGTAGTTCCGGCTTCTTGATTGGCCAAAGAGGTCGTTATAACGTCACAGTGGTCTAAGGTAGTTTATATATTCAGATGGGTAAAGTAAGAGGGAAGAAAGGCTTGTTATTGATTATATGATTAGGGTAGAAGGCTATCGATTCTGTAAAGAGCCAAAGATACACTTGGTTTGATTTCCTCCACACACATACATACATACATACAGAAGCACACACACTTTATTCAAGAATGAGCAAGCCAGTTGTACTAAGATTAGGAGCTATTAAATACGCCCAGGAAGCGTGGGAGAAACTTGGGCAAATTGCCCAAGTGATAACCGTCGAGGAAAACAGCACCAGAGCGGATTTCATCAAGGCAATCAAGGACCCTAAAAGTCCAATTTTCAAGACCCAGGTCATAGGCAGAACTTTTGCCAGTGTGGCCAACACAGGCCGTTTCGATGCAGAGCTAGCACAGGCCTTGCCAGCTACTGTGGCAGCCGTGTGTCATAACGGAGCCGGCTACGACCAGATCGATGTGGCCGAGTTCGCTGCAAAACACATCCAGGTGTCTAATGTGCCTGAATTGGTCAACAACGCTACAGCTGACACCCACGTTTTCTTGCTTCTGGGAGCACTGCGCAACTTCGAGCACGGCCATAGACTAATGCTCGAGCACAAATGGTCTTCTTCGGGAGGAGCAGCAGGAGCTCCTATTGGCCACGATCCAGAAGGAAAAACCGTCGGGATCTTAGGCTTAGGAGGCATTGGCCGTGCCATCGTCGAAAGACTCAAGCCTTTTGGCTTCAAAAGATTTGTCTACCACAACCGGAAGAGATTGGCTCCAGAACTCGAAAATGGATGCGAGTACGTTTCGTTTGACGAGCTTTTGAAGGTTTCAGATGTGGTGTCCATCAACATCCCATTGAACGCCAAGACCCGCCACATTGTCGATGCCAAGGCCATAAGCCAGATGAAGGATGGCGTGGTGATTGTAAACACAGCCCGTGGAGCGGTAATTGACGAAAAAGCCTTGATTGCTGCTTTGAAATCCGGGAAAGTCAGATCTGCCGGTTTAGACGTATACGAGCACGAACCTGAGGTGCCCCAGGAACTACTCGATTTGCCTAACGTCTGCGGCGTTCCTCACATGGGTACACACACGGTCGAAACCGTCAAGAAAATGGAAGAGTTTGTGGTGAAGAACATTGAGTCCGTGATAAAAACAGGCAAAGTGATTTCGGTAGTACCCGAGCTCCAATCTGAAGCATGGGTCGATGAGCAAAAGCCGTTGTAGGCCTAAACGGATATAGAACCTTCATTAAACATACATTTCGCTATTAAATTCAAAAGTGTCCTATTTTATCAGTCTTACCTACAGCTATACCACTCGTGATAAACATATTCGGATGATACTCTAATAATATACAAACCACACCTTGCTTTAAACCTTCACATAGTACACATTGTCGCCGTCTTTGTCGGCTTTAGTGGAGTTAGTGCTTCTGAAGCTCCCTTGGACCTGCATGAGAGCGATATAGCATAGCACGGCCAGAACCAATGCCACGAAACTGAACACGACATAGTGGCCCACAATGTAGGATTTCAAAACACAACTTAAGCTGCGTTCATGCACCTCTCGGTCAAGTCCAAATCCGTAGTTGAAATATCCTAACCCGTACTGGAATATCGATTTGAATCCTCCAAAATCCGTATACGTTTCCTTCGCTAGCACGATATCAAGGTCCCCAATGTCTTGAAACGCATGTTCGCGGAGCAAAGCGGGATCAATAGGCTCTGGTATCATTGCAACGTACGTCTGGCCTCACAAAAGAGGGAAGAAGCCAGGTTTTTCGGTGGTTGTCGCTGTTCGCACTCTCTTTCGTAGAGCTAGGTCCCTGTATGGATATTTTTCCAATTTGCAGGTCCTCGAGTCCTGATCCACAGTGTCAGTTTGGAAAATAGTGATGGTGTTTGTTAGTTTGGAAGATAGTGATACCGTTTGCGGTAAGAAGCAGCAAGCGGTGATCCTTAACAGCGTATCTTGTGTACGGGTTGTGATATGCTCATATTACAGCGGAAAATTTACGGAAAACACGGTGAAAGACCTTTTAGGAAACCCTTCAATTGACTCAAATAGATTAAACTGTCTGGTATCAATGATTGTCAGATGACCGTTATTCAATAGCTCCCAATTGTGGTTCTTGACTTGGCATGATACATCGGTACGAGAACATGGAGTGCACAGGCTGTAATTCATATATTTATAATCCTGCAACCCAATGTTAGCAGAAGGTTTTGCAGGATCGCTCATCACAACAAATGATTCTTGTCTTATCGTTTTCCACTCACTTTGTCATTTGTCGCAATACAGCACGTGACCTAAACAAGCTCAAATTATAATAACTTGGTAGTTGGTAAGTTAGAGAATTACTGGAATCCATAAAGAATAGATGGGTCTTGGAAAAACACAATTGATTTCGTTTGTAGGTCATAGACCACTAACCTTCATTCAACTATTCCCAAAACTATTCTTAGTGAAAAGGACCGGCATCATTACCCACGGCTATGTCCAAGTGGTTCGATCTCTCACACACAGGATGTATGCGTCACAGCTAAGTAATCCTTCCAAAAAATTAGGCATCTTACCACAGAGGCTCAAAGGACTGAGTCAAATGGTCCCCTGCGTCGACCAGCGGAGAATAGCCATGTGGAAGCTCTCAAAACATCAATAAATGTCATGAAGAACTCAATCTAAGCAGTACTTGTAGTCAGGAAGAAATTCATCTTTAAATGTGCTGAAATTTAACGAATGAGACATGGTTATTGTCTGTGCTTGCGATATTCGTAAAATCAGAAACATGAATTTCAACAATCTTTCTCGTCGGGACCGAACTTCAAAGCTATTCACAAATTACCGAAATTTGGCTAAATCAACCCTCTTATTCTTCCGAACGCTTGCTTAGTACCACTTGGCTTTCGCTAGCGTCCATCGCTAGCCCCTATCGCTTCATTTTTGAAGTTGCGCCAGTGCTCTTGGACACCTCATAACCTTGTACGAATATGAAATTGTAATTACATGTATAATGTATACTAAACTTACCAGATGAACTTCAAGAAAAGATCAACATCTTGGCGGTCCTTCTTATCGTTAGGTTAGATTATCCTCCTTTTAAGTCATTGACCAAATTATGGCGTACTATAAATCGACTCCAAAAGTGGGATTGGGATCCCAAACGCTTGCTACCACGCCGGAAACAGCTTTCAAAATTGCACATCAGCGGGTGTCCATAGATTTAGACTTATCAAATCACTCTTTGAATGGTTCTGCAGAAATCATTTTAATACCCCTCAGCGATAAGCTGGAATTCGTGACACTGGATTGCAAAGAAATCCAAATCACAGATGTCATCGTCGAAAATAGACGTTGTGATCACTACATTCACGATGATCCTTACAGATGGTATGCCGACAAATACAGTACGGGGAAGCTCTCTGAGCTACCACTTTTCGATACAAACTCTGTAGAGCAAGCACATTTCCTTAGGAACAAATTTGCAGAGCTCAATTTACCCTCAGAATCGTCAGACGCAACCCGCTCACAGGTCACAATTAGAATTCCACCTTCGGTCAAAATTACACTCCAAGAGGCAAATGCATTGTCATCCTTCACGCCAATCACACCATCCATCCGCACTCCCGCCCAAGATACAATTTATTCCCCCATAACAATCAAAATCAATTACCAGCTCCAAAACCCCACCAGTGGACTACAATTCGATACCTCCAGAGAACAGCATCTATGGACGGCGTGCACGGTTAATACGGAGTGGAACGCAAGTGCCTCTCACTGGCTGCCGTGTGTTGATACCATGGAGGAGAAATGCACATGGGAGCTGGAATTCAGTGTGCCCAAAAAAGTAAAGGACATTGGAACCCATAATGTCATAGGAGTCACAAAGCCCAACAAAAGACGCAAGGTTCGAGATGATAACGTTAAGAATGCCGATTCAGGACGGCATATAGATCAAGAAGATGCACCAATTTCAAAACATCGCTCTCGTCGACATGCAGACGGAGAGCCAAACGAAGATGACCATGATGATGAATTAGACGACGACGACGAAGAGGACGATGACGAAGAGGAAGAGGATAATCCGTTTAATCGGGACATAGTCGTTTGCGCTTCAGAATTTTCAACTGGAAAGGAAGCTCCGCACCCGACCGATCTGTCCAGAAAGCTCGTGTCTTTTCAAATTTTTAATCCGGTAGCGCCACATCATATAGGCTGGGCTGTTGGCGCCTTTCAAGCTTGGACTTTGCCGCAAATCAAGACTCACGGCGAACCTGAAGAGGAAAGCGATGAAACAGCAGCTATCGCGGAAATTCCAGATGACGAGGAACCAGATGTAATTCCCATCCAAGTTTACACACTGCCGAGTCCCGATGTCGATGAAAGAGTCATTCTCAATTCAACGTTGGTTGCGCAAGAAATACTGGACTTCTACGCCCGAGAATTCGGGTCATATTCTTTTACCTCTTACTGCCTCCTCTTTTTGCCATCAATACCTGATGATTCCACGGATTTCGCTGGCGCTACATTTTGTAACACTAGGCTGTTGTATCCTCCTGAAATCATTGATCTTACTTTTTCAACAACCGACAAATTAAGCTGGGCATTGGCAACGCAATGGTCGGGGGTTAACGTTACACCCCTGGAGCTGAATGATATCTGGTGTTGCATTGGGATGGCAGGCTACATGTCTCTGCAGTTTTCCAAACACTTGATGGGGTTGAATGAGTTCAAATACAGAGTCAAAACTTTGTCTGAACGAGTAGCAGATCGCGACTGGGAAAAGCCGCCAATTGCAGGAGCTTTTGCTCATGCTTCTATGCCTGTCACCTCTCTCTCAAAAGAACTGGAGTTTATAAAGCTGAAGGCTCCCATTGTGCTATACATTTTAGATCGCAGAATGACTAAAACAGAACGATCGTTTGGTATGTCTCGTGTGTTGCCCAAGATTTTCTTACAGGCGATGTCAGGAGATCTTCCCAATAGCACGATTTCGACGTCACACTTTCAACATGTTTGTGAACGTGTTAACAAGAACAAGCTCGAGAACTTTTTTAAAGAATGGGTTTTTGGATCTGGTGTGCCTATTTTCCGAATCACCCAACGGTTCAATAAGAAGCGGATGGTTGTGGAAATGGGAATTCGTCAATGCCAGGTTCAAGAAATTGCTCAGGATAAGACAGTAGGTGCAGAAGGTTTTCAGTCCAGTGCCCTGAGCCATATTACATACCCGAACACTAATTTGATACCTGTTTTCACCGGGTCTATGACAATTCGAATTCACGAAGCCGATGGTACGCCTTACGAACATATCGTTGAGCTCAAAGACACATTCACGAAACTTGATATTCAATACAACACCAAATATAAAAGGTTGAAAAGGAGGAGGAAGATCAATAAATCTGCCAAACACGAAGGAAAAGATCAAACACCTTTTGAGACAGCAGACATGGCTGGTGCTGACGAGGAAAACGAAGATATTGTGCTCGTAAATTGTCTCGGTGATGTATTAATGGGTGCGAAAGATTGCCAGCAGTGGAATCTGACAGATCCATTTATGACAAGCGAAGGTGATGAGTTCCAACAGCAGAACGAGGCTTTCGAGTGGATAAGAATTGATGCTGATTTTGAATGGGTGTGCAAAGTTTACATTAATCAGCCGGACTACATGTTTGCTTCTCAGTTGCAGCAGGATCGGGATGTGGAAGCGCAGATTGATAGCATAAGGTTTTTCCAAGATGTTGTGATGAATTCAAATGAGAACTCCTTGATATACTCTTCGATCTTGACTCGTACGGCTATGGATGATAGGTATTTTTATGGTGTGAGAGTTGAGGCATGCAAAGCATTATCCAGCTTTATAGTGTCTCAGGCAAACTCAGATAGTTTTATGGGAGGTGCAAAACATTTGATTAAGATATTCCAGCACTATTTTTGTTACGAGAACTCTAGTATTCCGTTCAATAACGATTTTTCCTCTTACCAGCGCTATTTTTTACAAGGAGCCATTCCCCATCTCCTTTCGCAGGTAAAAAATGACAACGATGTCTGCCCAAAATTTGTTAAGCGCTTCTTGCTCAACATCGTTAGATACAACGAGAACGCAGAAAACAGCTACGACGATACGATATATGTCGTAAATCTAATTAGGAGTGCCGTCACCAGCGCTCTCAATGACCCTGACGATGAACCCTTTTACCGGGACTTGCTCCATGAATTGCGAAGGTTCAAGAACCTTGATCAATGGATACCATCTTATCAGTTACTGGTCACAAAGTGTATCATGGACCAACACTTGAGGCTAGCAGTCGATGGTTACTTTGTTTACGACGATATCTCACAAATTTTGGAGTACGCATTGAACGAAAGCTCCACTTCATCGCCAGGAATTTGCAGGCACTTTCGTGAGGGGATGCAAGATTTGCTTTTGACTTCTTTCAAAATTCTTCTTGTAGAAGGCGGAATCAAAAATAGAGAAGCTTTGAAGCTATTTTTCGAGCACATGCTCTTTCATCCAGATCCTTACATCAGGGTGAACCTGGTTGGGTCTCTTATTGACGCCGTCAATTTCATAGCCGACAAAAGGTGTCTTGACATTTTTGACGATGATTTTGAGAGTTTACACACAACTGCCGACACGGTGGTTAAGGCGGAGGCCTTGGAACTCGGGGATGCTAATATTATTGTGGAGAGTTTTAGCGCTGAGACGGCCAATAAGAGGGAAATGCAATTGCGAGGAACAATGAACGGATTGATCACTCTAATGCGCCGGAAATTCGCCACTTATGAGCCTTTAAAGCATATAACTTGGGATACTTTGCATTCACCATTGGCGAGTGTCTACCAGAAAAAAAGTCTTTTCGATTTGGTACGTGTAATTTATCAAATGGAGGACAGGCTTTGCGTGAGGCTCACGATCCCAAAAGACCGGAAACTCATGGCGAAGAATATGGGCAAGGGTGTGGTCAAATTACGTCGTGAAGGTATCTTGAAGGTTCATCTAACTCCAAAACCCAAAATCAATGTCAAACGAAAACCTTCGATGACACCTAAGTCATCGTCATTGAAAGTGAAACTCAATGCCACCACCGTCAAAAAACCATCTTCACCAGCCAAATCGCGCGGTGGCGTTGGTGCTGGTGGTACTGCGGCATCAGACTCCATTGCGCCTGTCTCTCCAAAGAAAGCCAAGAAGTTGGTAAAAAGTTCGATTACCAAAATTGGTTCTCTTCCTCTTAGGTTTATCAAAATTTCTCCACACAGACGTTCAGTAGATCTTTCGGCAGTGTCTTTCAATGAAAACGTCAGAATTGTGAAGTCAAATACCAGATCTCTAGTGATCAAGATTCGGACAGCTCAGAACAGAAACGCATCAAAAAAAGAAGCTTCATAAAAGAAGCAAGGAACAAGAATTCAAAGAGAGTCAATACTTCCCAGCTAGCCTAATGAAAGGCATTACATAGACTGAAAGGGAATCAAATCGGCGGCTAGTCTAGTCAAGTTTCTGGGTCTTTCGGCATTTGGTTTAGGCTCTTTCCCGTACAAAAGTATACACTGGTAATATTGGTTGATTCTCAGTGATATGTTGATCAGAAGAGCCCATCCAACGTCAAAAGACCTGCCACCAAGGCTATCATATGGCCTTATGCTCTCATATGGGAGTTCATCACTGGCTCATTGGATTCCTGGGACTCCTCAGTATTGTATCATGCCTCGGGGATACACTTTTTGATGCTAGTCAAGCCGATGGAACGTCGGCGAGATTTTCCACGACATCGTCAGGCTCTGCCAGCAAGGGTTTCTTAGTGGAGTCAGAGCAACTACAGAAAGATGCGTTTCGAGTATTTGAAACAGACGAAGGAAAAGGTAACTTTTCCGCTGTGAACTTAGTGATCGGTGATAATAACACCGAAACCAGCACAATTATCGTACATCAAGGAAGCTCAGATCCTATCATCCCTTCTGAACCGTCAAATTCGAGCGTTTCGTTGTCAGATGATGCTGATCCACTGGCTTCGCCTCATGTTGACGAAGAGCAGAATGACAACGACACAAAGATTCCTTCCTTTGACGAGTGGAAAGAAATCAGGCTCAGTCAAGATTCCAAAAGGGATATACATCCGAATTTCAGATCGGTTGAGTATTCAGATCCCTCTGGTTTCAAAAGTGAAACGATCGGTGACGAACTAGAGATTGATGTCGGTCTTTTCACGTCCCATGGGAGCAATGCAGACGAGGAACCCGAGGGCAAGCTGTACAAACACAGATTCAATTACGCGTCTTTAGACTGTGCTGCTACAATCATTAAAACGAATTCCGAGGCTTCAGGAGCAAACTCAATACTTCATGAGAACAAAGACAAGTATCTTTTGACTCCATGTTCTGCGTCAAGCAAATTTGTGATTATAGAGTTATGCCAAGACATATTGGTGGAACAGATCGCCATTGCAAACTACGAATTTTTCTCGTCCACTTTTCAAACATTGAGATTCTCGGTATCAGATCGATTCCCTCCAAAAAACGGATGGAAGGTCCTAGGAGAGTTTAACGCAAACAATACGCGGAACATACAAGAGTTTGATATTCCAAATCCCCTTATTTGGGCAAGATACGCCAGAGTAGAAGTGCTCTCGCACTTTGGGCACGAGTTTTATTGCCCAATATCCGTTATTAGAGTACACGGGAAGACGATGATGGATGATGTGAAGCTAGACGAGTTGGAAGAAAGATATAATCAAGAGCAAGAGATTGCAAGAAATGTGGAGAAGAAAACGCAGGAGTGTATCGAGGAAGAGATGGCTGTTTTATCCTCAGCTGGCGCTGCGTTGGATAAATGTCAGCTTCCAGATTTTGCATCAAATCAAAATTTGACTCCGATCTCGAAAATAGGGCTCAGGGTCGCACAATGTCCAACGGTATTACCGTACTTGGGCTTTGATCAATTTTTAAAAACCTATAACCAAAGCATATGTGATCCATCAAAGTTTCAAAGTGCTCCTGACACATCCAGTGCTCTACCATCGTCCTCTACTGAAGAATCCATTTTCAAGACAATTATCAAGAGACTCACTCTTCTAGAGAGCAATTCGACCTTGTCTTTGCGATATATTGAGGAGCAGAGCAGGTTGATATCCAGAGCGTTTTCCAATTCAGAGAAGAATCAAGCTAGAAAGTTTGATACTCTAGTCGACGCTCTCAATCAAACCATTTCGTCAAGCTTGGGAGAACTGACTGTTTTCTCACAACAACTTCGGGAATCGTCTTTAAAGGCTTTGGAAGATCAGAAATTGTTAAACGATCAGCTAGTATCTGAAACCTTAGAGAGCCTCGAACGTGTGACAAGAGACGCCAAATTTCAACAGCGATTGTCTTACACTATGCTATTTGCTTTTGCAACTCTATTAGTTTACGTTTTGTTGGCCAGAGATTCATATGTGGATGAAGCTCCGACAGACGACGGCTGGTATTTGAATTCTCCGCCACTACAAAAGGCCAAAAATACTTTTTTGATGAAAACAGTTAATCATGGGAAGCGTAATGGACCGCTTGTTTTCGAGGCTGGCCGCGAGAACCAAGGCACTGAGTACAAATCTGACGTTTCTGCGTCGACATCTTCCGCCTCATTGTATGAAGAGTTTAGTTCTGGGGATGATCAAGTTGTTTTACTGGACACCACTCGCAATAAATTTGTCGGGAAGAGTATTGAAGAAAAGAGTATAAGGAACTAAACACAAGCCAAAGGCACTGCTTTTCATAAGTGTTATTGAGTTCCATGAGCTTCAAAACAATAATTTTAAAAAGTCGAGATGGCTCAAGCGCCTGTAGAATGATATCATACCGAAGTTCATCATTGTATTATAATTAATGAGTTGAGTTGATCTGTACTAAAGTAAAAGACTGTTATAGTGTGTCTGTCATCTGATATATCATTGTGCGAGAAGCATCAAACCTTGAAACTGACGCAAAACTTTGCTTTCATACGCATTCATTCCATCATACTGCTCTCGACACTGTTGAGTCGGGTCAAAACTCTGTGTGGATTATTGTAGCCCTGAGAATAGGAGTTCCACCTTGTCATTACTGGTTTACCAGTGAGGGACAGCATCGGCGAATCAGCGGAAGATTGTGATAAGTTCGAGTAACTACTACTGAAGACCGATCCTGATGAAGATAAAGGCGTGTACGGTGTGGTTGAGCCAGACTCTGAGAAATGTGCCGATGTAGGCGGATTTGAAACATATGGACTGGAAGGCCAGCCACTACTAGCGCAATTGATCACTTCGTTATTCCCGCAATAATCACCACGAGACTCATTATTCCAGTATGCAGCTTTGAAGGGCTCTAGGTACTCGGTGTTTGCAAAACTTCTGGGCCTCAAGCCAACGAATTTCTCAATGAATTTTCTAAGGTGAGGTCGAGCTTTTCTTGGTGAATTACTTTCAGATCTTTCGTCAATTGACAGAAGGAAGTGTACAAACTAACATATTGTGAGCAGTAACGATCAATGGTTGATTCGACAAAAGAGCCACGATATTTTTGAAGAAGTACGGCAGAAAAGGGTTTCGGGAGCATTTTTGTCCTGAAGATGTCATTAACGAACTGTAAACCGCATTTTTTGATTTCTTGCAGAGCTTCTCTGGTGAAAGTCAATGCGGTCAACGCATTTTTCTTCCCTAGATCACCTTGACATGAAGGCCCTGTGCTTGGAAACATGCTGATATGAATTTGGTCTGCCAAACTGCTACTTTCCATCATCTTGGATGCCACCAGGGCCGCAGAAAGAGCTCGGATTGTGGAAGAATGCTGAAGGTAGTTTCTCTCGTACATTGAGTGCTCCAAAAGAAAGGACGCCAGATGGGCGATTGACGGAACCGTTGGGTCTTTTTCGAAGCAGTCCATTTCGAGAAAACGGGCCAGACAATCGTGGGCGGATGTTACAGACCCAATTGACCAATCCAGCGTGCTGAGGATATGCATTTCCATCTGCACGAACATTTTGGCTTCGTAAACGTCGCGACACAAATGCACGAGCTCTTTCAAAAGCGGTGTTCTACTTTTTTTGTCCTCGTATTTGGCTGCAATCCACAACGCTGTGCTAACGGTGAGCTGATAGTGGGCCTTCCGGACCATTCGTTTTGACAGGTACCGGTCCACGATGGAGCATGCCAAAAACAACGTTTCCTGTCTCAATCTGAAATATGCATGCAATTCCAGCAAGAAATCGATTAAATAAGGCCTCATATACCACTCCAATTCAGGCTGACTGTCGATCATGACAGGATCAATTCCAGGTTTGGAACTGCCAGTCCCCCTCTCCAATTCTTGCAAACTTTCCAAAATCTCTCTTTCATATTCAGCCATGCATGTCCTACAAGCTAATTTTTCTGATTCTTCCAAAGCCAAGTCTGCTGCAGTGATACCTCCTCTTGGGCCGTGAGGTCCCGGCAATCTTGGCATCCTTTCACAACCGATAATATACTTGTACAATTACTAGAAATCTTTGGCTTGATTTTTATAGTAGTCCGGCTACCAAAATTTCCAAAGGCTCTAAATAGCCAGCTATTTCCTCTCAGAGTACTGGTTTCTCTTTTTTTGGAGATCTCTCTAAAATCTCAAGAGTCTTGACCGGCACATCAACCTAAATTCTACAAGCTATATAAATCAAGACTACAGCCCACAGCTCACAACCCATGGGTGAGAAAAAAAAAACTCTTCGGGGAATACTGCAATTTACTGAACGCTAATCCAATATATCAAGCGCACCGATATCCCGTTTTTGATACCCTATAGTAGAGCCGCACTTCTTTCGGGTGATATTTTTCGCTCTCTCTCTCTCGAGAACGCGTCAAGAACCTATTCGTGTTTATTACCGTTCAAAGTATATAGGAGATGGCCGGTGTGAAAAAGCTGCGAAAAAATAAAATGCCAAGGAGGGCGGTCAATGGGGCGTGGAAATCTTGGTTGAAAGAAGACTTTCGTGAACGGTAGATTGGTCGGTTGTGGATATGAAAAGAGGTAATGGAGTTTTGGATGTGTGCATGATCTTATGAACCCGAGAGGTTGATCAAGAGTCTTTAACGATTTCCATGTCATTATAAACCAACGTGTCACCGGTGACAGATCATTTTGTACTTGGCTGTCACGAATTATGATATTATCACTTCATACTTATTTGGCACCGGTGTCAGCGACAGTGTCAGTGCCAGTATGGGTCAACAGCTACCGATGACACACACACACACACACACACAAAAAAATAGAACAGGCTCGAGACATGCATCTTTCTCTGCTGCTGTTTATCAGAGCATTACTCTCTTTGATAAGGACTAGCAGTTTGATTATTGCATTTATTCGGAAGACTGACAACTCCAGGGTATATCGTCACCAGCATGCAGAAATTCATCATCATCGCCGCGATCCTGGGCATCAAATTGACAAACGCCGTCAAATTTGTTGCCCAGATCAGCGACACTAAAGCTGTGAGTGAGATCTTCAGTCAAAATTTTGAGCAAATGAACGGAGAAAAAGGAATAGGTGCCATCAATATTGGTAAGTCCTTTCAGGCAATCTATGGCGACTTCCCAGACTCGATATTGGAGGCCATGTACTACGATGGGCGTATAATGGCCATGTCTATGGATCGGAAGCTGACAGCTGCCGAATACGTGGTTCAGGCAAATGCACCACCACATTTGGCGCGTTTGTCGCAGAAGGCTCCTTTGCTCAAGAGCGACACCACGTTTATCTATCACTCCAACGCAGGCATCGGCGTTGACGTGTATCTCCTTGACACCGGAATTGATGCGAAAAATCCCGGTTTCGAAGGCCGGGTGCAGAAAGTGGCCGATTATGCTACAGGTCTTGCGTTTGAAGGTGATCCACATGGACACGGAACTGCTGTTGCCGGTGTCATTGGCTCCGCACAGTTCGGTGTAGCCAAGAAATGCAACCTTTTCGACGTAAGAATCGGCGATGCTGATGGTACTGCCTCTTTGATAAGCACTTTGAGAGCTCTCGAACATGCTACCAAGCTGGCAGCCGTTACAAATAGACCATCGTTAGTGGTAATACCTTACACGATGGAGAAAAATGTGGTTCTCAATTCGGCACTAGAGGCAATCGTTCGTGATTTATCAATTCCAGTAATTGCAGCTGCCGGTAACACCAACCAGAGTGCTTGCAGTATTAGCCCTGCTAGCGCATATGGGGTATTGACAGTTGGATCCATTGATGTTACAAAAAATGACCAGCTTGCTCCATTTACTAACCATGGGGAATGTGTGGATGTTTTCGCCGCCGGTGTACGTGTTCCAAGTGTTGGATTAGACTCGTATTCTGAGATTCAGAGGAGCGGCACCTCTATGAGTACTGGAATTGGATCTGGTCTCGTGGCTTATTTTATGAGTCTTGGATTTTACGGAATGGATGCTGTGAATAGAGTCAAAAGTCTAAGCGTATCAGGGATAATCCCAAATATGGCCCAACAGTTGCCTTCGACAAGAAACTCTATTATGCAGAATATGTAGGGTCTTTTATATAATACAGCTAATTTAAAGCATTTTCATGACAAAATCTAAGGTAGGGGAAAGAGGTTAGAATGAGCAGTCCTGAAAAGTGAGGCTAATTGCTTAATTAGAAAACGTTGAACATTCGCAAGCATTGCAACCTCACTATGGTCAAACTTGTGGTAGGAGCAACACCACCGTTGGTATGATCATTAACAAGCACGTGACATGTGTCAGCGACAGCTCCATTAAATAGTGATATGGAGGCCGTTATAAGCTGACAGAAGTTCATTCTCAGAATTCGAACGGAAAAGCGGGCATGAAATAGTATTGAAAGCTTGAATGACAAACCGAGAAAAGTGTCCTAGCACACCCCAAAAGACTCCACAGTTCAATTTTTTTTCGAGTTTTCTACTTCAATTTTATTCAAGGTGGTAAAACAAGATATATTTGGGACACCAATTTCCGAAACTAGTTCTGTTTTTAGCAATATAATTACACTACTACTACAAATTCAATTCAACCCAGCTTGCGCGCTACTCTCGAGTAAATATGGACTGGCGACAAGTGCCATAAATACTCGGTCTTCACGTTGTCAACTCTCACGACGACAATGATATAAATGACACGCCAAAATACATGAATTTACGCGTCAGAGATAGACCAAAAGTTAACGAACAAAACCATTCAATCTCCCGACTTAAGACCAATTGAAGCCTGGTACAGAGTCATGAAGCTCGGCCAGGACGATGAGTATGATGGGATGGAAAAAACTTTGAAAAATGAACCCCAATTTGCGGACCAATCCAAAATTTTAAAAGCTAGAATCGCACTTTTGTCTACAGCAATTGGAGGGCCGGACCACAGTTCTGATGCCGACCCACCTCCATATAAGATTGGTGATGATTGCCTTGCATGTTTGAAAGATCTCAAGCGGTGGTTCAAATTGGTCGATGAACGCCAATCAAGATGGGATGTAGCAGCAGCAGCAGCGCAATATAACATTCTGACGGATGATCTGCTACCAATCTTGATTAGCTGGGAAAACGCGTACTCAGCAGCAGCTAAAAGGGTCAGGAAAAGTGGTGGGAAAATAGAGGAGTACATCAAGAACAAGGAATATCATGATAGAATAGCACTTAACGCGCTGCAATTAATGGTACTCATGACTTGGCCTTTGATTCTCACTGATCAATCGACGCATAATCAGGTAGAACACTATTCAAGTCTAAAAAAAAGCCAAGTCATCTATAAGAACGCTATTTTGAGTGTTGAGAACGGTAAAGTGCTAAAAGCTGCGGTAAGGTTAGCAGTAGAGGTAATAAAAATTGAGAAACGGATGCGAAGTGCGAAAGACAATGTGGTTTTGAGACTTGTTTTGAATTTTCTCCGAAATGTGGCCGCTATTGAGCCCAGTGATCTAACCTTGAGCAATAAAAAAAAGACTGCGTCTAAGGGCATCAACGCTACCGATATGTTGCCGCCAAACGTATCTAAAAACGACATTTCCCTGGCTGCCGTTATTGAGGCTTTCAATCGTAACAAAGTTCTCGGTCTACTGCTCACATTTTCAAATTCCATCAACCAAGAATTCGATGCAGCCTTCATTAATGTGCCATTACTCGAGCTCATGTTTTTTCTGGTCAAAAATGTAAATCATTCGGTACTGTATCGCAAGAAATCAGTAGAAAGTCATACGAATAAAAGTGTTGCAAATAAGGAGCATGGACTTGGTGGCTCAGATCTTTCAGGCCTGTTACAGAAAGAGCACGAAATGAAAAAGAATGTTATCCGTAATACTTCAACGCGCCACTCTAATTTTGGTACCATGCTTTCGATTCAAACATCAGACCATCGTCGACTGACAGTATCTGGCGGCCAGAACTTATTGAATAGCGATTACGCTCTGAAGAAACTTGACTCACGCAAAAAATGGAATAAAAGAATACTGACAGCAAATGAATCAGTGGAAGGATTACCTAGCAATTTTTTGAGCTCTGATGAAGAAACCGTTTACTGGAATCAATCAACTGGTTTAACTTTCCGCAAATTTATCGAAGAATTCATAAGATCCGGATTCAACTCTGTAGTGAGCAGCGTGACCGATTACTTTACTACGGAAGATGACAAAATGGTACTTGTTCACCAAATTGAGTACCTGTTATTTTATTCATGGTTTTTGAAGTACAGCAGAATTGCGAAACAGAATAATGACGAAACTGACATTAGTTCTATATCTTTCGCTCTACGCGACACGGCCTTAATTCTCGTGGGACAACTTTTACGGAAGGGCATGGAAAGTAAAGTCTGGGCGGTTGTTCATGCCGGAATGATAGTTTATACAGAGTTGATTTCGTTAATTGAGAGTATGGGCCAGAACGAGTTTGAAATAGAGGCCAAAGAACAAGTTGAGTACCAACTTTTTCAGGAAGAGCGCTTGAAATTGTTTTCAAGCATTCCTAGAACAGCAAGCAATCATTCTCTTTCTTACGTTCGAGGCTGTGTCAATCTAGTGCATGCATTATTCAAAGTTGTGGAAAGAACAAGTGAACGACAAGAGAAACAGTCACAAATGTCAGCAACAGAAAATGATGCTAGTGTTGTCCTCGAGCAAGCAAAAAATTTGGCTGAAGAGGAAGGGGTCGAGCTTGAAGAAGCCCTTGAGCTGCTCGAAAGCAACACAGAAAGAACCAGAGTAAACTTCAAAAAATTGCAAAGATCTTTTGCCAACGACAATACAATCAAAACATATATCAGCTACCTCGAGAACTTTAAAGAGCTGACTGATGAAGACATAAAAAAGTGCATTCAATTTCTTTACCGAATGTTCGTATCGGCCGAAGAAGAGTCCTTACTGTATCGAATAGACTTCATGATTTTACTGAAGGACATGCTAAGCCCAACTGGTTTGCCCACCATATCAAGAGCACGAAAACACGTTACAAAGTTTGCAGCTATCTTCACATCCAAATTGAAAGTACGGCTAACGAAGTCCCCGTCGTGGTTTGTGGGGATACTTTTTCCTGTTATACATGATAGAGAGACAGGACACTATCAAAAGTATGCTGAAGAACTGTCCTTTAACATCGATCGCGTTGCGACGCCATCTGTTTTCAAGCCTACGGAAGAACTCATGGGAATGAGCCCTTCTACCACCCTTGATTTCAAGTTCGGAATATTGGTATCAACACTCATTGATAGAGAAAAGCAGAATAGTGTTGAGGCCTTACTTGATAACCTACAGCGTTCGTGTGCGATCATGAAAACATGGCTGCTTGACGAAGCTCTGAGGGGAGAAATGGATAGCAGCACGACTGGGCGTGAGCAGTTTGAGACCACATCATCATCTGTTCGTAAAGACCTTCACAGAGACTCGGATTTCAGAGCTCTTCTCAAACTATGCAGCTATCAACTTTCCAGGTTCGAAAACGAAAGCTGCTTTCTTTCAACCTCTTGTCGAATTCCTGACGTGGAGACATTTATTGACCTTATCATGAAGTATCTGAATAATCCATTTGATACGCCCAACGGTGAGCCATCTTCCTCTTATTTGCATAGACCGGGAGATGAAGGCCTTGCAACGAGTGATGTTTCGCGCGAAATGGGTGAGCGAGCGGCAGATGCAGAGGAAGTGAGTGAAGAAGAAAACGAATATTTTCAATCTCTGACCAAAGACTCGTCCACCAAGGGTATCGATCTCAATGATTCCTCGAGGGGCATTGCCACAAAAAAGAAAAGCAGCGTGCGTAAGCGACAAACCCAACGGGCTGGGGTCAAAGGAGTATCAAAAATTAAAGAAAAAGACCCCAGCAGTGCTGTTGACGATTTTAGACAGAGGGAGGTTACAAGCGCCGAAATAATCAGTGACTCTGATGATTCTGATGACGAATTTGCACATGCCACATTTTACGAGAACGAGATGTTTATGCGTTTCCTACTCGACAAATACCACGGTTCTCTTCCTCAACACAAGTTTGTGCAGTTTGCGGCCTTCGCACAAGAAAGAATCAACAATGCTGGAAAAATTGTCAATGATTACACGGCTCTTTTCGACGGGCCCGTGCCTAGCCCATCGTCGTTGACAGCAACTGAAGCACCCGGCGGCAAATCCTTAGCACCCAAGCTAGCACAAATCATGGAGAATCAAATTGAAGACCACATTGATCATCGCAACTCACCTGACGATCCTGAGTTAGACAAACCAGAATCCACAGAATCGGAAATTTTAAACGCCAATACTACCAACACGACCACTGATAAGAAGCTCACGGAAGAAAATGATGTCGCCATCATTCCCAAATACAAACGGCGGAGGACGATAAGGATGGACGAAGAAGACGAAGAATAGTATCATGAATGGTTTTATATAGTAAAAACTCAATTTCATACTTCACAATGCTTTTGATCACCACCTTTGATCGATGCCATGATCGTTTGGGTTCCGCTGATAAACATGATAGCGAACCCAAGCGCAATGCACAGGTAATGAGGGGCTTTGTCACGTCCAGATTTCCGACTACCTGATAGTATCAAATTAACCCAAGGAGGTAATATATATGCCATCAAAGAAGCGGTGGTTGCCCCAATTAGTTCGAAAAGAGCGCCCAGATTGCAAGTTGTTAACGAAATCGCCATAGTTGTAAACACCACAAATGTGGTAATGATAATGTGCAGCTTCAAGCTTAACTCAAGCGGACGTCCTTCTGATCTTTCTGCATTAAAAAAAACCAGGTCTCGCACAACGTCTCGCAGAACGAAGACTTCTAGAGGAAAGGTAGTCAGCATATTGAAACCGAAACAAAATCTAGCCACGTTGACCGCAAGATCGTTTCCCGGGAAATTGTTGAGGACATTGCCCTTCGTTTTGTCTTTGAACATCAAAAACCCTGAATAGCCCATGATGAGACAAAAAATCATAGCCACAATGCAGCTCATGTGAGTCAGTCTATCAAATCTTTTCATACTTGGGTTCTTCAAAGAATAGAAAATGAAACTTGTGTTGTGATGGCAAACAAGTGCAAAAGAAATCACAGAAATACCTTGAAATAATCTTGGTGTAATCAGCCATTGGCTAGCGTTTATGGTTCCTCTGTAAGAAGGATCGATGGACAATCCCTTTATCACCACAATCAACACTATTATAACCATACTCAACAATGCCAGCATTGAAGTTTTGGACAGCTTCGAAATATCTCGATTCAGTGATAACGGAAAAGATATAAACGTGGTAACGATGAAAATGATGATGTTTCTGTGAAATAGGCCCTGATGCGATGGAAAAAAAGCTCGCATTACGTGGGGAATTGTATCACCCATTATGATGCAGAAACCTATGCAACCTCCAAAGGCAAACAGCCCGTTTGTGAGCAAGATCAACACTTTGCCTTTCCTGCCCATGGCATATTCCACACTATCCTGGTAACTAGAGGTTCCTGAAATCTTGAGGTTAATTACAATGAGACGAATTGTCCAATCGACTAGAGCTGAGAGAAGTACTATCGCTAACGCCCCTCCGATAATACCGCAGTTTTTCACAGCAAGAGGCTGTCCGATAACGCCTGCACCAAGTATACTATTGGCCATATTCATAAAGGCCATCAAAGTGCCTGACTTGGATCTTTCTTCTGTGATCAAAAAGCCGGTGACTTCTGCAGCATCCAGATTTATTTCTTCGGATTGTTCATTTTCCACATGGACTTCTTTCTTGAAGTTGGAAAGCACGAAGGCATCTCCTGCTGAGCCAGTGTCATCCCACAAAACGTTCTCATCATGTGAGGGGTCATTGTTAGATTCTTTGACCATTAACTGAGGTGTCCTTTGTATAGTTTTTGTGAAATTGTGCTGATGGTTGATGAACAGTGTTTCTGGCCTTATCATATCGAAATGCTAGCGATGAGCCGTATGAAGAGCTCTGGCCTAGACCGAGACCGCGACAGTTAGTTCATCGACGTATTTCCTGGGTGGTTCCAGGATTTTAGGAGACCGTACTGTGAGCATCATCGAAAGCTGCATCTTCGTCATCGGTCGTGTTTTGTAGCTTGCTGTCGGAAAACGAGTTTTCCAGTTTGGCTTTTTCGGAATTTGAATCAGCCGTTAAGGATGGTACATTTTCTGGAACTTGGGATTCTTCTCCACCTTTTGGGTCAGTAGCATCGGAAGTGACTGAGCTGGTATGCCTTCCTGAGTGTCCAGGAGGTACAGCTTCTTCATTTTGGATGGGCTCAATTTTCATCTTCACCGCATCTTGGTCCTCGTTAGTCTCTAGTTCTTCAGATAGAGGATGCACTTGATCAGTGCCATCAGGCGAGGGGCATTCCTTAGACTCAGCGTAAGCATTTCCATGCAATTGAGAGTTTCGTGACGCTTCTTCGACTATTGTATGGTCGCCCTCCGACAAGTTTGGCACATCACCATGTGGTGTGGATTTAACAGATCCGCCTCTAGAGACTTTTCCAGCATTCTTGAGCTTGGCGTTGTCTGACATTTCGAAATCAAAGTTTTCGTCATTCGCGGGTGACTCTGACTTGTGGATAGTGAAAGAATCCCGAGTTTCACGCTTCCGCAAACTATCTGACGTAAGGATTGGCTGTGAATTCTCGGGAGATTCCGTTGCGACAGGTCCAATTTTGGATTCTAAGCTGTCTTCCAATGCCCAGATACCAATGTGAGCCCAGTGTAATGATGCTCGTAGTTTGCAAAGTTGAGCCCATGCTCGTTGCGTGTTAGTCGAAGGATTTCCACTCTGTGACGAAATTGCTGGGACCTTTGTGGGGGCATTGGAGCCCTTTGATGGTAGAGTTTTAGACAGTCCTGCCATGAAAGTTGCTCGTTTTGATCTGTTGTCAAGACTGGGGCTGTCCGGTGCTTTGCCAGTAAATAATGGCGCATCTGTCGCAACTTGTGTCTGATGATATTCTGACAAGTCTTCAAGATGCCAAGCGCCGCTTTTCAGCAATCTCAAAAACGCGAAGATTTCACAAGTCTGTCGAATTTTGAGTAGACAGTAATGGCAAAGTGGGAATTGCGCATTGGGGGTAATTGTACCATCTTCATTTTTCTGTAAAGTCTTGAGTAGATACAACCGGCCGTGCTCCAAAATGTCATTACGGCCTTCGGAGCAAAAAGCGCATGGATCCTGAATGGCAATGGGTGGTGAATCTGCGGGGTAGTTGTAGAGGTGGGGGTCTTTGAACTTGTCTGATTTTGGTAGCTGCGGAGAGTTGACCGCTGAATTGGCGCCGTGGCCCAAACGATAAGTCTCGTTGATACCACTAACGGGCTCAATAATTACCATTCCCTCCATCATGAGATTCATTAAGTTACGCCTCACATACCACCCTACGCCACTAGCATTGTCTAGTCGCAACATTGGCTGAATTTCATCGTTTACCAGCCGTCTAAGAAGTTTCGACCGCGACGTGGTATCTTTTATCGAAGAGCACTCGGGGAGCACAGCCACGAACTTCAGAAACTCATTGTACAGACTTAAATCATACCTCAAGGACTTCAAGTAAGGGGAGAAGATCACAGTATCAGACGTTGACAAGGTTCCAGTCAGGGCATTCATCGTGTTTTCGAGAGGACCGCTAGACAGCGTTCCTGATTCATTGGCCACAACAGAGTTGCGGTTAGATGTCAATACCGCGCTCTGCTCTTGCTCCAGGCTGTATAAAACACCTTTGAGATTCTTCAATTGGATCTTCATAGTTTCAAGTAGCGTATCCTTTTCTTGCAGTTGTTCGGTCAGTCTGTCATTTCTGACCTTGATACTGTGAGTTTCTTTCCGTGCATCAGCTACCATGGAGTTAGCTTCATCAAAAAGCGATGCAGTGAGATCCTCGACTTCCTTGTTTAAACGATCGGCCTCTGCTTGTGCTAAATCTTTGTCCTGTTCCGCATTTTTCAGTAGACCACGAGTCTTGGCATTCTGAGCCTTTTCGGCCTTCAAATCATCCTTGGTTTGCAAAAGTTGCTCTTTTAAATTTTCGAACGCTTCTACCGAAGCTTTCTGGCCATTGATCACTTTCCTCGCTGCTAACAGCTGTTCTTCCAACAGTGACTGTTTGTCAATGCTTTCGATCAATTGCGTTGACAAAGATGATACCTGGACAGATACTCTCTTTGATTCTTCGTCTTCCGACATTAAGAGAGCTTATACTCGAGGGATAGACAGCCGATCAACACTCTTCTGAAGAATACCTTGATGTTTTTTGGTTTCTTCTTGTAGAGTTGAGATGAGATGAGATCATCTATTGTTAACGATAGATTGACAAGATCTTCAAAACAAGCTGACCAGAGACAAGGATTCGAGTATAGATGACATAATTAGTTTTATCAACGCTCATGAACTGATAACCGATAGATCAATGGTCGGATATTTTTATATACATTGTGTAGTCCTTATTCAGTGATATTTCGAAATAATGACGTGCGTGGCCATAGTTTGAACTTACGTCAACTTGATTTCCTTCTACGCATCTAGATATTCTGCACTATCAGAGTCTGAGTTGTTCTCCTTGATTGTTGTATGATGAGTGTTGGTCTCTGGTGGTGATGTGTCATTGGTATTTGGAATTCCATCGCTATTTGACCCACCATTCGCTACCTGGTCTGTGTCGTGTGCGTCTGTGTATTGGCTGTCGTCACCATCGTCAACTGCTTCACTTGACGTGTTCTTTTTGACTTCTGAGGCAACGAATCTCAAACGGTTTTCGGAATCATTTGAGAGATCCACGCTCTCTTTGGCTCTCCTCGTTCTTAGACGAGATTTGCGGTGTTCTGCAGCTGACCTATTCCCTGGTGAGCCGGTGCCTCTCAGCTCAAACAAGAGATCTCTGGCCCGGTTGGGAACAGCTTCTGTGCCTTTCTCGGATACAGTCCGCTCCAATCTGGGCTCCGGCGTTGGAGATGCCTCAAGCTCCCCGTCCTCGACGACAACGTCACCACCAGAAGGTGATGAGAACAGCTTGCCATTCGAGTCGTCAGCCTCAAAGTTATCCAGGATCGTGGCATTCTGAGACCCGCTTTGTAAAAGCTTGCGGCGAGCCACAGCACGTTTCCTCGCAGAAGATGGATCACTTTTAGCAGGGCCAGCATTTTTGAGTTTCTCCAGCAGCTTATCCATGACATACCTATCTCCGTTTGCCCCAGAATTGTCGCTGTCGTCATCGTTGTCACTGTTATGCGTCGCGCCCTTTAGGTCTTTTCCTTCTGCTCGTTTCTGTTGTTCTTCTACCATCTTTTTCCTCCTCTCATATGCCCTCTCCTCTTCTTCAATCTTGAGGTTGAAGCTTTGCGCTTTTTTGTACTCTAGTAAGAAATCTGCAAACTTCTTGAAGAACGAGTTTTTAGAAAACTTATCGACAGGATCTTCGCCGAATAACTTCATCAAATTATCAAACTCCAAAATCGTTAATTTCATTTCGTCTACTAACAACTCACCCTTCTTCTTCGCCTCTGGAAGAACTGGTAAAATCTTCATAACGACTCTATCATTAGGATGAAATTTGAGGGGATCGCTGAGATTGCCTATGTCAAGAGATCTTTCGACATTCAAAACGGCTTGAGAAAAGCCAGTGCACTCCTGAGCAACTTGTTCGATTGAGATTTTGACGGCAGCAGTGACTGGTTCCAGATCCTGAATGAAGGTATTGAATTCGGGATACGTTTCCCGTATAATCTTTTCGACGTAGTGTAAAAATGTCATGCTGTTCTTCTCGTCTTTGATAAAAGTGAGCCTTTGCAACGTCGCGAGACGGAATCCCTGCGCTTGCTTTGAACAATCATTCATGAAATTTCCCACTGCTAAAATAATGTCGAGAATGCTACGTAGGCTTTCAGATTGCTGAATCGCGCACGTAGCCCTATCAATCAATCTCAGTTTCTCGACCAACTCGTTATATTCCCTTTCATAAGTTGTTATAACTTTTAGAGCACGCATCCGTGAGGGCCAATAACTCTGCAGATTGACGAATAATTCCAAATAAATTTGATCGGCCCTTTGAAGTTCCGAAGGATCCTTCTCTGGCGGTTTTGACTCGTCAATAGATTTCACACCCTCCCAATCGACAGTGTACGGAGCAAAATTCCTGGCCAAGTTATTCGAGACCTCTACGATTTCCTGTTTCGAAAGGAATTCGATAACGCTTGGGGTCGACAAAAAGTCTCTCTCACACTTGAGAACCTTTGTGACTAGTTCTTGAACAGTTAGCGACGAATACATGTGCAAGTTAATACCAAATTGCTGCGAAACGTCTCTAGAGAGAAATGATATCTTTTCAGCGTCCTTCTTCTTTCGACTCGCCAAAGACTTGATCTCCCTGGCGGCGAAGGCCTTTTCTAATTTCGAAAGGACACCCTTCTCGTACAAGTCATCCGCAAATTTCTCAGCCTTTGCGTGTTTCCAGATGGAATCTTCGGCATCGTCGATCTTCTCCCAATGCAGCTGCTTCAGTCTTTTCGTAGGACGAGGATAATTTTCGAATAAGGATGGTGACTGAGGAAGCAAAGGAGAAGGCGCGGCAGTTTTAGCAGTAGACTGCAATCCGCCGAAAGGTGGTGGCGGTGGTGGTGGTGGGGGGGGCCCACCACTAGGAGCCTTGCTTGTTGAATTGAAAAGAGAGGGAGGTGGTGGAGGTGGGGGCGGAGGTAAGGGTGCTCCACCTTTATCAGCAGACGGTGAAGTAACCATAGAAGGAGGCAATGGCGGTGGAGGAGGTGGCGGAAGACCGTTTGCGAAAGCTGCCCTGCTGACCGTGGATTTGGTAACTGCAGGTTCCTCCTCGGTCGTTTTCTTGATAACTAGGCTTCCCTGCTGAGCAAATAGCTGCAGAGGTGGAGGCGGTGGAGGCGGCGGAGGCGGCGGACTAGTTTGTGATGCTGACGATCTTTGCGAGGATGAAAGAATTTCCCGATTTATAACTTCAGGTTCCTGCTCGCATTTTTCACCAGAAATACTAACTTTGACGCTATCAGACCCAGAGCCAGATGTGCGAGTCGAAGAATCTGTTATTATCGCGGCACCATCACCAGCCCTAACAGATGGTGCGGTTGAATGTGAGGAATCCGTTGAGGCAGAAATATGCTTTTGGTTCATCACTATTCCGATTCCAATCTTATTTTCATTGGCAGATTTATCGTCCTGTGAATGACTGGTGGAGAGATCAAATTTTCCTGACAATTCGTTTAAGTATGGGATAGGATCTGACCTTTTGACCCTATTCATGAATGACTTCCTGTGATACCCGCTCCCAGGATATGTCGAATCTCGAGCTGCCGCGGATGATCGATTGTTGGGTTGGGACCCAGCCCCAGTGCCGTACTTTTGAGAAAGTCCTGTCAGGAAGGACGTTGGTGGCACTTCATTACTATCAGCTGTAGAATCCTCTTTCTCCTCTTCTGAGGAATCTGATGTTGATGTCTGCTCTGAATGATCGTTGTCGTTAAATGACTGTCTTGTCTTGAGGGCGTCCAGATCGGTCAAAATCGTCGAAACTTCTTCATTCAGGCTCTGAATTTCTTTGGGATCCAAAGTTCTATTTTTCTGACTGAAAGAAGCGAGAAGCTCTTCGCGAGGTGTTTTCTCTAATGAGTCTGGATTGAAATGTATGCCAAAGTCTTTATAATCATTTTCGAGCTTCTTGAGTCGGTCAAGTGCAGCAGTCTTGTGGTCGCCAAAAATTTCGTTCATTCTTCCCTCGACATTGAATTTGGAAATTTCATTGCTTTCTTCTTGAAGCAGTGCTAGCTTGCTGCGAAGTTCTTGAAGCTTGACGACAGAATTTTTAGCACTAGCTGCATCGGTCTGGGGTTCCTCGGTCAGCACTGAAGAATCTTCCACACTTTCTGTCTCAAGCCTTTCATGGCGGTATTCGGAAAAGTTGGTCATCTCGAGCTCCCGCGCCTGGTTTTCAATATCTTCCATGCGGGACCGTAACATTCTTAGTCGCTTGTTTGGTTTTACTGAAATTCCATGCCTTTTGGACTCGACATTCATCTCTTGAGATGTTAGTTCAAGTTTAGCCTGCAAAGCCTTCTGTATTGCCACCTTTCTTTCCGATTTAAGGCGTTGAGGAGCGTTACCAGTGTCCACTATCGATTTCGCATCGTCTGTCCCCGCCGGACGGGAGTTCAAGGCCGTGAGGGCAGTTCGAAGTTCGACCTCATGCTGGTGCTTAGCAAGTAACAACTTCTTTTTAACGTCATCGAGGTCTTGTTGTAACTGAGATGTCACCCGCTGACCTTTTTCTAGAATGCGGTCTCGCTGTCTCAATTCTTCTTGTAGTTGGCCCACTAGACCATCCTCAGCGCTTGCCAACTTCGTTTGCAACCCATCACGTTCTGCCTTCATTTCTTCATAGCGCTTGACCCAGTCTCTGTTCTCTATTATGGCACGTCTCGCGATCTCATCTGTTTGCATCGCATCGTAAAGTCTCTGTAAAGCGCTGTTGAACGAGGACTGGACATCCACCGAAGCTAATGAAACATTGGAAACCAGCGCATCAACCAACTTCAACTGTTTCGCTCTTTGAGGTAGATTTTCGTTATCTTTAGCCCCCAGTTCGCCGGCACCAATCAGTAGGTTCTGTAGTAGGGAAGTCAAATGCTGCTCTTCCTCGGAACCTTTGCAAAGATTCCAGAGACTTTGTACCAATGAGACAGGGTCTTTCATATCTATGCCCTTGAAATTGGCGTTATGTGCATATAACGCATCAAAGTCATCAGCGGTGCTATCTTCAAATATTGTTAGTTCTTGATCAACCTTTTCATAATTCAATAGCTTCATTTTGTTCAAAATTCTGGGAAGTCCAGCATTTTTTAATCTGGAACGGACAAGGGTCCGTTGCTTAACATCAATTGGCGTTCTGCACAAATGATTAACAAGCAATAAGGTAAGATAAGCGTATTCCATAATAGCATTTTCGCCACCCGATGTCTTGAAATCATCAGAAGCTCCAACCAAAGAGCCCATCTTTCCTCTCCCATCAAGTGTGAACTCAACTACCAGCATCCATTGCTCCATCTTCTTCATAATGCGATTTCTGTTGTCCTCTGACAGCTGATCCGCTGATGTACTTTTACTAGGCGACTTCGTTAAAAGACGAGCTTGCAAATGGACGTTATCACAAAATCTGGACTCTTGTTCCAAGGAGTTTATGATATGATTGAAACCATTCGGTACCGCCCATTGACTAAGAGATAACAACAACTCTGAAGCTATTCGCCGCGTGGCAACGCGTAGCGATAAGAGCCCTTCCACTATAGAGGAGGTGATGATCTTAGCGCTGCTGGACAAAACAGCTTCATCTGCACCTTCTTTCAAGTTTAAACTCGTTTTTAGGCACTTAAAATAGGCAAATTCCTTGTCAAGAACTTCATCGCTTAAAAGGTTTTCAGGAGACTCTCTATAACACGTTTTGGTTATGACATTAGCAATGGCTACTTGCCCTTGCGCATCCAAAAACCCAAGAACCCAGTCCAATTGCTCTGTTCGCAGAGAGACCCAAAGGTCATTCAACCGTTTGGCCGTGATATCGTTACAAATAATTTTTCTGACATAATAGTCAGGAGGAAGATGAGATGGGTCTTGAGACAACGTATTAGTACTCGAGTTTCCGTTCTTGGAACCGTATATTTGATCGGCTGCGCCGAGAGGGGATGTCTTAGAGCGATCAACACCTGCCAAACTTTCGTCTATAGAGACGGCGTTGGCAAAATTCATGTTTGAGGGCTGTGTTGAATCGCTGCTTGTGGTGGCTGCGCCGATAATCGAAGCGGCCGGAGACCTGCCGCTGTTTTTCTTGTTTTTGAGTTTCTTTAATTCAGATTGTAAATCCTGTTTCACCATCAGCCACTTCTTGTCTAGATCATAACTGTTCAGTTCCTTTTGAGCAGCTGCCGGCAGACTTTGGTAGACGTTACGTTTGTACAGTACTTCTTCAAATAGATCTTCGATTTCGCGAGGGTCTCGTGGCTTTTCTAGTCGTATGCTCCCATCTGATGCCATGAATTTGGATAGGTTGGAAATAGAACCCTGGGAGAAAATGCTGGCGGATGATAAACTTTGATTTGTCTGTTGACGAGAAAGTCTAGGTCCGTTAGTGTTGGCATTGGGCACATTGTTCGACCATTGAGATGCTCTTCGAGAATATGAATATTTGGTAGGGGATCCCGTGGAAAGATTGGAGGAAGATCGGTTGTGCGAGTTGGCAGCATCCGTGTACGCTGACAGACTGGGCAAGTTAAGCGTTGGCTGTTTACTCAACGGCTTGTGAGAAAACTCGCCTGCGTTAGGAAGACTAATCCTAGTCGGTGAGGAAACATCTGAAACGTCTACTTTGTGCGAGTTAGCGTCTTTATCGGCATTGTTACCGTTATTATTACCACCCGTCAGTTTCTTCAAATTCGAAAAAATACTTCCGGTTCCCGAACTATTGCTTGAAGTCCGGTTGTGGGCACCCTTCGAAGACTTGGAGTTACTGGAACGATGCATAGGAGAGCCCGTGCCGTTCTACGTGCAATTCTCGGAGTTATGTTTTCGATGAGGTTGTTCTGATGGGTATTGTAGGATTTTTGACCTTTTCGAGTGATCTGGAAATTCGAGTTTGTAGCCAATTTTCCCGGGAGTAAAACGTCAATTACAGTCCCCCGACAGTCCTGAACAAAAGACACAGCAGGAATTGGCCTGAAATGCGCCTATTAGCCTTCCTTCTTGGCTTAATTTGGGTTTCGGGTGGGCAGTTTCATATGGTATGGTTCATTTACAAACGCTTACGCTACATATAATTTGTGAAGGTCATTGTTCACGAGGAAAGTATGTAAGGTCCCACACACCACAGCGTTCTTTGAAGACAAATGAAATACGTGGTAGGAAGTAGCGGAGCAGTATGTTTTGTATTTCGGTATTGTTTTGCGCTTTCTGTTTGTGTGTTCTCTCACAACGTGTTGTCGTATACGGCGTTTTGAAATTTCAAGCATCACTGGTGAAAGTTGGAGGGGCACTAGTAGAACTACACAATTGATGCTTGTATCTGTTTGTCAACTACATAGATTGTATACCGCGGTTGATATATGTATGTATATTCTCATATGGGAAGAGGGTGTGTATGGAGCAGTGACAGTTTAGTACAAAGTGATAAAAGTCGTCACTGACGTTATAGGTCAAACCCATTGGTAGAGGTTGATGCGGTTGAGGGGTTACGTCGGGTTATACAAGGGATTAGTGCGTATAAGGTTATGTGGGGAGGGGTTAAGGAATTACATGATTTTTGTGAATAGGCAGACATTGAGCAGGCACCAAGCGAAACACACTGTCAAGTTTCGGAGACTTTGTAACTTTCAAGTCGAACTATCAAAATTCGATAACAGCTTTAAATAAACTCATTGAGACTGGAATTGGCATAGTAGAAAGCTTCTAAAACTTCTAAATCGTTCTTTTCGATGACAATACATAAACCACGTGACCCCAAAAATCACGGGGTATGTTTTTTTTGCCGCTCATATGTATATAAGGAAGCAAAACAGAATATTAGTCTTCCCTTTCTTAACACACTCTTTCCATACTCTTACCAACCCAAATGACTAAAAGTTCTGACCCTAAGGACTGCTCAATGACAGCGTCTTAACAGTTCCCATTGGCCACTCAGTTTCTCTCCTTTTAGGTCTCATTCAGGAACTGGGTGGCGTATCCGCCAAAAATAACTTGGATTTTGCGAGCGCCCTGGCTCTAATCCTATTGCACAGGCTCTCTTAATCGTTCTCTAAACTATAGAGACTTCATTTTTGAACCTCTGCCGTGTAGATGGGCCATCCATCATTCACCGGATTGTTCAACTGAAAAACCAACTAGATAATCGACTGGATAAAGGCACGTGTAATAAACAAACCCCTTTGAGCTAGAAACTCCCAATGCGGTTTTCCAAAAGAAAAACAGAGAGAAGAAAAGAAACAATCAGCCCTGCATGGAAAGCTTACATAAGAAGAAAGAGGACAATCGAAGCACGTGACTCCATCTCACACAGGCAAAAGAAAGGGCCTTTCGATGATTCATTGTAAGGCATCAAATGAACACTCACAGGGCGTGAAAAGAAGAGCCGTTACGAACGGAAAATAGCGAAAGAAAGATCAAGCGACGCAAAATGCGCCCACTTTGATTGAAAAACCGAGCGAAACAAATTCCTGAGGAATTACAGCACGTCAGGAAAGTTTGACCACTAGATTTTGGACAGATTTCTCTCCAGGTTTTTGAGTTAGAATAAACCTTTCTAAAAAGAAGTTAAATTTAATGAGAACGATATCTCATCATTGACTTCTCTATTTCAATAACAGTCGATTTGTTTGAATCGCGGAAGCACAACAGCAACGACTCTGAGCATCTGTGAGTTTCTGTATTTGCACACACTTCATCAGTTAGCTGTCCAGTCTTCTTTTCCAAAAAACACGCAACGAACAACATAAGCTGCCGGCCATGGTTAGGAAGCTGTCAACTCACGACTACGAGGATGGTGCTAAAACAAGCGGGAAAACGGGCGGCGAAGGGCTTGAAATGTCTGAAATGTCGGGCGAAACGAACTGGCAGGACAACAGTGACGGTATAAGTGATCCAGAATTGCGCAGCTACCAGGACTCAGAGCTGCACGGCCTTGTTCAGGAGGGTCAAGTTAAGCGGGCACTCAAATCGCGCCATATCTCGATGATTGCGCTCGGTGGAACCATCGGAACCGGTCTTTTTGTCGGTATTGCCGCTCCACTGTCATATTCAGGGCCTGTTGGTGCACTAATTGCCTACATTTTCGTGGGAAGTTTTGTGTACTTTGTGACCCAATCGCTGGGTGAAATGGCTACCTTTATCCCTGTAACGTCGTCCATTACCGTGTTTTCTTCCAGGTTTTTGTCTCCAGCGTTTGGGTTTGCCAACGGGTACATGTACTGGTTCAACTGGGCAATCACATACGCCGTTGAACTTTCAGTCATCGGACAAGTCATCCAGTATTGGACGGACTCAGTCCCGCTAGCTGCTTGGATTGCCATATTTTGGGTCCTAATTACGTTGGCTAATTTCTTCCCTGTGCACTTTTATGGTGAAGTCGAGTTTTGGGTCGCAGCTCTCAAGGTAATCGCTATTGTCGGCTACATGCTCTACGCCCTCATCATTGTTTGCGGGGGTTCCAAACAGGGACCTATCGGGTTCCGCTACTGGCGTAACCCTGGTCCTTGGGGTGATGGTATCATTTCCAAAAACAAGGCCGAAGGTAGATTCCTTGGCTGGGTGGCCTCTTTGATCAATGCCTCATTCACGTATCAAGGTACCGAACTAGTTGGTATTACCGCTGGTGAAGCCGCTAACCCCAGAAAAACTGTACCAAGGGCCATCAACAAGGTTTTTTTCAGGATCTTGTTTTTCTACATCCTGTCGTTGTTCTTCGTCGGTCTCCTCGTACCCTTCAATGACAAGAGCTTAAGTCAGGATTCGGCATCCTCAGTTATTGCTTCTTCGCCCTTTGTCATTTCCATCAAACATGCTGGCACAAAGGTGCTTCCAGACATTTTCAACGCTGTTGTCTTGGTCACCATTATTTCTGCGGCCAACTCAAACGTTTATGTGGGATCCCGTATTCTATACTCGCTTGGACACAGCGGTATTGCTCCCAAACACTTCACCTACCTTACCAAGCAAGGTGTTCCCTACTTGGGGGTTATCGGTACTGCTCTACTAGGGTTGCTGGCATTCCTTGCTACCAACGACAATGCCAATGAGGGTTTCAACTGGCTGATCAACATTTCGACCCTTGCGGGACTATGCGCCTGGTTCTTTATCTCTTTCTCTCATATCAGATTCATGCAATGTTTGAAGCATCGCGGTATATCGCGGGACGACCTACCTTTCAAGTCCAAATTTATGCCATGGGGCGCTTACTACGCAGCCTTTTGGGTCGCCGTCGTCATCTTCGTGCAAGGTTTTCAAGCCTTCTCGCCCAAGACCACTGCCTCTGGGTTTTTCACCAGTTATATCTCCCTTATCCTACTGGTGGTGGTGTTCATTGGTGCTCAGATCTACTACAGATGCCGATTTTTGACTCGCGTCGAAGATATCGATATCGATTCCGACAGAAGAGAAATTGACGCCCTGATATGGGAAGAAGAAGAACCTACCACGCTATGGGGTAAGTTTTGGACTGCCGTGGCTTGAACTTTATTGGTTGAAGACGCTCTAGCTTCTACCTAAACTATTTTGCATTTAACACAACGAATTGAAGTCTCATCAGAAGGAGGGTGTGGTTTGGAATCATCACGGCAACAAATAAACCAATAAATAAACTAATACAAGATAAAAGAGGACAATAAGGAAGACGCTCACCGGGAGCTAGCGTCATTGGCGCTTGCGTGCATCATAGCGAGTACTCGAGTCCCCAAGCATAAGGTCGTTATTTCAAGTTCAACATCCCGTTCGAAGTGATTAAGCTTTTTATTACATAGTTGTATAACTTACACATCAGTAGATGTAGACTCCAGTCGGCGACAAGCATTGACCCATTGAAAGCTTGGTTGTTCGAGCTCAAGCGTGAATTCAACTCTGCTCAACCTATTAGGGCTGGCTGATTTCACAATTGTGGGATTTCAGGGCTAGCAACAGATTGTTGGTTCAGTGGCATACATACGCTTTTGATCTTAGCTGATCACAACCGTTTTACCGAGTGCAAAAGGAATATATATCCTAACAACACGCTTGTCCCGAACCAATGGCAGACCAGTCGCCAGCTGCCCAGGACTTAGAGGACGGTTCTGGCGGTCTCCCCGGTAATAATCAACTATTACTAAAATTCATCAATTCCGCTCATTTCACGCTGTATACGAACATTGAGTACTTAACTCGATATTCACAAAACATCGGCATTTACTTCTACTTGTGCCAGAAGCTGCTCACTTTTCCACACAATGAGCTACAATTCTACATCCCCCAACTGGTGCAGATACTACTTACCGTGGAAACAGAGTCAATCGCTCTAGGAGAGCTGTTGCTCAAACTCAGCGCAGAAAATCCGCATTTCGCGCTTTTGACGTTCTGGCAACTGCAAGCCTTACTCGGTGATTTGTCGTTGGATCCATCGAGCTATGGGTTTCAAGTAGCTCGCAGAACCATAAACAGTTTACAAAACGTTCTTTTCAATCCATCCAAGACTGCCCCAGAAAATGAAAAAATGAACGAAAACATTGCACCAGCACTGATAGCTTGCTCCTTAGTGATGGGTTCGTGTGCTCTTCCGGCAGTACTGGAAGCGACTAAGCCATTGATACAGTCTCAAGGGAAACGCCAAAAAAGCTATGTTTTTAAACTGGCAAAAAACGCTATGAAAAACCTAACGAAAAACCTGACCATGAAAAATACTTTAACGAACCAGAAGCGCATTCCATCTCACACGTCGCAGGAACCATCTCCGCCCATTGAATTGGTCGATGGTGTTACGACACGGGAAGACACTTTATTCAAGAAACCCAGGCAAAAATCGATTACAACCCTAAACTTCGACATGATTGACGACATCGGAGAGAAAATGTTCCAGGACCGCATATCAAACGCCATCAAGCAACCCAAACGGAAGTCAAGAGTTATGGACCACTCGTATGTACACAGAGTTTACAGGGACTCCAAGCAACTCGGTGGTGCAGATTCGCTGTACGAAGAAGATTTTACGAACTCATTACCAGACTTGCATAAAGAGGTAGCGAAGAATGATATGGAAGGCCCGCTCCAATCCACAAGGTCACAAGACGAGATTGACAACTCCGATGACATCAAGAGTATAAACTCAAATACCGTGAGTTTGGCTGCTTCATCACACTATGAAAAAGGCGGTGGCGTAGGAAGAAGGATAGAAAACGACCCAAATGGCGTCAAATTAGACTTATTGCCGATACCAAAGAAAATCAGACTGTTAAAGTCAAATTATTTCAGGTGCGAGACTCAATTAGCTATTGCTCTTGAATCAATCTCACAAAGACTTTCACAGGTTCCTACCGAGGCCCGTTTGAGTGCCCTGCGTGCTGAACTGCTGCTTTTAAACAGGGACTTGCCTGCAGAAGTAGACATACCTGCTCTTCTTCCAGCCAATAAGAAGGGAAAGCTCCACAAACTGGTCAACATAACAGCGAATGAGGCACAAGTTTTAAATTCTGCTGAAAAAGTGCCTTTTCTTCTACTCATAGAGTATCTCAAGGACGAAATGGATTTTGATCCTACTACTGAAGCTAATGAAAAGGTTCTGAGGAAAAACCGGACGGACAACAGTTTTATTTTCGATCTCGCTTACATAGCGAAAGATATGAATTCTCGAGTCGCCGTTGTCGACACAAGTGGCGAAGTCATAGACCCGGTTTCCGATCTTCAACCATACCCCGTTAGTGAAGGCTCATTGTCAAACAAGGCTGAGGAAGTTGACCTTGGAGATATGTCTGTTGTAAGGCTAACGAACCGCGACGAGGTCGAAAACTACAGGCGGGAACTGATGGTGCAATCGGCCACCAAAGTGCCAGTTATTCCCGACGATTCAACCAATAGAAACCCGGAGTTGCAGTTCATCAATAATTGGGAAGACATTAGCACTAGCCTCGAGGGACTTGAACTTGACGGGCTCAAAGCATCCACTGCGGAAAATCTAGCTACACAGATGCGCATATCGGCTGTGATGCTTGCTCAACTCGACAAATCTCCACATCAGTTGCATGGGGCGACCAATCAAATAAGGGCAAAAATAATTGCGTCAATGCAAGAGGTACAGGATAGATTCGGATTTCGCGATCTAGAAGCTATACACGGGATGGCAGGGGAAAGAAAACTGGAGAATGATATGAAAACGGGTGGTCTTCAAGGGACAAAAACAGATACTTCCTATTTGGGTGAGGACTGGAACACTAAAAAAGAGAGAATAAGGGCAACTTCTGAATACGGTCTCTTTGAAAACTGGGATTTGTGCTCTGTTATTGCGAAATCGGGTGACGATTTGAGACAGGAGGCGTTTGCATGTCAAATGATTCAGGCTATGGCCAACATTTGGGCGCGGGAAAACGTCGACGTTTGGGCCAAAAAACTCAAAATCCTAATCACAAGCGCCAATACAGGGCTGGTAGAAACAATCACCAATGCATTATCGATCCACAGTATCAAAAAATCCTTAACCAGTAAAATGGTGGAAGATGGCGATCTCAATGAGAAGGGTCAAATCGCGAGTTTGAAAGATCACTTTGTACGCGCATACGGTGACCCTACAGGATTCAGATACAAGAGAGCGCGAGACAATTTCTGTTCAAGTTTAGCTGCCTACTCAGTGATCTGTTACCTTTTACAGGTGAAAGATCGTCACAACGGTAACATCATGGTGGACAACGAGGGCCATGTGATACACATCGATTTCGGGTTTATGCTATCCAATTCTCCGGGATCTGTTGGATTCGAGGCTGCTCCGTTCAAGTTGACGTACGAGTACCTCGATTTGATGGACGGCGTCAATTCCGAATCGTACAAGAAGTTTGTCAACATGGTCAAGGACGCTTTCCGCGCTCTACGCAAGTATATGGACCAGATAGTCTCCATGTGTGAGATTATGCAGAAAGAGAACATGCAACCTTGTTTCAATGCAAGAGAGCAAACGAGTGCTCAACTCAGACAGCGTTTCCAGCCAGGGCTCTCCGATGCCGAATGCGATGAGTTTGTCGAAAATGTTCTGGTTGGAAAGTCACTGGGAAGCATCTACACCAGACTCTATGACCAATTCCAACTTGTTTCTCAAGGCATTTATTCGTAAAGTGTCGCCTATTTTGCCAAGCCTAAGAAAATATTTTCAGACGCAAATGGGGCTGCAAAACTAAGGAATTATCAGCGAAACGAAGGCTGCTGCAAGACCAGAACGTCAAGAAGATTAAAATAGTATTCCCGCTCCAGTTCATCAGCGAACCGTTGCGAACACATCTGTTCAGCTCGATTTCAATCATCACTATTCACGTGTATCCAGGAACTCTCCGTTCACGTGATGAGTACTCATTCTGATTTCTGGCTAAATTGGACATCGAAATTTACTGATTAATGAGAATGAGCTCAAATGTTCAACTCAAAGCGCCTTCTCCAGTTTTCCAGCGCAAGACTGAGAAGGTCTTGTAGGTTTTAAAGACTTAGAAACTATTTATCAGATTTGCAGAATTTTTTGCCGCTCTTTTGAGTCTTTTCCGGTCGTTTATTCACCTTTTGATTTGTCTTTGAAGGACGCAGTGTGTAGCATAGTTGACCTGTCAAAGCATCAAGAGTTTTGACTGTAGGTCTACTAAAACCTTAATTTTACATTTTGGTACAGCATTTTTAGCTGAGAAATGATGCTGAAGGTGTCAAAAGAACTTACAAATAGCTTCCGTATTTATGGCAAGACGATAGCCACTGTGAGACGCACACATTCATCGTTGGCTAGTTCGAAAGATGAACGGCGCGGACTTTTTGAACCGATGGTTCATGGACCCATTATGACAAATGCGGCTGGACTGCAACATGACTTTTCACATGACGAACTGGTGCTGTTAGAACAAGGTATTAAGAAATCTGACGAATTAGCTTCCCAGTTTACCAATTATCGATACAAGTTTAAAAAGCTGCCGTCAGATTACGGTGCCAATCAGCTCCTCGCTATTGAGCCAGAACTGCAGAAAGATCTGGAAAGTGTTGTTTCGGATTTTGATGCACCTGTAAAGTACGCTTTTGGCTATGGATCCGGAGTTTTCGAGCAATCTGGATATTCAAGCTCACAAGAGCGGCCACAGATCGATCTGATATTCGGGGTGTCGCACCCTGAACATTTTCATTCCCTCAACATGAGACAAAACCCACACCATTACTCGTCGTTACGTTATTTTGGATCGAAATTCGTGTCTCGGTTCCAGGAAGTTGGCGCCGGGGTATATTTCAATCCGTTTGTCGATATAAATGGGCAAGTTGTCAAGTATGGTATTGTGTCAATGGAAACTCTTTTGAAAGATCTAGCGACGTGGAACTCTTTTTATTTAGCCGGAAGACTCCAGAAACCTGTAAAGGTTTTGAAAAACGATTTATCGGTCCAGTATTGGAACCAGCTAAATCTCAAAGCCGCTGCAACTTTAGCCAAACATCTAATGCTGAAGAAAAACAAAACAAGCGGGAGCGAGCTCCTGGACGAATTCCAATTTTACAAACAGATAACTGCTTTGAGTTATGCGGGGGATGTGAGATATAACCTTGGGGCCGAGAATCCAAATAAAATCAACAATATCGTGGAGAAGAATTTTACTCAGTTCCAAAATTATTACAAACCAATCTACAAAGATGTCATTATCAACCATTCTCACTATTTGCCTCAAGGGTTCACACTCGATAACTCTATAAAGCTTTTAGAACGGAGAATTTTTCGCACTAGCACGGAGCAAACCTTGAAAGGAATGTTCACTGCTGGAATCATGAAGTCGCTACGTTATGCATGGGCAAAGAGGTTGAAAGCCATGAAAAGATCCAAGTGATTTAGGCCTTTGTACCGTCTTCGTCGTACCAAAAGTCATTCAATTACATAAGTTCAATACTTCTACATTACAGCAGCAGGACTATCTGCGAAGAGCAGCAAATCTTTTCTTCAACTCATCCAAATCCGTGTCATTTACATTTTCCTTGGTGGTTTTGACTCTAATGTCCTTCTTAATGCTCGGAGGAACCTTCAAATCCACACCAATGTTGTCACTGTTTTTGCGAGGTCTCTGAACCGTGATTGGATGTTTGTTACCCGATACTGACCCACTATCTAGAGCCACAATGGGCTTACCATCGTCGGAGCCGGAATCTTCAGGTGAAGAGACAGTTTCTTTTTCTGCTGAATCGTCCAATGCTGGCTTTTCTGATTTGCTATAGGGTACCTCATAAGCAGTAGCGATCTCTCGTAAATACAAAGTCACCAATTCTTCACTCGGCAAGTTGGGGCTGCACTTTTTCAAGACCTTTTCCGGGACACCGACTTTTTCGTCCACAATTGCCCTATAAAAATCTTGACCAAACTTGAACGTCAACAAGTCCCTGACTTGTTGCAGTTCTTTGATCTCGGGTGCATGCAGAACAGCGTAAATGACAGCTCTGATGGCTTCGTTAATTCCGTCATCCACATGGTTTTCTATCAAATCAACCTCATCCGTGACATTGTTGACCAAAGCGATTCTGGCATGCAATAGCTCACAGTAAAGTTCAAGGATGTCCAAAAGTTCCTCGTGTACATCTTCATTGATCAAAGTCTCAATTCTATAATGGGCCTTCAATTCTTTCCCTTCGCTCAACAGTTGAGCTACATCCCGGCGAGATTTCTTGGCCAATGACTGTTGCTTTTCCTGTGCATACCTCAGTCTCTGTATACACATTTTCAATCCTGTTTTGAGCTTCACCTGTCATAGATTTGGGCAATCCTAACTGCATCTTACTGGATAGCCGGACGCACCAACAGTAAGATTCAAAATGCCCCAAAAGTTAGTTTGAAAAATGTCTTGGTAACGCTAAAATCTTACAATAAAACTTACAGCAAACGGAACTTGACTATTCATCGTTGCTTGCCATTAGCTTATCAAAATAGTTGTTGTTCAAGCGTCGCTCGTCTTCAAAGGGTTGATTATAAGGTGGATAATTGCAACGACAATTGAGGTAAAAGTGACATCGAAGTGACATTGGGGTGACTGTACTTAAACCAATAGTTAAACTGATACTGAATCACTCAGGCAAGCGCTTTACACAGATAGATATTGTTCCATTAGACTATTAGCCAGTTCTGTATTGCCACTTTCATTGTATATCAAGACGCAGTTATAAGCTGCGTGTCGTTTTAGCTTGATGTCTTCGTATTCATCCAGTACCCTGTTATAGTATCTGACAGCAATGGAAAATAAACCGAGCAGGTGGAATGCACGGCCAATATTGTAGTCTGCTTCTTGTTGTTCGGTCGCTGAATATTTCGTGGAACGGATTTCGTGATACCGATACAAGAAGCGTAATCCATGCAGGATTTGGATATGTCGTGATGCTGTGAGTCTCTGCATGGAACGATGTAGATGGGCTAGGCCCATCATGAGATTGACCATGGGATCAAGCCGGAGCTCGGGTTGTAATCGGTTGAGGTATTGCAGTGCCAAAAGAAAACCTTTGCTGGAATACAGCAGCATTGCATAGATGTAGTGCAAATATGGCGACTTGCGTTTATCCGGGTTATCGACTTTTTTGTTTGTGACAGAAGCCTGCCCGGCAACATGCTGTTCATATCGTATGCTGTCAAATGCTTTCAGCTGTCGCAGGAAGAATTTTTGTTGAACGGTGGAACTCAAAATGCTGGAACCCATTTGACCACTAGCCACGCAAAACATAAAGTTCTGTAGCACTTTGCGATTGAATTGAAATTGGTTCAAAACACTGCGCAGACTCTCCACAAGTTCTTCTTCATCCCCCATCTGTAATACTATGGCCAGTCTTACGAATTTCATCATTTTCGCTCTGGTAGGATCTTGAACAAAAACATTTACCTCCTGTGCCGTTTCTATGATACTGAGCCCATCCACTCCACTTTGCAACTTTGAGATTACCAGCGATAGTTTCATGAATAATTCAAACCATTGGTCATAAGTGAGGCCTCTCAGCTCAGTTGAAGACGTTAAAAACACCCGTTCTTCCAAAAGCGGGAGCCCATCCAAAAGGTTATCCCCTTCAGAAAGTTTTGATAGACGTTTAATCTTGTAGTCGATTATCTTGTTGTGTTTACGAGTTCTTTTGATAATCCCCACAAATTTTTTAGAACGGCTCTTGACAAAAAAATTCTTAACACTCGAAAACACATCAATTAGGTCCGATGCTGTATCAATCCACAGTGTAGTCTGGTACTCGTTGCCTTGTCCCATGCCCTCTTGATAAATCTTTAGTTTGTTGTATTTGTCCAAAACTTTAGTTGTAATACGCTTTTCGCGGTCTCGTCTCTCGCGCTCTGTATCCTGCGGCGTCCGTTTTTTCTTTACAGCAGGTTTCTTCATATGAATGTCTTCTAAAAGGGGTTTTCCAACTGGAGTAGCATTTGCATTTACAGCCTGTTGATCAGTTTCATCCTCAACAGACAACATGATTTTTTCAGCTTCTGCATCCTGTCTTTTCCTGGTCTCTAAAACTTCCAATAAAAGCGCGTTGAACGTGTCCTGATCGTCTAAATGATAATGAATCTCTGCTAAAGTTAACTTCGTCTCGAGATCATCAGGTTTCATTTCAACAAGCTTTTCAAAAATTAGCTTAGCGTTTTGGTAATCCTCCACTTCCCTATAACACCTACTGAGGGGTTTATAAACCTCCAAGGTATGAAAATCACTAAGGTCTAACAGGGGTGTGAAAAATTCAATGGCTTCAGGATATCTTTCCGCTTTTGTTAGAGCACATGCTACTTCGAAATAAAGATCGGTGATATCCACAAAGCTTTCGTCGTACAGAGCCTGAAAATGATTGACTGCTTCCAACACATTTTTATTGAACAATCTTAAAAGACCCAATCGCACTCTAATATCAATTGGAAGAATGTATGCTTTTTCCCTTTCAGCTTGCGGTAAAGACTCAAACTTGCTGTTCTTGAATCTCCTTTTGTCGTATTCAGAGTCGTCACTTACAGTATCCCAGAAAGTTTGGTTCTCCCTTTCTTGAATCCATCTTGCACACCTCTTGATGGTTTTTATGCCAGCGTTCTCGCCTAGTTGTTTTAAAAATAACTCTGCCAGAATGTTCAAAGAAGACCAGTCGAATTCTATGCAGCGGTACTTCCTATTGATTTTCTTCCACTTGATGTTCGGATATCTCTTGAAAAGTTCACTTTCCTCGTCAATTTCCTGTTCTGCTTGGTCGTCGTAATCACTCTCTTCTGATGATTCCACGGCGTCCTCAGAAGCAGATATTATGGCTTTCCGCTTTTCCACATTAGCGTCAAATACTTTTATGTATAAATTGATCGCTTCGTTAGTTCGATTATAGTCCACATAAAGAACTGCCAGCTCTCTCAAGTAGTTACCATCTGTAGGGAAACGGTTATAAAGCCTCTGAAATCCTTCCAGGGCTCTACCAAGCTGTCCGGTTTTCTTGTACAGCACTGATCTCCCATAAACACAGTCCCACTCTTCACTATTCATTCTCAAAGCCCTTGTGTAGCAGTAGATAGCTTGTCTAACATGGCCGAGATCTGAAGAGAGAGTGGCAACGACTTTCCAAAAGCTCCAGTCTGACGGATTCAAATGTGCTGCGAGAAACCACGAATTGCAACAATCATTGAAACGGCCTTGTAACTGGTAGATATCCCCCAGTGTTTTATATGCAGCAAAGTTCTTAGCGTCTTTTTTAATGACTTGGTTGTACAGTTGTTCGGCAACCTGTGTATCGTTCCGTACAAACGCCTCGTTGGCTTCAGACAGCAATTGGGCCACTTCAGGGTCTAGACTTCTTTCCCTGCGAGGTCTGCCCGGTGTTTTTTTGGTACTGGATGCCTTGTTTTGCGCTTTGTTCTTTCGTTTGACTTTAAAGTTGTTGGCCTCTCTGATGGCATCCATAAAGTCCTGCTCGTCGTATTCGTCATCGGAAAAATCCCCGTAATCAGAAAACTCAGCAAGAAGATTCTCTTCGTCATCCTGGCCCTCTTCAATGTCCGACGCATGAGAACTATAAGTCTTTTCAATATCTGCAAGCTCGTCGTCGATCATTTCTTGGTCAGAAAACGCCATTGGCTGCTCCTTAGCACCATCATCGGGAGCATCGATCAAATTCCGGAGCTGATCCAAATCCCCATAGTACGTTTCCTCGTCTTCAGCACCAGCGTCCAAGCTCTTTTCTGAGTCCTCCTTAGACATAGCTAGCTTCAATCGCTACCCTGGGTAATCAAATTATTTCAATATCGCCAATACAAAGAGAGAGAAACGTGAACGCAGATATCGCCTAAATTACACGGAGAAATCGATTTCAAGCACCGTGCAAAGACCTCAATTATTTCTGAAGACAGTTATTATGCAAAAATTGGTCCTCGATACAGCTTTTGTTGAAGCTTCGGCCTCCAATCTGTTCTGCTTTTGGTGTTGCAATGATTATACTTGAACCCAAAAGTTCCCTAATTTCAACATCAAAAACAAAGGATTAAAAGACTATAAATAACTCGTACATAGTGTTATCAACAGAAACGTGACTTAATGACATTTGGTATAAGTTGTAGGATCCCACGGTAGCATTTCTAACACTCAAAGGTTGTTTATAATGGTACAAGAAACGATCGGTTTAAAAGCAGTCATTGGCTGTCACTAACAGTGGTATTTTGAGCGCTTGATTTAAAGCTAAACATTGAGACTCCCAAGCTTCTTACAACGCCGTTATGTTTTCTGGATTTGGTGGAATTGGAGGTTTCCCTTCTGGCCTTATGAATGTTCCTCAGAATTTTGAGGACTTCTTCAGATGTTATCCCATTGCAATGATGAATGACCGCATTCGGAAAGACGATGCGAACTTTGGTGGTAAAATATTTTTACCACCAAGTGCGCTGAATAAACTGACCATGCTCAACGTCAGATATCCTATGCTGTTCGAATTAACGGCTTCAGACTCTCAACTAAAAACACACGGTGGTGTTTTGGAGTTTACAGCAGAAGAAGGCCGTGTGTATCTTCCCCAATGGATGATGGAATCTCTGAGCGTGAACCCAGGGTCTTTGCTACAAATAGCTTCCACAGATTTGCCTCTGGGCCAATTTGTTAAAATAGAACCGCAATCCGTTGATTTTCTCGACATTTCAGATCCAAAAGCCGTGCTGGAGAATGTGTTGAGGAAATTCTCTACCCTTAGTGTGGACGATATCATCGAAATCAACTACAACGATCATATCTATCGCATCAAAGTCCTCGAAGTTAAACCCGATTCTAATGCTAAAAGTATTTGTGTGATAGAGACTGATTTAGTAACCGATTTTGCTCCACCCGTTGGCTATGTGGAACCAGATTATAAAGCCCTCCAAAAGAATGAACGCCCCAAGGTTGATCCATCTGCCAGAGGTTTGGGACCCATGTCAAAGCGAATAGACTATGCAGCTGCAGTGAACTCAGGGCAGCTAAGTGAAAGTTCTTTCAGTGGACAGGGCCAGAGCCTGAAAGGTAAGACGGGAGACAGGAACAAAAGTAAGGATAAAGATATCGGTTTACAAGATATTAAAATTGATATGAATGGTCCACCTGCGGCACTGAGTGTTCCGGACGGCGTCTTGTTCTTTGGTTTCCCGATCGTCCCAAGAAAAGATGATGAAGAGCAAGAATTTGCTCAAGGGGATTCGAAAGTACACTTTATAGGTGCTGGCCAAAGCATAAGGCAAAGCAACAATAAACGCCGTGGTACCAAAGATTATCAAAGTCCTAAAGTGAAGGCGCCGAGAAGTCCTGAAGTAATAGAAATAGATTAGATATTATTATAGGGAATGATGTGGATATGAAAGGGACTGTGAAAGAATCCGTGCTTCGGATGCTGATTTAAGGCTGGTGTCAAGTACTGCTTAACTTTTGTTCAAAATCATTTTTTTCAGCGCCAAAGGCAACTCTTCGTCAGAATCAGAATCGAATACGGCATATTTGGCCATTTCGCCTCCGCCCAGGCTTCTGCTTTTTGATAACAAATGAAAGCTGGAACTCGTGTCACCTTTAGATGCAATGGAAAAGTATCTTTTACGGAATCTTGATGGCAAAGATGGTACTTCGCTCTTGTGTGACGCAATACTGGCTAAGTCAACCTGACCAGGCTCACCGCTCGAGCTGCTAGACTTTGCATCCACAGCTATCGGTTGATGTTCCGCAAAATCTGCGGCCCGTTCGAGGTCATCATCGGAAGCCACTGAGGTCTCGGAATGGTTATCTGCAGCATGGTCAACTTGTAATGCTGGTGATTTATTCTTCTTTTCAGTAATTTTAGATTGCCCAATGAATTCATTGAAGTTTACAGCTGCTTCAGCGGCCCAATCCGCATACAGCGGCCTAGAAAGAAACCCATACTTGAACTCGTTCACGCCAACGACTATCTTGGTAAGTTCCACAAGTTCTTCAAGGTATTCGATCACCTCTTCAGAAGCTGCGCTCGTAGCATTCCAGCTCAGAAATTTTTCTTTCATGATATATTCGTGTGGCGGTAATGACATTCGTCTTTTGGGGGGCACTTTGACTGATAGCTCTTCTTCACTTTCAGAATAATTTTGACTGGTCATGTAAGGATCCATCATGGCTTTAGGTATCAAGCTACTCATTTGAGATGAATACCTAACTTTCAACGTGCTTTGCACTTTGTTGACTAGTCGCCTGTGAGCGATTCTTGCGCTTGGCAAAAACTGAGGTAAAGGCGTCTTGTTGCGCACAGCTTCTTGGACAGCCCTCATCGAACATGTTATAGAGGCCACATATTGCCTCCGGTACGGATATACCATACTGTTTAGTTCATCAACAACGGCGCTGCCGTATTGTTTCCTTAACAGAACAATGTTATCCATACGATCAATGATCTGCCTCTCGATGTATATCATTTGAGTAAAGACTTTCTCAATTTCAATGTACTCACCTCTAAGCATAGGTTCTTGCCGTGTTAAACCGTTATACGAAGTGGCCCTAGAAAGAGCTGATTTGGCACTATCTGAGAGTCTTGCCAGTCGCTGGTATCTTTCTTCTGACAAAGCTGAAGTCAGCGACTCACCTTCAAGACCGGCCGCTAGGAGAAGTTGCATTTCGGATATACAGCCTGCAACAAAAGATACCTCACCATTCAGCTGCTCTCTAGCAGTCACAGGAAACATTGTAACCTGTACAAAAACAGCTATACCACCACCGTAACCCACCGCTAAGCACCTCTTGGCAAAATTAGATAGAATTGAGCCCTGGTTAGCCGAAGGAATAATTGCCGCTAGCATTACCACGTATATGCTGATGATTTGAATGATGGCGGCTTTGACGTAGGGAGTTCCTAAAAAGAAGTAGAAGCCAGGGACAGCTCCAAAAATTGTTATAACCACTTCAAGATATGGATTGGTCTGATTGCAGCCCGCTAGATAGGAAACATAAGCCCAAACTGCACCCAGGATCACTCCCACGCCCCTAAGGAAAAAAACCCAAAAGGTGCCGCCCACTGACGGCTCCATTGCCAAAATCGCTACGAAACCAAACCACGTTCCGTGCATGTTATCGTACCAATCCCTGGTTTTCGGAATAAACATTGGAAAAGACGTAAGCATCAGTGCAATAGTGACTTGAAGCCCAAATCTAAAATGATCTTGATACTTGGAGTAAAATTCGTGGCAGAAAATCAATATTGCGGTAAAAACCGGTCTCACAACCACAGGCTTTGAGCTACCAACGTGCATATTGTGATCCGATAATCTCTCAGATGCGCTTTGGTCTTTATTGGTGGTGGGCAGCAGTGCCTCCTTCTTTGCAAAGTCTACAATGTCAGTTTTTCTTTGAGATAGAAGAGCCTGTTCCTCCCCCACGGGTCGCTTGATGCCCATGTCAGCAGGTGGACGATAATTATCAACAATAGCTCCACCGGTTAAACTTTGTGACTCAGTGACGTTACCGCTAGTCGCGCCAGTGATCCATGTCTTGAAAGTCTTGTAATTGCTCAGAAAGTTTACCCATAAGGTTTTACCCCTCAAAGCACCTTTTGCCTCTTGCGACTTCCTTCGTTGATATATGCCATGAGCTTCCCTCATCATAGTGGTAACCGAATGTGTGGTTTCCTTGAAATTGAGGAGAAAAGAAGAGAACAGAAACATCTCATCATTAGGCTGTAAAAGGCTCTCATCTAAATGGATGAGTTCTTCACGGGCCTGTAGGTCAAAATCGATTAGCGCATCGACTAGGTTTTGTGTTATGGCACTGAAATCAAGCTGCTTTAAATAGTCTTGACTCAAAACAGAACTTTCGGTGGGCTGAGCAAAAACTGTGGGTCCTTGAACTTTGTCCAGCTTGACATCATAAGAATATGCTAGCATCGCTTTGATCATAAACAAAGACTGACTTAACGTTTCATGTAGGCCGAAGATGGGTTCTTTCATTCGATTCAAAACTTTGAAGAGCTTCTTAGCATCTGCATATTGGATTTCCCTGTCCAGTTTTAAGTCCATCGGCTCCACATCTTGGTTGGCGTTGCGACCCACCAATAGGAACTCCAGCTGGCATGCGTTAATGAGGGCGTTGATATATTTTGAAAGGTTTGAAAAAGAGTGTATGACCGATTTCAAGTCCGAAGGCGAAACGTAAGAGTAAGAGACCTCATAAATGCACTCTTGTAAAACTAAATTGCAACTGGAAACTTTAGCGTCGATAGATTTTTTCATATTCAGGAGTTTGGCGAGTGATATCGGTTGCTCTGCATAGAGCGATGTGCTTGGGTCCCGAACGTCGATGGAGATAAAGAAATTCAAGGCTGAATCAATCGATTTGTGGATTTCATTCAATGCGTCTACGGTACTATTACCGAGATACGTGCTTCCAAATTCGGGAAAAAGCACCAGGTTCCAGAAAATAGCCATTGCTATTCCCAAATAGAAGGGTACACTGAAGGCCTTTGCTATCGTTCCAGCAGTTTGATCAAGCGAGGCCATGAAGGCGAAATGAACTACCAGAAACAGAGGGAACACAATACCGAAGTAATGATGCGACACGGACCTCATCCAACCGTGAAAAAAAAGCATAATAACTTCGAATACAGCCAGAAGCGCCAATGCTGATTCATAGCGCATATAATTATGGATATAGTGCTCAGACTCACTCACAGAGTGCCAAGTCGAGCCCAGGCATTTTTGCGCAAGAACTCGACCAAATAGAGCATAAGCCAGTCCGACCAATAGTCCTGAAGTACAATAGATTGCTCCCTGAATAGTGGCACTGACTCTGCGGCCGGGATGAACAATTACAGCTATCAATGGCAGCATTGCTGGTTGGTTTCCTAGGCGGTCGCGAATTTTTGGTATGAGGCAGAAAATGAGCGCGACCGTCGCATGAATGGTAGACTTAAGGATTCTTTGAGCAAGGACCCTACTCAAGGGGAACTGCTTCTTAACAGCTTTCCATACTTTTTTCGAAGATAGTTTGGTCATTGCTTATTTACATGAATCCTCCAGGACAACTTTCTAAGTGCCCTTGTTTGGGTGAGTACTAGACACTCTTTACTGTAGAAAATGCTAGTTGTGCACCAAATTCACGTCCTAGTTGGGCAAGAGACGACGTTAACGATTAGATCTTGAATCTTCAACCTCATCGCTCTCCAGATGTCACCTTATTTTGAACTTTCTCCGTCATCAGCTGACGGACGCTATTTTCTTCACTGTTACGTAAGCAATACCTCGTCCAAGAAGATTTGGTCATCTTAATCACGTGCTTAGAAACTGAAGGATTTGGCTTAGTCGATGCTAGTGTTACAAGTCATCCAGAGGAAGCGTGTTTTCACGATGTGTGCGGCAGAAGTGAAGGGTGGGATAGTCTGTGTTAAAAGTGCGTGAAATTTGAGCGTTTGTCCCATCTTGACTTGTCTCGCCAGAAAAAGATTAGAAAAATGTGCTTCAAGAAAAATTGTTTAGCCACATATCCTCAAGAGGCTGGATTTTTGACCCATGACCTTTTAGTGGTGACGGTTCTGCTTGAGTAGTCTAATTTAAACCTTTCGCGGGTACGGGTCAACCAGATTTATAGCTTTAGGCATTGTAATATGGATCAAATTAGATGACCCATTCAAAACATCTCAATGACTGGTAAACTCATCTTGTAGAGGCACGAATGCTGGGCTGATGTCATTTTCGCTGCAACAATATAACGTATCTTGTCAGTAGCCGTGCACTCTGTTATAGTGCTAACATTTGAATAATACTGAAAGCGCGCATGACAACAATTATGCTTAGATCAGTCACGAAGGTCATTGATTTGAGATATGCAGCAGGAATGCAGTTGCTACTACGCTGAAAAGAGTTTTTTCCAAACAAAGATTTGAGTCCAAAACTCTCAAATGGCTCTCGAGATGCCATGACACTAAAATGTGCGACATGCGCAGTTCAGCATTAATCATATGCATTGGAATGTATTGCAGACGAACAAGGTCGGGAAGTTATAGTAGCCAGTCTTGCTAATCCTGGTGTAAAGCGGGTTAGGCTTAAATTACGACGTGGAGACCTCTGAAAAGTGTTTCTTCAGCTCGTCCTCACTAACTCCGACCCTCTCGCCCAAATCTAAGAAAACTTGGAACATTTGTGTTTTCCGCTCTGCAACAGAATGCTCTAAATCGTCTAGGTAGATGTCATTGCTGTAAACAAATTCCAACTTACCGTTGTGTAGTACCTCTAACTGGGACTGCTCAATGTAAGTCTCAAAAGACTCTTCGTAAATCAATTTGGACCTCGTTACCGGATCCAAGAAAGGGTGAAATATCTTGATGAAGTTCCAACAGTACCATGGTATATTGCATAATATTGCGCGACCCAAATATTCGGGGTAGTGCTCTTGAATAATGTGCAAAACCTGTTTGCTGATGGAAATTGGAGGCATTCGCGCAAGCGGTGGAGTTAAATCATTATAATTTTTGAAATCTATCAATACCGTTAACGTGTCGACTCCTACAGGCATCATAACCTCGGCGCTCTCAATCATATAGATCAATTGTTGGATTTGTGCAAAGCTTGGTTCAGTGTTTTGACGGCCAGTCTTGATGTGCAAAAGTGGCCGTTGTTGACGGTCATAACCAAGTAAGTACATTTTACCAGTTTCGTTTTCCATTTTCGTAGCTTTGGCAAGTTCGGAGAGAGCGCAGACACCACCATTGGCTTCGAAAAGACCAAATTCTCGCCTCCAAGTGATAGTTTTCTCTAACCTTTCAATTGCCTCTCTGGCATCCCAATTGGTTGATCGAAGGTATCTTAATAGACGTTCCCTTGTCAACCAGCACTTTTCCTGTGAAGATAAAGGCTCTTTGTTAAATGCATCATGATTGGCCTCCCCTTCTTCAAAACTCCGAGTTCTTGTCAAAATGGATTCCTCAGAACGATCAAAGTACCTTACAACCAGTGATAAGCACTCCTGTTCATGTAAATCCAAATGCTCTGAAGCCGACGACCTTACACTGCGGGCAGGAGGACTCTTGATAATTCTGTTGCACTCTATTTTAGGGCTTTTCGACGGCTCCTTCTTGGGTTCGTAACTTTTCTTACTGAAAAACCCTTTCATCACTAGGGAGAGAAGGGAAACGGTCGCAACTTCCAGTAGTCACCGCTAGTCTGCCTATCCGTTTGAATTGAAGAACAGCTGAGTGTAGTAGTTACTGTCTGTAAATGCAGCGTTGAGTAAGTATGCGTACTGATCGTGTCACACGAAACGTCATGACGCATTGCTTGGGCATCTTGGCACTTTTCACTCAGTCAAGCTGAATGGTATCGTTGGCAAGCCGTTGCTGTATTTCAGGCAGTAGCTCGACCTCTCGATCGAAGGTAAATATGGATGGATCTACTTTTGGTGAAATATCTTCCAGGTATTTTCCCAGGGCGCTCTGCAATAACAGAGAGTTGTGCCTGGTATTCCAGTTCTCTAAGATTCGTAGCGTATCCTCAATCGTTTCAAAAATCACATACGAAACGATGGTACTATCGTTTTCGTAGTCGTTCCGCGATGAGTAATAGAGGTCGAAAATCGCTGCTTGAAATTGATTGCTCACCAGATCTCGAAGTTGGTCTTTGCTCTGTAGAAGCTTGTTGTTCGAAAGCTCCAAACGAAGTGTGCACGAATCTTGTAGTTTGTGTTTCAGGGTACTTGGATTCTTCTCGATATGGCGCCAGTCACCGTAGGGAATCTTGAAGTGTTTCATCTTTCGCAGCGTGTTACCATATTTCTCGTATTCTGACAAGTTGATACTTTGGTAAGGCTGTGAAACGGCAGCTCGTTCCCTGGATTGCAGCCTCTTTCTCTGCAGCTCCGTATTTATATTGATCTCGCGCCGTTTCAAGAAGTTTTCATAATACCAAGAGTCGTAGACCTTTCTTGTTGTCGCGTTCTCCAAAAGTTTAACTGTCTCATCCAGCAGTTGGAATTTCGAAGCGGCATCAGGACTATCTGGGTTCTTGTCGGGATGATACCTAAGCGCTTTCTGCCTAAATTTCCGCCTGATTTGGAGCGATGTTACTTTAGATAAATCATCTGGAGCTTTGATTTGGATATCGAGAGTTTGGTAGAGGTCTAATTGTTGCCTTATAGCGCTGTCAAGGTCCATACGTGCTTCAGTTTAACCAGTTCCTTCGAGCGTATCGCGAAGAGCTGGGAACCTTGAAATAAATTGGTATTACGTACTTTACCATATAGGTGGAAAAGATAAGTAAAGACTACAAAATCCACCATCACAAAAGAGAGCGATCGTAGTGTCCTTTTCCTGGTCAGAGGCGCACAAATAAATGCTATACAAGGCTTGGTTGAATGGTATAAACCCACCTCCTTTGGAATTTTGTAGAAAATGCGGTGAAGCTCATCACCCCATTAACCACATCAAAACGCTCTGCCAGACAAAGCCATACACGAACAAAAAGTAATTGCACTTCTTGACAACGCTTTTCTTGACAGTGTGAACCTCGTTGCTCCCATCAACGAACAGGTTGAACTTGACAGATCTAAGTAAAAATACGCCGAAAGCTATTAGCAGGTATATCTTGCCCAGAACAGATGCAAAATATGGTGTCGAGGGCAGAAGTAAAGCCAGCGTCAATGGAACAAACTTGTAGCCGACGTAACACGCCAGCTCGGTTATGCCGGTGGTGGGAGATTTCGCGCTTACCAAGAGGAAGAGGCCCATTTTCAATATGAAGAGATCCATTAAAACGGAAGCTAGTGTTGTAGACAGACGTTGATACAGGTTGCCTGGATCAAAAGAACCCTGCAGCCCTTGTTGGAAATTCCAGCACAGAATGTACGTGACGAGGCCCATAACGGGGATGTACATATCTGGCGAATTCACATCAACGCGTGGTACCTGAAAGCTGGGCCCCATGCCGGTTCCGTTCTGTGGGATCGGCAGTCGCTGCCAGTTGCGGTGCAAAAATGGTAATAAAATGATTTTCAGCTTGCGGAAGACATAGCTGTTGGAGACCTGGAAGTAGTGAGACAACGCTGACGAATTACCTGTGGCTTTACTGAAGTTTTCTTGGATTTGGTTGAAATTATTCTGTCCTATGATGTTGGAAAACGCGGACTGCCCCAATTGGTAGGCAACTGAAGATCTGGGGTCCTGGAAGGGAAAAGCTCCGTTCGGCCCATTTGCATGCTGTTGTTGTTGTTGTTGTTGTTGTGGTAGTGGTGCCTTGCCAAAACCCTGTGAATTTGGGTGCTGGGCCGGAATGTCTCCTACATTGTGCTGGGACCGCTCGCTCAGATACATGTTGCCCGCATCTTCCTGAGCGTACGCATACGGATTGTAGGACATTGTACAACTCTGAGACCACTAGATTGGGATGTTTTTTTGGGTTCTAGCCTTGAATCTTTATACAAATGTGAGACTACGAATGGTCCTTTGACCAGTAAATCAACACATACTCAGGAAATCACTTTTTACTAACGTGTCACTGGTCGAATCACCGTGTAAAATACGGTCAAAAGCTGACTCTTGCAAGGGTAGCCGAGTATGACAAAACAGCATTTAAGAAATAAGCTCTGCTCACCGTGATGCGGAGCGTGGTACCATTTTTTTTGCCGTGAATAGACGTTTCTTAACCTCTTTGCACAGTTCCTACTCCCACGCTCAATAAGGACGTCTAGAATAATTGACAAGCGCATAGAATGCATCTTAAGCCAAAGAGGTGACTATGAAAGTTCATCTGTTTGTTTTTGCTAAAGAAACTGTCCGACTTGTCGAGTTTTTACATTTTCTCTTTGGTTCGTAAACGTTCAGATGAAACGAAAATCTATATATCTTCATTTTCAGCTGAATTCGTGCTAATTTGGACGTAAAGTACCAGCTCAGTGGCAGTCTCTCAGGATCACACTTGGTCGTTTCTCTCTTTTATCAGGTTATCCAGCTAGCGTCATTTTAAATTAAATCGACTACTCTATATAAAAGCTACATCCCATCTTTTACTGACGCACATGCAAAGACCTTTCTTTAAGAAAAACGTCAATCAACTGAAATCGCACTACAGCAATGTCGAGCAATTGGAAATCTCAGAACTTCGCTTCGTGTTATCGGACCCTGGGTTTAAACAAAGCCTAAAGTTTAGATGACAGTGGGAATACCTTACAATTTTTGTTTTTTTTTAATGGAATTGAATATAACACTATGTTACAACTAACTCTACACAAAAAAATATTACGAAGCGGTATTCCTCCTAGTTCAAATCCTGTTCCGTCGAACCAGGATCCTATCTTTACCATGTTACACAGCTGCTGCGACGATAAAATCAAATGTGATTTTGAGCACGTGACAGTATTGTCTCAAGCCGGGTAGATCACGTAAGCGCCCTCATCTCATCTTTTTTCAATATTAATACAAGAAGCCTTGCAAGAGACGCGTAAGCTGTGGGAAATTTTGAAGAAACCAAGACGCAATCGACTCAGTGGAGCAAAACGACCTCTACCACTGCGTTCACCATGACGGGTAGGTTTCAGGGATCAAACACTGCGAAATATGTGAAAAATTCAGGCACCCAGCGGTCCCGTAATTCGCAGCAAACGATGGTCAACTCGACCGCACAACAGCTTATTGAGACGATTAAAAAAGATGAAATCGATACTATGATGGGTTTTGAGCGGTATACTGCACCACAATTCAGTGGGAAAGCGAGTAGTTGGCAGTCAACTCCAGGGAGAGTAGGCTGGCTCGTCAACATGCATCCAACGATGGTTTCCGAAGACTTTGCTAACTTAGGCACTGGTAACCCCACATCGTCTTCCGGTTCAGGAATTTCAGGGGTCGATTTCTATTTTCTCGATGAAGAGGGTGGTGGGTTCAAAAGTACTCTCACTTTTGATCCCTACTTCCTAGTAGCATGTCGCGACGAATCAAGAGTCCACGATGTCGAAGAGTTCCTCAAAAAGCACCTGGAACACTGTCTTAAAAAAGTCGAACCGGTGGTGAAAAATGATCTTTCGTTGGGAAGTCCACTAGCAGGCCTCAACAAGGTGCTTCTTAAACTAACTTTTTCGAACACCAATAATCTGTTTGAAGCACGTCGAACTTTGAGACCAATTATCTTGGACAACGAAACCAACCATCTCCAAAGATCCATGTACAACACTACATCTGGAATTGTTGAAGACACAAAAATGCTGATATCGGATATTCGTGAATATGATGTCCCGTTCCATGTTCGTGTCGCAATCGACAATGACGTTCGAGTCGGCAAGTGGTATAAGGTGACTTCACAGGGTTTTATCGAAATAGCTGAAAAGGTAGCGTTTGCTGATCCAGTAGTTTTAGCTTTCGACATTGAAACCACGAAGGCTCCTTTGAAGTTCCCTATCGCCACTGTCGATCAGATTATGATGATTTCATACATGATTGACGGAGAAGGGTATCTGATCACCAATAGAGAAATCATTTCCGAAGATATAGAGGATTTTGAGTATTCTCCAAAACCGGAGTATCCAGGGTTTTTCACGATATTCAATGAAGCAGACGAGTTAGCACTTCTTGAAAGATTCTTCGAGCACATAAGAGATGTGCGTCCTACAGTCATCTCTACGTTTAATGGTGACTTTTTCGATTGGCCATTTGTAGAGACCAGAGCTAAGATCAACGGACTTGATATGTTCCAAGAAATTGGGTTTGCGGTTGACTCTGAAGGTGAATACAAGTCGACGTATTGCGCTCATATGGACTGCTTCCGGTGGGTCAAGCGTGATTCGTACCTTCCACAAGGCTCACAGGGCTTGAAAGCTGTGACACAAGCCAAACTGGGATATAATCCCATCGAGCTTGATCCGGAGTTAATGACACCTTATGCGTACGAAAAGCCGCAGCTTTTATCGGAATATTCAGTTTCCGATGCGGTTGCGACCTATTATTTATACATGAAATATGTGCATCCTTTCGTCTTTTCGCTGTGCACTATCATTCCACTGAATCCCGACGAAGTCCTTCGCAAAGGTACTGGTACCTTATGCGAAATGTTATTAACAGTGCAGGCATATAAGGGAAACGTTTTACTACCGAATAAACACACAGATCCAATCGAAAGATTCTACGATGGGCATTTGCTGGAATCTGAGACCTACGTCGGAGGACACGTTGAATCTCTAGAAGCAGGGGTATTCAGAAGTGACATCAAGAATGACTTTAAAATCGATCCAACAATGATAGACGACCTGTTAAATGATCTCCCTAATGCCTTGAGATTTTGCATAGAAGTGGAAAACAATTGTAAACTCGAGGATGTTTCAAACTACGCAGAAGTAGAACTACACATCAAAGAGCAGCTCATGGATCTGAAGTTGAATACCAATAGAAATGAGCTCCCTCTAATTTATCACGTCGATGTTGCTTCGATGTATCCAAATATTATGATCACCAACCGTCTACAACCGGATAGTGTAAAAAGCGACCGCGACTGTGCGGGATGCGACTTTAATCGCCCCGGTAAAATATGCGATCGGAGACTTCAGTGGTCATGGAGAGGGGAGTTCTTTCCTTCAAGAATGGATGAATACAGTATGGTTAAGAGAGCTCTGCAAAATGAGGTCTTTCCTAACAAGAACAAAAATTCCTTTAAAAAGCTTCTCTCTTTTGAAGAACTATCGTACAGTGACCAGGTAGCTCAGATAAAGAAAAGATTGACAGAGTATTCCAAAAAAGTGTATCATAGAGTCAAAACGTCGGAAGTTGTGGAAAGAACTGCTATAATTTGTCAAAGAGAAAATCCTTTTTATGTGGACACTGTCAGATCTTTTAGAGATAGAAGATACGAGTTCAAGGGTCTAGCAAAGACTTGGAAGCAAAAGCACTCGGCCATTGATCGGGATCAGAAACATGAAAGGGATGAAGCAAAGAAAATGATAATTCTATATGACTCACTGCAACTTGCACATAAGGTCATCTTGAATTCATTCTACGGATACGTGATGAGAAAAGGTTCAAGGTGGTATTCGATGGAAATGGCCGGGATTACTTGTCTGACTGGTGCAACAATTATTCAGATGGCCAGATCTGTGGTTGAAAAGATTGGAAGGCCGCTGGAGCTGGATACAGACGGTATCTGGTGTATTCTCCCCAAGTCTTTCCCAGATAACTATCAATTCAAATTGAAAAATGGCAAGAAACTGTTCCTATCATACGCATGCTCTATGCTTAATTATAAGGTTCATCAGAAGTTTACAAATCATCAGTATCAAACCTTGGAAGACCCTGTCAACCACCGCTACAAAACTCAAAGTGACAATTCGATTTTTTTTGAAGTGGATGGTCCTTACAAGGCTATGATCCTTCCAACTTCCAAAGAAGAAGGAAAGGGTATCAAGAAGAGGTATGCCGTTTTCAATCACGATGGGTCCCTTGCAGAGCTCAAAGGCTTCGAACTCAAACGAAGAGGTGAACTACAACTAATCAAGAACTTTCAAAGCGATCTTTTCAAAGTTTTTTTGGATGGAGAATCTTTGGAGGGCTGTTATGCAGCCGTAGCATTGGTTGCTAACAGATGGCTTGATGTTTTGGATTCTAAAGGCGTAATGCTCGAAGACGAGGATCTCATAGATCTTATTTGCGAAAACCGTAGCATGTCCAAAACTTTGAAGGAGTATGCGGGACAAAAATCTACTTCTATTACTACAGCTAAAAGGCTCGGAGAATTTCTTGGTGAAGAGATGGTCAAGGATAAGGGTTTACAGTGTAAATACATCATCAGTTCCCGGCCCGTTAATACACCGGTCACGGAACGAGCGATACCCGTGGCTATTTTTTCTGCAGATTTAGGCTTGAAGAAAGTGTTCTTGAGGAGGTGGCTGGCCGACTCTTCATTAGACAGCTTCGATCCACGAACTATCATAGACTGGGAGTATTATCGGGAGAGATTGGCATCTGTGATACAAAAAATCATCACAATACCTGCAGCCTTGCAAAAAGTGAAAAACCCTGTTCCTAGGGTTGAACACCCAGACTGGCTAAGGAAAAGAATTGCAACAAGTGAAGACAAGTTCAAGCAAACGTCGCTCAGCAGTTTTTTCAGAAAGGCCAGTAAACCTTCTGTTACCGATATTGAAGAAGCATTTAGAGAGCAACCTTCGGCGCTTATACATCACAAGACCGCAAAGGTGATATCAAAGCGAAAACTGAAGAGAAAAACTACAGATGCGAGGGATGAAGAGGCCTCTCTAGTTCTTCCTCCTGAGGTACCGTCAATTTGTGACGATTACGTCGCTTGGCTATCATATCAAAAGATCAAATGGAAAATTCAGGAGCGTGACCGTCAGCGGAGGACGCAGCTGTTTGGTGATCGCACGAAGAGTAATCAAAGAACCTCCTTGGGAAATATTATGAGGAAGCACGCTGAATCCTACGCAAACTCAACGTGGGAGATATTGGAATACAGGCCAACTTTAGAGCCAGGAGTACTGGATGTTTCTGTTCTGTTAAATGGAAAAGTTCACAAACTTCAGTTCAATATCCCGAAAAGCCTGTTCATCAATTTCAAATGCAAGGAGCTGCCAGTTCGAGGAATTGAAAATTGTACTGTTGAAAAATCCTCGGCCCTTCTACCCAATAACAGCCTGGCGAGCTTTGATGATCCCAGTCCACTATTCAAAGTAACTCTTTCTGAGGATCTTTATCAAGAAGAAATTGGAAAACCAACCAGTCTCTTCAACCATGACCAAGTCTTGGGAATTTACGAATCCTCTGTTTCATCTGTTGAAAGAGCCATCATGGAACTTGGCTCAGTTGTGGCCTTTAACTCCAGTGTTATTGGTGCATTGGGGAAGGGTTTGCAAAAAGGATTTGACTTGAAAAGCCTGCATCCAGAATCTTCTGAACGCTACTTAAGCAAGATGAATCTGAGCGCCGCCTATTTGCTGCATCTGACTACTAATCTCGGCTATGAATTTTTTGTCCTTTTTAAAACTTGGAGTGCCGAAGCGGAGATCTTTGTTCTTAAACCGTCTCTTAACGCTCAAGAATTTACGATCGCCTCGCTGCAAACAATTTTCAAAGATCTCCATTCACACAAGTCGGAGAAGTTGCAACGGTTTAATCATGTTATAGCAACACCTGCTGAGATTGACATCAAGATCCACCCAATGACAGATTTGAGGATGCTTTATCGTAAACTGTCTTCAGTTATAAACAAAGTTAATGAAGAAAAGGGATCTCAATTATTGGTGCTCTTTCAATCACCCTATTGTCAGAAACTGAGGCATGTTATCAAGCCACTGCGCCAAATAGCCACTGTCGAGATGTCTTCAGCGGAAGCTAATTTTCCACAATTGAATTGGCAAGTTGCGGTCATGAAGAGAATATCTAACCACATTTTGAGCCTGGGATCATGGTTGCATAACTTGATTTCTTTATCAAGGTATAGTAACATTCCAATCTGTAACATCAGGCTTGACAAAATGTCATTTGTCATTGACATCATGTATGCCAGGAAATTAAAGAACGAGAATATCGTCCTTTGGTGGAATAATGCCAAACCGGTCCCCGATCTAGGCGGCAAGGAGAAGGATTTTGATCCCCACATGGCATCTTTAATGAGTAATCTCGATCTTTTCGTCATCAACAGACCTTCCATCTATGAAACTGTCACTTTGGAATTTGAGTTGAACAATCTCACAATTAACACTATTCTGACCTCTGCTGTCATTAACGAAGCAGAGGGAACTGACTTGATGGAGGTAGATTATTTGAACACGGATGGGGCGGTCGATACCATGAAGAAGGCCTTTGTGGAAGATAGTTTTGCAGGGGCTTCCTTGTCCGTGCTGAGGAATCTACTGAAAGGCTTTTGGGACAGCGCACTGAAAGAAGATGAAACGGCGGATTCTTTGGTGCATACCTTCATTCATTGGGTTCAATCCCCTGACTCGAAGCTCTTTGATTACGCCTTGAAATATCATGTTCATAACCTCACCAAAAAGGCGATATTGCAGCTTATCAATGTTTGCAAAAACCTAGGGTCCGAAGTTGTGTATGCTGACCGTGGCAATCTCATTTTGAGAACCACAAAAACCACAGTAGAGAGTTGCTATGCATATAGTCAATATCTCATTAAAGCCATTAGGACATCGCCTCTATTTGGACTTTTGGATTTGTCAATTCGCAGATATTGGGACCTACTATTGTGGATTGATCCATATAATTTTGGAGGGAGAGCTTGTATCGATATAATTGATAGCGAGCGGCAAGACCTTCGAGCGTACTCAGATTGGCACATCAAGAAATTCCTGCCTATGATCTATCAGCAAGAGTTCGATGACTGGATGATGGTAATTTTGGATAGTATGGTGAAGTCAAAAGAAGAATATCACGATAGTCACAAGGATTCGCAGCGTTTGACCCAATTGCCTCACGAAAATGCTGCGCAACAGAAAGGCGACGAAGAAAATGGTGTGCTTTCGGGTTTCACCAATCGCTTTGGTACTGCCCTAACAATGCGCATGGAGAAGCTTTTGAGGACTCAAAAGGAATATATTCTGGATCCTAATTTCGCTCCCGACTATACTCCGCCTGAACTTCCCGGATCACATTTGAAGATTCGTGACCCTCTGCTAGAACTTGTCAAGTACCTATGCCATATCATGCTTCTATCCGAGGAACAGACGCTCGAGGTTCGAGGATTGCGGAAGAATCTCTTGAAAATCTTTGAAGTGCGTGAATTTGACTGGGAGGCCGAATTCAAGGATCCTAGCTCCTCCCTTAAAGTCTGCAACCTGGTCTGTGAATATTGCGCGTTCATCACAGATCTAGACTTCTGTAAACAAGACAGTAATGATCTGCATTTGAAATGCCAGCAGTGCCATAAGCCTTTCAACCCGACGCTTCTTCAAGAATATCTAATCCAAACTCTCCAAATTGAGCTCCAAGACTACTATATGCAAGACTTGAGATGTACCAAGTGTAACAAGGTTAAAGAGGACTTGATGTCTGCCCATTGTCCATGCTCTGGTAGCTGGAAGAACTCTATTTCAGATAGTTCCTTGACCAAAAAACTTGCAACATATGAAAAGGTTGCAAGATTTTACAACTATGAGTTGCTGAACTTGGCCGTCAGTGACTTGAGACCACAAGTGGCAGTCTAGCTACTCAGGTTCGAGAACCTGTGTACGGGCGGGCGGTGAGCGAACCTCGTAGTAGACGATTCCATCTACTATTGCATAAAATACTGATCTCTACGATAGTTGACATGGAAAATTCAAGATGAATTTGACAGCACCGACAGTGAAGAGTGTGCTTATTACCCATGGCATCGGCCACACCTTCTGTGCTGTTTCGAAAATACCAAGTCGACGCTCTCTCAGCTCTGATAAACGAAACCCCGGAGATTTGTCCGCCTAATGTAATAATTCAAGGCCACCAAAGTTCTGGAAAAACGTTGACTGTACGGAAGTTGTTTGAGGCAAATCCACAAATCTGCAATTGCTGGCTCAATACAGTGGAATTGGTTACATGGAAACCTCTTTTGCAGCATGTGGCGCGGAGTGTGTCGAGCACACTGCGATCATCGTTTCCGCATATCAATTACGACTATCAAGATGCTTTAGAGGCTGAGGACTTTTATTTTTTGCTCAGGGTCTTAGAAGCACAATTGCGTCATTTCGACGAGCTGGAGAAACCTACCAGCCTTTACATTGTGCTGGACGGCTTCGATCAGCTCAAAGAACTTGATCTCGAATTGCTTCCCAAGTTTATTAAGCTGCATGAACAACTGCCGCGAAGTTTCAAGATTCAACTCAGATTCATATACATCGTCAGAGATGTAGCCTTTCTCCACAAGTACAGCACCTATTATATTCCCACAATAGTTTTTCCGCGATATAGGCACGAAGAAGTGGCCGAAATATTACTATACAATAAAACCAAAGAATATGTGGAAAGTGAAAACTTGCTACGTCAAGTTGTGAAGTGTGGTCTTGACCCAGAGGACTTGATTTTTGAGCGAGTTGTGGACAACTACATCAAGATGATCATCCAAGCGTTCCATTCTTACACGGGGAACGACATTGTGGCATTGAGTGATATCATGGACTCCAAATGGGACAGTTACGTCCAATCCATCACTAAAGAAAACATTTACGATCCGCTGTCGTTATACCGATCAAACATCGAAATCTACACATCCACGGGTGACACATTCACTGATACAAACGCGAATAGTGCTTTTGATGAAAGTAACAAAGAAGCAACTGCATACGAGCTTTCCGCCATCTCAAAATATCTTCTTCTTGCGGCGTATCTGTGCTCATATCTGGAGCCACGCTACGACAGCAAGATATTCTCTAAGAAGTCACATCTCCGTGCCGGCCGATCGTCATACGGACGCCGTAGTAAGATGGAAACAAACCCTCGTTACCTCCAACCGTCACTCTTTCCACTCGAGAGACTTTTTTCAATATTCCAAGCTATTTTTCCGGTAGGAGACAGACACCATGGGAAATCAAGCATTTTCTACCAAACAGAGCTTATGAGAGCTAACGTTGAGGTTTATGAGAACTTGGCAGAGCTCAATGGCTTAAAGCTCATCACCACGGCTACTTCCAAAGGTGTTGACTATTTGAGCTATAAGTTGAAATGGAAAATAAATGTACCTTGGGAAATCATTAACGAAATCAGTTCTTCAGTAGGTTTCGACATTGCAGAATACTTTACAGGACTACATAACTAGATAGACACCGTCATAATCCAGAATCAGCATCATACCAATCTTCGTTTGATTTTTGATGCTAAAAGTGTCTAGATATTTGAGGTACTTCCTTCCTTTAATCTTCTTGTTAAGATACTTATTTCATGAAATCTTACAACTGAGCATACCATGGCGGAGGATGCTATAGTGAGTCACCAAATTCGACCAATTACTAATGGCGAGGCCAACAGCGTAGAAGGTTTGGTTGAAGAAGGTTTCGTCAACAAGAGAAGAAAGGTCATTGAAGTTCATGAAGAAAGTGATTCTTCTCTTTCTGACGACGGAAGTGTCGAAAACGGAGGCAACGATAGTTCAGCAAGCGTTGGCAACGAATCGAAAGATGACAACTTTCAGAAAGAAGATATGTTTGCTTCAGATGATGATCAGCAACTTTCAAATGTTTATAATAGGCAAGAAAGGGCAGACTTTAGACAAGATCTACAAGAATCTTCAGAAGGAGACGAAATCAAACTGGAGGCCTTTGATTTGGAGGAAGAGTCAAAGACCGGAGTGTTTGACAAATTTGGAAACTATACTGAGACGAAAACTAATGCTGAAGATGAAATACAAGATCAGGACGGATGGTATGACGCTTTCAAGGGAGATGAGCAAGTACAGAAGGCCAAAAAATCCCAAGAAAAGATGGCCAAAGACCAAAGTCTTCGAAGAGAGCAGCTTTCGGATAGTAAACGGGTATACACGCTTGAAGACGCTTTGAAAAGATTGCAGCACTTTTTGAACGAAAATGAGACGGTTTTGGAAGCACTAGGAAGGTTAAATGTGATTCGGACGCACTACAGGAAAACAAAACCACGTCTTAAACCTAGCCAAAAATTGATGGGCGAAGACAACGAATTGCATGACAAGCTTTGTTTCCAGTTTGTCGTGCATTCCATCAATTTTCTCACTGATCTTTTGGATATCGTGGGGAAGAAAGGAATAAGAGACGTCAACGAACTTACAAGGGTTCAAGTGAGCTCTCTCCTTGAGGAGGAATCGCTGGGCGACGAACCTACGAATGACTATGAATCCAAACTTTGGAGCTTTAAATGGCTTCGAGACCTTTCTACTGTGAATGGGCCCTTCACAAACTATGAGATGCAATCTTGGCGTGATACGTACTTTCAAGATAACGTGGTGGTCAAATATGTTGATGACAATGGCGATGAGGCCAGAAATTGGATCCACATCAGTTGCGTTCATTTCATGTGAAATGCAGTTAAAGGATTGAAGGTCATGAAACACTTACCACATATCGGCCTGCGGCTGTGGGGTGGATTCTGCATCTGTTTCTTCAGCAAACGCATTCAGTTCGCCAGCAACGATTTTTGACATTTTTTCAACCGCTTCGAATGTCAGTCTGTCGCCAGAGTCTGGAGCTAGATGTTTCCAGTGTTTACTGAGCGCCATAAGGAGCACTCTAAACTTGTTTTTAAGCTTCACCAAGTTACGCTCATATGTTAGCACGCTGACATCTTCATTATCGCCAGGAATCTCACTAATAAGACCAACTATCAAGTCTATATTTTTGTCGATTGAAGCGTTCAATTCCAACGTCTTAAGGACACTGCAGCAACCTTGAACCAACCCTATAAGAATAAAACGTTGAAAGCCCACTTGAAGACCATACTGCTTGCCCTCAATGAGGTTATGAGCCAGGTTTTCGTGTCGACCTTCCTGATAGCCTTCTTGATAAAACTGTTCTTCCAAATTCAGCACATAATCGAAAAAATCCATTGCGGAGAGACTGGGAGGAAAGTTGTGGGAGGAAACCGGAGTGGTCAGTTACTGGGATAGAAGTGCTAGCGGAAACTTAAGAAACTTTGATGCACGAGTACTTTGTTAATAATGGATATTAATGTACTCGCTGACCAAGCAACTGTAGCCGTCACGAGTACATTCAGTATTACGTAATATAAAGTACTCATCATGGCCAAGCATAAAATTACAGAGTACAGATAACGCTATACGGCCAGGGCATCGGGTTGTCAACGAGCGTTTCGAGACGTTTGAAGACAGCAAAGGATCCTCCCTATTCATCCATCCGTGTTGTGGAAAATCGGACCCCTCTCAAATCTTTCTCATCTCGTCTTACAGCACTTGTGCATTTTTCACTTGTTTTCCGGTTTTTTTGATCTTCTCCAATACGGTCTCAAGCGGAAGCACACTCACCACGTCAACTGTTTGCTTTTCTAGCGAGATTTCTATGTTGGAGACGTCTGGTTCGAGTCTTGTCAAAACCCTATTGATGGCATTGGAACAGCCCGCACATGTCATAACGACGTCAAAGTGGTAGTGTTGGGCAGTGGACATTGGAGATTGAGGTTTTATAAAGTAAATGAAAAGAAAGGCAATAAGAGCTGTTCCTAAGGACTCTTATGGTACAAGCCGTGAGGTTCTCAAACTGTATATACAAGCTTGTCAGAGGGTTCTATCAACCTACACTGTCCTAGCCTTATATATACAGTCAGCGAAATTAACGCACCTTTTCTCAAGGCTGTATTAGGTAAGCAGAGCGCCCGTTTTTATTAGATATAAAGAGGTAAAACCAAGGCGCTCTCGGGATTCGAATGGGCGCCGTTCAATGAGGAGAAATCACATTGGACAGACACAACAGACAAACTGTTGCCATTATCCGTTTCGTTCATTCATCTTAAAGTTTTTTCCTACTCATCTTCTTGCTGCTCCTGGCGTATTGTTCGTATCTCATCAAGACACTCGCGTCTCAATCCCGTATCGGCGAACAGTAAAATTATCCACTGAACAATCTCATCAGTGGAAAATAGGTAAAAATCGCCGCTGGAAAACATGTCCATAATGTCTGTAAGATGAGCAGTGAGTACGTCACCAATAACTGCGAGTTTTTCGCGGGATTGTTTGCACCGCTCGTCTGTTTGCAAGGCAGGATGATTTGTGCTTGCAAGCAGCAATTTGATCATTTCCTCGAGGTTTTCGGAGTTTTTCTCCGAGATCATGCGCCAGGACATTAGTTGCGCGACAAAACAGTCCGCGTAGACGTATTCCACAAAACTACTCAAAACTCGTAGATCTTTCAATTTGATGATTGCTGGAAATGCCACATTCTCTAAATAAGGTAACAAAGACTCGACGGTAATACCCCAATTTGGAGTCTTCTCATTTGTTTGGAAATTTCGAAACTGCTGCTGGATTAGTGCTAATATCGTTTTTTTCATATTGTCCACATGCGTCTGGACAAAATGCGAGTCGAGTTCAATAAGTCGAAATATCTTTCGTTGGTCTGGAAATTTTGTCACAACGTACTCAATATCGTGATGTAATTGCCACCAGTCCTTGCATTTACAAACACACATTGCCATGAAAGATGTTAGTAACAAATTTCTCTTATAGTCTAAGGTCATCTGAATCTTCTCTCTCCCAATCTCGTCACATCCGGTTTCAAAGTTCTCTAAGATCTCAAGACATAGAGCTGGAAGTCCTGTCAATTTCCTGACATTAGAGTCTTCTTTCCCAATGGGCTCAGTCTCATCCCAGTTGGTTTGCCATTCGTCATTCTCAGATACCATTTTGTGAGACACGTCCGGCTTCCTAGTACCAATTGGCTCTTGTTTAGTGTCCTCAGAGAAATCTATCTCGTCTCCCCACCCGTCCTTTTCTTCGTCGTCGTGCGTATCGGGAATGTCAACCTCGTTCCCCCAGTCCCACTCATCTTCTGAATTATCATCCGTATTGCTAGCGGGCACGTCATTATTAACCGATGGCGTTTCCTGCGTCGGGAGTTTGATTACAAAAGTTTTCGACCAGCTTGAGGTCCTGAAGACCTCTCTGATCTTGACGATTTGTGATTGTAGCAGTTTGTCCAGTTTGAGATTGTTAATCACAGAGTCATCATTGAGCAGAGCATCCAGCTCTGTACCATTGTATACCCAAACTCCTTTTGTGCTATCTGACAAGAGCTTGAGGTCATCATTAAGCCTGATTAACTGTTCCTTCTGCTTGCTACCTGGCGAAAGTAGCACAGTGGAATTTTGTTTGAAGAATTTCAAAACTTCAACGGCAATTGTATTCCCCAAGCGGGACAGAATGGTATTTTGGTCATCGCTGGTCACCGCTCGTAGCAAAAATAGAACAAGCGCAGTATATTTGCACAGGATTTCGTCTAGGCTGCATTTTTTGGTTGTGACTTCCAGTGTGGATTCGCTTTTGAGCTCCAAAAACACGTTTTCCGAAAATAACAGGCTCTTCAGTTTTTCCTGCACTACTTCAAGTTCGATGTATTGTGTGAAAAGGGTAGACAGTCCTGTGGTAATTGCTTCCTTGGTGTCGCTCATACTGAGCGACGACACAAACCAGATTGTAGGCTCAAAACTGCCGTTTGGAAAGAAGCACGTTTTCAAAAACTGACGGAAGTAGCTGTAATTGAATTCGACTCGATCTGTCCCAACGATTGTCGATTCCACAAATGTGATGCCACAGTCATCAATCTTCCAAAACCCGTGCATGATGTCGTCACAGCGGGACACTAAATGGGCATGCATTTCGTCCAGATGCAGTTTTAAATCTTGCTCAAACCGCATCGGCAGTATTTTGAAATCGATTACGGTCAATTTCCTACGTATGTTCTGCAATGAGTAAAAGCAGTTTTCCAGTTCACACAATTGCAGGTTCATTTTAGCCTCTTCCAGAAGATCTGAAACTACACTCAATTCACGACACACAACCAGCTGGTCGCTCAGCAGCGTCTCTTGTGCTCGTAGAGCCTGAATGTCGGTGGAAGTCTCATTTGCGCTTGGTACATCCAAAAATTGAAGTTTGGGATCACATTCGATGTTAGCTGAAATGCTGTCTTGATCAGACAAAATCCTGTCCAATTTTTCAGCTATATCGCGAAGCTCGCCGTCCAATCGTAGTATGCTCGATTGAGTCATATATGCGGAGAAAGAGTGCTGTAGGTTCGCAATCGAGTTCTTTTCAACGTTGGTACCTTTCCATACATGAGATGAGATGAGATGGATTTTACCATTTCAATGACTAAGTCACTGTAGTACAAAGTGATATAAAGCCAATATTAACAGTCACGTGTATGGAAGTTTTGGAATACCACTGACGAATTTTGTACGCCTTACGACTCTTATGAGCTACGATTTCAAGTTATTTCTGTATCTGAGGTCAGATATTTGATGAATGTTGGATAGGAAATGTTATCTATCATAATTGATCTGAGTGAGCTGAGTAAGTTATCATCATATAGATACAGAAAGCGTTGACAAATTCAAGAAGTTTAGAAAATTAAGACAAACAAAAGCATTCTGCAGGGAAATCGTGAATCCGGTATCCTTACCGTGTTCTAATTTCTCAATAGCTTGAGTAGTCTTGGATAAAAGCACTGTGCTTTGTGTGTTTGGAATAACAACTCTATGATATGAGTGTTGAAGACAACCGGGGAAAGAACATGGAAAACTTTTGATTTATATAGTTTTAATGAAGTCCGGGTAATGCATATGGTAAAGTATGTAGTAAGGGCACACGCAGCACACATCGCTACGATGTAGTAAGATGTAACCGCTCAGAGCAGATCCTGGACGCTCTTGTATTCATGCTGGCATCTTCTGCAATGGTTGCGAAGTTCTGTGTCATTGGTCCACATTTCGGGCATGTCTAGCTCGACGGTCCGACAATTTTTAATCTCATGAGACAAAAACGACAGGTAGTCGCCGTGAACCATCTCTTTTTCCATCGCATTGAGAATTTTGAGCTCTACAAGCAGCTCATTGCGTTTCAATCCGATCTCGTGGCGTGTGGCACGGTATTTGCTCTCTATGTCATGATCAGACGACATAAACCTCTCGAAACATTCGCCATTTCCGTCAACAAGCGCACCAGATAATAGATCCAAATCCTCCAAAAAAACAGCACGCTGCATTACTTGTCGGCCTTTGTCGAAATAGCTCATGAAGATATTTTCAGCCCGTCTGACAGACCAATATGACCACGAAGACCTGCCGCTCAAAAACATATTGATTCCAACTGACAAAAGCAGTCCCAGCAAAAGAAGTCTGTTCAAAGCCACCACATTTGTCATAACTCTGTGTACCAGCTCAAATAACATTCGCGTTAAGGCAAAAATGGCGTTGACCGTGTAAAACAAAATGCATTTCATCGTAAAGCGTAGTAAGGACATTCGTGAGTATCTGTTAATAGCATCGTCTTTGAAGCCACTGAATTCCTTCGTGTCGTCCACTAGGGCCAGCTGGCCGCAAAGTCGTACTGCCTTAAGGATTCTCCCATGTTTTCCGGTCTTGTCAAAATACTGCTGTACAGCATTGCGCAAAGACATGGATTCGTAACGCATGAAGTGCAGAGAAATGTTTTGCGCGCACCTATCGAAAAGATTGAGCCTGTCCGTTTGAGTGTTGCCAGCCTCATTGTAGAAATTGACCTCATAATACAAATATAAGGAAGATGACCCACCGCTTTTATCGCTAGCATTAAACTTGGTTGCTTTGGCATCCGATCTGGAGATTATAACAATCTTGGATCGCACGTTAAACGGCTTGGCAAGCGGAAGTTTTAGCTTGCCTGTCTCTTGTTCGATTTCGTAGTACAAATTGTCCTTAGCCACTTTAATACACTGGATGATATTCATAAATGCAGACTGCTTTCCTTGGCTCGGAAAGAAAAACCCTTGAGTTGGGTCGATTTTGAAGTGCACTTTTCTCACAGCCTCGGTTAAGTCTCCCCTTTTCTTTGTGTGCCAAAACGATACCGTGTTGTCTAGCCCTGTTTTATGGGCTATGAGGTAAGCTCTTGGAAAGACATTCGACTTGTTTCCGAATAAAACATGCATCAAACCTTTGGGAGCAATGTTGAAGTCCATTTTATAAGCGGAACTGAACTCAGCACCGAAACCCTCTTGACGTTTCTTAAGAGCGTGGAAGGGTTCATTCACGCCTATGAAAAGGGTGTCGATACGATTACTCGCTCGTGAAAGCGAGTTTTCTTCATTTTTAGCTTCCTGTTTCTTTTGGCTTTCAAATTCCTTCTCCATTTTCGAAAACAATGCCAGAATTTCCTGTTCGCTCTTGGCATTCTCAGTTGTCCCATTCTGAAGAAGTGTCCTCATCTTGGTGGCAATAAGGTCAGCATCATCGAAGTAGACTGAGCATAATACAGATTGCTCATTAACGTCATATAGTTTCACAACAGCACCGGTACTATCATCTGCCTTTTTTGTTTCTTCCACCGACACTAAATCCTCGAGGGTTCTATTCAAAAGGCATATAAATCCCATTGAGTTCATATAGAAATAGACGTTTCTCATTGTCACGTAGCACATTCCAGAAAATCCCTGTTTTGTATTGGGAGACCAAGAGCATGAATACGACAAGAGGAGAAGCTCATTGAATTTTTCATCCTTCCTCTGAGCAGCAGTGGAAAAGAACAAACTTTTGAATTGTAGATCCTTATTGCGCATGTCTTTCGGATAAAACTCCGGATACGTGATAGGACTCCAGATTGGTGAGGTTGTGTCCTTAACAGGACACAGAATGTTTGTGTTGTGACTTTTTTCAGGACTGGGTACCTCGCTCGGTTTCACGTTGTAACAAAAATCGCTCCAATTCACACTACCCCAGTAATTTGCCATGATAGCATTAGGAACCCCATCGCTCACCAGAAAGAAACTTGAGATAATGCTGAGCTTTGTGAGTTTTGTGATAATCGGAGTTTTTAATAACGGCGTCTGGAATGCAGAATCTTCTGGGAATATTATACTACCAGTTTCCGAAAAGGCAGCCTGCATCAACTGTAAAATCGACTTCCCATAGTGTCCATCAGGGTCGAATGAGGTAAGCTGTTGGTCAGTCTGACTAGCCGAACTGCATGCAAACTCGTAAAATATAGGAGGAATTCTCGAAAACGAGAGCTCATATTCTGGATCACCTTTTTCAAGTAGCATCACCTGTTTCTTGGCTTCTTCAAATACACTTAGCCACGATTTCAGCTCATGTAAGGTCTCTGCCTGAAAGACAAGCGACATGCGCTCAGCTGTATTATTTCTAGAGCCCGTCCCAGGCTCCGCTCCCGCTATCTGTGCTTCGAAACAAAACTTTCGCTCTTCGTTGGGATCGTAACGAACATTCATCAGAAGAACACCAAATTTGTCGGTTTCTTCAACTGCTGTAAGAGCGGGCGATAGTAGAAATATGCCAAAGACAGAGTCCTTCACGAAACACCACCTTCTGACCCATGTAGTTCGTGCTGGTTTCCCCATTGATGTCTTCATGAAAAGCCACCCGGACTTTTCCCGCGGTGCTTTGGTTCCAGCTTCCGGCTCTAGCTTCAAAGTTGCCTGATTAATGCTCCTAATGTTGTAGTCATTCAGTTCTCTGGACGGCTGTAGCTGTTTTATGCTAAAAGCTTGAATTTGTTCCTTGGCTCTCTTCATATCTTCCGCCAAGGAAGAGTTGTTTTTTCTCATTTCTTCATGCCATTTTCGATGCTTTGCGAACATTTCTTCCAGATTTTCGCCATCCTGCAAACCCAAGATCGCGTCCTTCAGTGGCCCTCTTCTTAATAAAGTGTTAACAACATCGTTCATGGTTTTGTCTAAAGATTCCTGGGCCTCTGCAATTTCCCACGCAAGATCAAGACAGGCCCCCAAATAACTTTTGCGCACTTCGAATAGCTGAAATGCATCCTCACGCATACTAGAAGGCTCCACATTAGGTCCGTTTACCTTGGTGCTTTGATATTTCGCCAGAAGCGTATCATGTTTGGATTGATAAAATTCAAAACTCTTTCGCTTTTCTTTGTAGGGCTCTATGATCTCCGTCACTATTTTTACCAGGCTTGACAAGAACGATTCGGGGTCTCCTCTCAGTAGCAGCAAAAGTCGCCCCGACAGGTTGCAAAGGTCATTATGGAAGGCACCCAATATGGCTGGTGTATAGAGCTGATTTTCCACGATTCCGTTATGCAGATAGTCTGCAGGGGGTAGGGACTGTGCAAAAAAGGTGTCACTGAGCTGTTTAAAGTCATCTAGTGACGGCAAAAACTTGAGTTTGTAAAACCTCGAAACGTTCTCAATCCAGCTTTCGAAAGACTCAATCTGTACTTGATAAAAATTTGCACTAGCTCTAAAAGAGGGAGAGTCTAAAGAAGCTTCTTTGAAGTACACGGACATCAGCTTGAGCAGCCGATTGGCCTTATTCTCATTTCCTCCATCCGGCATGCTCGACTGCGAAAAGATACTAGCTGAAGAATGCCTTTGAGCACAAGCGACAATCAAGCGGAGCCAAGTGTGTGCCAAGGAATAGCACTGATCAAAGATCTTAGTTGCAACGGTCCGCCTAGGTTTGTTACTCGGCTAGCTTCAATTGAACTGTTCTCAGTGCTTTATTTCATATCATTACTACGTTCGACATCTGAAGTCCCTTAGTGTCTAGTGAGCACATGACCGGTGAGCTGGAAACTCGAGTGTCGAGTCTAAAATCCTCTACGCGCCAAGTTATCGGCTATTCTCAAGTAGAAGTCCAGCATATCTACGTCAGGTTCCATTTCTTCCTTGGCAGACTCCGTTGGAGCCAAAGCCCTGGAAATTTCCTTCTGAAATTTGTTTTTCCAGTTTATGATGTCAAGATGGTCAGCGTTCTGTATGGTACCCAAATATTCACCCCAGTGGCTACTTTCGACGCTCACTAGCCCATCGTTAGGCGCCCCATTGGTGAGTTCGTGGATTACTCTCCAGGACGTAAAAAACAAATTGTACCACTTAGGCTGCCAGGAGGCTCCGTAGCTCATATATTTCACTTTGGGATTATCCGTTGTGGATTTATTGAAGGCCTCCATGCTCTTGGTTGTTAGCTGGTATATGGCAGGTGGTAATATTTTTAGTTTTCGGTCCGCAGAAACGCCCTTTTGGAGGTCGTCTGAAAGTCGCACGACAAAATCGGCCATTTCAGATCCATGATGCGGCGTTGAAACCGTGGTTAGACTCAGTACGTCAAAATTCTTATTTTCTATGTTGGAGATAAGATATCTGCAATCCAGACCGCCCATAGAGTGAGCGATCAAATTTACTTTGACGGGTTTTTGAATTTCATCGGATTTTCCCGTTTCTTGTCGCTTGCTGGTGTTGTACGTTTCTTCGGCACTTTGCGACACTCTTAGATGTTTCGTTTCGCGCTCGATACATTCGTTCAGAGCTTTCGCTCTTTCCTGAATTGTTGAGAAACCAGGAACGCGGGTGGATATAACTGTGCAGCCTTTGGACTCGAGTGCCTGCTGAACGCCGGCCCAATACTCGACTTCCCACAATCCCTTCAGCCTCGACTGTTCTAAATCCTGCTCCATATGTTGTTCGGAGTTGGAAGAAGCAGAATGGTTGCTCATAAGTTTCGTCAGTTGTCCAATTGAAGGAAGTAGCACCAACCGATCAAATCCTGAAAGTCCGTGGCACAAAACTATGGGGTTTCTTGGTGCACGGAAGTCTTTTTCCGCCGACCTGGAGAGTTCTTTCGAGTGTTCTCTACGAACCACTATCGAATAAGAGTCTTGGAAACAATTCAAGTTCTCATCACCGTATTTTCTGGCAATCGCTTTGATCGATAATGTCTTCGGCTTTTTCCCACAGAAAATGGAGTTAGTTTGGTCTATCCATGAGCCCACCTTCTGCTTCAGGCTATAAGAGAAGCCTTCATCATCGCTAGAAACCATTGTTAGCATTCAAATCGTTGTCTCTTATTCCAGTTCAGGTGATCTCTGATCGTAAGAACTCTACTTGACCAATGTGATTGATTAATCTTTCAGGACACACACTACTGATGTGAAAAATACAGACGAGGCAGGAATCGATAATCCCCTGTCTCTCTTCAATAGACGATCAATCTTTATAGCCAGTCTCTTAGTAAGCCAGTTTCTTAGCACTTTGACAAAAGTCAACATGTATCCTGCGATCATCGATCAGGACCCCATCCATCTTGGAAAAGGCCATTTCGCAAGACCTCTTGTGGCTGAACTCAATGAATCCATAGCCCAGAGATGACCCTGTTTCTTTGTCGTGTACAATTTCTATAGTTTCGATGGATCCAAATCGGTGAAATATGATGGCTAAATCCTTAGCGCGTGTCATTTTGTTGAGCTTGCAGACGAAAAGCACCCTTTCCGAAGGCTTGATTCCCACATACGGAATATCGCCCAAGATTTCAAGTGTCATTTCTGTGCTACGCATCTGCATCGCACGTTTATGTTCTGAAGTTTCCTTACCAGCTTCGACCTTGATATCTGGCGGTAGTCTAACGTCGCCATGGGGAAGACTCACGTCAAACTTGTGGAATCCGTTTGGATCAGGAAACGGATCATGCAGTACATGTGCCACTTTGATGCGTATGTCGACTTCTGGTCTTTTAGAGGTATCGATCTGCTTTGTTCCCCAAAGTTTTAGCACTGGTAAACTCTCCGGAGCTATTTTACCAAAAAAAACTGTGTCGTCATAGGGACTAGTAGTATCTGCCAACGCTATTATAAATCTAGAACCCACCACAGGCACTTTATCCTCCAAGAGCGACGTGAGGTACCCAACGTCCCCGAGTTCGGCCTTTCTTGTTTTTAGATATTCCTGAGAAGACTTGAGCGCTGTGTCAGACATCTCTTTTTCTACATTTAGAAGACCGCCGATGGAACAGTTGTGGACTCTAAGCGAACTTCGCAATTCGTTACCAACCAAGGCATCACCGCACTCTATGGAATAGTCTTTATTTAGGTTGTAGAAACATTGATATTTGAGGAAGCCGCTTTTGCATTGCTTGATGAAATTGAAGGCTTCGACCGGATACTTTTCGAAATCAACGTCGATTACCAAATCCCCTACAGTCGTCTCCAGAAGTACACTCATGACGGTATCTACAGGTTCGGATACGTGTCGATGAGATAATGTATAAATCTGTGTTTTCATGCCTTCTGAGTTAACTATTGACATGAACATATGCGCCTATAGACAAACCCACGTGAAGAGCACTCCTAACTGCATTTGTTAAGTTTACTTCACTTTGCCGCTGACGCTTTGGATCATAAAGTTCTTGATTGGTTGAAGCCTCTGTAGGACCTTCAAGCCCATACTTCTTGCCGCAACAATAGGTCCAAAATCGGTGGAATATATTTTGTGAAGCTTGTCAACAACGCCAAGAAGCATATTGTTATATGGGTAACGCTCGGCCCAGTAAGGTTCTAGGGCTAATACAGACCCCAGATCAAGACCTCTTTGTGAGGCAGTTTCGAGAGCTTTGACGAGAGATTCGACATCACCTTGGCCCAGGTTGAGACCCTGTCCAGCCAATGGATGTGTGGTATGTGCAGCATCGCCAACAAGTGCAATTCTATCCGTGATGTATGAATCTGCATGCGAGAGCTTGAGCGGGAATCTGGCTCTGGAAGAGCCCTCAACTTCGCTGACGATGGGAGGGTAAATTTCATCAATCAGAGAATCGTCTTCAAGCTTCGCATATTTTGATTCTGTGCGATGAGCGATGTCCTCCTGTAACTCCTCCGTCGTGATCGTGCCCTGTTCAAGCTGTTTATAGTAGTATTGCATGTCAACGTCGTCCAGAACAAATGCGGCATTGATAAGCAAGGTCAGCTGTTGTGGTTCAATAGAAAGTAACAGCCGTGAAAGTGGTTCTGTAGTGCTCCACACCAACGTTGCATGATCGTCAGGCATTGGTAAATGGGCAATGGGCCCCGTGGGTAGAAATCTTTGCCACCCTCTCACCTTGAAGGGCGGGAAATCGAGCTTCAAATTCGCAACAACGCCAAACCTGTTGTAAAACCACCCGCGGGACTCGATTTTGGAAAACTTTCTAACTGGAGAGTTGAAACCGTCGCAGCCAACTAAGAGGCGCGTTTCGAAAACCTCGCCATTGCTCAATGAGACTTTGAGCCACGATTGTGGATCTGCAGGGTCAACATACTCGATATTGAGCACCTTGGTCTGATCGATCAGATTCAGGGTTGGTGCTTGCAATTTAGAGAGCCGATCTAGTAGCGAACTTTGAATGTTCAAAATTTCGATCATAAATCCCATGGAATTTTTCTCAAGCTCTAATTGAGCGTCGGTACACCCATCTGACACATACAGGCCATCGAAAGCCTGCAATCTATCCTGCAAAAGTTGCACACCAACCCTTTGCTCAAGGAATTTTTTGGATTGGGTTGTCAGACTAATAACTCTATTAGAATATCCTTCTGGAGGATTTTTGTAGAATTGAGCTGTTTTCTTCAAGTCTCCAGCATCCACTAACGTGGTGTTCAACCCAGACAAGTGGGGCGATGTCCTGATTGCAGCGGCCAATGTCAAACCCGCAGGACCTCCTCCTACTATGAAAATATCGGTTTTTTTTGGAAGAACCGAGCTTGCCAAAGCTCTGGATAAGATCCAGCGTGATTTAAAAAGTCTAGCGCTCCTCATCGCCGCACAGTTCTTGCTGCAAAAGGTCAAAGTTTAGGTCCATCCAACCTTTACTGACTAGAAACTTAATTTAAGCACATATACAAACGAGTACTTATTCAAGAAAGTACTCACCCAGCATCTCACAGGTAAAGCTCACCTTGGCAGTAGACAGTAAGCTGGTCTGTACTGATGAAAGTATCTCTAAGGGAATTGAACCCAAACTAACATAAGCTTTCGACGCTTTGAAGCTATTTTCGATTACTGAAGCTGTGAGTTCGCTTGATCAAAGTGAAAAACCATAGATCCTTCAAAACGAGTAATTGAGTTCCATCATCCCATCTATATCAGAACTGTTTGAATGGAGCATATTTTGATCGAAGAATGGCATACCTATCGATGAGTTTAGAGTAGCGAGTTGACATTGCAAGGTACATATCACTATAGACGCGTGTGTCGCCAGCCGTAAATTGAGTTAAATCATCGAATTCCAGCAGTATTCACATGGATCGGACTCAAGCTCAACGTCGAAAACTCTTGACAGATCGCTCAAGGTTCAAGTCTAGTGCTCAATTGAATCAAGTTGTTGTTGAATCAAAGTTTTTGCTTAGTCCCTCCCCGCCGCTTTCCAATCGCTCATACATTCATGCGATCAATGATGAGTTTGGACATGAACGGCTCATCGCGAGATAAAGTATACATCGAAAAACAAGGCGTCATGGCCACTATTGGCCCTGATTGTTGGAATAGACTAGTGCCACAAAAGTGCCAAGTTTCGCTCGAAATGGCAACCGATTTTGCAAAAGCTTCACGGTCCGATGATCTACGGTTTTCGCTTAACTACGCTGTCATCTCTAAGGATGTGGGCCGCATTGTCGATCCAAATGTGGACTACAAGACGCTGGGTAAGCTGGCGGAAAACATTCTGCATCACGTCAAAAGTAAATATCTAGGCGTCGAGAAACTAGTGCTAAAAACTGAAGCCCAAGAAGCGCACATTAGAGCCGAGAATGTGAGTGTCTTGATGCACGCGCCACCAGAGGTACCCTACACTGATCGTCTCGTCATTTCGGGCCTTCGATTGCTTACATTGATAGGGGTGTTCACCTTTGAGCGTTTGCAAAAGCAGTTCGTTACAATCGATATCGACATGCCATGGGATACGCGATCAAAAATCAACGTAGACTATCAAAAGGTCATCAAAGACGCGGTTGATTTCGTTGAGGCTTCTAACTTTAAAACTGTTGAAGCCCTGGTGGACAGTGTGACTCATATCACCTTACAACAACCGTACTTCGAGGAAAATCCTGAAGCCTCAGTAATAGTGAAAGTGATCAAGTTAAATGCCATCACAGCAACTGAAGGTGTAGGAGTTAGTTGCCAACGTACTCTCCACGACTTTGCTGGTAAAAAAGTTCCAAAAGTAGGTAATTCTCGTCCTGTGTCACCGTCTTTGGATCTTCCGGTCACACAAGTGGCCGATGTTCTTCCCGGTAAACCCAGCGTTTCCTATATTGCCTTTGGGTCCAATGTAGGTGACCGGATTTCGAATATCCAGCGCGCGTTCAATTTACTCAATGCACATGCAGGCGTGAAAGTAAGGAAAACTTCCTCGATTTTCGAAAGCGAACCCATGTACGTTCAAGACCAACCACAATTTCTCAACGGGTGTTTTGAACTTGAAACAGAGCTTCCCCCTATTGAGCTTCTTCGTCTTTGTAAGCGAATCGAATATGAAGAGCTCAAGCGAGTCAAAGAGTTTGAAAATGGGCCAAGAAGCATTGATCTGGACATCATTCTCTATAAAAATAGTGATGGAGAAGATGTGGTTATGACCACTGAAGAGTTAATTATTCCCCATCCCAGACTGATTGAGCGCACATTTGTGATGGAGCCGCTATGTGAACTTATTCCCTGCACTGCAGTTCATCCGGTAACCGCTGAGCCGATCTTGAATCACCTAAACCAGGTTTATGAGCAACAGCGTGACGAAAATGTTCTTTCCAAGATAATACCCCTAGCAAAGCTTAATGGGGTGGATAGGTTTCTCAAATTCAAAAACAGACTGAAAAAGGATGCTGTATCAAACCGTCTTATTAACACAACTGTTTCTCCTACCTTGATTATGGGTATAATCAACACTACGCCAGATTCTTTCTCCGATGGCGGACAATTAGGTGACGATATTGATGTCCAGCTGTTGAAAGTCAAAACAATGGTCGAGGATGCATTGAAACTGAACAATCAAGTCATTATCGACATTGGTGGGTGTTCCACACGACCTAATTCCGGTCAAGCTCCGCTTGAAGAAGAATTGCGGCGCACAATTCCGTTGATTCGTGCTGTACGGACTTGTGATTTCATCCCTCAAGAACAGGTCATTTTGTCGATTGACACTTACCGATCTGAAGTCGCAGAGCAGGCTATCAATGCCGGAGCAGATCTTGTCAATGATATTTCGGGCGGGAAATTTGATCCTAACATGTTTACCGTTCTGGCGAAAAACCCTACGGTTGCCTATGCTATGTCTCACATTCGCGGCGATATTCAAAGCATGAACAAGTTAACAGATTACAGTTGTGAGGATGGTGGCAATGGCGAAAACCAAACCGAATATTACTACGGCAAAAAATTCGACAACAAAGAAGATACAGCGCTGATCCGAACCATGGCTCGAGAACTAGCCACTCAGTACAGCAAGGCGCTTAGCATGGGTATGAAGACTTGGCAGATCATACTAGATCCAGGCTTGGGTTTCGCCAAACATGCGAACCAGAATCTGGAAGTCATCCGCAGTATTTATATCCTGAAGAACTACAGCATTGTGAAGGGCTCGGAATTTGTGAATTTCAGAAACAAGCCCGTTCTTATTGGACCGTCGCGCAAGAAATTTATTGGTCACATAACCGGTGAAACTACAGCGTCTGAGCGAGATATTTCGACTAGCTCTGTGGTCACTGCATGTGTGGGTTACGGGGCTGACATTGTACGTGTTCATGACACCGCCAATTGTGCGAAAAGTATCAAGATAGCCGATTCCATATATCGCTGTTCGATCTAAAGACTCTAGCGTCCATCGCCAACGGCTGATAATAACAACTTAGGATGCTGCTATTAAGGTTTTAACCAACTTAATATAATTACCACCGATAGAGAGAGAGAGTACACACTAATCTTATACAAAATTAACCATAAGCCTGGCAAACCACACGAAAGTAAAAAGATGAGAGGACCTCAATGAAAGCTATGACGCCGTGAGGCCCGGGGCCTACTAGATCGGTTTTCTTTCTTGATTTCTTATTTTTTTACCCATTTCAGTTCCGTTGGCAGTAGCAGCAGCAGCACCACCACTCACCTTAGGCGACGGGGCAGTCTCTAGAGATGTGGCCAGCCTCATTGCAGTTGTAGCAAGTCTTGGCAGTAGAGCCACCGGCACAGTCCCTGGAAATGTGGCCAGTCTTACCACAGGCGTAGCACTTGGCCTCAGATTGCAAGCAGTCCTTGGCCATGTGGTTAGGACCGCCGCATCTGTAGCACGACACTTTTGAGCCACCTCTGCCGGCTCCAAGACCAGCACCACCAACGGCTCCTCCAAGACCAGTACCGGTTCCTCTGGACTTTTTGGGGTCTGGGCACTCTCTGGAAATATGGCCAGTCGCATTGCAGTTGTAGCATCTTGGCGTGCTACACTCAGATTTGACATGGCCGGTTTCACCACAGTTGTAACACTGTTTGAATTCCACGGTCTTCGCTACGCTGCACTCAGACTGGACGTGGCCAGGCTGGTTGCAGTTGTAACACAGTCTTTCGGACTCACATTCCTCGGCTAAGTGGCCAATTTTCCCGCACACGAAACAAGCTTTCTGAGAAGACATTGCACTTATTTTTTTTGGGTTATCTTCCTTTCGCTATACCACTTTTCCGGTGATGACACTTCCTACTGGCAACTCCGTCAAAAACCTCACCAAACAAACAAAAAATCCGCTGGAGATCTGGGGAATTTTCCTAATGATTCAGGATTACTGAAATTTGAGTTATTCAACGATTTATTGCTGAAAACTGAACCAAAAACGTTCTTATTCAAGTGATGCTGTTGGTTGTAGTAGCTGTGCTGAAAAAAAAACTCTGTAGCGTGCGATGCCCAGGTCAAAAAATTTTTCAGTATAGTGGGAGCGACGACAATGGCATAGGATAGTGATCTGGGGAAAACTGGTATTGGCATGAGTACGAGTACAGCGGAGGAGACAGAGAGAGTGCGTTCGTGCGTGAGAGAGTGGGGATAGTGATAGTATCTTATGCGCTTCCACAGTGGAAAAATGGGTGTTTCTTGTGTGACATGGTATACTTCAGAGGAGGTGCGGGTTTTCTTTGACTTTTTTTTTCCCCGTGAGAGCCGGATAAAAACTCACAACTGCGTACCAAAAGACACGCTGGTGTATATTGATGTCGATGGAGTGTTCTGTTACATCATCGCCTATCTGTATTCCAAATGGCGCTCTTTTGTTGAAACTTCGTTTTCGGAGATCACTTTGTCCCCGGGAGACACATGAAGTCACGTGTAGCACATTATCACTTTTTTTCTTAGTGTCGCAGGGCATCTTGGACATGTGTCATTTTCGTACGTCACGACAGTGTAATCAGAATCTCAAGCCTTAATAAGCAAGCAAGCCTACACACATTTGGTACCTCTGCGCCAAGCAGTCAACACTTCTCTTCAATCATCTCTTATTGGTAGTGTGTGTCTTTCGCACTTGCTGGTAGCTCATTCTTTTATACTTTGCCTCTTTCGCACCCAAAATGCACAATTCTGTAATGACTCGAAAGGTATTCGCCCTATCGCGCACGAGGTATGTTGCTGTTCCCACAATAACCCTTCATGTGACTTCTATTTCTTCGCCGACACTACCACTACCACCGGAATTTTGTTTCTGTTTCTGTTTCTGTTTCTGTTTCTGTTTCTGTTTCTGTTTGTGTTTCTGTTTCTGTTTCAGCTTATCTCGAGCAACAGCATTATGCACCCTGTAGGTCTTCGAAAAAAATCGATCGTCCAAACCTAGTTTCTTCAAAACGCGTTTTTCATTTTCCATTTCGAACGTCTCCAAGGGATCTCGATCAGCCACTATACGCCCAAACTCCGTAGTGTCCTCCATAACATCCCATGCTTCCTGGGTTGTCAGGTTCATTTCTTCGCAGCAAAGCGCACATAGCAGTTCAGGAGCCAAAACGTACTGTGCGAAGTCACGCACCCCCCACCATTTCAACGTTTTGCTGCTCAGGTTTTTCAAGGTGCTCTCATATGCATTGATAATATCCACAGATATCAGCATCTGTCTCCTTATACCGTAGAACCCGGCTGTGAATTGGTTGAGATCCAGTGTCCGCAGCTCGTTCGTTGTCAAAACAGCATTGTTCGAGGCCTGAAAAACTTCGCGAGCCTTGTGATAAAACATCGAGCTGCGTTCTCCGGTTAGGACCAATTCAAGAATTGGAAGGTGTTTTTTCGCTTTTTCTCTAAGCTCATCTGCAAATAGCATAGGCGGAATTTTGAACATCTTCAAATATCGTAGTCTCACAGCTAGAATCTCTTCGTATTTATCTTTCTCGCGCGACGATGAGGATCTGTTTCGAAGTCTCGGTGGTCGTTGTGATATTGTTTTGTTGGTATCTGGACTCTCCAAAAACGCAGTAATTCGGTTGTTTTGTTCTTCCAATTTCCGCATCTCCTGCAGATCTGTTTCCTCGATGTTTTGTTCTACCATCCGGATGTTTTCTTCTACCATCCGGGTCAACCTCTTGCCAGTACGCGAATGTCTTGTCTTACGTGAATATCCTTCGTGGGCCTTTTTCGAGCTCTCTTCCTTGCTCAAAAGAGCATCAAACTTGGCATCGTCCACAACAGTCGGATCAATTTTTGAGCGTTCGCTCTCGTTCTCTTTACCAGGTGCTGATTTATTATCGTCATCATCGGCGTCATCGTCTCTATCTTCAAATAGAGCACCTGTTTTTTGACTGTTTACTGGTCGTGAGGTAGTCAAAATTTGTGATTTTTTGTGAACTCCTCCTCGTAACCCCTGTGAATTCATTTCTTGGTGTCCACTGCCTCGTTTGCCTTATTCGAGCCTTTGAAAGCGCGACTTGAGTCTAACTTTTCTCAGTTCGATGTTGATTCTACGATCTATTTTGAATTTTCGATTAAAAAAGGTAAACAAAGCCAAGAAACTAACCTCAACAAGAAGAGATCAAAGAAGACGTCTGAATCTGATGAAAATCGAGGTTTAGACTGTTTTTTTTTCATCATTAATGACTTGATACTTACCAGCCAATTAACCATAATGCAAATTTCGTAGTAAAATTCAGTCTAGCGGTGGTACTACAAGAAACGTCCGAATGGTACGAGATCTTGCTAGTTGTGTAAAGGTCCGGGGGTCTCAACACTGCAACATTTGAATTCTAATAAATTATGGGTATTCACAGTTTGAAATTCATTCAAAACTCTAAAAAAGCTTACTTTTGGCCGCTCGTAACAAGCCAATGATTTTAGTTTGCCAGGTAAAGCGGCTGTAGTGTGCACTAAGAAGTGCTTGTCGATCCTTCAGGGTTAGAAACTACTGTTAGATCACTTTGTCACAAACTGTCGTTTTTTCGATATTTTTTGGTGCTGGAATGCATTCAGACGTTCATAGTGATTCTAAAATGAGATCCTGGAATTTAAATGACCATCGGTACGGTGAGCAACCAACGAATTCATACTAGCAACCTATGTCTATTGGAAGGTTTCTACTTTTTGACATCTAAATCTTGGGGCTTCATTCGCAGGTTTCAAAACATCTGTACCAGTGAGCTTACAGTCACAAATTACGATTTCAGCTTATACATATTGGAGGTTGTACTGTAAGATCTTCTACCGCTGATCAAACCGTTAAAGTATTGAAGTATACTGAGCTCCGGAAAGTGTAAATGACTGCATCGATTTCTATTCCGAATACGTTAAGTACACATCATTCAAAAGTTTTCGCGAAATTCGAAAAAAATGTTCTTCCTGATCAGCATTTCTCCCAAGTGAGTTCGCGAACATCATCGAAATCTACGGAATTCACGGATAACCCGAAAACCCCTGTCGGCTCATTAGAATTTCATCCAACTGGTGCATATGTGGTCTACACCAGACTTGATGGCACACTAAATATGTGGAAGCTTAAATCTGACCGAGCGGAGGATTATAAACCATTGACTCTAGATTTAGCCAATGACTCAATTGGTTTTTCAAAATCATGCGTTTCCTGGAGTCCTTTCACTGGGTTTTTGTTTGCCATGGTCGATGGGTCGAGTGCGATACGGATATTTGATGCATCGACAGGCGCGAATATTAAAACCTTGCATAGTGATGACGATGATCGGTATAATGTATGCACTTACGATCCAAACGGGAAATGGCTAGCTACTGTGACACAAAACAATCAGGTCTTGCTGTTCGATGTGGATGCTGATTACCAATTGGCGTGGCGCTCACCTCTTTTAAGATCAGCCAACACTACCCAATCCATACCAGCACCTGCAAAAGAACTATCCTCCTATCACACCACTTCCCTAATTTGGTCTCACGACAGCAGTAAAATCTACGCCGCCTTTGATTCTGGAGAAATCAGGATCTATGACGTTCTTGCAGCTGGCTTACAGGAATTGATCCACGTCTCGGGTCACACGGGCCCTGTGAACTGTTTGAGATTGACCCAGACCGGATCCTACTTGCTTGCTGCAGGAGAAGACACCGTTTGTTCCATTTGGGATCTTTCTTCTATGTGTTGTGTTTTCACTATCAATGACTTCCCCGATTCAATCAGAGATATGGACATATCTCATGGTGAGTCGGTGATAGCTCTAAGCTCACCGAGCTGTATTCAAATATACGCACTAGAAACTCGAGAGTCAATTTACAAGGTAGAGTTCAACAGTTTAATCAGCGGACCCAAATTTCGGTTTTATCCTGGACGCTTGACTTTCATTTCAACCACTGATAATGATCTCGTTACAAAATTTCATAGGCCCGAACCTACCGAGGAATTCACTGGTAATGGAGCTACAGATAAGAAGCCTCGGCCCGATCGCAGACCTGGCATTGGTGGTCGTAGACGAGACGCGGACGCACCGCCTAGAAGCAGATTTGTGAGAAGATCAGCCAGGCGTTAGATCTAATGCCAAATATAATGACATTGGGAGTTTTAAAATTATGTACAGGGGCGACTGTGTCGCGATATTACTCTGTTGATGATATGTCTATGTCAATTGACGACCAAACCAACCATTTTTTTTGTTTGCCTGGTCAAAGGGAACAGAATGGTTTCGTGTCCATCATTTACCTGCCAGTAGACAAGATAATCCCCGGTAGTATGCGTCGTCAACACGTTGCTGAATCTCTTCTTTCGTCAGCCATGCGAAATCGTTGTATTGGGACTTTTGCTTGAGATCAAATCTCCCAGAAACAATGTGAGACTTTATCATGAACTCTGCAGAATCAGCGGCACCCCAAACGCCTGCTGGAGTGTTGGAAACGGTCCAAGTGTTGACATTTGCGCCTCCCAGCTCTCTAAGGCCAGCTTCCGCTGTGGCATGCAATGGTTTTTTTGACTCAGTTTCAATGGCGACTGGGAAGCTGGGAAAACGCCATTTACCTTCTGTGCTTTTTACCAGCAGATACAGCGTTTCGCTGAGTTTTCTTTCAAGACTTTGGACGTCGTTGGTCTGGTCTGCTTCTGTGGATCTTGAATTGGGGACAATGGGTCTAGAAACGCTATCTGCGTCACTTGTCTGGTCGCCAGCGGCGGAATCGAAGTGCTGTGGCAGGTTTACCACCTGTTTGGTACGTCTTTCACGGTTGTGTTTGATGTCTGGGACACCTTGAGGAAACCATACACCAGGTTGTTTGCTGACAGGACCCTTTTGGACCGCCAAAAACCGCTTTTCGGCTAGCGTGCCTCGTTTGAAGTAGTAGTACTGTGGGAAAGTCCACATCAGTCTCTTTTCCAGCTCACTTTGGTACTCATAGTACTGTTTTTCAAGCTTGTTCAAATCCTGCGTGATGATCGGAATCCGCGATAATATGAGACCCGCTCTGATTCCTGAAGGCTTCAGCGTCGTTGCCAATCCTCTCGATGACACTGTTTGTAGCCTCATTGGTAGCGTTAGCTAAATGCAAGCCACTGTCGTCGTCCGGTTACTTTCTTGTAGTCAGGTTGAAGATTTGGATTATTTCGACATTTTTCAAGCTCATCGTCGCCAACTTTCTCTAATGTATTGATTTACATGTAGTATGAAGTGATAAGTGTACGGGAAAATTTTCGAGCATTGTGTCACGTGACTCGTAAAATAATGTACGGTGAGAATTATAGCACGTGATTTGGTTTTGAAGAAGGAAACATGCGTGTTTGTATAGTTATCCGGAGCAGCAATCATTTTAATGAGGTATTACATTTGCGTTGTTTATTGCCAAGCTATGTTTCATTTCCCGGCAGCTCATTTTTGATGTTTTCTGATGTGACATCGTAACCGCAGCACACACTTTTTGATAAAAAAATGGTAATCCATGATAGATTTAAATGTCTGAAAATTTACTATGACCATCCCGTCGCGCTCCTAGCGAACGAAAATGCCACATTGACTCTGAGTTTCTAAACTTTTCGATTTGAGCTTACGCGTTGATAATGATAGTATCTTTTACTGACATCGATGACAGCGTCATTAAACCTATTTAGTGATTTCTGGTGTTTGTAGTAACATCAACATGGCTTGAAAGGACACACACACACACACACACACACATACATATACACATACACACACCCTGCTCACTATACATTGACTGAGATTTTTCGTATTCCTGCTTCGTCTCACTCGCGCTTTCCGGTTACACCTGTGTCAGTTACACTTTATTATACAATACACGATTACTATATATCTACCACTTCAATATTTACCGCCAGTTAACCCACAATTTTATTTTTGTTGGTTCAACATGCTCATCAGCGAGTTTAGCTGTGCTGTGGGGTCAAATTGGGATTGTGGAGCTGGAGGAGCTTGTTGGCCGCCATACATTGCCGGAGGTGCTTGTGGGGGCATCGACGCTGGCATGCCGTAAGATTGCATTGGTGGAGACGCACCATAACCTGCAGGTGGGTATTGAGCCTGAACAGGCACTTGGGCCTGCAATGGCACTGGGGCCATCTGGCCGTAGAATTGGTTCTGGTTTGGAGAGTTGCGGTAAGCAGAACCTCTACCAACCGGTTTCCCAGACTTGGGCCCGTTTCTACCACTATCGGTAGGCATTTTTTGAGAAATTGCTTTGGACGAGACCCCCTCTCCAACGACTATATCAGGCTCTTCAAAAGCTAAGCCTTGTTGTAAGGGCTGGCCAGCCGTACCACCCCATTCCGCATGCGTTGTCCATTTTTTGTCGGCGTCGGTTAGTCTGTGAAGCGGAATGACACTGTAACCGTGCTGGTAGTCGCAACAATCTCTCGGTCCGAAACCAACACCCCATCTGGTCCTGAGTGGTGACGATCCATCCTTATTGAAATTGTTTAGAATGTTTTCTGCTTCCTGTCTGGAGTAGACCTTCACAAATGCATGCTTTCGAGAGCTGTTCAAGATAACACTCTGCACTTCCCCATACGGCTTCAAAACATGGGCTATGTCGTATTCTTTCATAGAAGGGGGAACCCCTCCTACGAACAAGGTACGACTGAAAACCTTAATGTGGTCCGGTGGGACAGTGTGGTCTACTGATACAGGCTTGGGTCTGAAGTGGTGACTACTGGGTATGTTTTCTTCGCCCGGGTACAGGTGATGATTGTTGGACGCGTTAGGACCCTCGGAGCTCCGATAGTTTTCTCTCCGTGGAGGACTACGAGATCTGGTTCTTCTTGTAGAGTTGTTATAGCGATCACGTCTGTCTTCTCTGAAGCTTGGAATCTGCTGATCATTTCTGTTCATTTGGTTAGTTGGTCTTGAGATTGGTTGAGGCGGCAGCGCGAAACCGGCTGGTGACGGTTGTGCCGGTTCAGAAATTCCGATTTGCTGAAGATTGACCAAGAATTGGAACAGAGCCGCCTGCTGTGATGTTGAATCTTCAGATTGAAGTTCTGCTGGAACAGCGACCCTAGGAACATTGGCTAAAGGCTGTAGGTTGCTCAAAATGTCAATACATCTTTCGGCAGGGTCCTTTGACAAGACAAAAGAATTATTTGGCTGCGCAATTACGATATCAGTGGCGACAACAGCATTGCTGCCAAGAGGTGAAAACCATTTTGCTCTTACTGCGTTCAAATACCCCTTCTGGAAAAGACCACTGCGGTCCCAAATGTCGATAAGTGTCCTTATTTTTTCCTTATGATCCTCGTTACTGTTGCCAATAGCGTCGCCCAAAAGCTCCTGGATGGCTTCTCCAAGAAGATACACACCGTGGGCACAAGAGCCTTCTTTGGCGTTAGGCTTGATGTAGTCGTCTTGTGCGCGAGCCTGCTCGAGATATGCTCTACCGATCGAATCTATAATGTACAAGGAGCCAAGTTTGTGGGTTGCAAGCGTTTCGCGCGAGTAGTCGATGACCAATTGCATAAGTTGTGGCTCCTGGTCCACATGGTCAAGAGCATAGGATGTTAGTTTCTTAATACGGGAACCTGAAATACCAGATTTCAAGTCTTTGAAAGACTGCAACGTAGCTACAAACTCGTCTAGTTGATGGTTCTGCATGGTTTCTGAGTTGTTGTTTCTGTTGCGGGGGCGATTTTCTCAGTCTTTCACGATTATGAGTGTTTGAATTGGAAGTTTACAGCAAGTCCTTTTCTTCTGGAGCGAACACCTTAATTTTTCCCTTTTATTCTGTGTTATCCTTAAGCTACCACTACTTTAGCTGACCAAAGCCAAAAATGAAGAAAAGTAAAAAGTCAGAAAATAAAGAAATGAGAATTTCAAAGAGATAAAGGAGATGATCTATCGGAACGGTTCAGATTATAGCGGGCTTGACGATTACTCCAACAAGGCTTCTTATTGTGCCAATCTAGTTCAAGTTGTAGCCGTTTTTACCGTGAAATTTTTACTATTCACAGATTTTGCTAAATTGCTGCGCTAAGTACAATGCTCACTTCTATCTATTTTCCCTTGTTTTTGAGCCCTTAACCAAGAAAAAAAGGTATCGTAATAGTGAGAATATTTTGGAAATTCCTTTCCTTATATAGTTTTTTTTTTTGGGACGGCCACAAAAAATGACACTAAATTCAAGAGCCGGGTAAGTTTTGAGTTTTAAATTGGATCTTGAAATGGAATATGAGCTAGCTAGCTCATCGCATCATGTCAAATATTGAAATGTAATCAATCTCTGACTACATTGAGCGTCAATTGAGTCTTGATATTAGGCTCTTTGGAGGGATATTCAACCGAGACTTACGTGAATGTCAGCTATTTACAAGCTCTCGATCCAAGGAATTCGTTCATTCGATTCCAACGAACGAGAAACGATTGAATTTGGAAAACCTCTGACGCTGATAGTAGGAACCAATGGATCGGGCAAAACAACAATTATTGAGTGTTTGAAATATGCTACCACTGGCGATCTTCCTCCGAACAGTAAGGGGGGAGCCTTCGTCCACGATCCCAAAATCACGGGCGAAAAAGACGTTCGTGCTCAGGTGAAGCTGGCCTTCACGAGTGCGAACCACGTTAACATGATCGTGACACGAAACATCCAACTGCTCGTGAAAAAGACCACTAACACATTCAAGACCCTCGAGGGCCAATTGGTGGCTCTTAATCGTGGAGAACGCACTACGTTGAGCAGCAGAGCTGCAGAACTTGATAGTCAAGTTCCGTTGTACATGGGTGTCCCGTCTGCCATTCTCGACTATGTAGTGTTTTGCCACCAGGAAGACAGTCTGTGGCCTCTCAGCGAGCCTGCAAATCTGAAAAAAAGATTTGACGAGATTTTTCAAGCTATGAAGTTCACCAAGGCGCTTGATAACCTGAAAACTATCAAAAAAGATATGTCTGTGGACATAAAACTGCTGCGGCAGTCTGTAGAGCATTTAAAGATGGATCGTGACCGAAGCCGATCCACTAAGATTAACATTTCAACCTTGGAACAAAAAATTGAGCAATACCAAGCTCAGGCTAGCAAAGCGGAGCAGGATCTAGATCAAATCACTGAGCAATCCGATAGGCTTTTCAAATCCAATCAGGAGTTTCAGCAGGTCTTGAGCAAAATGGACGGTTTGCGACACAACAAACGGTCTGTTCAAGAGCAGATTGCCCGCTTAGAAAGCACCAGCGAGCCGCTAGATATGTCATTGGCAGATCTCACTACACTGATCGAAAATTTTTCTTCCGCACTGGAGGACAAAAGACAACACGTCGAAAGCTTGAAAATGGAGATTCAAACAAATCGGCGTTCATTAGATGAGGCTCGTGATTTGCATAGCGCGCTGATTTCCAAACAAGGTGGTTTGAAAGCTAGGAAAGCAAATTATCTGAATTTCAAAGAGCAGTTGGTAAGTGTGACGCAGGAGTTGCGCGATAAACATACCATCACCGGTGAAAATCCATCGGTGGAGCTAAACGCACTTCTAGAAAGCACGGAAAAGGACCTATCACTAATCTGTGCTCAAAATGAAACAGAGAAGAATATCTACAGGAAAGAAATATCTGAATATGAAAATTCACAAACCAAGGAAGAACAGCATTTAATATATTGTCAAAATGACAGAGATAAGGTTTTGATTGCATTGGAGTCTCTAAAATCCAAGTTTGGCAATATGTCGTCTCTAGAAAGCGAATTAAATAAAGAGATCGAGAACGTTGCATTGTATGAGACCAGGTTAAAAGAAAAAGGAGGTGAGGACGAAATACACAAACTTACGTCTCAAATAAAAGAAAATCAGGCTAAAATTTTGATCTTGGAGGACGACCTTGCGAGGAATCAACGAGAGCTTCTCAAAGTGAATGAGCAAGCGGAGTTAAACGCTCGATATTCTTTATTGAAGAAGAATGTTACCCAAAAAAGAAGTGAGCTCAACCATATTATTTATGAGCTCTCAAAAAATCATGAAGCTCGGCGGTGGAAGCTTGATGTGGATTCAGACCTTGACCTTACGTTTGCGAGAAAGTATCTCGATTTACAAAAGCGAGTAGCAAATGTCAAAAAAGAAAATGAAGATGTCGCTAAAGTGCTGGCCCAGAAGAAATTCGTCCGTGGATCCTGCGAACAAGAGCTGAGAGAAACCGAAAAGAAGATTGAGTCACTGGACGAGAAGATTAAAAGAAGTCTTCCAGAAGGTTGCGTTGTTGATGATTACGCTGAACTTCTACGGGAAGCAGAAGAATCTTATCGAATTGCCGTCGAGAATCTGAAAATGCACAGAACAACGCTAGAATTTAACCTAAAGGCGCTCGAAGTTGCGAGAAACAATAACTCTTGTTATTTATGTCAGAGAGAATTCCACAATAAACAAGAACAAAGCGCCCTGTTGACTGAACTTCAAGCTAGAACAAATACTGAGTACGAAGACACTTTGAAAACAGTTATGTCAGGGGAAAAAGAATATCTTGATTCCTTAAGAAAACTTGAAGCGGAATTCTCTTTAATGAAAGCATCTTCTCAGAACAAGACTGCGTTAGAGTCACAGCTGAAGGAGCTCACTTCCGTAATGACAAATGAGGAAGTAACTTTGGCGGAAAGCGACGAAAGTCTCAAGGGAGTCAATCTCGAATTGGAGCGTGTAGAAACTTTACGACCTATAGTGGAGAATTACTTGAGATTGCGCAAAGAACTTAAGTTTGCCGATGGGGATCTTCAGGACGTTTCAAACGAGTTGCGCTTGCATAATGGTGAGGGGAGCAATGTGGCGACTGTCGAGGACCTACAAAACAAGCAAAATCAGATACAAGATTTACTCAGAGATTATAGAAGGAATGTCGTGGACCAGCAGGAGGGAAAAGAGCAGAAGACACGAGAACTTAACAATTTGCTCAACCTCATAAAGGAAAAGAAGTTCAAGATTAACGATCTTGAAAGGCAGCTAAGTGACAGGGAAAGTGTAGCTTTCTCTATACGTGAACACGAGAGTTCGGTAACACAGGTTGAAAGTATGATGAAATCGGTGAAGTCTTCTATCGAAAACTTTTTGGTCAAACTCACTACTTTGAGAGCTCAAATGGAATCAAAGGAGAACGAGGCATCCCTGGAGGAATCGGAGTTGAAACGGAAATTAACATTTTTGAGAAGCAAATATGATTTTGTGGTAAAATTGACGTCTGAAGTCAAAGAGTTCGAGCATACTTATGCTTCACAATTAGACAGCTCAGAAGAAGAGCTCAAAGCCGCCAACGAAAGCATTAAAAATCTTTCTGATGCTATCGAGTCTCTTAATAGTGAAATAACGGCCGAAAGCCGTAAGATACATGATTCATCAAATGAACAGAAAAACATTAAAATGAATATCGACTTGATAGAGCTTAGATCGAACCTCGATACTGTCAACCATGAACTTTCTAATCTTGATGTGCAAAACGCTGAAGCGAAACGCGATCAATATCAGCACGAATCGTCGCGACTCAGAAGCCTGTTTGAAAGGCTATCTGCAGATAATGCAGGTAGAATGGGAGAAATAAGACAGCTTCAGAATCAAATACAGTCATTGGTGGCCCAGCTCGATAATGACTATCACGACATTGACAATACTTATCAAAAAGAGTGGGTAAAACTTCAGACCAAGTCTTTGGTTACTGATGACATTGATATGTACTCTAAAGCCCTGGATAGTGCGATCATGAAATATCACTCCCTGAAGATGCAGGACATCAACAGGATCGTTGATGAGCTTTGGAAGAGGACCTACAGTGGTACGGATGTCGACACGATAAAAATAAAGTCAGATGAGGTGACGACGTCCACGAGGGGCAAGTCCTATAACTACAGGGTCGTCATGTATAAACAAGATGCTGAATTGGATATGCGAGGAAGGTGTTCGGCAGGCCAAAAGGTTCTAGCTTCTATCATAATCAGGTTGGCGTTGTCGGAGACTTTTGGCGTCAATTGCGGTGTTATCGCGCTCGATGAGCCTACCACAAACCTGGACGAAGAAAACATCGAAAGCTTGGCTAAATCCTTGAATAACATTATTGAATTCCGCCGGCACCAGAAAAATTTCCAGCTCATTGTGATCACACATGATGAGAAATTTCTGCGTTACATGGGTGCCGCCGATTTCACCGACCATTTCTACAAAGTGAAGCGCGATGATCGTCAAAAATCTCAAATTGAGTGCGTGGACATCAATAGAGTCATTAATTGAAATGTCACCTCGCCTGTCTGCGCCTCATTTCAGTTGGGCGTCAACAATTGAACGATATTTCCGCTGAACTTTGGCCATGTCTAGATATACTTCATACTTTGCTGCTAGCAGCCTGACAACCCTATCGTTGTTTTTAAGGGAAGGAAGTATTGCCACATCCATGATTTGTGTGTCTTCAAAGCTCTCCGCTACAATGCTTTGCAAACATTCATTGACGTATCTTGATTTGCCTAAAAGATACGCGCCTCTCACTCCCATCAAGTCAGCGCTTGTCGTCGGCCTTTTTACTGGAATATTACCGTTTACCAAAGAAATGAGAGAAAGCAGCCTGGTATTTTTGGCTTGACTACCCGATACCATTATGCTTTGTATGTCCGAACCAAAACAGTCTCTGATTTGCTTTGCTTGAAAAGCTAGAAATTCAAGAGTTGCGACGTATTTTAACATAAGATCTTGTAGGGAAATATCTGTAGTTTCGCCGATGAACATCCCTGTCATATTTGGATCACAAAAAGGTGTTCTGTTTCCCTGCAATTCGCCATATGTGAACTTATGTTTGGTCAAGAAGTGGATCGACTCCCCTGTTTGACGCTCGGCTTCTTCAATAGAACGTTCGATCACCTCAAACAACGATCTTCTATCGCCTAAATGCCGTTGTGCGGCTGGATGGGACTTGAAAAGGTGTTCAAGGAGCTTTCCTGTAGTTGATTGACCTGCTTCGTAAACCGACCAGACGTCACCAGTAGGCCCATCTATAATATCTGTAAATGGGCCCCAGATACCTGGTATACAGTTATTAGCGTTAGGTTTGGCGTAGAGATAACAGGTGGATGTACCTGCTGCCATGAACAAAGTTTGGTCGGGTTTGGGCAAACACGTAGCAAACCAGCCTGCATAACAATCGATACAGCTTGCTACTTTAACGGGGCTCCACATTTTATTGATTCTAGAGGGTCCAATCCTAACGTTATTAGGCAACTCGACAGAGTTCCTATAAAACTGACCATTCCAACCTCTGACTTCGCCATCATGGCCAATACCATTTTTGTTTGGTCTATTGAGTAGCGGTGTTGCATCCCACCTATACCTTTGAGCCAATTCATAGGCAATAAAGGTATGGAGATCTAAAACTTCGAACGTCTTAGAGCTGTCAGATGGCAATGTCTTCAAAAAGGCCATCAGTTTTGTAACACCCATCTCTGGGATGAACCCACCTCCCATGTACTGTTTTTCGACACCGTTCAGTGCATTGAGTTCCTGGGCCTCGTTTGTGGCAGAGCCGTCCATCCAGAACACAACGTTTTGAACTGGCTTTGATTCAATTTGATAGAGGCTATGAGGTGTTAAACCTTGGGTAATGTCGTCATCGAATAATGCCAGAGAGCAGGTAGCCGCGACTCCACACGATTTGACCGTCGAAAGATCAATGTTAAGAATCTCGATACATTCAACAATGGCATCTATGATCTCGTCTGTACTCTGAGTAACTTTTTTGTTTCCGTGGGTGTAATATGGTACTGGTTTCGAGCCAACCGCAACCAATTCATTGGTAGCGAAATTGTACGCTCCAATACGAACTTCGGTTGACCCCAAATCGATTCCTAGACCTATCTGCATGCTTGTTTTTTATCAAATGAACTTGAATTCAAGTAGTTAGTCCGCAAGAATCCTGCTAGATCTTATTTAAAACGTACAACTTTTAAAAGCGCATAGAGGAACTAAACCTATCCTAGCATAACTGAGCGTCTTCAACTTAAGTCTTAACGTCCACCACGTCTGACTCTTCTGCCAGTTTCTGGGAGTTTGAAAGGGACCTTCATCGTAGCTATCTTGTAAGTAGAGGCGGCACTTTTTGGAATTCCAAATGCTTCTGCTTGGGAAACGGTCGCACCTTTAACAATAGCCCCAAGGTTTTTGAACAGACTGACGATCTTTGATGGTTTGAGTCCCAACTCCTGTGCGAGGGGTGAAATCTCGACAATGAAATTGTCCAAATGCAAAATGATGGCTAGGATAAAGCACAGTAGTTTATCTTCTCTTTGTGGGTCGATAAAGAAACCGCGATCCCTGGAACGCCCATATTGACCGGCCCTGTTTATTGTGAATCTTTCCAAAATGCCGTCAACCAGCATTTCGGGAGGGGCATTCAAGTTCTCTAACAACTTGACTTTGTCACTAACTCGCTTGTTCTCAAAAACTCCCAGGAGCAAGGACACATAATACAAAAGCTGCAATTTAGTCATCTGTTGGGCCTGTGTTAGTGTCGCCAGCTTCTTAGCAACATAAGGAGATTTGGTGTAAGGGAAGAGCTCGAGTCTCGCGGCTTCGTCCGTTTCTTTCAGAACAGCCCCGACGCGAATGTACTGCCACTCCTTTTTCGGTATTATATTGTGGATCGGATAGATTTGCTCCACATCTGTGGCACCCACGTTTGCCTCTGGTGTGGTTCTGTCCTGTTCAGACACTTGCTGGAGCTCTTCTCTCGAGGGCAAGTCCTTCGATGCGGTCTTAACAGAGTCCACGATATCAACCGCAGAATCTACCAGCTTGTCGGGGTCGATTCTGTTGCGTTCGATGTCTGCAATCGCTTTTTTCGCCTTCTTGGTACCGAACGCTTCACCCAAAGCATTCCTCAGAGCCCCGGCACGCAGATCTGTTTGTTTGATATCGGGACCCGACAAATCTTTGGTTGCTTTAGGTGCCACTTTGGCAGTCAAAACGGGGGCCTTATGCAGTTGGATCCTTCTTGTGGAAGGATCATAGATGCCCACCAAATACTGGCTACTTTCGTTGGAGTTCACGTCGGTACTCCCAGCGTACTCCACCCGTTCGTTTTCCCCATGAATAAGAAAACTGTCAGCCTCATTTTTTGAATGGAAAAGCTCAAACTTTGTCTTCTTAGGAACTTGGATGCCCTTGAAGAAGGCCCCCACGGCCACAGAGGGCTCTGATTCCAGTTTTTCAACCTCAATCGAACTAAATCCGCGTTTTTGGGCCATGTCCTATAGTAAATTCAAAAGTTACCAAAAACTAGACAAAAACCACGCTAAAAACTTCAAAAAAAAACCATGCAATTTGCTGACAAGGTCTATTTGAGGATAAGGAGTAGTAGTAAGTGCAGAAGCCTTTTGGTTTCTATCGTTTGACAAGTTTAAGAGTTGATCTTTTCTAGCTCATCGCATCGCATCTTTAAATTTCGGAAAATTTTCAAATAATTAATCCGATGAGCTGAAAAATTCCCAGGCGGTTAAACTGCGATGCCTTTTAGAACAGATAAAGCTGTTCAAAGTCGCTTGGGGTAGAAAAGCTTCGAAAAATATCGACTCAGGTGCATTATTTGGTGCATCCTTGAGCCTTCTCTGGAGCGGCAAGAAATTAGGACCATAGGAGTTTTTTTAGATGGAAATTTGAAGAACTTTTGAGTTTGGCATAATTAGTAAAAGAAAATGGTTCTACAGGCTTCACACTACGAAATCCTCGGTTTAGAAGCAAAATGCGACATATCCGAGGTTAAAAGGGCATATAGAGAGAAACTTTTGAGCTCCCATCCAGATAAAAATCAAGATCGTAAGCAGAGCCCGCAAATAGGCGATGGTGTTTCTATCGAAAAGATTAAACAGGCATATCGAGTACTTTCTGAGCCGGAGAAAAGAAAGCGATACGATTTGCTGTTGGCTGAATCGTATAAGAAACATGGATTCCATAACACCGGAGAAGGTCTCGATTCCTTCTCTCTGGACGATTTTGATTATTCCACCGATAGCGAAGATTTCAGCATGGACTGTCCGCGATGTCAGGCTAAGAAAGGTTTCGAGCTGACAGAAGACATGCTCGAACAAAATGCAATAGAAAGTCCAAATGGAGGATACCTCATCGTAGTGCAGTGCAGTGCGTGCAGTCTATGGCTCCAGGTCACATATGATGTCGTTGAAGACTAAATTGCGACACCGTTTGGTCTTTTAAAAAAAATCACACTCATTAAACGCCCCATTACAAAACGTTCTACCTACTCGCTGTCTACAAGTGATATAAATGCCTTTGCCATTGCTTCAAAATCGGTCATTAGACTGACATGGGCACACTCGGAAGCAATCTTGGCCACTACAGGAAAACCACGCGTTTCCGGCAATAGCCATTTGTGGTGTACCACGCCATCCCCGGGACCGTAATAGAAGTCGTCGTATTGACCACTCTTTATCTGGGCCTTGTTATTGACCTTTGCCCCGCGTACTGTTGGTATGCGATTGCCATAAACAATTGCTAGAGGTGGATATTCTTTACCTTGGTCATACTCAAGGCTCTCGAGAAATTCGCGAGTTTCTTTCAAAGTCCTTTCCAAATACTCTTGGCATTTCTCAAAAGGTGTAACAAAACGGACCGGTTCTTCGTTACTGCTCAATGACCTCATCATGTCCACATGTGGGATTAAGCTGAACTTGTCTTTCTCGGTCGAGTTCATTTGGACAACTTTATCTTCTTCATCTTTGAGCCGCTCATTGCTCACCAGCGGTGAAAGGCCGTATTCTCGCCATACTTTGGGATCAAAAAAATCTAAATCGTAACGCTCTAATGTATCTGTGTTTGCAAAACATCTTCCGTCAAAAGGCAAAAAATAGAAACTGCTTCGCATGAAAAAGGTGGATTCGGCGCTCAGGATGCTTTTGTTGAAAATTACCTCATCTCCAAATTTCATTGGACCCAAGATGTTGGGACATTGGCTCGGTGACCCAACGTATATAATCCCTCTTATCAAATGAGTGTTCTCTTGAAGTACTTTGTGGGCAACTAATCCACCCATGGAGTGTGCAACGAGAAAGGTCCCTTTTTTAACTTTTTGATTTTCGTATATTTCGGTCAATCTTTTGGTCAAATCGCTAGCTGGTATGTCAAGCGAGAGTCTCCAGTCGTAGCCAAAATCCTCAACTTCTACATTAGGATTACTTCTTAGTCTTTTGATGAGTTTCTTGCATACGTCGACGGGCCCTAAATGAGTTAGCATTCCGTCAGGATAAAGCTTAGATTGAGCTTCACGTTCTGAGTTAGGTTCGGGTCCAATCAACAAATCCACTTTGCGAATATTGAAGCCAGCACGTATTGGCAGCCAAATTCGGCGTTTCGTATTTGAATCCCGCAAGATGCTTCCTCTATATCCGCCTAAAAAGACAACGTTCCCTTCTAGCTCATCCCAAATGGTTTCCATTCTGTCCAAGGGGTAACCATCATGCGTGGTAGCTTGTTGGTCGGTAGAAAGCGATTTGATTGTACTAAGTAAAGCACCTGGTGTCAAAGCCCTTTTTACTGCTCGTGCACGAACATTATCAATGCCCTTTTGATTTTGGAAAAGCTCAATCTCTTCAATAGATGAAATCGTTTCCTGTCGTTTTAGTTTTTGCTTGATTTTCCTTCTACGCTTCAATTGAGCTTTGTCGTCTGATGATGCAGGAAGCAAAGTCTTGCGTAAGTTGCTAAACGGTGCTACCGGGATCAGCGACTTTCCGCCAAATGGAAGGTTAAATGTGAAAATGGATGTGTTTTGTTTATTTACATTAGACCCGTCGATATCTTCCGGTGGAGGTTTATTATTGGACAGATCAGTTTCTTCCTCATCATCCTCCTCTTCTTCTTCTTCTTCCTCTTCGTCATACGAGGGGTCTGAGTCAAAGTCATCTCCATTGGTATCGAGATAGCTACCTGTCACGGGCATTCCATGAGCCCAATATTTCTCAGACCCGGCTTGATGTTCCAAATTTGACTCGTTGCTTTCCAATGTTTCTTGACTTTCCGTAGAGGTAACCTCACCGGGACCGTTCAATCCGGTGTGTATCATTTGAGATCTTCGAAAGTTTCGACGAAATTACACAATGACAGGATGACCCTTGTTTTGGAAATATATGCCTCGAGATTAACTCTGTTTTCGTCAAGATTATCCTACCAAGTCGATATTTCTTGGCGATCTTCATGTAAATGCATATACAATCTTTCAGCTATAAAATATATATATAATAATATATACGTATATAATAGTGCAACAACGATAAAGAAGTGGTTAAACTCCTCAAAGAACACAAGTATAGGCCTTAGAAACTCAATTCCTCGCCTTGTGGTTGGAGTTTTCTTTGGTATCGGAAAAAGCGATTTTCCGCTGTCAAAATGGGGCTTTTTTGGGCTGTTTTGGAGCTCTTCTACTGATGTAAGTTGCAATACTGGCAAGGTAGTTGTTGTTAAAACCGCTAACTGTAAAGCAATATTAAAGAAGAATGGTAAATTGTGGAGGACAGTTTGGAGAATTTTTTGAAATAAAACCAGGTCTTTGTTACGCAATGATTCCGAGATCCAACATATCTAGAGAGATCCAACATATCTAGAGAGATCCCGTTCCAGCAGATCTATAGAAAAGAACTAATAATGCCAGAACGAAAAAAGACTTTTATCCCTAGCCAAGTGCCAAATAGCCGACATCACAACATCGTGTGTGTCATTGGGTGTCAACAAAGTATTCGATATTGGTTATAGTACTCCACACGGGTAAAACTTTTCCAAAACTGTTAAAACCGCATTATAACGGAGAAACCGCAATTTATGTTCGATAATACTGCGTAAACGCTGCTAATTCACATTCAAAACTACAATAACAAACTTGCCAAACGCTATAACGAGAAAACAAGAAAAGATGAACAGAAGCGATGGAAAAAGCGCAATGATGCCTGATACTTCTTGGGCCCCTAGATATCGCGTCACTTGATTCTACAATCATCAAAGCGAATGCCTTCCTTTAAACACTTTTCGTTGCAAAAATGGTATGGTCACGTGCTGTGTTTTTAACCATGGCTCTTTTCAATTTATATCACCTGATGATGTACAATTGTAGTTGAAATGCAATGAAGTTATGGATTTTCAGCTTTCCATTAGTTAAACTCAAAAAACTAGTCCAGCTTCTCGAAAAGAGCTTTTCCCAATTCCGTTCAAGGCTTTGTTTACTCCCTTGTCTGTTATAGACACGTTTTAACCTTCAAAAGGGGAAAATCTGGTTTCTTTCGCGGGTTTATGGTCAAAAACTTCGGTCTTTTACAAACATTGAAAAACCTTGGGAAGCAAAAATTGAGCAGAATGTCCACTTCTACGGGCACCAAAGTCAAACAGCCTTCGTGGTTGAAACCTCAGAAAAATGATGTAGAGGCTGTTTTGAAGCTTTACAACAGCTTGACCAGAAACAAAGAAGAGTTTATTCCAAGATCTGGAGGGAAAACTGTATCATGGTACTCGTGCGGTCCTACGGTCTACGATTCTACACACATGGGCCATGCAAGAAACTACGTTTCTATTGATATTAACAGGCGTCTTTTACAAGACTATTTCGGCTATAACGTTCAATTTGTTCAAAACGTCACAGACATTGACGATAAAATTATTCTTCGTGCACGTCAGTCCTACCTGTTTGACAAATTCGTAGCAGAAAACCCTGTTCCTGATTCTGCTGTGCGTGAAAAATGTCTGAAAGCTGCTGTTAAGTTCATTTCGGATAATTTGAATTCCGAAGTTACGTCATTAAACCAGTTTGAAAATTGGTTCAGGTCCCTTGATATTTCCAAAGAAAAGGAAGCCAATCCCAAGTTTGGTATGAACTCATCAGCAGCCCAATTGGCTGTGGAAGCCTTGAGTTCCAAGGAAGGAGATGACGCAAATCGTTTTTACGGAAAAATCAAAGATGTCCTCATTCCAGTTCTAGATCAAGAATCTGGAAGTACTGTGAATGACCCAGAAGTTTTCCGTGCGCTGCCTGCATATTGGGAAAGGCAGTTCAACAACGATATGTTGTCTTTGAACGTATTACGGCCATCTGTGACCACTAGGGTGTCTGAATATGTTCCCGAGATTGTTGAGTTTGTGCTAAAGATTATAAAAAATGGTTACGCATATGCAGCTAAGGATGGGTCGGTTTACTTCGATACCGGAGTATTTGATAAGTGTGAGAATCATGAGTACGCTAAGTGTCAGCCGTGGAATAAAGGGCAGCTACTTTTAATCAATGACGCGGAAGGCTCCCTCAGTGACTTTTCAGGTTCCAATGGCAAACGGTCTCCGAATGATTTTGCCCTTTGGAAGGCGTCAAAGCCAGGTGAGCCTGAATGGGATTCTCCGTGGGGCAAAGGTAGACCCGGGTGGCACATTGAGTGTTCTGTGATGGCCAGTGATATTCTTGGTTCTAATATCGATATTCACACTGGTGGTGTCGACTTGGCCTTCCCCCATCACGATAATGAACTCGCTCAATCTGAAGCTTGCTTTGATAATTACCAGTGGGTGAATTATTTTTTGCACACTGGACATTTACATATCGAGGGACAGAAGATGTCGAAGAGCTTGAAAAATTTCATTACTGTTCGGGAAGCACTGGAAAAATTCTCCCCCCGCTTACTTAGACTCACTTTCTGTTCTTCTCAATGGAATAATCCTCTGGATTTTAAAGAGAGCTTACTTACTGAGGTGAAATCTTTTGAACAAACATTGACCAATTTCTTCCGAAATGTTCGTGCTATCAACGCAGACCTAGAGCATAAAGAAGAAGCAGGACAGTATGTCTCCAAGAAGCTAGGATCCAAGGAAAAAAATTTGTTAGAAGATTTTGAACGTTACCAAGATCAAATTCACAGAGCGTTCTGCGACAATTTGTCAACTCCTGTAGCTATAAGAAACATTGGTGAACTGGTTACCAGATCTAATTTCTATATCGCGAATGTCGGTAGCGATCTAAGAATTGAGCCGCTGATTGGCGTTGTACGTTACGTCACTAAGATTCTTGGGATTCTTGGCTTTTCTACGAGGCGCGATGGATTTGGATGGGAAGATGATGGGATTAAATCCCAGTCTTCATCCTTCAACCGTGAAGATGTGCTAATGCCTTACGTTAAGTGCTTGTCAAGTTTCCGTGACGAAGTTCGTCTTTTGGCTATCAATTCAGCGCCAAGTGCTGATCTCCTTAAACTAACAGACAGAGTACGCGATTACGATATTCTAAATTTGAATGTTTCGATCGATGATAGAAGTGATCAAGCGTCTTTGGTAAAGTTTCTAACACAGCAGGAGAAGGAAGAACTTCAGAAAATTCTCGCAGAAAAGGAAGAAAGACAGAGGCAGAAGGAAGCCAAAAAACTTGAACAAGCGAGAGCAAGAGAGTTGAAAGAAGCCGAAAGAAGAGCGAAGGCAGAGGTCGCGCCTCAAGAAATGTTTCGTGATGCTGAATTGTATTCCGAGTGGGATCAAGATGGCCTACCTGTGAAAAACAAAGATGGTTCTGATGTGACTAAATCTATGTTGAAGAAACTGAAGAAACAGTTCGACCAGCAAAAAAAACTTCATGATGAATATTTCGGTTGATAAATCGCTGCTCTTCCTCAGGAGTTCATACTAAGAAAGCTTGATCTTGTTTATGTATCTTTCTAATTCGAGTGGTCGTAACTCCACAGCTTGCCGGATAATTCGATGGTTTTTTCTGCTAATTTGCACCGAATCTAGGATTGGAAGCTGTTCACCTGGTTCACAATTAACTTTATTCTGATAGCGTTGCTCACATCAAAGTAGCTTAAAATACTTGAGAACCTATGCCTACTCGTTGGAGCTTTGATGCTGATTTCTTGTTTTTCGTTTTTTATTCCTCCAAGGTTCTAAAGAAGAAGTATATTATTTTACCAAGCTCTTTTCAATAAGTGGTACATTAAACAATATACAAGATAAGACAATGGTTGAGGATAGGTTGTATGTTAATGTATCTAAGTCTTGTATGGTTTTCCTCTTGCTGACTAACGGTATTGGTTCGATAGAACGAGATCTTTGGACGCCCTCGGTGGGGTGGAGGATGACATTGAGAAAGTAGAAAAAGAAGTTGAACTTATAAGGTTAAGCAAGCTTTCTCCCATTTATGAACGTCGTTCAAGGGCAATTTCTGGGGTTGATGGGTTTTGGAAGGTTGTTCTCTCTCAACATTCAGATTTTGCCAACTACGTGCGTGCAGCAGACTTGAAGTATGTTGATTGCATCAAATCGATTGACATTAAATGGCTGTGTCTGGAGAATAAGAATAAGGATTACCGCGATGTAGCTATTTCTTTTGAGTTTGAAGGCATTGATGGAGATTTTGAAGCTCAAGTGGTTACTAAATACTTCACAATTGAACATGACACGTCCATGTTCAAATACAGAGGTAAACGCACTGAGGAAGACGATTTGAGGGATCAGGAGCTGGGTTTTCTTACGAGTAAACCCTGCGCGATTAAGTGGCCAAAGAGTTACGACGGTATAAATCCATCGCTAGTCAGTGATAAAACTTCGGCAAAGGGTAAAAAGGACTATCGCACTGGCATGAAATCATTTTTCTCCTGGTTCATGTGGACAGGGTTAAAGATTGGAAAAGAGTTTTCTAACGGTGATGGATTTGCAAACCTTTTGACTGACGACATATTCCCAAATAGTACCAAGTATTATACTGAGGCGCAGGTTGACTTGGAAGACGAAAATATTGACGATGAGGATATCAGTGATGGTCCCATTGAAATGGACTCAGAAGAGAGCGGTTCGAACGGAAGCTCCGATGAAACTGGGACTAGCTCCAAGAAACGGAAACTGTAGAAATTCAGTTGAATACGTTGTATAGAAATTAACCAAAGCCTGAAGTTAATAATCCAAGTCCTTGGGTGCGTTATGGAAGGTCTTCCGGGGAGAAACGTGACGTTTGTCGTTTGTTTGTCTTTTGGAAGGATTAGGAGCAGGTTTGTGAATTTTGTTTGGTTTCTTTACGGTCCGCGATTGCTGAGCTTTTTGAAAAGCCCCAAATGGGTCATCTCTGGACAGATCTGCATTTCCTTTTGATACATTTGTCTTCCTTGTAGGTTTGATGTCATTTTGCGATGGTGAGGTGTTTTTCGAGTCTTGAGGACTTCGAGATTGTTGTGCGTTTAGTAATGATGCTTGTATTCGTTTTTTGCCCAGTAGGAAGTCTTGATTTGTTTCTCTTGTCGCTGCTTCGTCGTTGTACATCCAATCCAAACCGGATTTCTGTTCCTTATTTGTTGCTCCATTTCTTGTCAGTGAGGAAAGTTCATTGATTTGACGTTCTTTTTCTATCTCCTGTTGTCTTTCCCGGAGGCGCTTGTTTTCTTCTAGTAGTTGTTGTTCGGTTTCCCATACCTTCTTCTTGTTTTTTAATAGATGTGGGTTCCATGATTTCAGGAGGTTTAGGTCTCCCGTACCCATTTTTCGATGTTCTAGGTATAATAGGTGTGTCCGCTGGCTTCGGAGAACGTATTGGGGGGGTCTTCCTGGTGAGTTTTTGGGATCCAAGTTTCTTCCCAGTTGTCGACGATGCGATGAGATGGCTGTTTCGTTTACAATGCCTTGAAGTTAGCATTATATTATAGCTCTAGGAGCGACCATAGCGCTAAAGAGAATAGCAATGATGTGGATGTGAAACATCTGGCAGGATTGAAACGGCTTGAACACTTTACAAGTATGAGCTTATTTGATAATTAGTAGTTATAGAAAAATGATGTTGAGCAGAGCCTTTGGCACGGACAGCACTTTGGTGAATGCCAGCTGCGGCACTCTGTCTTTCATTTGGCTGTAAAATCGGGATAGTTTTGAAGGAGAAAATAAATGTGAACGCAGCACAACCAAAAAATGATGAAGCCCAGCTGGCTTCATATTCGACGGTTTAGAAACCGTGGATTTTGATGTTTTTCTTCTTCATTCCCAACTGGGTGACCATGAACTCACAAACCTTGACTCTCTGGTCACCTTGCATTTGGATGATCTCTCCCATTTCTTCATCTTTAACGATGTTGCCGTTGCAGGCGAAATCCTTCTTGAGGACCTTTAGTATTCTTTTTAGATCATATTCTGCGGGAACACCTTGCACTGTGGTCAACGTCTTTCTTCCGTTTCTTTGTTGAATACGGATGTGGATGTAGTTGGCCGTAGTAGTTTCGTTATCACCTGTGTCTGCGAAAGGATCGAAAGACTTGAGGTTTTCAATAGACATATATATAAAAAGAAGATGTTTTTGGTTTGTTAGATCCTACTTGTTGGAACGTCAAGGATACCGATCATAATGTATTTTTGTTATATATGAAAATTTTCTAATGTATAGGTGATCTTATTAGCTTGTGTCGTTGGATACGGGGGGTTAAAGTTCTTTAGACGTTTTGAGTTTTGAATAGTGATCTTGAAAGTTGAAGCGGTTTGCGGTTGTAAGGTACGGTTGTTTGATGTTTTGGCAATGAGTGATGTATATAGTATCGGTTGTTCGGTTAGTTTCTTGTCATGATAATTCTATGATTGTTTGTGGATTTTGAAAATGTTGTCGTTCGTTTTTGGTGGTTCAAACGATGGTTTTTGACTAGTTGTGAATGTCGTGGATGGTGTTGCGTATATGTTGTGTAAGTGTTGTGAATCTTAGGTGCTTTGTTTGTGGGGTTTTGAATTTGTCTCTGTATATTATTTTAATGACATTTAGGTGACAGTTAATAAATGAAGTCATCGGAAGTTCCCGAAACCTGGTTATGTACTGTTGGAAATAAGTGTAGGTTTTGGTTTGATGTACCGAACTGATTGAATTCAGACATGTGTGATTTGTCGATTTGATATAAGATGTTGGTATTGTGGAGTATTGTGAGTTATGGGAGGTTTGGTTTGTAATGGAGTCTTTGTTGTTTTAGATAAAGTTCTTCGTAGTTCGTAGTAAGATAAGGAGTAATTTACCGGTTTTGAGCTATGAGACGTCGTCTTTTGAACATCCAGTGGTTGGAGAGGTGATTGATCTTATTGTGCTCTGAGAATTTTACAATGTTTAAAGTCAAGATTTCACACAATATTATTAAAGAAGATTGATGTAGGAGTTAGTTGAAAAAAAAGTACGTTTATGACAAGCTTGCGGAGTGTTCTTTTAAACTGTTGTTTCTTTCGTAGTAATTTCTGAAGAATGAGGACCGTACAGTTAGTTTCAGGAGATGGTAGATTCAATGGAGTTGGTGAGAGTGGTAACGTCAGGATTTTGGTAAAAATTTAATCTTTGCAGGGTTTTACAAAATCGTTCAAATAGTGTTAGCTGCATATAGTAAAACCGTTGGACCATTAGGAGCGAACATATAGTTAGATTTCCCTCTACTCAGCGAAGATCATGTAGTCCGTTTTATAGTCTGTTTGACATGTCATGGAGTACGAAACTGAATCTGTATGGTTTTAATTTTGATAGGGGCCTAAGATTTACGAAGCTACTCACATCATATTCTTGTACCGGTTCAACGCCAATTGCCATGTCTCGACTTGATTTGGATGTTGAACGCGCTGTGAGGAAGGCGTGTTCGTACGAGGAAACTGCTCCTAAGCGAAAACACGTTCGTGCATGTATAGTTTATACCTGGGATCAGAAATCATCGAGAGCGATCTTTAATGCATTTAAAGTTCAACCACTGGCCCAAGACGAAATTTCGTTGTTCAAAGGTCTGATAACAATTCATAAGATATTGCAGGAAGGGCATCCCTCAGCTATCGTTGAGGGAATAAAAAATCGCGACTGGATTGAAAGTTTAGGCCGTATTTATGATGACCATGGTGGGAATGTATACGGGCGACTTATTGCTCAATATGTTGAGTTTTTGTTACAGAAGCTTAATTTTCATCGTATTCACAGAGGGTTCAATGGTACCTTTGAGTATGAAGAGTATATGTCATTGGTTGTTACTTCAAATCCTGACGAAGGTTACGAGTCTATATTAGACCTTATGGACCTTCAAGATAGCTTAGACCTATTTGGTAGAATCGTGTTTGCCAGTATTTCGAGTGGCCGAAGGAACGAGTGTAAAATATCAGCGTTGGTCCCGTTGGTCTCTGAATCTTATGGGATCTACAAATTCGTAATGTCGATGATAAGAGCCATGCATAGCCAGACTGGGGAGGGCGATGCTTTGGAGCCGCTGTATACTAGGTTTTGTGAGCAGCACGCAAGACTGTTTGAGTTTTACGCTGACTGTTCTTCCATGAAATATCTCACTGGATTGATTAGGATACCTAAACTTCCTAGTTCTCCACCTGCAATTGAAGCGGGTGATGAGGAAATTAAATTGAGTAGGCCAGCAACGAGGCTTTCAAATCTTGGCAGTGAGAGCAGTCGGGGCGGTTCTAGAGTCGATGTTAATACTTCTAGACAAGGAAGTCAAGTAGGACTCTCTAACAATGGAGCTGTCGGACTTGCTAGTACCCCACAAATTACTGGGCAGTATGGTAGCTTCATTGCTGACAATAGTGGAATTCAAGGCCAGCTTCAATTCGAAAGGCAGAAGAATGAAGAGTTGAAGCGTCAAGAAGAGATGATAAACGCTCAGCAGCTGCAACAGCAGAGCGAGCTGGAGGAACGGAAACGCGCGTTTGAACAGGAAACACAAAGACAGTATCTTTTACAACAACAGGAGGCTCAACTGGTTGCCGAGAGGCAGCAGCAATTAGCATATCAAGAAAGAGAGCAGGCAATATTTGATCAAAGAATGAGAGAAGAGCAACAATTGCAGTATGAAAGAGTTGCTCAAAATGCCCAGTTTCATAATGATTTGAATGCGTTAAGGGAGCAACACGATCGTGATCAAGCGATGCTACAACAGTACGATGGTAGGGTTGCAGCGTTGGAGAAAGAATTAGAAAATTTAAACTTGAATTTTGATAACCAGTATCGAAATCACGAAGAACAGGTGAGGTCGTTAGATAAAGGAAAAGAGAAGTATGAACATTTGGCTAGTCTGTACTCTCAGTTAAGACAGGAGCATCTAGCAGTGTTAAAGAAATTGAAGTTGTCACAACAGAAAGAGAGCAGTGCTAGAGAAGAAGTAGCGGGGCTAAGAGGTGCAGATGCGGGGGAT